ACCCCTAACCCCTAACCCCTAACCCCTAACCCCTAACCCCTAACCCCTAACCCCTAACCCCTAACCCCTAACCCCTAAGCCCTGGTTGGCATGCCTGTCGACCGGGCGAAAGCAACCGTTGTGTATATGTGGCGCTGGGCTGGCGTGAGATCGTGGTGCTTGTCGATAGAGGGGAGGGTAAGGACAGGATAGGCGCCGGGATGCGGGGCTATCCATCGGTCGAGAGGAAGTTCGGGAGGAGGGGTGAATTCGGGCGGGTCGATAGCTTCAAATTCGTCTTCGTCCTCGTCATTGTCTGAGTCCCAGTATTCCATATCCGCATCGTCTGGGGATGGCAACCGAGGGTCATCGATCTGAGCATCGTCGTAACCTAGCCCTTGACTGAATCCATCGGATCCGTCGTCTCTGTAGACTGAGGCCGCTTCTTCGTAGCCAAAATCCGATCCTTCCGAACCGTCTCCCTGGAAGTCTCCAAAGCCGAGAGGCGAATCGGGCGGTGCAGCGTTTGCTGAGTATTGGGAGGCAGGCAGGGGTGACAAGGGAGTACGTTGTCGATGTTGCCCTGCTGGAGGATCTACTGCGGGAGGATATCGAAGGGCGTGGAGACGATGTGTTTCCCGACCAACCTCCTTGTACCCTCCAGGGGTCTTTTGACATTCCGAGCATCGACAGATCCGCTGAGGTGGGACATGCAGAGGGTCAGACAAGGAGGCTAGGGGAACTCGAACTGCAGTACATGTACTGATCGTACTGACCGTGGCAGCGCTCCTAGCGGTGCTCCTAACCATCCTGTCAACCCGAACAGAGGCACGGTGTGTTGATGTGTTTGCTTTACGAGGTTGCAGGGAGCCGAGAGCACGGATCGCTCATCGACTGGTCTCACGGGGGTATCAAGACCGTTTGCAGCGCTTTGGAGGATCAAGACTGGAGTCTGGACTAGATTTCAACGGATTTTGCAGGTTATGAATAGCGATAGTATTGATATGCATCGATGGTAGACATAAGACATAGCTGCGAGACGAGGACGATCGAGTAGCAAGGGCTCGCTGCTAGCTGCTAGCTGCTAGGATAGCACTCGCGATTCGATACCTTCAATTGTTGACAAGAGCAGAAGGGGGTGTACGGGGATTGTCGAGAGGGTATACGATGGATATGCATCCGCAGCGGACAAAATCGAATTTGAATGTCCGTTCTGCCCTATATAGCCTCTGTATAACCTTCGTATGACCGGGTCTATATACCCTAAGACATACGAAGGTTATATAGGGGTTATATAGGGGTGATCTTGCTAGTACTCCCTCTATATAACCTGGGCTGTATTGAGCCGTGTCGCGCAGTGCCACTCGCCTGGTCTAATCAGCTTTTGTAGCTTGTAGGGTTGAATCACCCTAGCCCTCAGAATGACGTATCACATCCGATACGCACCTCACATCGTAAGAAGTCGCAAGTCTTCCTCAGACTCCTAAATGACCGGGAGTCAAGCTATTTAGCACTACTAATCTGACTGCTAAGGATTGTTTAAACGATCGCTGTGTTTGCCGACATGCCAGATGGCAGACTGATCCCTTTCTGACGGCGGATAACCTGACAATTGGCGTCGCTCATAGCGAAGCGGTCGAGACAGTCTTCTTGCTTGGTGACCTTCTGGGCACAAGTCAAGAATAATAAATCGTTGTCAGTGAAAGCGTGTGCCGAGCATTTCGAAGCCCAGCTATGACTATGGTTGTATACGCTATATACTAAATTACAACAGGCTCAAGTCTCGCTCGTTCAATCTCGTAATGTTTTCAGTCGTGCCAAGTCTCGTAAATATGTAAAGTCGTAAAGTCGTGATGTCAAGCGCCAAGTCGAACTGTCAAGTCCCGTAATCCTCCAACGTGCTCAAGGCTGTGTCCGGCACCGCTTGCTTCGTGTTGTTCGGCAAGATGACGTGCGACCCAACCGGCGTAGCGAGTTGCTCGCTGCTTGCCGAGCTAAGCGTTCGAACTAGAGACGGAGGTTTAGCACCAAGCCAGGTATCGACTCTGGTTTGGAGGAGACGCTGTCGGTAAGCCCGCATACGGTGCGAAAAAACTTCGCGAGTCGCACGGTCTGAGGCGGATAGGCCGAGCGGAAGTCCGTCATTCCTGGCAGTGCGGCCTTGATCCGTCGGTCCTGGTTTACCGGCTTGACTGCTATCCTTTGGATCCTTCTGCTTGCCTCGACGTTTGGGTTGAGTTCTTTCAACCGCGGCAGACGTTTCCTCCTCGACGATCGTCCCGACAGGAACCCCGTCTGTTGGAGGATAATCACTCCCGGGGTAATTCGCCCATACCTCCTCGATCTTCACGTATTTGGCATGCTCTAGCGCCGGTCGGCCGTTGAGATAGAGCTCCTCTGATCCACGTCGATGTCCTGCTATCACGGCATCAACCTGACCTTGAAGATGAGTCAGGATATGCCACACGTTTCGCTTGGCATATTCGCCTGAGGACGTGAACTCAGCGTGAATGTAGGCAAAAGACTCGTTCCGCTCGAAAACTCACCCCAGTTTCCTTGCTCCAGCACATCCCACTCTATTTGATCATGTTTGTCGTACAGCTCGACAAGTTTCGGCCATGTATAACGAAGGTTCCCTTTCCAGATTGAGGGTACCTTGGAAGAAAGAAAAGGAAAGCGATCAGCACTCGTGATACGCCAACGCGAAGTCTTCGCCATGACTTACCGCCATCCAAAGGTCCGTCTCGTCCCAGAAGAAGATCCGGTATTGACTGCCAGCGACGATCATCCCCATCCCGCATCCATCTGTGGCTCTTGCCTTCATCATGTAGACGATGATCTGTTTCATAGCCTGTCACGAAGGGTCGTTGTTGTCGGTGATCTTGCACTACCGGTACCGAGCCTTAGAACTCACCGTGCCCCAGGCCCCCGATGGTTTGGCCTCGAATACCATGCAAATCCTGGCCTGCAAGTACGCCTTGGCGAATTCGATCGCATTGTAGAGGAGAACCCAGTCAGGGCGATTGTGGTCCTTCGTGACGAAGTTCTCCATGATCTCGTATCTGTTGGATTCGTCGATGATCTTTGGATCTAGATCCGGTTGAGTCTGTGTATGTTGCATTTTCTGATTCAAATCGATGGCAGAACCATTCCAGATTCCGTTGTGTTGAAAAAACTCCACCAGACTCATCCAGAAGAGGCTCGTCTCTGTTTCAGAAAGTCCGCTACGCTTCAGGAACGTGAACCACCAGAGGAATTCTTCTTGGGGCCGTGGCAAGCGGACGCGAAGGTGTGTGGGATAAGCCAGAAGTGGCGCGTTGTTGTCTCGGTGAGGAGAGGAGGGTGGGGTGAGTACGGTGCTGCAGTGGATTGCGCGGTCGAGAAGGATGAGCGATCTGCACGTATGGCCTGTCAAGAATGCCGAGAGAAACTTACGGCTCCTGCCTCAACTCAGGCTCGCTTCCGCTGAGATTCGACGATCCCGACAGGGCCGATGACGCTTCTTGCGATCGTCCAGGGGAAATCGAGGACGGGGCGGGTTCATCTAGATTAGGCGGAGCGTCTCGTGGTTGTCTCTTAGGCTTCTTGGGAGAAAATGCGGTGATGGCAGACGTACTTGCTTGGTCGAAGCGGCGAGAAAGGAGGGGTATAATTTAGCGAAATTTTTACTTGCCGCCTCACGGATCCGACTCACACTCTATTGAGAAATCCGGATCCCTTCCCTTTTCCCTTTTTGGCCCGAGGACCGTCATTGGAGGCAGGAGTGGCGACCGGGGATGGTGCCACGGGAGTCTGGGGTCTCTCGGCAGGCGCCTGGGACGACGTCTGGCTCCTGGTTGTGGCAGGCATGATTGGATATCGGCGTGGAGCGGGTCGGTGGGATCAAGCGGTTTTCGAGAGTCGAGCGATGATTTCGCAAGACTGTGATCTGTGACGGGAAGAGTGACGCTGATCGACGGTTGATAGCGAAAACGATCGTTGACGATGATAACGAAAACGATCGTTGACGATGATATCGGACGAGCCGCGAAAGGGACAGCGTCGAGGCAAGCGAGAACAAGTTGTCGTTTGATCGTGGTTCCGGTCAGGACTATGTGGAGTGAGGATTGTAGTGGAGAGCCGAACGTTGTTCCGTGATGAACTACAGAAAGATCGAAAAGTCAACGAAGGCACCAGAAGTATGCTCGGATGCGAAGGGTTCTCGATTCGAGCTTGACGATGGGTACGAGACGTATAAGGTTTGCGTCTTCTTACTCACTTTCGGTGCACAATATAGGAAGACCTGTGAAATAAAGGCGGATCAGCCGGCGAGATCGGTGCCAGTGAGAAGCCAACAACTCACTCAACACTCTGATGTGCGTGGAACTCTCTACGCCATCCACCCTTTGGAAGCTCCTGGTACTGACGACTGAGCTTACTGGTGTGGTGGTGTTAACACTGACGGGATGATGACATTTGATCAATTGTCTATGGCTTTGCCTTTTGATGGGCAGAGGAGTCGCTGCGCTCGCTTCTGTTTATTTTGATAGTGCGTGTACGCTGCACTACTAAACCAAAAAAAAAAAAAGATCGACTGCTTGTGACGTGTCAATTGGAATCAAACGCTTAGGAAACACAGGGCGAGAATCACTCGTTCCGTGCCTCTTACTACATCCCATGATGATGAAAGACTAGTCGCCCGGTGACCTTGACGCAGTCATAGCGACATTTGATTGACATGATGATTGATCGCGACTCGCCGGTCCACCGCTGCGCCTCATCGAAACAAACCACACAGCCCAAGCTGTTCGAAACCCTTATACAACAAGAACCGAAAATCAATCATACCATCCTCCTTATTCGCTCGTTCAACAACTTCCTGATAAATCGCTCATCGACCTGCCAGTACCAAGTACGACGAAAAGAATAAGCCTAGTATCCCCTTGAAGCGAACTCGTATGCGCCGACCCTGGACTTTCGACCTCGTACGCACCTCGACCAGAGTCCCGTTCTGCAACTTTTCGCCCTGCTGATCCCGTGCCTTGCCTAACCATTCCGATTTTGGTATCACTCGGTCTTTCCACTAAGCCACCGCAGGCGCGAAAGCAGGCAAAACAGGTCGGTATCAGACACACCGAAATCTCGAGAATCGGAGTGGACCCGGACGGGACTCACCACCGGGACGTAATCGTGGTCCATGGCCTCGGTGACAATCTCGTAATCCCGAATGAAAGCTGCGGTACGAGTTAGGGTCATGTTGGTGTTAGCAGACAGGAACGTATCGGCAAGCAATTTCGCCGCGGTGACTTGCAATGGAGTGGCCAGAACTGCAAATATTCGTTTCCGTGTCAGTTTCAGACGGCGGTATTATCGAAGACGTCCTCGCGCTCACCTCGATGACCGTCGCCCCAGGCCGGGTCCAGAGCATGTGAGCTGAGGACGACCATTCGTCAGCTTCCCCGATCCACGCAAACGAAGCCAACGGATCGACTCACTGAGACCATTGCCGTGAATGCCGATGAATACCTGTAAAACGATCGGCTAGCAATCAGCAGAGCGCACGATCACGTCGAAAAACTCTCTGCTTCGACTCACATCGCTCTCGTGGGCCACCTGCATCTGTTCCTTGGCCGGCAACCCTTCAAAGCGGACCATGTCCACCTCGACCCTCGCCGTCCTCCCGTTCTCCGCGACAATCTCGCTCTCGGACACCTCTTTCAACACCCGACGTAACCCCACATCGCTCTCCTCGTCCAACTTGCGTTTCCTGTCGCCCTGCCGATCCACATAGGTGACCTTGACGACGTCCCCACTCAACGCCCCATTGTGCCCTCGAGCGGTCTTTGGCCGACGCAGTGGGACCGGATCCGACTGCAAATGCCTCGACAAGCTCTCTTGCGGAAAGAGCCACGGGTTGTAAGGGTACGCTTCGGACATCTTCAAGCTCAGCACATCGAGAGCCATCTTGCCCCACGCTTCCGGTCCTCCCGCAGGGTTTCTGTGCGCCGCATGCCGGTCCACGATGACGACTAGAGATACCGGACATCAAGTCAGCTCAAGTCGGGAACCAGAGGTCTGCGACCCGGGATTCCTGACTCACCCCGCTCCAATCGAGTCCACTGTCGCTTCCGACTCAATCTCGTCCACGCGTCCCGTCTTATCAGGTCTACCGAGACGAGAACCGCACCTCGACGTAAGCCACCCTCTCCTCCTTTGATACCCCCGACGCACCACGTCGAATCGCCCACTCACTCGCATCCCCAAACATCCCCTCCAACATGACCTCCTGCAGCTCTTTCCCCTCCCAATCGTTGTTGAACGGAAAGACCACCGTCCTCGGCATATCCATACGATTCTCCTCAAACAGCCGCCGTTCCGCTTCCGAAAACACGTATTTCGTAGCCGGTCCCGTTCCTTCCGGGTGCGTGTGGTTCAGGACGTTCAAGTATCGTTTCTCGACGAGCTCATTGTCGTGCGACACGCTCGAGACCGCGGCGCGCTGTTCGAGTTCGACCTTGGCATATGTTCTCCATGCGCCAAACATCAGCTCGGCCGCGAAATGGCTGTAAGAAGGAACCCCGTGCGTTTTTGCCACGATGCTCAGCTCGAATCTCGGCGGCACGTGGAATGCCAGGAATGCAGCACTGTAGGCCGCGTGCTTACTAGTAATGGTGCATCAAGCTCCCCCAACCTGTGATCTGCGGATCGTCCGCAAAGTAGAGCTGCAACGACAACAACGATCACGATATTCATCCGCTCTTATCAGCTCGCCTTCTTCAAAAGATGTGATCTCTCTGCGATCCGGAACCAAGATCATCAGAGGAGCGGTGGTGGTGGTGATACGTACCGTCGTCCCGGGCAAGACCGTCACTCCCTCTTCTTCCCATTGCATCCCCCCGTTATCCTCCACCGTTTCTCTCACCGATTCTGTCTCTCCTCCCGAAGACGACGACGACGAGGATGATGATGCTGTTGATTTACCTGTCCACCCATCGACCCAAGTGGAATCCCACCACCACCGCCGTCGCCTCTTACTATCTTTCCATCCCCTGGCGCGGAGCTTGAGCTTCGTATCCCTTGACCGTGACCGTGATAAGACATCGTCGTCTTCTTTCTCTTCTTGTAGGATGTCCAGTTCTTTCCCCATCTCGATCTCAGCATTCTCAGGCTCGATCTCAACCTGATCCTCGCTCTCGCTCTCTGCCTCAGTCTCAGTTTGATCTTCCGCGCCAATACCAACGCTTTCAACCGCGAGATCAGACCCCTCCCCGATATTGCTCTTGATCCTGCCCCCGACCTTGATCTTGACACTGAACCCAGGGACTCCTATCTCCCCCGCTTCTTCCCTTGAAAGCACGACCAGCCTGGGTATTTCCGGATACTCTGGGTACGTTACCCCATCCTGCTTATCTTGTAGAGCTCGATGAGCGGTTTCGGCGATAGTGGTGTGGTCCCGAAGATCGGGGTTACGGCTGGTAATTGTGTATTCTAGACGAGGTAAGGGGGTCGAGAAAAGGGAGGTTGGGTTGGGGATCATATCTATTGTACGCGTCGGACAGACAGGTGCAATGCAACGGAACATCAGTGAAAAGGCATGTTCGCAAACGACCCACGTTCGGGGGAACAAGAATGGAAGGAAGGGAAAACCATAGCTCGGTACAGGAAGAGAGATTGACGACTCACAGACCACCCGATCCCTGATCCAAACATTCTCAAAGACATAGAACCCTTCCGTGCCCCCGAGTACCTTTGTCCACCTCCTCTCGCTTTCCCCTTGCCCTTGATCTTCTCCCGCCTGGGTATCGTAACCATCTTCATATTCCACCAGATAATCCTCTCTCGCGTCTGAAGCATAATCCACGCTCAGATCGTGGGAGACCCGGTGAAAAGACCATAATCCCAGTAAACACGTCGTCGTCGTGAAGATGCCGAGGGAGACGAGGAGGATGTTCAGGCGACGCATCTTGCTCGTATGTGGGCGTCCGGGAACTTGTACCCTCCCAGATGGCTATCCCGTGGAGTGCTATTAGTATAGAGGCTGGTGGTACATGTTCCAATCATGATCGAGCTGATGGACTTGTTGTAAGAAAAAGTTGTTTGATCGACCATTCCCCTATCGCTCGTCCAAGGTTGCACATGGGGCCTGTCCCGGAAGCGAATTTTAACTTCCGGACACCGTTCAGCGTCTTGGCGTGTACGTAACGGTAACGTACCCTCGAGGTTGTCGGTTCCGATCGACGTCCTTTTGACGCTGACCATTCGCGGGGTCTGTCGAATCGTCTTTGAATTGCAGGCAGAGTTGCGTTTGGCACCTCGCCTGTGTACTCTGTTGAGATGCGAGAAAGTCCATCCGCATCCAGCTCAACGTGTTTGATACGATAACCCAGGCCAAGTCGAGCACAACACCCAGGGGCGGCAAGTCGCGCGCGCGCCTCGATCCTGGTTGAGATCGGTTTCATCGCTGCTTCCCCCGCATCCTGTGATAGCTAAACCTCATCTATTCACCCCAGAGGTAGCCGAATCAATCAAGGCTCCAGCCGTTCCTGATCATGTATGACTGACGGCGACCTTGTAGCGCTTTGATGGCTCTCCAAGCGTTAAACCCTAGGTGGAAACGTTCCATAACAAGCAGTCAAACCCAATCCTGATTTGCGGGGTAGCGAAATCGTGGCGATAAGAGCGAATCGTCTCAACAAGAAGGTCCAGAGGATTTCTGATGTCGTACTGGAAGATCATGTATGCACCCTCATGTGCTGTGGAAGCCGACTCTTGTAAAAGAGGTTCAAAAAGCGTAAGAGTGATACAGTAGCACACAGCGCGTCCGCTTAGAAGCTGTAACAATCATAACAATAATCATTCCTTCATCGGATACAGTGAGCCACTCGATTTCGCCTCGTTCGCTATATCGAACTACTTTTAATGCAACGGAGAAAACATAAAACGAGCGATATTGATAGAACGGCAACTTGAAGAAGTCCTTTCCTCACCTTTTTATATCGGTCTCCTCACTCACAGCTCGACTTTGAGGCGTTTGTCGATCGGACGACCAACCGAGACCACGAGCGAGGCTGTGATCAGCAAACAGCAAATCGTTGCTCAGCTGACAAAGCATTATACCATACAGATTTACCACCTCATCCAGCCTCTGGACCCTCCCGGCAACCAACTATACACGGGCCCCTTCAATATTACTGAAACTACATCCATGCAAGCTAAGCACGTACTGTACAGCTCGTTGCAGAGCCCAGTCCGAGCATCGAGTCAAATCAAATTCATGCTCTGAAAACGCCGTTCCAAGTGTCGTTTGCTTGTACAGCGCTTGTGAATATCTTGATACAGAAGACAAAAAAAGTAGATGTATCATGTTGATAGTAACGGCTCGATCAGCGTTAGGCACTCACTAGCATGCATGCCCCCACCACTTCCTCTGCCCCATATGATGGCAACCACGATTATATAGATTATCGGCCACAATCAAGCGGTTGACCATCAGAGGCGAATACCTTAGTCTGCCTTTATTGACACACGGGAAGTGATGGGGCTCCAGAAAGGCCTTTCAGAAAAGCATATGTCCGCCGCGTTGGCCTCTAAGCCTCTGCGGTCCCGGACGATCCGAGGAGTTCCTCCCTTTTACTTAAGGTTTTGTCTACGCTCTCGTTGCCAGCGTCCACTTCTTTCGTTCCTGCTCCTCTTTCAAGTCTCGACACTATTCGTCTGGCGACCCGCAGTCTACCAGAGCCGAGTGAATCATCATCAGCCGGCGGTTCATATTGAGCCCCTGCGAGATCGCCGATGTTCGCAATACTCGCTCTGAGAGACGTTGCCACCTAGGATGAACAGGAATAAACAGCAACGGAAAAAGGGGAAGAGCGATGAGCTCGTCATCTATCGCGCCTGCAGAGATTCCTATTCCTGACAGGAGGAGTTCCGAGGAAGATTCAAGGAGGGACAAGGTGGAACTAAAAGAGAGGTTATTAAATGCCCTGCCTCGTTCATCAATCCGCGAACCAGGACGATTCGTGTAATCTGACCGACACCTGAAATGTCGATGATGCTGGGATAACATGACACCCGCTCGAACGGAGATATATAGCTATCTTGTAACCAGAGAAATGGCTACTCGTTGGACCGACGGACTGGCAGCGCTTCGACCTCCAAAAGATACAATACACGATACACTTTGCCACCACGATTCGGTACGTACAACAAATTCGCAAACCCTGCGATCCCCACGAGCTATCTTACAATTCCACACCGATCATCACCCACACCCCTACTTCTCATCCCCATCGAGCCCATTCGATCGTTTCAAAAGATCCAACATCCAGACCGGCCACGCCCTCGTCCCTCTCAACCACCCGAACGACCCCGGTATGATCAGCCTCGCCCCTTTACACCTGAAGATCTGATCGACAATCTCCCCCGCGACCCTTTGAGGGGTCATCATCTTCCCCGAAGCCTGTTCGATTTGGTCTTTACGGTAGGCGACTAGTGGGGTGGATACCCAGAGGGGGTGGACGGTGGTCACGTGGACATTGGGGGCGTGGTAGTATCGCTGTAGTTGGTCCCTCAGGCCTATTCAGACGGATCGAGCCGATGACGACGATGAAAGTCGTCGTCAGTAAAAGCACTAAATGGAGACCACATAACCAAGCTGCGCATTGCGCCCTCCCCCGACTCACTCTCACTAAAGCTAACCAACGCCGCCTTACCCGCCGAATAATCGCTAAACCTCCCAACGCTCACAAAACTACTCATACTCGCCACCTCTACCACATGTCCTTTATTCCTCTCCACCATCCCCGGACAAAACTCGGCACAGGTGATCCAGTGCGAAGTGAGGTTGACATCAATGAGTTTCTTCAGCTTGTCGATGGGTGGGGAGAATATGGGGAAATCGTGTCCGATCCCCGCATTGTTGATTAGGATAGAAGGAGGTGTATCCGGGAAGTGTTCTTTGATCTGGAGAGAGGCGGAATGGACGGATTCGGGTGAGGTGACATCGCAATGGCAATACAGGGCGACGTCTACAACACGACATAACGGCGGGTCAGGTTCGTACGACGGATCAGTAAACAAGTAGACCCAACCAATGTGCCATGAACATACCGTCCTTGAGCCTCTCCGGCACCTCCTGCACATCGAGCACGACCACCCTAACCCCCCTCCTCTTCAACCCCTTGACGATCTCTTCCCCTATCCCACTACACCCCCCAGTAACGACCGCCACCTCCTTACTCCATTCCCATTGATATTTATCACTCCTCCACTGCCAATTGTTCAGCGCGACCGAGGTCAGTAAGGAGCTTGCGTTGTGGATGAGGCCGAGGGCGATGAAGGCTTTCAGGAGGGTGATCAGGAGGGGTCTATTGTTGGTGAGGTATGAGGCCAATTGGGAGTTTAAAGGGAGGTTGGAGAGGATCTTCTGGACGTAAGGTTCCAGAGCGGGTGGGCAGCGAGTAAGGAGGTAGAGGATCGAGCTAGCTAGTGCGGTAGTGAGCATGACGGCGCTTTGTATTCAGGTTCGGCGAGATTAGTATTTGGAGTTGATGGAATACGATAGATGCGGGTGAGGTGTGCTTGTATGTGTGGCAGACCTGTTCTACTTCTCGACCTGAAGAAAAGCTCTGATATATAGCTGATATATACTCTCTCTTGGTGCGACTGCACCGGCTATTCAACCGATGAAACAGACAGGACTCGTTCTGAACGGCGTTGGTCGACATGTCACGTCTCCGGCTACTCGATCTCGAGCCAAACTGGATGTATATGACCATCCTCCGGCTGTACACGACGAGTCGGGTATAGACAACAACGATATTTGCATGTGTGCCTGATCCCATACTTTTGAATAACCGTTTGTACTTGAGATCGTTGCTGTCAAAGAGGCAGGTGGGGTGTCGTGTTCGGTCATTGTCCCCTCCCCTCCGGGTATAGGACCTCTGATCTCTGCACTACTGACAACTTCAACTCCATGTGCTCTTCTCGTTCTGAACCCGTTTCGCGGGCCCGGATCGCCGACGTCGACCTTGTCATCTATACCGGTTAATGAACACTAGCACTAGACTGGACTGTTACGAGCTAGACCTTTCCTGAATAAGATGTTACCCGGTCGAACAGGCTCGGGAAAGGTCGAGGTTTCCGTATAAATAACACTTGGAGATCAAGTCGAGCTCGCTACTCTCTCTCGCCTCCTTGATCTAGCCGAACCTGATCGACCAGGTCCGAGGTTGAAACGACGATCGGCGACGATCAAACAGGGCATATCGATCATCCGATCATCATAGTCATCGCTGTCATCATAGTCATCTCCATCATCATCATCGCACACTACCTCTTTCCTCACTCAACATGGACGACATCCTCGACGTCGCCATCATCGGCGCAGGCATCTCGGGCATCAACACCGCCTACCGGGTCTCCCAAGCCTCCCCCTCGTACCGCTACACCATCTTCGAAGGCCGCTCCCAAATCGGAGGCACCTGGTCGTTCTTCAAATATCCCGGCTTGCGGTCCGACTCTGACCTCTTCTCCTTCGGGTTCGAATGGAACCCCTGGGAATCGGACAAGGTCATCGCCGGCGCACCGCAGATCATGGAGTACCTGCACCGGTCGATCATGTCGTTTGGCGGGTCCGAGAGGTTGAGGATGGGGCACAAGCTCGTCGGCTTGGATTGGTCTACGAAGGATCAACTATGGACGCTCAAATTCAGGGTCAGGGGCGGGGCTGGTCAGGGGGGAGAGAAGGACGGGGACAACGAGGACGACAAGGACGATAGTTACCGGGAGATCAAACAGCTAGCTCGATGGGTCGTCCTAGGTACCGGGTACTACGACTACGAAAAAGCTTTACCCGCCATCATCCCCGGCCTAGACTCCTTCAAGGGCCAAATCATCCACCCTCAATTCTGGCCGACCTCATCCTCTGGCGAAGAACTCGACTTGGCAGGAAAACGAGTGGCCATCATCGGAAGCGGTGCGACGGCCATCACCATCCTCCCTGTCATCGCCCAAAAGACCTCCTCTGTCACGCTCGTCCAACGTAGCCCGACCTTCTTAGCTAGCGTCCCCAGCCGAGATACATCTGCCGACTTGCTCAAACGGTACCTCCCTACCAGCTGGGCGAACAGGCTGTTGAGGATCAAATACCTGCTGGTCAGTTACCTCTTCTTCACCTTCTGCCAGACCTTTCCCAAAGCCGCCCGAAAGCTGCTCTACAAGGGTGCCAGGAAACAACTCCCTGCGAGCATCGGCGTCGAGCCTCATTTCGCCCCACGTTATGATCCCTGGGACCAACGTCTCTGCGCATGTCCCGATGGAGACTTTTTCACCGCCCTCCGGGAAGGGAAAGCGAGCATCGTCACCGGGCACATCGAACGTGTCACCGGATCCTCCATCCTCATGCAAGGTCAATCCACCGAGTCTCCAAAGTCAAACTCAAACAGCCTCTCCGACCTGGACGTGATCATCACCGCTACGGGTCTCAAGATCCTCATCGGAGGCGGCGCCCCAGTATCCATCGACGGCACCCGGATCGACTTGCCTTCAAAGACCCTCTGGAAGGGATGCATGATCTCCGACGTGCCCAACTTGGTAGCCGTCATCGGGTATACGAACGCCAGTTGGACCCTCGGTGCGGACGTCGCTGCCAAGACGCTCACCCGGCTCATGTCCCAGCTCGACGAACAAGGTCAGAGGTCCGCTACTCCCGTGGTCCCCTTAGAAGATAACAACGGGGTTACCATGAACCGGGTATCGTTCATGAAGATGCAATCCACCTACCTTACCAAAGGACGAGGAGACATGCCCAGCGCTGGGGACAAGTATCCTTGGTTACCTAGAGGAAACTATTTCTCTGACATGTGGGATGCGACGTATGGGAACGTCATGCAGGATATCGTGAGTCTGGTTGCTCGTGGCGCAAGGAGAGTCGAATGCGAGGCTGAATATACTATCTGTCTGGGCTTTGCAGAAATGTTCCCGATAAGATGGCAAGGCGGGCGACCTTGCGGAAGATCACAGACTCGGCCTCCAGATGTAGCAAATCTCTTCTCGTTTCCAGACTTTTGTAAAAGCGATCTCAACGCTGAAGCAACCATGAACACGACACCCCATTTACAATCCTCAAGCTGGACTATCTAGATCCAGGTGGATCGCTACATCGCTGAGAGCCGATACTATTCCACAGAATCGCGTCGATGATCGTGAAATCTACAGCTGATCCAGTTTCAACTCCCCTACTTCTCCTCAGCCAGTCTAGGAACGAAAGCGCCCATTCATAGTATTCTATGTCCCGTGCGGCAGGGCAAACAGCGGACTGCAATTGTTATTGCTTCCTTCTTCTTCCTCCGGCTCGCTTGTGGGGGTTGAAGTTAGGGTTCAGTGGGGTGGGTCAGCTTCGATCAAGACAGATGAAGCTCTTGGATCAGCTTGGCTGGTCTGTTAGGTACTGCCCCACCTCCAACTTCGTGGCTGTGCTCTGCTCCATTGCGGGTGAAAAAAGTCTGTAACTTAGCCTGTAGCCAGTAGCTTGTAGCTTGTGAACATTACGTTCCGGGCTTGTAGAACATCCTTGTGATATCTGCAGTTGCCAAAGAGTACCTGCTCTGACGTGTATTCAGGGACCACATAACAGCAACTATTTCACTTTCACAGTTGACAATTGCGTCTCCTGCGGTCTCCCTTCCCTTGAAGACTCTGAAGAGGTCTCTATCAATCTCCAGAAATCTGAAGGATCGTTGTGAAGAACGTTGTCCACAGGTCGGTCATGACAGAGGAGAGATGGAAGATGGAGTGACGTGTTGAGGGACAAAGTGGACAAAACACTTATTCACGATCGTAACTAGTATCGCACGACTGTGGGCTCGCAAAGGGACAAAACGTTCGCCAAGGCGCATCGCATCGATCGTGTATATTTCATATATTACATGACGGGAGACTTCATGGCGGGGTATACGGGAATTCCGAGCGAAATTATGAAGGGGGGCGAAGGAGCCGAGCAAAGCCTTTACGAACAACCGGCTTGACCGATCAGGTTGGCAGTGTTGCTTCCGGGGTAGTACTGCGAGTAAAGCGAGATCAGAAACGGTAGAGCGGACCATGAGGATGCTCGGCGCTCACCCAGAATGCTACGGCAATCAAGACGTAGACCATGAATAGGATAAGTCCTTCCCTACGAGTATTGAGAGAATCATATCAGTTCCCGTTCTGAGCTGAGGACGGTCCAGTGTAGCTTACATCCAGTTGGTCCTGCCGTCCGCCAAAGCTGTGAAAGACATGAGTTCCCACGTTAGCATTTTTGACATTTTTGACGGCTACACAAGACGATGACCGCGATACTAACCCTGATTGACGATAATGACGGCGAGGAACAGCACGGCGCTCTCGAACGGGTCGAACAGCATCCTGATCAAGCTTGGCCCGTCAGCAAAAGCTCTCCCAGTTCAGGTCGAACGATACGACTCACAAAAGGGGTTTGCCGATGATCCATCCCAAGATGACCGAGAAGGGGATGACGAAGAGTCTACAGATGACTTTTCAATCAGCAACGTTTCGCAAATGCACAATCGCCGGCCCTGAGACGTACGCAATCTGGATGGACGACCCGACGGCGACCGAGATGGAAAGGTCGAGCTTGTCCTTATACGCTCCCATGACGGCGGTCCAGTGTTCCTGTGGGCGTACCAGGAGGATGGTCAAATCACGCAATGAGAGAGCGGGTCTAGTGGAGACATAACGTACAGCAGCATTTCCGACCTGTAGCCGATGTGCCGATCTTATCAGCTTGCTTCGCGATGCGAAAACGCCACACCACGACGCGACCTACGATTGGCAACAAGATCAGACCGACCCATTCTTGCGACAAGCTCGGGTTCGCTTCGACCATCCCGTTGATCGAGCTGACCAACTGGCACGAACAATGAACATTCATCAGCCTGGCGTTCTCCACCCTACCAAGCGCCGGACTCTTGGCACTCACAAACTCGGCCGTGACCCCGACGAGCACGGTGACGATGATCATGCTGATCAACGCCGCCTCCCAACTCATCTCCGGTTCCTCGCCCTCCTCCTCGTCTCCCTGCTCCAGATCGTGGTTCTCCAATCCTCTCGGCGGACCCTCGGGACCCCAGCTGGTGACCCTGCCGTCCTTGTTGACCTTCATCCCGGGCGTCCGTTCGAGCGCAGTAGACGTGCCGTGAACGTGAGCGATGGCATGGTGGATCGACAACCCTCCGACCATCTCGGGCGGACGGTTCGCTTCCGCTCGACGTCGGATGGGCGTGGCCAACTTCTCTTTCAACTGACCGGGGGCATTGAGGACTTGCACCGGATAAGTCGTCGACTTGGTCGGGCCCTCTTCGTCGGCGTACAGGTCGGCGTGGGTGAACAGCTGGAACACCAGATACGCCACGTAGAGCAACAGCAGGATGATGGCCACCCCATGCGACATGGCCAGGATGTCCGACCGTTCCTGGGCGTCCGTGAGGATCTCTTCCCCGTTAGCCGAACCGTTCGAAGACGAGTTGATCGTGAAATGGAACGCCGCCGGGATGAGGACCGAGATGACCGACATCAACAAGAGGGACGAGTTGAGTTGAGAGCTGGTCGCCTGGAACTGTTGTTCCGCGAAGCGTGTGCCGCCTATGACCATTCGCACACTCTCCCCGTCAACACCGCCAAGCAGTACAAGACGTGGCTTTACGTAGACACCGGCTCACCGAGAAAGAAACTCATCCCGCAGACGAGCAACAGGTTACTCAGGATACTCCCGATCAGACTACTCTGTACGACCTGGAGCTCGCACTTGATCAGGGCGATGATCGAGACTGCGAAGCCGTCCCCACAATCGCAGTATGTCAGTCAAACAAAAACGAACAATACGTCCCTGCAGCTGGGTGAACAAGGACAGATATCTTATGATCACTCACCAATGAGCTAACAACACGAATAGCATCAAAGATCGAGAAATCACATCATGGCAATCTCAATCAGCGACGACAACCCTTGGACAAAAATGAAACGGTCGGGAGAGACCTACCTCGACCATATTCCCCAGAGTAGCGTTCAACAACCCCCCAATGGTCTGGGACGTCCACATGGTCACGTTCTCCGTGGTGTATCCCAACAGCCCTGCCTGCGTGTGCGTTCAGCACGGAAGAGCATTGGTGCGGTATACGTGCGGTATGGCGTTTCGCGCGGTGAAAAGAGAGGTGTGAGGTGCGATGCAGTCGATTGCCGGGTACGGTACGGAGAGCGATGACGTGGTATGGTGAACCGTAGAGTATCACGGATTGGTGATAAGGCGATCCAGCGTAACCAGGTGAACGGCCAGGCCATGCAAGACGATGCAGAGACGACGTAACATTACGTGTCGGATCCCGAGTCGTAACGAAAATCATTTCGAGTCCAATCGTATCGAATCGAATCGAAACGAATCAGATCGGATCAAACCGCATTTCCAGGTTCAGGCGATGTGATACGCCGATCCGGTAATCCAGTGAGATCCGGGGAGAAGAAGAAGAACCACCGATGAGGATCGAGTGGCGAGTGGCGGAACAAACAAGTCGGTAAAAAGCAAAATAAAAAGCAAATTCTACCGGATCAGCCAACTGTCGATGCAACGAGGTCGAACGAGCCTAAACAAGCCTCGACGAGTCGAAAGACGTGAGAATCGTGCCGGACCGTTTGAAGGTGCGACGAAGAGGGCGACAGAGCGGATAACGGACAGGGTAACAACACCGGGAAAAAGGGGGAAAGATAGGAAAAAGAGATAACAAAGAGGGCGCCGGACTTACCAAAGGTATGATCGCCAAAAAGCACATGACGAAGATCAACGTATCCTGCCCTTTTCCGTCGAGTGCGAAGTGGAGGGCCCATCTTTCAAGTCAAAGCGCATCCAATGTAAAATTGTAAGATTGTAAGATTGTGAGATGTAGGATGTAATGTAGGATGTACGATAGAGGACGGATGATGTAGGATGTAGGATTTGGGATGTAGGATGGTCACATCGAGCGATCGAGGCAGTGGTCGTATACCATACCATACCATGATCGTACAGTATACCGTACAGTATGCCGTAGCGTGGTCGTCGTGTGTGATCGTAGTCCAGCCGAGTAGCGAATAGGAAGAGTGCCGAGTCAGGACAGGGTAGGGTATTCGAGGGAAAAAAAGAGCGATATTTCGAAGGAAAACGAAGAACATGTGATCAAAAGATTTGATTGGGTATCAGCTTGAGTCTCGGGTTCCACTTTGGCCTTTCGTTTCGTATTCTTCACCCGACATCACCACACCACACCACATAACACCACACGACACCGCACCACACCACACTGAGAGAGCTCTCGTCTTTCCAAGACAAGCCGAAAAGGACGCTCTCTTCACGTATACGCATGAACGCATGACAGTACAGTATCGACTGATACCCAACATCCCCAACACGAACAAACAAACGAAGACCAGAGAAAGAATGCAATGCAGGGGGCGACTCACGAAACAGGAATAAAAACCAACAACAAATTGATCCAACTACTCTTCACCAAATTGAGTGCCGAAACTTTCCACCCTGGGTGCCTTTTGATTTTTTTTTCTGGGGTAAAGAGGCCTGTTGTCATCCGTTTGACGACGGAGGATGGTTTCCTGTGATTATGCGGGTGTTCGGTTTCGTTGGAGTTGGAGGCATCCTGGTGGTGACCGAGGCCTAGATGATGATGATTGTGGCTGGTTGAACGAGAGGCCGTCGGAGAGAGCCTCCCGTTATTCTCGAGGTCGTGGTCGGAATTGGGGGAGATCGTAGTGCTCGTCGTCGGGGCCGTACTAAGATCCGCACCGTTGTGATTATCTACAACTACGGGCTTGTCCGCGGGGTTTACGATGATGTTGTGGGACATCCTCGGAAGTAGGAATGGATGTCGTCTTTGCGTGTTGTTATGGGTTGTTGCGGTTGGGTTGCCAAGAGGTTCTTGCCAAGAGAAACTCCCCTCTTTTCGTTCGTTCGTCGTTCGCTGCTGCTTTCGCTGCTGTTGCTGATGAACCCGGGATCAAGTCAAGATACGTTTCACCTCGTCAAGACCTTGTCTGTCCTGCAAGGATTCGTAGCTACGTGATGATATCGTCGAGCGTATGTAATCTGAAGATGTCCTTTCCCATCATCATATCGCCCCCACCCCCTCCCACTCCTTCACACTGCCTCTCTCTCATCGAAATGTATCCTCGTGTGTTCCAAGAATAGCAACTCCCCCCTCCCCCCATCCCTTCCGTTTGTGACCGTAGACTCAGCGCCGACGCGCTGTTTGATCCGCAGTGTGATGTCATCGGTCAACTCCGAATCTCGTCGAGAGTAGAGTTCACCAGGCGCCAGGCGTAGACTCCGATGCGCCTCGTTGCACGACTGCACGATGTGCGCTTTGCAAAGTATCGAAGGAAAGCTAAAGAACAGCCAAAAGTTGGATACTGCAGCATCCTTGATGTCCGAAGACGTTTTCAAAAGTTTGGAAGTCGAATACCCACAGAACCGGTCCCTGAGGCACTCGCTCGATACCCTGATCGTGATCTCGATCGTGAAACAGTCGTGCTTGCGAATACCATACCCATACCATGTCATATCGTGCCGTGCCGCGTAAAACCATCGCTCGACCGCCCGCTCTGACCTTGATCTAGACCTCGAGACACTGCGCCTGGAGATCGTAAGCGATCTCGTGGATCCGATCGTCACGCCACGCCATAACATGCCACACCACACCACATCACGCCGCGCCATGACATGGTGCGACATGACATGACATGCCAAATTACATCACAGCGCAGCGCAGCGCAACGTAACGGACGAGACCCCGGACCTTCGGAACCTGTACGTCTATACCTCTCTTGTCCCATAACCCAGTATATGTTCGTTCTCTAACTGAAATATCGTATCGTTACACTACTGTACTGTAGATCGCGCCTCGCCTCGCCTTGTCTTCGGCCCCTGCCCTCGGTTGGGATACTATATATGTACTAGGTGCTATATCAGATTAGATTAAGACAGATCAGATTAAGACAGATTAGATCAGGCCAGATCAGACGGGTCGATCTTTTCGGGTTGGTACATCCAGATCGATGCGGTTCGGTTTTCGGTCCGGTTCGGTTAAATCCAACTCAATCCAATTCGATTTAATCTGGTATTCTGTTCAGTGTCCAGTGTAGAGCTTCAGTTCAGCGTTCAATGCTGGGTGTCTCGCTAGTTCCGAGAATATGATCATCATGTGATTGTGATCCAGTACATTTAGTGCCTACAGTACAGTATGTAGCTACTGCCTACTGTACTGTATGTACCCCGTACTGTACTATCTCGTACCTCTCTATGGTGCTGTAAGATACGTACTGTAACGGATTACTGAAACTCGAGTCCTGCACAGTAACACATCACATCACATTACATACTGTATCTCTCCTGTCCGATCTCTACTTTAATACCCAACACCTTTGAAGTTCTCAATAAGCTTACAATAAACCTTGCACCTGCGCCCAACTCGCCTTAAACCAAACCGGGGAATGTGTTCTACAACAGGTAAGATCATACACTATACTCTTGCGCTCTACAGTACTTCACTGCAATGCGGAGAAGAAGGCACAGGGAGAGAGAGATTCCCGGAATCAAGGAACACTGTAGGAATAGACTCCCAGGTGCTATAGTAGCACAACAGCCAGTTTAGCCTTAGGTGTCCATGTTGGCGGCCCCTCATACTCATGATAGTGTATTGTACGTATACGATAACCGATGGGCCACAGATCAAGAATTAGCATCTTTCGTCTGGCGAAGCGCAACGACGCGCTGAGTACTATATTGCGTACTGCGGGAGTTCGAGGTTGGGAACGAGACGCAGACGCGGATGTAGATGGAATTTGACCGAGAAACAGAGGGTTGCAAGGTCAAGAGATACGAGTTTCAAGCCCTATGGCATTCATGTGTGGTAAAAATCTTAGTCTTCGTCGCTACTGTATCCGTCAGCGTCAACACCAAATCTGATGATTAGCTCATCCAGTCTAGCCTTGTCAACAACAAGGACAAGACTCCAGATGTCTTGTTCCCCCTTTCCCCTCTGCTTGCGCAGAACTGCCGCGATAGAAGCCCTTCGTGACGCAGGAGCCCAGCCCGCTTTGTGATCGGCCGGTTGGCTTGAGGTAGATCTTGGACGTATGACACGCCGCTTCGCTGTCACATTCATATGTGGTGAAGAATTGCATCCTTGAGCAATCGGATTACGGAAAGATGGCATTGATCCTTGAAGTCCTCCACCAAGCATGTTGTTGTATAGCATCCTTGATTCACAGTCGTCGGCTTCATAAATCGATATGATCAGTCTATGGGAATTGACATGGCCATATCACGAATCGTTCTGGATCAAATCTGGTCACATGTTCTGAGGACACGATCGCCTTTCAATTTTCCAAAGAGTCCCTGATATATACGGTCTTATTTTTGTCCACTTGGCAAGGAGAGTCGTTCATTGTTGCCGCAACATAACGGCAACGCCCTCGGTGTCCCCGTTTGATCAAGTCATCAAGTTGTCAATGTCACGAGCATTGATCGATGGCGCGAAAATCGATTTTATCAACGACCAAGTCAAGCTGATCAGATCGTTTCTTCAAGCCAGGTTGATTGAATAAATTTGGTCAATCTTAACGGATTCTCGATCGGGACCACCTCTTGACCAACGTTCCTCAACACAAAGTTCAGAAGATCAAGAACCGCCGTATCGTACAAAACCCTACTGTAAACCCGGCTCTAATCAACCCGATCGGGCAAAGGCAAAACCGTCACAAAATCCAAACCAATCGATCCATCTTACAGTATCCCTCTCCGTCCCGTCAATCATTTCACAATCCAGCTGTTGAAGACTGGTACGTGCTCGATTTGATATGTACTTGCGGATACGTAGATCTGAAATGGATATGTAATATACTGTAATGTGTTCCGATTATCGTTGTTACCTGATCGATAAAGGATCTGACGTTCACCGTGACATTCAGCTTGAAGTTGAAGTTGTGAAGGCACAGTCAAGAGCTCATGGGACCGACCCTGAGAGAAGCTCCGGCTTTGCGCTTCGGATTCGAAACACTACATGCCACAACACAACGTAAAACCACCGACCGTCGACCGTGAAATTGCACCCCAATTCTAATCGTCGATCTAGCACGCACACTGTAAGATTGACGGTTTCAGGTTTCAAGCTCGAACTTCCGCGCGTTTCGACCTGAAACAAAGGCGGGGGGTCGCGCGCGCTCCTTGTCTTACTGTAGCGCTACCGTATCATCGGCAAAGGAAGAGGAAGGGAGCGAATGTAGGAGTTCGAGGAGGCGGCTCCACAGCCCCCATGTTTCGCAGTGGGGATGGGAGTGCTTCCTTTGGCTCCTCCGTGTGGTTTCCGATGAGCCAAGAGAGGCTGGGAGGCATAAATACGTGGTCAGAGAACGAGAGATCTCGGCGACAGTATGACGAGTCCCTCTGGTAGAAATCATCGATAAATTCTAGATCGACGAATACGAAGTAACAGACGACACAACACGAACACAATGCGATCCGGTATCTCCTCTCTCTTCTTCATCTTGCCTCTGCTAGCTGGCCTATCAGAGCACATCACGGTCCACGCCGCCCCTCAATCTCCAAGCGCGGATCGGGCCGCCCTCGAAGCCCAACTCAAAGGCCTGCTCTCTCCCTTCAGGTTCGACCCCGATACTCCCGACTGCTCAGCCGACGGGTCCGACGGCTATCAAGTTCAAACGTCGCAGGACGCATCGCCCGTGCCCTTGGTGTTTGCCGGTTGGGAAGGGGTCTTGGGAGACTTTGGGGACGTCAAGCCGGTGAGCCGCTTTCTGAGTTGGAGGACTCGTCCAGTCCCGCGCTGACAAATTCGCTCGCACTTCTACGACAGTTCAAGGAGATGAGCGCTTTCAACTGGCGGACTGCGCTAGATACTGCTGGACCCAACGAAAAACCTTTGGTGAACGGTCCGGTTTGGTCTCCGAAAGCGCGAATCCGGCTGATCAGTTTCCTGCCTTCTCTCATCACCCCGAACTCCACGATTAGGGAAAGATCAAGAGTGCAAGGCCATCGCCTTCGACGTCAAGAACACCAAGTGCAATTTTTACCCTGTGGAGCCCAAGAAGATCGTCATCGATAAGAAGTACAACAATGCCAGCTCGATTGCTGTCTTCGACCAGATCTGCCCGGACAACAAGATCAAGCGTGAGTGCCCATTGCAACTTTGTAGCTACGAGTTCTACCTCAACGAGCCGAGACTAAGCTGGTTTTTCGTCGTGGGATTGCTGTTTCGGTCACTGTAAATCAGTGGAGGGAACGGACAACGGAAAACCTTGTTGCAAGCTCGAGTACGGTATCCGCGACATCAAGCTAGGCTTGTGAACCCACCGAGTAGTTATCGCTAACGCAGGCTCCTTTCCGTATTGTATGATTGTATCACTATCATTTCTATCCTCGACCCATGTTGCGCCCGCCTTCATGCCGACATTCTCTGTTCAAGAGTCGCTCAATCTGCGTGTCTCCTGTACGAGAATACCGGGATATCAAGCCCTATCGCGCTGACCATCTCATATCGAGCTTCAGGTCAAATAACGCCGAGTTAGGCTTGGCCATGCTATACTATCAACTCGCATTCGCTTTCTCATACAACCTTCTGTCCGACCTATGGATCGTATCGAGCGACCCGTCTACGCTCGGGTCATATTGACGATCCATTCCAACCCCGGCAAGATCGCCTCATTCCACCAATCCTGATCTTCCGGCCACGTCTCCCTCCCATCCTCAGCGATCCCATGCGGCATCCCCCTCGCCTCCAAATACCTCGCGTCCGCCCCAACGCTCTTGAGCTTGTTGACGACATCATACGACTCTGCGGGATCGATAAGCTTGTCCTCCGTAGCGACGATGACCAAAGTCGGGGGGAAATCGCCGTTGACGACGTCCATCGGGTTGACGGACTTGGGATAAGGACTGTCTTGGCCGCAGAGCCAGGTGTTGAGGGTCTTGGTCCGCATCGTAGCCCGGGCCCAGATGATCCTAGGATCGGTCCCCTTGAAGAACGTATCCTGTCTGTGTGGTCGCAATCGTCGTCATCGGACCTATTGTCAGCATACGGAATTCCTGCTCTCCTTTGCCTCATCGTACATATCGGACACATAGCTTACTTGATAGGATAATTGGTGCAAACGGGCTCAGCCATAAGCTTATCCAGCGCGACCTTCTCTTCACTCGTCAACGCGTCTGTAAAAGCCTGCATGGGCTCGTTCCACCCTCTTTGGTTATCCGTCTTAGGGTAAGTCGGCATGATAGCTCTGGGGCGCTCGAGTCCGTTTCGAAGGATAGCGTCGGTCTGACAACCAGACAGACGAGAAGGTGAGTGAGATTTCACCGGGATCTTGGATAGGAGCAGAAGATGAAGTTACCAAAAGCAACGTCCCCGTCCCACCCGCACTCCAGCCCATCACACACGTCCTCTTCACATCCAGCTCCGTCCCCAAAACCTCGTTCAGCCCGTTCTGGACAAACCGATACGCATCCAAGAGATCCTCGACGCATTCCGCGAGTTTGACATGAGGCGCCAGGCGATATTCGGGGGAGACGACCGCAAACCCTTGTTCTAGCAGATAAGTGACCTGATCGGGGGGCAAGTGGCCGCTACCTCCGATAGACCAGGCTCCACCGTGAATCATCATAGCTGCGACCGAAGGATATCGTTCAGGACTAACGATCCTCTAGCTGCTCCAAATTCGACTGACCGACCGGAGCATCCTTCGTGGTCTTGGGCAAGAAGATGTCGAGATGACACCCGCCCGTCTCGCTATTCTCGATAGGTTTGAAGAGGTGTCGGTGGTGCGGCTCGAGCCTGTTGGTCTCCTTTCTCGGGTTCATTGTGGGTTCGACGAGGTGGTGCAATAGATTTGTCTCTGGCTTATGATGTATTCGAGATCACAGATGATGGTCTCGGTTTCATACCAGCACCAGTCTATATAAGTACTCGAGCTGCGAGTAGATGATACGATGAACGTACGGACTGCAAACGCCGTCGTCCCGGTTATTGCATGACCAAATGCGGGGCTCGGCGATCATATCGTCCCATCATCATGCCGAAGACTGCTGTCCCACGAACATCCCAGCTAATTCAGAAAAGTTTGACATATCTGCTGCGAGTAATGACAGCAATATGCCTTGAACAACCCGGGTGCCGAAGAGAGACCGGACGGGAGGTAGCCACGAAATTGTTCGAGCCGTCCGTCCACCAACAAGATCCGTTGACATCACGGTCCATCGCCCCGCCGGCCGCGGCAGCTCGATCGCCGGATCTTGTACAGTAGACCTCTCGACGTCGGCACGCTGCCCCCTTGCCCTCCTCTCTGAGATTGTGACCTTTTCCGCCGAGTCAAGTTGGATTTAATTCTTGTTGTCAATAGGATAGACGCCCCCTATTCCAACATCTGGATCGTTCGCCTCGCGTCGAAACGAGTACCTCTTCACAACTCATCAAAATCATCAATCATCGACCGATCAACCACAAATATATCGTATCATCAGAACCCTACGCCCAGGAACGAGCATGAACCTCTTCATAGAGCTTAGAGCGTATTCAAGACTCGACTTGCCCAGGTCGGCGTTGGTGTGTGTGTCTTCGCGTTTGATAATTAAGAAGATTACCGAGAAGATGAGGGACGGGGACAAAGACGACCTGCCAAAAGCAATCGTACCTATCGCAGCGAGAGAAGAGCAATCGTCGATTTGAGGGATTAAAGTTGAGCCTCGTTTACGGGCACGGAGCATATTGACGCTGCTGTTCGAAGGGCATGCGGTCCTGACGGACGACGTTGTCGAGACAAAGAGAGATCGTCGAGAATGACAGACGAGTCGAAAGAGGGAAGACAGAAGTGAGACACATGAACGAAGATGAAGTCGTGTACGGATACAATGATTTCGATATTTACACGTGCACCGCACCTACTCCCGAATCCCACCTCGATCGTCCCTTTCTCTAATAAACCATCCTCACTTTCAACTTGTCACCCTCCACAATCTCCTCCCGTCTACTCATCAACTCCTCCATATCCCAGGGACAACTAACATACCTCCCTCCTAACCACCCCCTCCGTTCACTCGCTAACCAACAAATCGTATCCCCAGCGATATCCACCTTGTGCGGCAGTCTATCCCTCAACTCGGCCGGTTCGTTGACCGTGATCTGGGTCTTGATCGCCCCGGGGTTGACGCAGTAACAAATTAGACCTTCTGAGGAATAGTCGAGCTGCAGGGATTCTGTGTAGCGGAGTACGGCGAGTTTGGAGGAGCGGTAGTGCGAGCTACCTGGGCGGACGGAGAGTGCGCCGGATGATGAGACGTTGATCATCGTACAGAGTCCCGCCTTCGAATCCGAGTCCGAATCTAAGTCCGAGTTTGATTTGATATCACGAGCAGCGAGTAGGAGAGGAAGGAACGTCCTGCTCATATTGACAAGCCCATTCACGTTCACCTCCCAAGTCCGCCAATCGACCTCCGGGTCAGAATCTAGCAACTTGGCATAAGGTTCTTGGTGCGCGGCATTGTTCACCAGGACGTCCAACTTCCCACCTAGCGCAGTGTCGATACTCTCTAATAACGCCTTGACGTTATCGAGCTTTGCGATATCGACCTGTCTGCAGAGCACCACCGGCTCGGTCTGTCTACCCGCTGCCCTCGCGGCGGCTCGTAAACTTTCGGCTCGCTCTTCAGCTACACCTCGAAGATCTGCGAGGACGATCACAGTCGCTCCCGCTCGAGCAAAGGCGAGGGCCGTAGCGAAGCCCACTCCATCTTCGTGAGCTGCACCGGTGATGAGGACGTGTCGACCCGAGAGGTCCAGCTTGAGCGGGGAGATGTAGTCGTAACTCGCCGCGTGGCTCTTGTTGGCGAAATCACGGCGGGCCGGATTAGGTGGTTGTCGTTGCGTGGTCGAAGACATCTCGTATCGGTGCGGTATCTATGTGAGTATGTGTATGTACGTGCGTGGGTGAGTAAGGTGGGTTGTTTCGAATTCCATCCGTTGCCTTCTCATGGCTTCTACAGGTGTTTTATATTCCATCAGCAAAAGGCGGATGTCGGATGACGGATAAGAGAAAGCTTCGGGAATCGCACGGATCCCGAGATAAAGCCGCTAGGGGTATAAGGGGATGATGCGTCTATCCAGTCAAACGACGCTGCATGCTGTATCACTACTGTACGCAAGCGACGTGGATGACACATGCGCATCATCGCTTCACCCCTCCGCAGCCCGCCTATGCCGAAGCTACATCCTCAACAGCTTCCCTGATAGATCTCGACGAAAGACGGACTGACAAGTCAGACTGAGCATATCCGATGGGGGATGGCAAATATCCAGGTCTCAGTCCAGCGTGCCTCTTCCGAAAAGCTCTGAGGCTCAAACTCATCTCGTCTGCCGGGGCCTGATGATATACGGTTTCAAGCTCTACAAATAATGTCCAAGTTGGGGGATGTGTTGAAAGCTGGTTGAACCCGCAAGAAGAGTACGGTAGTTTTGTGTCACTTCAGGCGCAATTCCTTGTGGTGCCTATTTACCAACACCTTGGTGCTGTCTGATGTAAGAGGTGAAGCACACAAAATCAATCAGACGCCAGTTACCTGAGTACTGGAAGGGAGTGCCCAGCTAAAGATGAGGTGAAGCAGTGGCGGTGAGTTTGCAACATCAGCCAAGTCTGGATATGGCTCGCCATGAATTGATTGACTTGTCCGCGTTCCCAGTCGCTTACTCAGAGCTGCAGGAGAGAAATTCCTTAGTTATGGAGAAGAATTGACCCTTGCAAATGCTATCCGGATCTGTCGAGGGCGGAATTGGACGGCAACCTTTCACCGCTACAATATGCGAGAGAAGTTAGAGCCTGAAGTTCTATTAGCAAGACACAGGGTCAAGCCTGAGCGTTAGGAGGCAACCCCAGGTGCCATAGTTTCACCTCTGAACCTCACAAGTTCGAGCATCACGTTTGGTTTCAATGCCTCTTAACAGTCACCGCAGGAAAAGTCTACTACATACACTTACACGGTGAGATCATCAGAATGTTTTCAATAATGTCACTCGGCCCAGATACAGCAGCGCAGACTTGACCTACAACATGACCTACAACAAACGGGCGAGCTGGTCGAATCGGCATGATCAATAGGTGGAACCACCTGACCGACCAAGATCGGTGTGTGAAGCTGATCAAACCGTCAGTTTGATGACCCGCCGATCAAGAAGGGCTTCGAAATACTACGCTCGCTCAGCCCGTATCTGTCAAATACCGTTCTTTTGGAACAACCCGAAATCTAGTCGAGTAGCTAGTAGTCGAGGTGGAGGCGACGCCGACCGATCCCCAGCCCAGATGTATGAATGGTATGAAATCTCGCAGAAAAGAAAAGTATCACCACGACAAGAACCAAATTCTTACTCCGCTCTTCCTCTCGATGACCGGGCTCCGAACCCTCTTTTCCCCCATCTCCCCCAGCCACTTCTTTTGTTTGACGTGTCGACCGTCACATGCAGTGCAGAGCCTCTCGACGTCTTGGATGCTGCTCGGAGGAGCAGTTGCAGCTTAACCGGGAGGCAACAACGAAGCGTCGAGCGCAGCGACCTCGGCGGGCTCGTCGTCGTCATAGTTGTTCCTAGGGATCGGGGTTCGGGGCATGACCATCGATCCTGTGCCGCCGAGGTTTCGAAACACGACACGTACTTGTCAGCCCTTCGAAATCGAAATTCGGACCCGGGCGCGCTGGACTCACCCGACCTCGCCGCCTCCAAGATCCCAAACGGCCTCAACAGGCTCAAGAACGCCTCGACCCTCGACGACTTGGCCGTCAACTCGACGATGACCGAGTTTTCCGCAACGTCCACCAACCTGCCTCCAAACTGGTCCGTCAGGGTCTTGATCGCGTTCAAGTGGAGGTTCTTGGCGATCAGGGCTTCGGACTGCGACAGCGCGTGGCCCTGGTGTCCTCCTTGTTGTTGTCGGCCGTTGTAAGAGGACAAGCTCGGGGGCAACCCACCCGAGCTCTCAAAGTTTTGCGCCAAAGCCTGCTCAGCTTGGAACTTTTCCGTGCCCTCGTTGGTAGGGAGGTAGTCGTGAACGGCATCGTTCGAGTGCGCCGAATGGGTAGGTCCCCCAGACATCTGCTGTTCGGCGTACTCGGGTCCGAGCACGGACACTTTGGCCAGGAGCAATTCTCGCGAAATGGTCGAGGTCTTGGTGTAATCCAGGACGGCCCAGACGGGGACCTGATCGTCGAATGCAAACGATCAGCTCCTGATCGTATTTGCGAAAGACGACTGATGGAAAACGCCGGGCGACGACGCACCAGATCCTCCAACTGCCTCCTAGCCTGCTCGATCACTCCGTCCTGTCCCCTCAAGACGATACACATCCGGGAGAGGTCCCTGATCTCGGTCTGACATACGACCAGCGAGTCTGAAAGAGGGTAAGGTCCGGTTGCGTGTCGGTATCAGATTCCGGTGTCGGATCGTGTCGTGTTCGAATGCGTATACGTATGCGTGCCAGGATGGGTGTCCGTGTTTGTATCACATCGCAACGTGTCCGTACCATATACATGGCAAATACAAAGTGCGTGGCGAGAAGGGGGGAAAGGAGTGGAAAAGCGAAAACGTCAGTCTTTGTGCTATCGACTTTTCGCAGTTGATTTCTCTCTCCGTGCCCATTCGAATCAAGTCTAATCAAGTCGAACCGATGTACGAAAGACAGTTTCTCGGAAAACGAGCTCTCGGCCACCCGACCTCCCGACCGAACCTCAGCCTAATCTCCCCACTGGATCATCGGTTTCCCTGCATTCGCCCAACCGCTCCTCTGGTCCTCTGTATCTCCCTCCAGCCGATCTTCTGCGCCTCTGCGTCCCCCAAACTCGAACCCTACTAGAAAACGATGTGGAATCGAGATCGGGACCGAACCGAAACTCGGCCCTTGACCTTTCCGACTCCCCACTCATCAAGCCATCCATTCAACCCATCCGACCACCCAACCACCGACCCATCCGACCACCCATCCCGCGCCACCCAAACCATCCAACCCATCCCGACCCATCCCGCAGTGAAAAACAGAGAAAACCAAATCGCCAAAAGCAACGCAAAGAAACCTCCGAACTTCGAACGTCGAACGTACCGATATTAAACCCCCTCGCAGCCAAGATCCCCGAGACCCTCGAGAGGACTCCAGGTTCGTTCTGGACGAGACAGTTGAATGTGTGTCTGTCGTGTCCACCTCACCGGGTTAGGGTTTTTTTTTTTGGCGGGGGTGGTATAGAGATAGTATAGAGGAGAGAGGAAGACGGGATGAGAGAGGAAGACGAAAAGAAGATGAAGAGGAGGAGGTGGGCAGTCACGAGAGAGGGAGATGAAGAAAAGGAGGAGGTGAGGGGGTCGAAGCGGGAAAGAGGAAAAGCCAGGGAGACAGAGGGGGACAGAGACAGAAAGAGAGAGAGAGAGAGACAAAGAGAGGAAGATACGAAAAAACGAAATCAAGATCGAGATCAGCTTCCCACCCCCGAATTGTTCAAGAACCCAACCACCAAACCACCTCCCCTCAGAAACCCCCTGAAGACCCAAAAACATCGCAACACCCAAAGCCCAAACCCCAAAAGCTGCGCCAGAAGAGATTCGAACACAAACTCACCTCTTATAAGGCTCCAAACTCGGAGCAGGCGTGTTATAAAGGATGTTCGTCACGGCCTCTTCAGCCGTCGGGGATCGGTACCCGCCGAGGACGGGGAGGGTGGGTGGACGGCGTTTCGTCATCTTGTCTGCATTGTCGTGTCCATGTAACGTCGATTCCGAATATAATCATGATAATGATGATGATGAACAATGATATGCCATAGGATAGCCGGGCGGGAACGTGAATTGAAATTGAAGGTGAAGATACGTGACGGTTGATCAGCTACCCAGCCTTTCTCCCCATAACCCGAGGATCTACAGAACCTGAACCCGAATAACATGTCCAAAAGGAAAGCTCGCCACTCACAATCCAAAGCGCTGGTACTATCATCAATAGGCCTAGGAGCCTTGGGTTCCGATTGTGACTGGACAGGCGCCGAACTGGACCCCCATCGGATCGCAGCGGGGAGGGTGTTCTTGCCGTGCTTGCCATTGGCGACGGAGCGGGTGGCCGTGTTGATCAAAGCGGATCTGAGGGTGGCCATGGTCTCGCTGTTCGCTATATCGAGTAGGTCGTGTATAGGATGAGGAGGGAGGGGAGAACCCTAAGGATAGGTCGATGGAATTCTGATGAACGTTGACCCGAAATCATCCGACGAGGTCGAGGAGGTTGGTTGACTCGTCGGGTGAGGGCGCGGATGCAAAATCGACGAGCGTTTTAAGGAAGAAGACGAGAGCAACTCGTGACGTATTCCCGCCGGTCGAAAGCAAGCTTGCTCATATTGAGATCCCTTTGAGCAGAACTACCGCACTGAAACCCCTCATCCAAGACAAGAATGCGATCAACATGAGCGAGCAAAAGGTCATGGAGGAGAATAAAGTCCTGTGCCAAGAGATCGTCACTCTCAAGGCGTAAGTTGGGTCGGTGTTTTCAAGTTGGGGGGACAACAGGCAGCTCACCAGCATCGCCACAGTACCGCTCAAGATCTCAGGCAAAAAGCGACCGCCACTTTCCAAGGTTTCTACAATGCCAGCAAGTAAGTTCAGTGACGACCAAGACCTGATCTTATCAGGAGCTGACCCCTGCTCTGTGTCACAGATACGCCGACCAGGAAAATCAGTACATAAACAAACTGCTCGAAGACGCTTGTAAGCTCAAGCGCAAGCATGCTGCACTCAAGGCCAACAAATCCATCGCCAATGAATCTGTCAAGGCCAAGACCGCAGCCTACAATAAATTCATGGATAAACACAAGCGTTTGAAGAAAGAAAAGGTTCAGGTCAAGAGCAAGCTTGAAGAGTACGTGATCAGGAGAGAGATGCAAAGAGTTCCAGGTCGGAGTCGGTTTGAGCTGATCTAGTTTTTGTACTGGCACTTGGCCTATTGAACATCGAGATGTGGTAGACGCAAACGGGACATCATGTTGTGTGTCTGTCTGTATACGAGTACATCATGGTCATCTTTCTGCTGGACATGTATCAGGCTTGCCTGCAAGCCTGGAATAGTATCACACGGGACTAGAAGGTAAGGGTAAGGTAATGAAGGTAATGATGGATGTAGTACCAATAGTTATACATCACAGTAAACACATAGGGGTTCTAGATATACTCCATATGACAACCCCAACGGGGTTCTCTGTGGCTTTATGATCTCATTGGTGTTATAGTATCCGCGGTACGCGTAGGCGGAACGACCGTTCGGAGGGTTTTTCAGAGAACCCCGTCGGGGTCGTCGTACGGAGTATATCTAGAACACCCCCTATGTGTTTACTGTAATGTAGTACCAGTTGTACTACATCCGTTATTACATCCATTACCTTACCCTTACCTTCTAGTCCCGTGTGATACTATTCCAGGCTTGCAGGCAAGCCTAATATCGCCCTTCTTCTTCTCGGGAGTGTTAGGAGTTTTAGGCATGATAGAAAGATAGGAATAGAAGAGGGGAGTTACGTCTAAGGAAGTATGAAGAGAGGTTAGCGAAAGGGGGAGTCTACGACTTACGCCATTTCGACATCGCGAACGCGACCTCTTTATATCATCCCTACGCAACCCCCGCCCACAGCGAACAAAGAGAACATCGCAATACGACAAGGACCCAAGCTATCAAACAATGAAGGTGCTATGGTTATAGGCGCATGGAGAGAGGATATCGTACATCAACGGCGGTCGACATATGAATATCGACAAGGGCATTCTTTGTTTACATCCCCCGGACAATAGGTCGGACATGCGCCCATTTGGAAGTCCGCGCGCGCGAACAAAGGAAAGAACAGCGATAGAACACCCCGTCGGGTCTGCAAAGCGGATCCCCCTGTGAAACAGGTAATTGTATGCAAGCGACGAACGTTTGCCGACGGGCGCGACGAAAGAAGAGAACAAGGACACCAATGTGAAACACGACCGACGTGGCCGATCTGGAATCTCGGCCTAGGGGGGGGATCCTGTTATAGTATCCGCGGTACGCGTAGGCGGAACGACCGTTCGGAGGGTTTTTCAGAGAACCCCGTCGGGGTCGTCGTACGGAGTATATCTAGAACACCCCCTATGTGTTTACTGTAATGTAGTACCAGTTGTACTACATCCGTTATTACATTCATTACCTTACCCTTACCTTCTAGTCCCGTGTGATACTATTCCAGGCTTGCAGGCAAGCCTAATAATTAGACAACCCCTCAACTACAATAGGACCACCACTGAGAAAGCACGGGAAACTGCAGGTGACACCATCCTGAACTACGAGAGTCACATTATCACCACCCTTGAGTTTGTGACTCATCGATACTCCAACTGAGACTGTGTCGACCCCTATTCGGCAAAGTTTGTATCGAACAAGACCCTTCACTTCAACCCTATTAGCTGTCAACTCGCAGTTCAGGTTTGGGTCAAAAGAACCAAGCCTAGTCATGTCCTTTGCCAGGACGAAAACAAGTTCCGCTGCATCAGCAAGTTCTTTGGAGACCTCTTTGAAAAGTTGGTCTTTATGATATTCGACGACCAGAAGCGAAGCCGAAACGACTACTGGTACAATGTCGATCCTACACAAATCTTGCAACTGGTAGAGAGCCTAGGGGTTTACAATAGAAGTGGATTCAGGTACGTTCATCGTTCAGAATCAGCGAGGCTAGCGATTTGCTAGCAAGCTCGGACCCATAGGCGGAACATACAGCTGTTTGTCCTGCGGATATCGAGAATCACCCAAACGGTCGTTCTGCTTACGCGTACTGCGGATACTGAAACAGGAGGACACCGGACGGTTCGTGGCAAAGTCGTAAAGGAGGACGCCTTGGATAGTGAGACCAACAAATTCCCAAGGATCGTCAATACAAAATCTCTTGAGACTGATCAAGTTTCACGAACTAAACAGTTTGGTAAGTCGCTGCTGTTCGCCTCATAGTGAGATATAAAGCTTTGGGCCTTCTTCAACCGTATGGAACCTGTCAACTTGTATATGCACATCTTGGCTGTTGACGGTGTGTCTCATCAGCCGAGCAACGCCATACAGGCCCGTCCCATCATCATCCAACTTCTTGTTGTCGTACTAAACGGAAACCTGCTTCATGGTAGCCATGATTTCATGATACCATGATGACTCTCCACATGCGCCTCCTACAGTGATATCTATGCAAATGATATGTACGGTGTGTATGTTCGTTATCTTACAACTGCTGCGCCTTCTCAACCTTTGTAATCGAGACGATCTGATCCCCCTCTTTCACATCCTTGAACCCATCGACGACCATACCGCATTCGCTCCCCTTTCTCGCCTCGTTGATCTCTTTCTTTAGGTGTCGCAGAGATTCCAGCGGGCCTGCACAGACCAGACGAGTAGTAGTAGTATTCCAGCGTCAGTATAGTAAATATATATCGATATCAGTGTTGTTGATGGTTAAATTCCAGGCTAAAAAGACTTCGGCGACTGACCTTCAAAGACGACTTCCCTCCCCTCGCCCCTCAAGACCCTAACCACATCCCCCTTCCCGACAACCCCATTCCCAACCCTACACCCCGCTACGACCTGCCCTTCCTTCTGCCCCTTGACGGCGATCGTAAAGACCTGCAAGACCGTCGCTTCCCCGTTCACCCGCGTCTCGATGATGGGTGGGAGCAGCCCGGCGACCTTGGTGCGGACGAGTTCGATCAGGCGGTAAATGACGGATTCCGTGTGTAATGGGATGTTTTTGGACGAAGCGAGGGTTTCTATCGAACGGGGAGCTTTGACTGAGAATCCGATGATGGTGGCTGGCCGTCCGGGAGAAGAAGCGAACGAAAGTAAAATATTGTATTGAGATGTCAGTCTCGCACGGATCTTGACCACGATCGCACGCCCGCTTGCACGAGTCGAGACTCACCATCCGAAGCCTCGGCCATAGCGACGTCCGAATCCGAGACATCCCCCACATCCGTATGAATGATCTTCACCCCGACTTCATTATTCCCGATCCCTTCCAGAGCTCCGACGACGGCCTCCACAGTCCCGCTCACGTCGGCCCTGATGATCAACCGCAACTCCTTCTTCCCCCTCTCCTCCTCTTCCCTCTTCAACCTCCTCTCTTCGCTCCTGATCGCCGCGGAAACGTCCCCGCCTTCAGCCTTGATCGCTTCGTGTCGAGCTTCTTCCTCTACTTGGCGTTCGCGCTCGATCCTGCGTTTCTCGTTGATGACCTCGACGTCGTTCATCAACGCCTTGCGTTCTTTATCCCTAATTCGATTCGCTACGGCGCGTTTGACTTCATCTTCACCCTTGTTGCCCTTGCCGGCACTGTAATCGTAAGGCTGCAAGATCTTGTCCCCGGCCAACGGGAGATCTTTCCATCCAGTGATATTCACCGGCGTTCCAGGCGGGGCCGACTTGATGGGCCTGTTCTTGTCATCCAACATCTGCCGGATCTTGCACCACGTCGTTCCAGCGATAATGACCGATCCTACATGAAGCGTCCCCCGTGTCACCAGTATCGTCGCCGAGTTCCCCCTCCCTCTCTCCACCCGACTTTCCAGTACCCATCCTTCACCACGCCCTTCGACGCTCGCACGCAAATCCCGGACTTCGGCCAGGACGCCGAGAGTCTCGACGAGCGTGTCCAGCCCCTGTCCTTTCAATCCAGAGACCTTGACGGACGGGACGTCCCCGCCATCTTCTTCCAGATGAATCTGTTCGGCCCCCAGCGCTCCCTTGACCCGTTCCTATCACCTCGACTCGGGATCAGCGTTTGCTCACTTCAAGCTAGAGCCTTGTCGAGCGGGCGAAAGGAGACTCACAAAATCCACACCGGGCTTATCACACTTGTTGATCGCCACCACCAGTCCCACCCCCGATTTCTTGACCAACTCCAAAACCTCTTTCGTCTGCGGCATCACCCCATCATCGGCCGCTACGACCAGGACGACGATATCTGTCACCGAAGCCCCCCTCGCTCTCATCCCCGTAAACGCCGCATGCCCTGGCGTATCCAGGAAGGTGATACTCTTCACCCCTCCTTCGGAGAGAGACTCCGAATTGACGAGCGAGGCGAGCGGTACGGAGAAGGCTCCGATATGTTGTGTGATCCCGCCCGCTTCCCCCGAGGCGACCGAGGTGTGACGGAGAGAGTCGAGGAGGGTCGTCTTGCCGTGATCGACGTGGCCCATAATGGTGACCACGGGTGGGCGGAGGGGGAGGGCGGAGGAGTCTGCCTCGGGGGGACTTTTGGTGAGCGAAGCGAATGAGCAAAAAGGGGCAGAACCAAAGTTTCCGTCAGCGAAATGTTCATCCCAATTCAAATCGAGGGTTTAATCCAATGGTACAGTGACGAGACTCACTCGGGGTAAATATCAAAGCTTCGTTCTTCATCCACGATCGGGTTCATCCCGAACTCCATGACCACCAAACTCGCATCCTCGCTCATCAAATCTATCCAGCCCCGAATCAACCAATAAAATGAATTACCCAATCAGATCTCAACCTCGAAACCTCCCCCAGTTCAAGTTCTCGCCCAACTTCCACTTCCACTTGTCCTCTGACTTGTCCATTTGTACGAGCGTACAAGACATCCCCCACACCCACAAAACTCACAGTTATCAGAATGACACTCCTCCTCCCCCAACCCCATCCTCCTCATCCTCGCTTGCAAAACCCCCAACCGGACATCTACCATCCTCGCCAGATCTCCCACTTTGACGCTGATGGGCGGGATGTATACTTCTCTCTCTACTTTGAATTTCTCGACCTTGTCCTTGTCCTTTTTCACCGTCTTCTTGTCATTATTGTCCTTGTGGTTCTTTTGTTTGGGGTTTGGATTCGAATTCGAGTGAGAATATGGTGAATGTGAGTGAGAATGTGAACCAGGTTGAGCCGGGTAAGCCGGTTCCCCACCAGAGGTTGAAAGTTTATGGAAAGACGTCCTCGACTTGGACTTCTTATCCCCCTTCCCCTTCCCTTCCCCAGAACTAATCCCGGCTTTCGGGGGCCCAAACCGGTTCTTCCTACTAGCCGTATTCTCCTCGTCTTCTTCTATTATGACCACCGGCTCTTCTGCATCGGCATCTGCCTCGGCATCGGCCTCGGCGTCTATCTCAGAGGACGGCTGGATCGATTTCCCCTTGTTGTTCTTATGTATCCGAGGAGTAGAAGTCGATGTTGATGAGGGTGGTACGGTCTGGCGGTCGAAGTTCCTATCCCTGCTACCAGCTCCGGCTCCTTCTCTCTTCATCCCGAATCGAGCTCCTTGACCATGATGATGACCTTGTGATCTCGACCCTTGTCCTTGTCCTTGATTCTGGCTGGTCGACCGTATATCTCTTCCCTTTCCATTCCCATTCCCATAAGCCCTCCCTTCATTCCCATCCTTATCTCCTCTCCGTCGATCCAACTGCGCCGCGTTTATCGACTTCCCACTCCCATTACTACCGCTCGCATCCTTCATCTTCGCCAACCCCGCAAGACCTCCGACATCCAACTCGAAGCTCCTCGATTGTTTCTTCGACTTGATCCACGTGTTCTTCCCCGGTACTAGGTTCCCCGGATTCTTTCCCCCCTGAAGGGAATCAGAGGAGGTTCCTAAGAGTTTCCCTAATTCTCGATCGAGGTCTTCGCTGGAGATGTACCGACGACCTTGGGTTGAAGTTGCGGGTGCTAGGGTTGCTGGTGTAAGGCGACATCGGGCGGTAGCTAGGTCCTGGCGAGCTGTCCTGCCTAGACATCTAGCACATCGTAGCATTATATGAGATGAAGGTATGAGGGTGATGAGCTGGGAGATAGGGTGAAAGTGGTCGATATACCGTCCAGAACACAACTTGTGCACTCGATGTTGAAAGCTCGATCTTTCCGAAATTCCACTCGCGGTCGACGAAGAGGCCGAGCTCAGAGGATCGAGGTAGACACAGTAGTATATAGCTTAAGGGTCATCGTATATATCACAGGCTGGGTATGTCCGGCGTCCTAAAGGTATACAACGTATGCAAGATCGTCCATGCCAAACCGCATGTCCGCCTAACAAGTCCACCCGATCTCCCTCCCGAGCTCCCTCATCTCCGCCTCGACATCGACATCAACCTCAACAACACCCCCAACCTGACCCTGACCCTTGATCAAACCCCTCGCACCAACCCCTCTCCTCAACAACTCCCTAACCGCCTCCCCCAGTGCGACCCTATTCGCCCTGATCCCCTCCGCCCCCGTAGTCTCCCTCCACCACCGATAATCATACAGCTGCGCGTGGATCGAAGAGACGTTTCTCATATCGATCGACCTCGACCTGGACCTTGAACTGCAAGTCCGTTCGAGCCTGGCCAGCGGTCGACTTAGGGGTAGGTAGATCATCCTGTCCATCGCCGGCGGGACTCCCTTTTGATCGTTTCCTCGTCCTTCCTCTTGCTCTTGCTCTTGCTCTAGCCCTCGTCCCGATCCTAGTGCTTGTTCTTGCGCTTGCGCTTGTGCTTGCGTTCGCGTGGCCCTACGGCGCTCAGCGAGCTCGACGCTAAGTCGGTATAACCTCCACGAGACCATATTCCAGTGTTCCAACCTGACCCCTCGTTGTTTTCTCAACCCGGGCGTCCTGAACCTGCTCAACCCCCTGCCTCTAACCCTCCCGGCACCCTCACCCTCAACATCCCCACCACTACCACTCCGTCCAGGCCTACAAACCACCCCCACCCCTTCCTCCCCAAGAACCTCCCTCACCCAGGCCTCCCCCCTATTCCGCTCGATAGCGAACTCCAAGACCGACCTAGCTACCGTATCGACCATCTTGGCGTCCAGACCGAACTTCAGCTGTTGACCCAAGACACCCCTTTGTTGTTGTTGTTGGTCCACCGCCCAGAGTGCTAGTGGGAAATCGCCATTGTCGTTTGATAAGGCCGCGCGGACGAGGGCCGTATAGACCCTTCTTTGCGCCTCCGCCCCCGCCGAATACGAGGCCGAATATGAGGCCGAAGATGAAGAAGATGAAGAAGACGAAGAAGAAGGACACATCCTTGTAGGCCGAAGAGTGGTCCGGATCATCTCCTTGACCAACGCCCTCAAACCCCCCATCCGCGCTCTGAACGATTTAGACCTGGCCATCAGGTCGAAAGCGTATTCCCAGACCTTCGGTTTCAACCCTATCCTATGCCCCTCCTTGGTGTCATCGTCCTTCTTGGTGCTGTGATTGTTGTCGTCCCGTGCCCGCTTCAAAGCCATCTCACACAACCTCCCCGCCAGCCCCAAATCCCCTCCCTTAGAACCCATCGCCCGGTCGATCAAGTACCCATAAACCTCGGAAGGGATCTCCAGGTCGTCAGCGAGGATATGACGGACGATATCCGTGGCGTGTTCCCCTCCTGAAGGTGTATAGGCGCCTCGAGTTAGAGGTACCCGGCGATGGGGGTGGCGAGCGTCGGCGTTGGCGTGGAGCATGGTGATGTACGGCCAGATCCTCGCTTTTTCGTCTGCCCCATTTCCAGCCCGAGAGCCAGGTCGGGTCCGAGAAACGTTGTCCACCCCATCATCGTACTCGTTGCCCTCCAACAATCGCTCCTGCTCTTCAAGCCGCCTCTGATATCCCCTCGACCGTAGGTAAAGCCCATACCACCTCCTAACCCCCCTCAAATCCCCTTCCCGTCGATACGCACGCATGATCAGATCAAACCCTTGCGGGGTCCACTTGACCACCTCCCCCCTACTGCTGTCGAATTCGTTTACCTGCATATGGTAATCGGCTACGAGCTTGATAATCTCCGCAGAAGGGACCCGGGCGGCGATCTGAAGGGTGACGATGAGGTTGAACAGGTGTGCGTCGGCATAAGGGACTCGTTGGAGTAAGACCTTGCAGAACCTTTGAGCTGCGAGTATGTCTTCCTTCTTTCTTGTTCCATCTGTTTCTGCCTCTAGGAAGACGTCTTCGCTGGCAACATCGCCATCTCGACCATAACCATAACCATAACCTCGACCTCGGCCTTGGAGCGCCCGGATAGTCCCCTTGAGGACCATAGTCAACCCTTCTTGCCCCGGGACGATCCCCTCTTCCAACAACCTATCCAAGATCTTCTTCCCCGCATCCAAGCCGTTCAGATGCCGGAGGACCGCTTGCCAGCAATAATCGATCCGTGTCATCTGTTTCCGGGTTAGGTGTCGTCTGCCTCGGAGTTGTAGTTGAAGATCTTGCTCTTGCTGTCCTTCCGAGTCTGATGAGCCCGAAGCTGATGCTGAGAAATGGGATTGGGATTGAGATCGAAGAGCCAGCCTCGCCTTGATCCCCTCAACGCTCCCTAGATACCGCTGTTCCCCCTCCACCTTCCCAACGTTGACCACCAACGGCCTGACACTGACGAGCTCATCTATATGCTTATTGAAAGCCTTGACGACGGCTTCGAAAGAATGTTCCAGCCGTCCGACCTGGTCGATAAGTTTAGACAGTTTGGGGTACAAGGATAAAGTTGATCGCTCGTTCGGGCGTAGGCGTGCGAGTGGGTTGGGAACGACCTTCGCCGTGGAAGACGTTGATCCAGTCGGGGTCTTTGTAGTTGCGGTTGTCGAGGTGACCGTGATCGGTGACATTGACCTCGAACTTGAACCCGCTTTTACATGTCTGTTCGGCTTGTGTTCCTTGTAATGCCGAGGAAGAGCCAACATCTCCACCGGGATATCGATCGGGACATCCAAGCTCTTCGGGGTCGAATGTCGTTGACGGGATTGAGGTCGACGCAGGCCCGTCGGGACCCTCAATGGCCACCGACGTAGCTCTGCGGGGAGACCTGCACGTATCATCTGCTCGAGGAGATCTGTATATGTCTATGATCTATGTGGATGGTGTCTGACTCGAGGTGTATTGCAGAAATTGAGAGGGTTTATGGAGTTTAAAGCAAGTCCTCGACGACTTCGAACTTGAAGATCGCCAGAAATCTCTGAATTTGCATCCGCGACGACGAGCGCTGCACAAGTCTGTCGTCTCTACAACCATTTTCTATTCTTTTGCCAACAACTACTACTTATCCTCATCGTCCTTCTTCCCCGGCCTCTTGCCCTTGACCCCCTGACCCCACTCCCCAGCCTTTTTCCCCCAATCGTCCCTTACGCCCCACATATGATTCTCCGAAATCTTCGGCGGATCCCGAGTAATCCCCTTCGGCCCGAGGTTCTGTGGCCTGGAATACCCAGCCTCCTCTGCAAAATCGCTAGTAGTGTCCCGATCTCCAGCTGAAGGTGTCGGTGTAGGTGAAGAAGCTCCAGGGGCCGGTGATGGCCTAGCGACAATGTCCGCGTTCGTCAACGGTCTCCAAACAGGAGGGACGGAGAGCGCGACCTTTTCCCAACGTCGGTGTGATTCTTGCAGTGGTAGCCATTCTTCGTGGGCGTACGTCGGGCTTCGGGTCATCTCGATCAGACGGGAGACGGCTCGTTTCTAACAACAATAACGGGTCGGAAATCAGTACCGCCAGGTGAATAATCCTTGTATGCCTCTGTCCGTCGCTTACGTATGCAAACCGCTCATCCTCGCCTGGAAACCCCCCAACGCCCCCCAAAAAGTCAGCATCAGCACAAGTCAAAAACCCATATCTCCCCTGACAAAGGCGACGACCTACCGGTAAAGATGGACAACGTCTTGAAAGCCGGCGTGGTCTCCTCACTAGGGTGCGACCTTTCCCTCCTCTTGAACATCCTCGCCGCGTCCCCCTGCCTGCCACCGATATTACCACCACTACCACTACTATCGCCTGCGGCAAGTTGCGCCAGCTCCGGTTCAGAGTACGACGACACGTTCGGTCTGAACGGAGCGGCCACGGCGTCCGATAAAGCTTCCTGTGCCATGACCTCCTCGTTCGTCTCCCTCGACTTGTCGTCCAGGGCGTCGGGGAAGAAGAGGTCTTCCGGCCCCGCTTCTGCCGAGACGATGATCTTGCACTTGCTCTCGTCTACCAGTGGCCATTCACAATCACCACCACAACAACAACCCCTCATCTCTGATCAGCCTCATACCTCTATAACCCCTCACATTGCGCCATGTTCAGACTCACACAAAGCGTCCACGAGGTTGATCAACCTCCTCGCCTGGTTCTTGTGCCTCAAATACATATAAGGCGTCTCGTCGATGATGATCGTCTCGAAGTTCGAAGCGATGGTGATGTAATCCGCCGTCCCCAGCGCTTCTTCGCACAGGTCGGCAAAGGTGAACCTGGCGACCTTGTCCACGGCCCAGGGGATCTTGACTTTACGGCCGTACACGTTGACCGACGAGGGGGCGCCTGCGGGGTGCATCGTTTCGTACCAAACACGATTTGGGTGAGCGAGACAAATAGACAGTCAAAAAGACACACCGCACCCGGACGCACCTTGTCGACCCTGCGTAACAGCCTCTACCGCCGCCTCGAAAGCCCTCCTCTCCTCCTCTCCCCATCCAAACCAAGTCCTCCTCTTGCTCGTCGCCCTGATGGCCTTTTCCGCATCCGTCCCCTCGGCCTCGGGATCGATATCCTCGTCCCTGCCCAACCTCCAATCCCTCCCGCCGTTCAGCTCGTACACCGTACACCTCGCTTTCAACGCTTCGAGGAACGAATTCATCCGGTCCTTCTGGACGCCGTGGTGGTACAGGTCGTCCGGCAGTCGGTTCTACCAGTGAGGGCAACGTGGGGAATTTTAGCGTTAGAGAGGCTTAGGATTAGATGGATGAAGGAGGCCAGGGGCTTACGGAGGTGGCGATGATGATCCCTCCCATGCGCCAGTACCAACTCAGCACGTCCCTCAACATCGCCGCCGAAGTCGCATCCACGAGCTGTAACTCGTCAAAGCTGATTTCGTTCCCGACAAAGAAAAGGCCAACGGAATCAGCTCCCCTTCCAGACGATCTTGTCAAGGCAAATCGGGTGGATGGTAAGCTTACTAGAGAATATGGTACTCCAAGATCATATCCCTGGCGATCCCAAACGAGATCCCCTCCCTCTCTTCCTCTCCTGACAACCTCAACCCGCCCTTCCCGCCCTTCCCCTTCGTTCCCTCCGTATCACCTTTAAAAGCCCCCCCAGCAAAGACCGCCTTCCACCCCTCCTTCCCAGCCTCTTCCATATTCCCCTCCCGTCTCTCCGGAGTGATCCCCTTCATCCTCGCCTGAGTCCTGCGCCAGACGGATTGGTAGAGGGAGAGGAGGAGCGGGTGGTAATGTTGCCGAGATTTGTGGGTCGTAGGGAGGAGCGTGTAGAAGAGGGAGAGGAGGTGGGATTTCCCCGTTCCTGGTGGGCCTGTTAGGAGGATTCCCTATTGTAGCGGTATCGGGGATGAGGACGAGAACCGTTGATGGAGGTTGTACAGGTCGATAACAAGAGCGAGGATGAAGAAACAATAATGTGGATTCAGCGATATATCCCTGGCTGTGACACGATGAAGTCCGACCTCCCACTTCCCAGAATAAACAGGAACGAAACCGAGACTCCCACTGACCTTAGGTACATCCAACTCGGCCAACTCCTCCTCCCCACTCAACACCCTGACCAACGCCCGTTCCCTCTCATCCTCCGTCTCCTCCGAGGACTTTCTGGTGTTCAACTTGTTCCACCAAGAACTCCCCCCCTTCCCCTTGCCTTTAGACTTATTTGCAGACTCCCTGAGACGTCGAGCGAGGACAGGGGCGTCGGGTGATAAACGCCTGATGAGTTCGAGAGGGGGAGAGTAGGTCGATAGGGTCTCGTAGAGCTTCCGGAGCTTCGTCCAATAAGGAGACGAGGAAGAAGAAGTAAAGAATAGATAAAGAAGAAATAAAGAAGGCAGGAAGAAGAAGAAGAAAAGACGATGATAGACTGTCAGTTCCGGGTATACAGTGTGACGCTAGGGTTTAGTCTTCCTCCTCGACTCTAGCTTCAGCTCCAGCTCCATGCCCATATTCATCTCCATCTGAGACGATCGATCTGATAGTATACTGTGCCATAGTGAGAGATTCCGACTCACCTCCATAACACACCTAACCTGCTCGGCATCCCAGACGATCAACCCCCGTGCTACCAAGCTATTATACACATCCAACAGATCCGTCGATTGTAGTTCCCCCACTTGCTCCGGTGACAGGCTGGGATCTGGGGCTTCATTCACTCCAGAGGCGGGTGAGACGGTAGGATCGTGCTTGACATCTGAGTTCAGACGGATGGGAGAGTTACATAACGTCCGAGTAGTAGTAGTAGTAGTAGTAGTAGTACTAGTACTAGTCGTGGGGGTACGAGCGTTGAAGATCCCTGAGCACGTCAGGAGTCGGGATCGACCCGGATTCCCCGCTCGTTGGAGGGCGTAGAGAGGTATCGCTCGTGCTCTTCTTACCGACATGTCCTAGTGTATGATGAGCTCTATGATAGTTATATCGGAATGACACTGTTGGTCATAGGTCATAGGTCGTCGAGCATATCTCGAACTCTCTGAACGTCGATCCTCCGATCGATCGACCTCGGAAGTTGTTAGGAGAGAGAGAGCGGATGATGACGTAATCAAAGTGAAACTGAAACCCGAAAACCAAACCATTTCACCTGGCATCTGGTGCAGTCGGACATCTTGAAAGGGTGTACGGGTGAGAGATCCTGCCGATCAGTCCTCCTATATGCTGAAAATCGAACGTTGTGGGCAATGACGAGAATGGAGGAAGCCTTCTTGCCCAGAGTGTACATTGGTATTACATCTACCTTTTCACAAAGCTTTGGAAGGCGCCCGTTGCGCTTATACAAAATACTTTCAAGCTCAACGACGAGCCCAACTCCTGCTCCATTGCCCAAGTCCTCGACATGATCAGAGGGAAATCAATCCAGCGATGAGGTCTTCAGACTCACTGGTCCAATGCGGAGACTCTGCCCCGGGCTGAGCGATCGTACAACCTCAGAGTACCGAAAGACGGCGAGGTCAAGTCCCGATTTCTCGCTCCAAGGTCTTTTCGCACAGTCCAACTCGTAAAAAAGATCTTGTTACTCGTTGACGTGCTCGAGTTAAAAAAGAAAGCAACATCAAATACGACAATAATAATATGCAAAGAAACGCGAATTAGAGAGAGAGCCTGTTGAGACTGATAACCAAAATTTAAACGATTAGATACACAACTGGCAACTGGGCCAATTGGGTTACGGTACATCACACCACCCGGGATGTAATTCCACAACGACCAAATTTCTTGACCTTGTCTACAACCCCTAATCCGTTCTCCCGAATCACACTATCTTCACATTACACCCCATCCTATCCCTCCGTTCATCGCATATCCTCGCCTCGTACTTGCATTTCAAAGCAAAAAGATTGGGACGTCCCTCTCAAGCTCAAGCTCAAGGAGCCACGCTCAAGACGCTCCACTCCCCATCCCCCCCATTGCCATCACCACCAGTCTGTCGGTGCCAGACAGTCCGTCTGTTAGGAATCGCCTTGAGTTCGAGCATCTCCACGCTCGATGGGGAGATGGCGACGAGGTGGTAGTTGTCGTTTGCGCGGGCGAGGTCGGATTTGGTCTTTTCCTGCGAGAGATTGTAATTGCGATTTTTGGAGAGGTGGGTTGTGTCAGTCGAGTGAAAGAGACGGCAAAAACGGAATCGGATTCGGAAGATGAAAAGAGTGAGAGCGGAAAGTGGAAAGTGGATCGAGGAAAGTGGAAAGCAGGTGGAGAGATTTGATAGTGATAGTGATACCGAATTCCACGGGGCGCGAAAAATCGAACAAGCAAGAACCCAAAACGAAAGAACGCGAAACATTCAAACAACAAGAAGGGAACGAATCTCGACTCACATCCTCCCCAGGCGGCTTGATACTCTCACTCCAATCCCCCGGCTTCTCCCCCTCTTTCAAATCCTCCAAAGGTGTCCCCGGAGGGGGTCGGGCGAACGTAGCTCGGAGGTGTCCGCTCATCTTTTCGAATTCCTCAGAGCGCTTGTTGACCCAGTATTCCGGGGTTGCTTCTTCACCCTTTGCGTGGAGGGTTTCTTTGACGATCTTCTCTAGAGCAGATTTTTCTTCAGGTTTATTGGGGAGGACGGCGGCCTTGCCAGAGATCCGGAATTGAACGCCCGTCTTTTCCATCCAAAAAGCCAGTTCCACGTTAGGGTTCTCTTCCAGTTCTTGGTATTTCTTCATCCGATGGTCCGTGGACGTGAGGAGGAGGTTGGAGAGGGGGGTGAGGGAACGGTGGACGACGTAGCGGACTTTGGGGGCGTTGTCGGCCGTCGAGTAGGTGGAGAATGGGTAGGCTGATCGTATGCGGGGGGTCCCAAATATACGCGGGGGGGGAGAATGGATAGATCGGATCAGTCGCCGCGATTTCGACCTCGTCGTTACTACCTTTCTGATTCGTTGGAGGGGGATGGTCTTCGGGAGCTCACATTTGGCACTAGGATCCTCCTTTAACTGTTCCTCGAACAAGCTGACCCATCCGGGTCGTCCGGCGATCATACCCGCGAAATTGGGAGTGTCGGTAGAAGTAGTAGTAGGGGTAGACATCGTGCGTCGTGTCGATCTGAATCTCAGGGTCGTGGACAAGATTTGTTGTTGATGGTGGGTTTGTAAGCGGGGTAGAGTGACTCGAGTTGTGGTCGAGATCAAGGTCATCCAATATAATTACATTGAGAGGAAGGTGAAGAGGTCGAGGAGGTCGGGGTTACAAGTTGCAAGCTGATATGGTCCAGCGAGGTTGCGATGGTTGATCGATGTCGGCTTGACCCGCGATCGAAGGTTAGGGTGTCGTCATCGATCGAAGCGATCGGGCAAAGTCATGGAAACAACCTGATGTCCGCTTGATGACGTAAACAAAGTCACTGATCACTGACCCATGTCCGCGTTTCACCCCCGAACATGGGCCGTAGTTTCAAACGGCGCAGAGGGACTGCGCTCGTGAGAGATCAGCCTCGCAAGATCGATATGATACCCCGGATACGCTCTTGTTCTTGGCGAGTCGACAGGAGCAGACTATTCGAGAGCTGTTCCTCTGGCGCTCATACTCACGAAAAAACCATGAAGTCGAGTCAGGGGACTATGATATGGACGTGTATCACAGCAGCAAGTAAAGAGATACTACTGCAATTGCACTGTATCTTTGTTTTTAAGCTCGATGCGATGACATCCCGATACCCATGGTCGTCGATCGGGGAAGTCAAGGAGGTCGTCATGACATATTGGCGACTTGTCAACTATCATTCGTGTCAGGATGAGTACTGTTTCGGACTATATGTACGATGCTGGGTCTTGTTTGGTAATCAGTGAGATCAAGGAAGTGGTTCACTAGAAAGGCTTAGAAGACGCCAGTCTCATTCTTGATGTCAATACGGCCCCAAGCCCAATATGCATCGGGGAGTGTTTATCTACGGTATATCTAGCCGGATGGGTCTTTGCGTGACTAAGAACTAAGAGGGACATGGATGGATCAAGGCCGGGGCCCTCTCAAAGATCGCGATGCCGGCATTTCCTCCTCGAGATCGAAATTGCCGCAATTGCAATTCCGATCAGGGTCCCCACAGTTCTGAGTACCATTAATAATGTACCGCCTTGTAAATACACTTCAGGTAATTTCCTTGCTTTTTGCTTTTTGTGGGCATTCTTGGCTGTCAGCTGCTCGCAATTGTATTGTAGGTGATTCGATTGAACGTCCAGAAGTATGAAATGAGAGGTATTTGGATGGCTGTCATCAGTTTCGAACGTCACAAAGCACAGTACGGAACCAAATGGCTTCGAGACAATCACATGGCTGATACGGTGTGTCATGTTGTGGCATGTTATATTAGATTTACAATCACTTCCAGCAAATCCTTTGCTTTTTCGTTGAGACGTAGAAGTAGGGGCGAGATGCTGGTCACCTTGCAACTTGTGAGCAAACGGTCCCCCACGTAATCTCAATCTTCAAGTCCCACTGCCCGGAGTATCGGTAATTATGTCATTAGCATAATCTTGCTACCTCCGAGAATACTCGACTGGACATCCTGACGTCCAGCTTGTATACTGGCTGAAACGCACTCTCAGTATCCCTTGATCTACGACAAAGAAACCGTTTGGCGGCCTGAATATTGGACAATAGCACGATTTTGCACACAACAATGCAATCGTGGACGCCTCTTTATTCCCGTCCAGCGCTCATATGCGGTGCGGTACTCGACATAGGGAAATCGCTTGGAGAACGTACCTATCTACCCGGACTCTATCCGTCTGCGGATCCCGAGCGCTCGAAAGCTCTTTGATGCTTCACGATGCGCTTCACTTGTCATCCAGGATCGAGAAACACGATGAGCTCACTCTGTATCATACCAGACCGCGCGCAGACAACGGGACGAGATCGAAGTTTCAGGTGAACATGATCGCGTAGCGCCCTTGACGTTTATCGAAGAAATTCTAGGGTGGTGACATTTTTCTTAGCGTGGTGATTTTTCTCTACGGTGGTGATCAAAGTGTGGGGTAATAGGTGGAAACAAGAATGTCGTTCGGCGCCAATTCTCTCGCGATATTTTCCCACGCGTAAAGACAATCTTATAAAAAACATGAAACACGACGAGAGTACAAGTTGTAAAAATATTAAAAGAGGCTAGTTGTTAGCCGCTCGAGCCTTTCCCTTGCCTTTCTTCCCCGCGTTCTTGACCTCGTCGATTAGCTCCGTCAAGATTCGAGTCGTCTCCTCGTCTTGACCTTCGTGAGGCTGAGCGACCCCTTCGACCGCGACCATCGCTTCAGTGTTACCGTGGCAAACACCGTCGCGAAGAATCTCGAGACCGTGAGCGGCGGCGGAGTTCCTTTCGACGACGAGCTGCTTGCGGCCCAAGGCGAAGTCCCGAAGAACTTTGGCGACGGAGAGCACCGCTGGCGAATCCTCGTCGATGTCCTTGTCCCAGTCGAAGGTGGCGCCCGCGGCCTCGTTGCAGGTCTTCCCGAGAGACTTGCATCTGCCGCAGGCAGAGAACGCCGAAGAAGAGACGAGGGGAACAGTCGAGCGGCAAATTTCGAGCGTCCCGTACTTGACGCAGAGCGCGAGAGGGTTGGCGTCGATGGCGGCCGGGGAAGCGTTGGCGGGGAGAACATACTGGCGAGCGTCGTCGTTCTGGAACTGGTAGGCGGGGAGGGGGACGGTCGCCGACGAATATTTGGCCTTGCAATGGCCGCAGGCGATGCGCCAGCCGCCACGCCATCGTTGCTGCGAAGTTTAGCGGCGGAGAATATTGTCAGCCAAAAAACGACGTCAAAACAAACAAGAATACTCACGAGCCAACCGTTCACCGCCTGTTCGTCCATCCCGCCCGTTCGACTCGGCGCCAACAACTCGATAAAGTCCGCCGGGGGGACCGCAGGGAGCCACTTGCGCTCCTCTTCTTTGATCAACGCCTTGTGGACTGTTGGCGACGAACGATAAATCAGTGAGATATCGAGAGAAATTTGACGCCGGAATTTGAACTTACGCTCGGCGTCGAAGTTGATGGCGGCGAGCTTCGCACCGCTCGGAGGGACGATAAAGGCGCCCGTGGTGGCCCGAATGGCCTTCCAGTCGTCGCCGATTTTTGCCGCCGGGAACTGACCTCGCTCGTCGGCCTCGGCAGCTCGCCACTTGTCTTGAGCGGCGCAAATTTTCCTCCACCAGTCGTTGACCGTACCGCAACGAGGGTTGAAGATCTTGAGGTCCGGCTCATCGAGGTCCTCGACCAGCTCGATGATCTGGTCGACGTCGAAGTTCACGGGAAGGAGTTCGTCGGCCTCAGTCGGGGCATCGCTGACGTGGGCAAAAATCGAGCAAAATTTAGCGACGGAAAAATTCGCGGAAAACTTGACGTCGAAACTTACAGCGCATCCTCCTCCTCGGTAGGCACCCTCTTGGTGAGGGCATAGGGGACGGGGGGGGCGGCAGCGGCGGCGGCGGCGTTGGCGGCAGCGTTCGGGCTACGACGTCAAAGTTCGTCAGATATGCTACGCTGGAGAGAACCGAGTCGAGACTGAACTTACTTGGCGGGCATGTTGTTGTTGTTGTTGTTGTTGTTGCTGTTGTTGTTGGGGCGAGGGGGAACTTCGAGAGCTATTTGACGGCGTAGACTATTGACTGAGTAGTTTGAGAGAGAGAGAGGTAGAGAGTAAGTATCGAGGGGGGGGGGAAATCAAGAATCGATCTGGTATATATGCTTCTCGAGAATGTTAGCTGACGCTTGACGTCGTGGTGAAATCGGAGAACAAAAGAATCGACGTCAAGAATCGTTTGTTCATTCGCCTCGTCATGACGACATCGATAGGGGTTCATTTGCCTACTCATGACGTCGCTGCTGTTGTCGACGCCATTGTTCAAACAAAGATATACCACTTGGCTCGTCGCCAAAAGAACCTGAACGACGATCGACTTGAAACATCGTCAGCAATTTGACGGCGGATACAAACTGGCGCTGTACTTACGCTAGAACAAAGAATAGAATATACTACGCAGCCGAGAATGATCAGCGATGTGACGTCAAAGAATAGTACAACAGGAACAAGGAAGCTTCGCGAGGCCATGTTTCACCAAAGGGGTCCTTTGGCGCTATTGTTGTACTGCGATTGGTAATAGCCGTTTTGGGAAGCAGGGGCGACTCCAGGGAAACTTGACGATGAAGGTGTGGCGTTGGAAAACATCGAGGGAAATCCTCCGTAGTTGAAGTTCCCCGACTGTAGCACTGGAGCAGAACGGTCGAAGGGCCCTCGAGACATAGGTGTGATATGGGGAGGCGGTACCTGAGAACTAGAAGGGTGCATCTGCAAGGACGGCGCCATAAAACCTGGGAGAGTTGACGGAGGAGGTAATCGCTGGGAATTTGGCGGCGGCAAAGATACCTGAGAACCTTGGGCACGGAGAATGTCCGTCGCCTGCGAGTCCGCATAGTAGGGACACTTGGACATCGTATGGCCAGGTATCTTGCAATGTTTGCAGGGCTTTGCAGCCTTCGCAGCCTTTTTGGCGGCAGTTTCCGCCGCTTTCATTCGACGTTTGACTGTTTCATGGCGCGTCTCGAGGCGATTTGTCGCCGTCAAGTTGACCACGATATCTTCCGCCGGCCCAAGATTCCGCCTGATCTCCTGAACACTACGTTCCTTCTGCAATCTCTTTTCCTTTTGCCTGACTAACTGAGGGCGGTTGAGAGGTTCCTGTATAATTCGAGCGGCGGGATCGGTCTCTCGAATCATTCCGGCGCCATCGACCAGGTAATCGTTCTGGGGAACCATACCTGCATCGGCCTGCAGGGTAGGCAGGGCGATGAGCTCTTCGGCCTCATAGTGGTCATAATAGCTTCCCGTCGCCATCGTTCGCTCGGCATATTCCGTCGCCAATTGTTTCGCTTCAACTTGTAATTGTTTCTGCGATCGCAGGTGCCAAAACGGATGAATTGTGGCGGGATCCACAAGAGGGTGGAGACTTCCCGGGGCCAACAATTTAGCGAAATCATGCTGGCAAAGCAGACCTTGCGTGTGCTTCATAGATCCGCTACAGCGTTCGAGGGGTGTTCCAAGAGCACTAGCAGCTTGTTGCAGCCGAAATGCTCCGTCGCGCATCATCCTGAGACCTCTCACGGCGATTACACTCTTGAGCTATTGTTGAAAGACAGGAAGTTAGTTTGACTTGTAGCGGCGGAGACTTTCTTTCGAACTTCACCGGTTGAAAACATGGTGGGGAGTCAATATCTCGAAAGATAGCGTCGTTTGCATGCTCCTTGAATATATTGCGATGAGTTCCTCGCATATGAATTATTGAAGCATGTACGGCGGTAAACATATCTGCTGTTCCTCCGTTGATAGAATTCTTTAGAGCGCGATGGAAAGATTCTCCCCGCGACGTTGTAGTTGCACCGAAATTTAGCGTCGTTTGCAATCGGTGGGTGAGAAAGAAGTCCCCTTGCTCATGTTGTGTCAACACATAGGCCCAAGCCGACCGTGTTTTGGGATTGCGAAGGAATTCCTCGCTACACGCCGCTCGGATACGATCGTAGGACTCCTTTGTCTTAGCAGTTCGAAGGATATCTGCCGAGTGTTTCAATCGCTCGAAATCCTCCTCCGGCACCTTTTGCTTGTAGTTCGCGTTCAAATTCTCTGACAGATGCCAGGTGCAGAGCTGCTGCTTCCACTCTGGGTAGACAATCGTCAGGGCGTCTCGTAGAGCGGCGCATTGATCCGTCAATACTACTCCCGTCGGCAAATTTCCACAAACATTTGCCAGCGACTGTAATCCCCAGACATATTCCTCCTTAGTTTCCCCTTCCAGAAAACAGAGCGCCACAGTGAAGGATTTATTCGTCGGAGACATGCTGACGATATGCATCAGCGGCATTTGGTACTTGTTGCTTTTATAAGTACAGTCGATGAAAAAAACGTAGCCGTAATATTTCGCCAGAATAATGGCCATGGGAGTAGTCCAGAAGAAACTTTGAAGCTCCTCGTTCTGGTTGGCTCGATAGCGGTGGGGGATCCCTTTCCTCTGCATCTCCCGAATTATGGCGTCGACAGGAGTCCGTCCTTGCAGAGCGACGCCTTTTATCTCAGCTTTGAGATTGTATATCTCTTTTGGAGAAACATAGCTAGTCCTCCCTTCTGCGGCAGCCTTCTGCGTCAACATTTCCACGATTGCTGGCGCCGTAGCATTTGCCGCGAGAGCGCTCACAGCCACAGCACGCTCGTCGTCAGTCAAACGACGGTGCTGATGAAAGCAGTAGGCCGAGCCCGTCATAGGGTGGTTGTGCTGCAAGTTTCGCTTGTAAAGTTTCCACAGCATGTTTGTCTTCTTGGATCTGGCGGCGTAACATTTCCACAGGCAATTGGTCCTCTTAGATTTGACGTTTGAGTCTTTCCTCATGCGACCTGCCGTGGCTATATATCGGTGGCTATCTTTATGTTCGCCTTCTTGAGAGCAGACAAAGTATACATTGTTGGCTCTAGATCCTTGTTTGCGGACAGCAAACCCTTCTTCTTTAGCCACGGCCTGTATCGCAGTAAAAATGGCGTCGGAGTTGTCATATCCAGGGTGATCAAAAATGCGTTGTAGGGGGTGGGGAGCTTCAGTAGCAGGTTGGCGGCGGATTAAATCGACGGTATTGAGAATTTCAGGGGATGGCGATGTAGAACTTCGCTCGGAGGATTCAGAGGAACTATAGGTCGACATTATGGCAGGCCAACAGCAGGTATTGGTAACGGGAAAGATTCTGACTATACAATGGGAGGGTGCTTGGCGTAGGGTTGATGTGTACGTTATCTCAGCGGCGGAGGATTTCGAGCGAATGATATCTTTGATATTATTTCCACCTGTTACCCCACAATATGTCACCACCGTAGAGAAAAATCACCACGCTAAGAAAAATGTCACCACCCTAGAATTTCTTGTTTATCGTGAATGAAAAGCATATTTCCGAAAACCTTGCATACAGTAGACAACACCCTGGTGAGTGCCTCTGACCTCCCGCCCAGAGATTACGTACGTGCGAATTTGCGTTTGTGATTGGCAAACCAAGCCGGAACGCCCCGTCTCAGTATGTTCTCTAGGCATTTACTTTCAACCTCTCGACCTCGGCCTCGAAAACGCCGACAGGCCATAGCTCGACACAACATGACATGACATGGCATAAATCGTTCCTCATATATATCCGCGCCTCGTCCCTTTCATTTCCCTTCACTTCACTTCACTTCGCTTGACTCTTTACAACCTGCTCTTCGCGACCCCATCCCCTAAACTCGCCGTCGTCGTCGTTCCGGCGGTTCAAAGCGCCTTCAAGACCGAATCGGCCGAAGAGACGGTAACCTGAGGAGGCTCGTCCTCGACGGCGATGTGGAGGACCTTGCCGTCCTCCTATCGACATCAACGTGGAGTGTATTTCGATGCGAAGGAAGAGTAGGATGGGGGAGCGCGGTTTGCGGAAAAGGTAGTACGTCGAGCGAGTTCGGGTTCGGGTTCGGGTTCGAGGCAGTATGGGTGAAGGCGTACATAATCAAGGGAAGATCCGCCGGAACGGAAAGGGCGAAGACAAGAAGCACAAAAACAAAAACAAAAGTGATGATGATTTCGGAGTGAGCCTTCTTCTCTCTATTTCAGTTATGCCCCCCTCCCCAACGTCTCTCCGCGAAGTGCGAAGTGCGAAGCGGGAGGATAGAGAGGGGGGAGTGGAAAGGGAAAGGAGTTGATACTGACGATAACGATAGCAGCCCTCTTGGCCCTCGGACCTCCCAACAAGGACGAAGCGTCGAACACGAGTCCGGTGGCGGATGCGAACGAGGCGGTGTCGTCGGCGACTACGCATGTGACGAGTCCGAATAATATCACGGGGGGAAGTCGGGGAGATCGAGTGAGAGTTTGAAATTGAAATTGAAATTGAAGTTGAAGTTGAAGTTGAAGTTGAACGAGAAGCGAGAAGGTGAGAGGTAAAAGCGAGAAGTAGAAGTGGATTAGCAAACATTTACCCCGCCGAATCCATCAGAGAATAAGATAAAGATAGAGGGTAGGACGAAAGGCCCGGAGACTCGGGAGACTCACCGAAGACGACCTGACTATCCCCTCCCTCGGCCTTGGCCACCAAATCCTTCTTCCAAGCCTTCATCACGAAAATATCATTCACGCTGACCACATAAACGCCCTTCACACCCTTCGCTTCAAACTCCTTGAACCTCCCGATATACTCGGGCACCTGGATCTCCGAACAAGACGGAGAAAACGCCGCAGGGACGACCACGATGACGTTCTTTCCGGGGAGGGTAGAAAAGTTGAGGGTCTCTGTGGGGGAGTTTACTTTTACGCTGACGTTCGGGACGGGAGAACCGGGGGTGATCTGGGTGGCGCTGGCGAGGGAGACGACGGCAGAGTGGGCGGCTTTGGTAGCAGAGGTTACTGCGGAGGAGATCATCGAGGCGGCTACAATACAGTATAGAGGAGTTGGAGTGGGGGGTGGTAAGACGAGAAAAAGGGGGGGGGGGGGAAGGCCGGGGGAAGGCGGGAAAGAGATACGGGAAAGGAAGTGTTAGATTCGGGTTCGTGAATGATGTTGATGACGATGATGATGACAGCAGCGATGAAAAAGTCGGATCACAGGGCTCACCCATTTTTTGTTGCGTGGTCTGTTCGTGTCTTGTCTGATCTGTGATGTGTTTTCGTGGGAGCGATTGTGGAGCAAGATCAAAGGACAGCGGGGGTTGGTTGATCTGTTGATAAGGATGAGTAGCGACGACCTATATAAGAAGCCTGCGTTGCGTGGCCCACACCACACCACACACAGCATCGACGGCGATTGAAAGCCAAGTCCCGGCGATCACGGCATTTCGTTACGGCGACCGCAAGTCGGGTCTAGAGCTCGGAAGCAATCGTAAGGCGAACATGCGAGCAAGGTCGTCGGAACCAGTTGCAAGTTGTCTAGTGCGCTAGTGCCACGTCATTTTTCTAACGTCATCGAGTGGGACCTCAGGCGCATGCGCTTCTACTTGGCTGGCGGTAGGGATGTTTAGGTGGATGACGTTATGGATCGATGCCCCGCTTTGTGCCGAGAGAGCCATGCCGAAGTCCCCCGTCCATCGAGGGAGGGGGTCGACTATGGACTGTGGACGTCCGGACTTTCTCATATCGCGACCTTGTTCAACGCTCATCGTCGTTTCCTTTTGACAACAACTCTCAATCCTACCATCCCTCAATAGATCATCATCGGAAGTAACAAGTAGACCATATACATCAGCAACAAGAATCAAAGAATGTCGGACACTCAAGGAAAAGTAAGCCCCGTCTACTCCCATTGTGTGGACTGGTGATTCGTCATCCACTACAGACGATCAAGTTGAATCGGATTACTTACAACCTTGTATCTTTATATCTTGCGACTTGCATATTCAATCACGATCGTATCCACATGATCAACTCGTGCAACTCTCCTGCCAACCTCGTCCTCATTCATGACAAATTTCAACTCTCGACTCGACTCTATGATACGGTCATCCACTTATGGAAAATGGGCAATTGGACAATCGGGCAATCGGGCAATCGGGGGAAAAACGACGATGTAGACCATCACCTGTAAAGCGGCTATCGCTTGGGAAGCCGGTAAGTCACAAGTTAACAAGCCCCCTCTTCTTCTCCCCCCCCCCCCACACAAGTCTCTCTCTCCCGAGTGTTCTCCCATCCTCCTGGCCTCCTTTCCCTTTCTCTTTGAAGCTGACGATTCGATGTGTTCTGTTTACTCCATGCGTCTATTATCTGACACGGCTAACACGGATCTTACATGTCGTTTTCTGTGCCATACTGTATCGTTCGGCTTCGCCCTCGTCTCGATAACCCCTCGCTTCGCTCGGGCACAGGCAAACCCCTCTCGATCGAGGACGTCGAGGTGGCCCCACCCAAGGCTCATGAAGTCCGGGTCAAGATCCTTTAGTACGTACCCGTCTCCCGCTTTCCGCTCTCAGATTTGGGGTTGGGTTGGGTTGGGTGTTCGAGGTTGGGGGGGGGGGGGGGTTGCGGTGGTTGATGAACACGGAGGCAGAGCGAGCTGATCTTGCCATATCTCCCTTTTTTTCCTTCTTTTGTTTGCGCTTCTTCTCACATCCTGCATATGTTCTTTTATTCGGCCCTGTTTTCTTGGTGGATTTACGACTTTCATCTCGATCGTACAATACAACCCCGGCGTGATGGATCTTGGACCACTCATCATCCTCCTCTATCCGGTTCGGCATTCGGTATTCGGTATTCGGTTCGGATAATGTGATCCCAATAAAATGATCCCGATCGCAGCACGGGAATCTGTCATACGTAAGTCCTCGTAAACCCTCCTCATACGCCCCAAGTCCAAATTCCCGAACTTTACGAACCTGTAACAACCCGCGGACGTCCGCTTTTGAAGATCCGATCGCTGATTCGAAATTCCCCTTCAACCCTTCGATTTGATGTGGATGTGGTTTCAACAGCGATGCTTATACGCTGTCGGGTAATGACCCCGAAGGAGCGTTCCCCAGTATTTTGGGACATGAAGGCGAGTATCCCGCTTTTTTCTTTTTTCTTTCTCCTTTTCTTTCCTTCTTGTCTTGATTGCGCTGGACTTGCTTGGGCTGTACGGGAAAGAGGAGGAACGTGGAGATGTTTTTCCGGGCCGTTTTTCGGCATATCTCGGATTTTCTTGTGTTGTGACATGATAATGCTCGGGGCATTGCAAGCTGACTTCAGATCTACCTTCACGCTACTCCACATCCTTGGCATACTATCCCGTTTTCGTTACGCAACGATTCATCATCCTGGGTTCTCGAATCTGACGGGGAACACGACAACAACAGGCGGTGGGATCGTAGAGAGCGTCGGTGAGGGAGTTACAAACGTTAAAGTCGGGGATCACGTCATCCCGCTTTACACGGCCGGTGAGTCGCGGTTCTCACACTAAAGCAGAGACGGGACGGGATATGCGGGGCAGGGCGTTTCGGAAGAAGGAAGTCGATGGAAAAGCTCATCGAGGACATTTTGTTTGGCCTTTGAATAGAGTGCCGGGAATGCAAGTTTTGTAAATCCGGCAAGACCAACCTTTGTGGAGCCGGTAGGTCGCTTCTCTGCCTGGTCATTGCCGATCTCCTCTACCACTGAAGCTCACTTCTCCACCCTCATCGCTCCGCTTGCAGTCCGGTCGACCCAAGGCCAAGGTCTCATGCCGGACAAGACCTCGCGATTCACCTGCAAGGGCCAACCCATCAAGCACTTCATGGGCACATCGACCTTTTCCCAGTACACCGTGCTCGCCGACGTCAGCGTCGTCGCCGTGGACGAAAAGGCGCCGTTGGAAAAGGCTTGTCTGTTGGGGTGTGGGATTACGACCGGGTATGGAGCTATCACCAAGTTGAACGGGATCGGTGAGTCGCTGGCGGGCGGGCGTCAGCCTCGACGAATCCATACTGGTCGGTATACTTAACGTTTTCCCGCGCTCCTCGATAGAAAACTCCCAGGTGGCCATCTTTGGTATCGGCTGTGTCGGTCTCTCCATCCTCCAAGGTGCCCGGGCCAAGAACTGCAGCAAGGTCATCGCCATCGATACCAACTCGGGCAAGAAGGACCTCGCGCTCAAGTTTGGAGCCACCGATTTCATCAACCCGACCGAGTTGCCCGAGGGTACGACCATCGTGGACAAGATTGTCGAGATGACCGATGGCGGTGCGGACTTTACCTTTGACGCGACGGGCAATGTCAAGGTGATGAGGTCGGCTTTGGAGGCTTGTCACAAGGGTTGGGGAGAGAGCGTGGTTATCGGGGTTGCTCCCGCCGGAGCCGAGATCTCCACCAGGCCGTGAGTATCCGGTAGTGGCCTGAGTTCGTTGCGAGTGCAAGTCGAAGCTGATTGTTTTCCGCCTTGGGCTTGGGGGTTTCGCTTCGGTACCAACCAGTTTCCAGCTCGTAAGCCTCGTGTCGTCTTGTTCGTCACTTGTAAACGGCAGACTGACGACGAATTGCCGCTCCACGCCGCAGGTCACCGGTCGCGTCTGGAGAGGATCCGCTTTCGGTGGCGTCAAGGGTCGAACCGAGTTGCCCGGGATCGTAGGCGGTAAGTACAGTCTTCACCGCTTGACACCGATCATCCCGAAGCCCGATTGTGGTCGGCTTACGTTTCGATATTACGATCTTTTTGCGTGGCAGACTACATGAACGGCAAGCTCTGGGTCGACGAGTTTGTCACTCACCACCGTGACCTCAAGGAGATCAACGAGGGATTCGACGACATGCACGTGAGTCATGGGCGTTTCGGATTTTCCTATCAGGCACAATCGCTTTGCGGGACGTTTGCTGATGGACCGTTTTTGGGATCGTTGTACAGTCTGGAAGCTGCATCCGATGTGTCGTCGACATGACCAAGATCTAGATCGACGAGGAGAGGGGTCGGAATCAAGGTTGTATCGCTACTTGATTGAAGAGAACAAAAACAAGGGGAGGGAATGAATACACAATTAGCAACTATTATGGAGAACTGATTGCTGGATGACACCACGTGAGAAGGGGCGAATCACCTTGCGCGACCGTAATCCGGGCGTCGTCCCCTATATTCTGGTAAGAGATGTGGCCATTCTCATACAAGCTGGGCCCACAGACTGCCCATGACCTTCTAACTCAGCCCAGTCCTCTACCAGTACTCCTGTGTATTGGTCCCATGTGGTCGAGGGGATCGTCTCAATGAGAGAAATTTCATAGGTTCGTATTTGGATCAAAGCTTTCAGCATCGGTATTTGCATCGATATGTACATGAACACACGTCGGCGGCAGAAGCAGCACAGGCAATGATCCTGTATCTCACTATGCACATATCATTCTAGATGCTGGCTGCTGTCGACGCCCTCCTCGTGGACGAGCTCGGTACGAACTAGCGTACTAGGTCTCGCGGCGGTATAGAAGAAGGTAGCCAGGAGCAGACATCACTGTACTCTACGGCAACGTCGAAGCTCTTCACTTTGCCGGTGAGAGCGTCATTGAGAAGGAATTTGATTTCGGCGATAGAGAAGGCAACGCGAGTAAGTTACTTGGTGGAACAAGTTGTATTTCTTCCCAAGGTATTTGGCGTGACCCAGTAAGCCTTTTCTCAAGGATGACTGCTCAAAAAAAAAAAGCTCGTTGTGGTAGATCCAAGCTACGACCCCCTTGACGATGAGAAACCAATTGACGACAGAGGAATAGACTGGATATCAGATGATGTCGATGTTCTTGTGCCCTACACGTTTCGCAGCGATGCCAAGCCGATGGCTGATATACTCCTTGAGTCCCTGGAGAATACTGACGGGGCCTGGTTGCGGGACGAATTCGAGGCCGGCGGCTTTGGTGATCCGGGTTCTCGGCCCTTTCCATATGACCTGCAGCATGTTTACCGCCTACAAATGCGTCGTCGACCTTGTCAGAGATGACGGGTTTCTACTTTAAGATCCTCCTTGACACCTTCAAGGGATATCAAAGCTGGCAAGCCAAACCGTATCTCGTTCTTGCTCTTAAGCACGTATTCGAAAGATCGTCTCGTTGGATTTAGGGTTGTACCTGGTCGCATTCTTCTATCATCACACACAGACGTATCCAGAGCACAATGTAATGTACCTCACATAATCTCCATGCCGATATCGCAAACCAATCATTTATTCATACATTCCCCCAACATATCCGCTTTACCCCGCTATTCGGAGACTTCCACATTGGCGTCGGCTGATGGGCCTTTACGCATCCCCAACCTCGAAACCTCGAAACCTCGACCTGAGCGAATACCTCCCAAGTCCTCTCGTCGGAAGAGTGTATATACCTGGCCACATCAAAGAGTGTCAAGAACGGGCAAAGACTACAGTACATGTACATGTGATCATATCAACTACAGTATACTGTAGGTACGTCTGCGAAACTCAAAAACGCGCAGCCTATTGTAGCAAATCGCTAACAAGGCCCTTGTGTTCCGTCTACCATGTACCCCCTCAAACTTGACTGTATAGCTGCGGCGTGGATCTCAAGGTTGGCATGCAAGGAAGTGTTGGCGAGTTTTTAACCTCTGGAGGAAGATCAGGATGCTCGTCTCATCACCAACGCCAGCTAATAATAATGATGATAACAAAAGGATGACATTCTCCTCGGTTTCATCTCACACGATTTTGTAACCTGACGCCCGAGCTCGACTTGCTAATACTGGTGATTCATGACTCAGGAGCCGGACTGAGCAAGGATGTATTGGAAAGACTCGTAAAAAGCTTCCAATAATGTGGTTCATGAGCCGATTACACTACGAGCCACTTCTCCACGTGCGCGTCGGATTGGCGATCATCGGGGTTTGAGCGTCAACGATACTGGCTTTCCAATGATGTTAGGCGACCCGATCGCATTTGTAGAGATGATTTCTGTGAGAGGTTATAGATGTATCAAGGTTCGATATCGATAGCGATATCGGTCGACGAGACAAGTTCAGACAACACGTCTTCTCCCGCAAAGTTTTTAAAAACGCAACGATTGAACGGGGACTTCAAGACATTTTTTTCCTTCTGTCTTTCTTTTCATTATCAACCGTAACATCTGTGATGTAAGCCCAGGTGATAATGCCAGACAAGATCGTTTGGGGGTCATCTCAACACGTCGTGTCGTGTCGTCTTGACTCGATCTTCTGGCGGGGTGATTGGCGCAGATCCAGTTGTCTAGTCTAATCAAGACTTCAGAACAGATCAAGCGGTACGTTGCACGGAGACCACGATACAGAGAAAGCCATGACATTTCGACTGGACGGACCAACCCGGACCTCTCACAAGGGCGATCCATTCAATCCATCATGGGCTCCGAAATCGGTTCTCCCGAACGTTTTCGAGCTCAACACGCGGACCCGATCGCCAAGGGTGAAACTCGCGAACTCAAGACGGATCACGTGATACATACCACTCAGTTTCGGGTTAATGCGATGATGACGATGACCGAAGTTTCACCGAAGGCAACGCCGAACACACGGGAGATCGATATATATAAGAAGCATCAACTACAAGCAACATGCAACATCGAGAACTTACAAGACACATCGTATCAGGAACCTCTCCCATCATGTCAAACCAAAGTAAATCCCACCTTCCGAAGATTTCCCACGTCCAAGCTGATCCTCGGAGCTTTCCACAGCACCCTGCATCACCGTCAACGAGACGACCAAGACCTTCTCCCTAACCTCCCCCGGCGTCTCCTACATATTCCACGCCGACCCTTCCGGCGAGCTCATCCACGATCATTTCGGTCCCCCTATCACCTCCCACCTCCCTCCCGATATCGGAGGCCCGGATGGAGGTTGGGGTTCTTACTTAACCCGCGTTCCCCGAGAACTACCTGATTCCGGGCGGGGTGATTTCAGGCTCCCAGCTATTAGGATCAGGAAACGTACTGGGAACACGGTATTGAGGCTAGAATACGTCTCTTACGAGATCATCCCCGGTAAACCGAAACTCCCCGGCTTGCCTGCGACATTCGGAGAAGAATCCGACGTGTCCACCTTGGTCATCCACCTCACCGACCCGGTCTCCCTTATCTCCGTGTACGTCTCCTATTCCATCTTCCCTCGCTACGACGCTATCGCCAGGTCTCTCCGCATTGTGAATAACGGGGATGAAGAGGTGGTCGTCGAGCAAGCAGCTAGTTTCTGTGTGGATATGCCGAGTGGGGAATGGGAGATGTTACAGTTGAGCGGGGATTGGGCTAGGGAGGCTAGGGTCGTCAAGCGGCCCGTCGTTCTCGGTACACAAGGGTGAGTCCACTTCAAACATACGTTCTGACAGAACATCCTGCTCAAGGTCCGGAGTTGTAATACGACAGCTTCCAAAGCCTAACCGGCTACTCTTCCCACCTACACAACCCCTTCCTCGTCCTAACCTCCCCCCGCACGACCGAGACTCATGGTCAAACTTACGGTTTCTCCCTAATCTACTCTGGCTCGCACTCGTTTCAAGTAGAAAAAGGCTCTGTCGGCCTTACCCGAGTCTTAGCGGGTATGCACCCTGACCACCTCTCTTGGCCCCTTAGTCCGAAGGGTGGGGAATTTACTACGCCGGAATGCGTGGCGGTATTTTCTGCTGAGGGGTTAGGGGGGATGAGTAGGAAGTACCATTCGCTCTACCGGGGACATTTGTGTAAATCCCGTTGGGTGGACCGACCTCGTCCGGCGTTGATCAACAACTGGGAAGCCACCTACTTTGATATGAACCAACAAAACCTCGCCTTGATCGCCAAGAGGGGTAGCGAGCTGGGCGTAGGGTTGTTCGTCATGGACGACGGATGGTTCGGAGTGAAACACCCTAGATTGTCGGATAATGCCGGGTTGGGGGATTGGGTCGTTAATCCGGAGAGGTTTCCTGATGGGTTGGGAGATTTTGTGACGAGGGTTACCGGGTTTGAGGTCAAGAAGCTCGATAATAAAGAGGACAACACAGAGGATAAGACGACGACAAAGATGAAGTTCGGGATCTGGGTCGAACCGGAGATGGTCAACCCCGCCTCGGAGCTGTTCGAAACCCACCCCGAATGGGTGCTTCAAGCCGAAGGTTATCCATTGACAGAAGCGCGGAACCAGCTCGTCCTCGACCTCTCTCAATCCGCTGTCCAAGATTACATTATCGACAAGTTGACCGATATCCTAAACAGCGCGGACATTTCGTATGTCAAGTGGGACAACAATCGGGGGATGCACGAACTTCCCTCGCCCTCGGTGCCGCATGCGTACATGTTAGGGCTCTACCGGGTGCTGGGGACTTTGACTACACGGTTCCCCGAGGTCTTATGGGAAGGTTGTGCGTCGGGCGGAGGAAGATTCGACCCGGGCTTGTACCACTATTGGGCTCAATCCTGGACCTCGGATAACACGGACGCCATCGACCGTCTCTTCATCCAATTCGGAACCAGCCTGGTCTACCCTCCTTCATCTATGGGAGCCCACGTCTCCGCCGTCCCGAATCACCAGACCGGCCGTACGACCCCCTTGGAATTCCGAGCGCACGTAGCGCTCATGGGAGGGTCCTTCGGGTTCGAACTTGACCTCAACAAACTACCCGAGGAAGAACAAGCCCAGATCCCCCGACTCGTCGCATTGAGCGAAAAGGTCAACCCGCTCGTCATCACCGGAGACCTCTACCGACTTGAACGGCCTGACGAATCCAATTGGCCCACGGCGATGTTCGTCTCCCCTGACAAGGCCAAAAGCTCGGCCGTTGTGCTGGCTTATCGGATGCAGAGTATCATCAACTGGCACAGCCCTCCCGTTAGGTTACAAGGGCTCGACCCGGAAGCGACGTACGAGCTGGAAGAAGAGGGACAAGAGGCGGTAGAGTATACCGGTCGGACGTTGATGAACGCGGGTCTGCGCTTGGCTCTCAAGGGGGATTATCAGAGCAGGGTCATCTTTCTTCGCCGAAAGTAGGCGTCGACGATTCAAGTCGACGGGTAGTGAGGGATTTGGAACAAAGGTTGTATGCTCAGACAAGCGTGGGGATTTGAACAAAGATTGTAGAACGAACGTGGGAACAATGGGGAAATCGAATACTGTACTCTACGAATATCCACCGTTTCTTTGCATCGCTGCCCTGTTTCGAAGCGCCCAGGTCGTAATGCAGCTCGTACGAGATGGAACAAAAGTCGCCTCTGCAAGACGAAAACAAAAGAGAAATCGTATGCTATACGGATGTCCACCGCTGTCTAGATAGCGGCCCTGTTTCGAAGCGTCTCGTCCTCATCCACTCGGTACCAACCTTGAATCTGACACCGAGTCTCGAGTTCATATCTGCTCGCTTAGGAACAAGAGTCGAGTGGATATGAAACGGTGTCATGAATTCAACATTGTCCAGAGTGGCGTCTTTGTCTAGGTGGAAAGAGTACGGAACGAGTATGCAGTGCGAGCAGTAGCATTCGCCTATTGTTCAAGCTAGTCGAGCATCGACATCATGAGAGACAAGGGTTTGCTATTCGGTCGCTTGTTGGCGGAATTGTTACGGATCGACGTGTGTCATCGTCATACGTGTGATGAATCACTGCGCCCACACATGCACCGGGAGGCTCAGTGGACGCCTTCATCCGACATGCCGGCAACGTACAAACGAGGTTGTCATTGTCAACAAACGATGTCTCGAGCCACTTCCGCCCGGCCCGGCTACCCGTAGGTATCGGTTTCTGCGCCGGGCCCGCTGCTTCCCAGAGCGGTCGGTCGACAAGGTCGTACAGCATCTCGACGTTGCGGCTGCACCATTCGCGCGTGCTCTCGATAATGACTCGGACTCGTACTAGTTCTCTATTGTCCCAAGCGGATGGGTTAACATGTGGATAGCAGGAGCCAAACCCCGCCTGGTGGATCCGAGAGTGTCGAGGCGGCAAAGGCAGGAGCGTAAGCGATCAATGAATAGTGATTCAGATCTTCGGGTGATGTGGAAGCCGAGCGAGACAAGACAAGACAGAACATTCCAGATGGGGGAGCCGATCCACCTTGGCATCCTCCTCTCCTCCCTCTTGCGCCGTAGAGATCGACGATCAGAGAACAAAAAAGGGACGACAAAAGGATTAAAAGGGACAAAAGGAGATCCGGAGAAACCGACAGAGGGCCAGGAGCAGGGGGACGAGCGTGCGCGCGTGTCGATCACGCCTCTCGTTTCGGTCTTCGGTCGATTCCCGGTTCTCGCTTAGACGAGATGACATAACGTAATGGCGTTCAAACCTTGTTTCAGGAGTTCACCGAGGGAAATGAGGGTGGATACTTTTGAGTCGAACGTCGTATTCGATCGTCATGGCCTCTGAACCGCCGATGGAGACTACGACAACGTGTTTTCTTTGTCGTCTTGACAAAAGAGTCGTGTCCAAGGAGAATTACCCAGGCTCGGGCATGCGTGTCGACTCCCGCAAGCCTCGTGGTCAGCCCTCCCGGCGATGGTCCACCCAAGCCTACGACGACGAGAAGGTCGCACAGGACGTCCTCCGCAACGCATTGTTCGAACATCGAACGACATTGTTCTCCCAAGGGTCAGACTCGTTTTCATGACGCTGAGGTCAAACAGGACCCAGAAATGAGGTACGTAGGTAAGCCTTCCCCCTGAGTTAAAGACCATCGGATCGGATCGGCGCGAAAAAGAATGACCCGGTCGGTTGTCGATCCCCCTGGATTCTAGGAAATATCGTCTATATAAGTTGTCACCTTCGTAACTCGAGTTGCGGTTTATCGACAAGTTCTATTCTACAATCATCAACCACACACACTCTCTTCACCTTCACTTACTTTACAAATCGAATACTCGCGCCGGACGCCATGTTCTCCTTCACCAAATCTCTCGTCGCCGCCGTCGCCCTTTTGGCCATCCTCCCCAGCTCTCTGGCTCAGACCGCCCCTCCGGCCACTACCTCCGGTACCGCCACAGCTGATCAAAGGCGGATCAGCGCCTGTCAAGCAACCATCGAAACTCCCGGGTTCAACAACGAGGAAAACTACCTTACGAGCGATACCAACTCCTACTCGGTCCGCTACACTTATGACTTTGCAGGTCAGTACTTCGCATGTCTGATTGGCGATTCTTGAGTACTGAATCGCTATACGTGAACATCAGCTTGCGATGGTGTTCCCGTCCTATCTTCCAGATTGACCAACTATGGTACTGACGGAACGTTCGTGGCATGCACTTAGTAAGTGTCGAGGTCGTGGAATCCGAAATGCAACGTACTGAATCGATCTGCCGATAGCTCGCAATTCACTGCCGCTGGAGAGTTCACTTCTGTGTGTCCCAGGACTCGGTAAGTCCCTCGGATTCATTTCCTTCTGATCGTTGGACTAAGTGGCTATCTGATCGCAGTGGGAGCATGGCTACTGCTGCTGGAACCGCAGGCCAAGACTTCTCGTCGCAGTTGAGGGTGAGTGCGCGGTGTACAATGAGAATTATCCTTTACAGGCGATTGACGAATACCACATGCACGTCAATCAGTTCGGAGTTAGGCCTACCATCATTGTCCGAGAGGACGTCTTCACCGTTTACGGCGTCGAAGCGCCCACTTCTACCGCCCCCACTTCGACCGCCCCCGCTGCCACCACCTCCGCTGCTACCGCCTCTCAACTCGCTCAACGAAGACGACGAGCCGTCGAGACCGGCGAGGTCGTCCTCACTACCGGTATGATCTGCGATGCCGGCGAGACCGCTTGCCCTATGCGGGACAGCAGGAAGAGGTCGTTCAGCCGATGCATTGACACTGCCAACGAGCTTTATGGTAAGTCTATCAGTCTTCTCGACCATACATCTTATGGTTCGTACTCATGCTAACCATTATTACGCGTCTTTGCAGCTTGTGGAGGTTGTCCCGGCGCTGCTGGTACTCAGGACTGCAGCGAACTCAAGGGTGTCGCTGACGTCCAGTGTGTCCAGGGGACTTGTCAGAGTGAGCCACATCCTCAACTGCCTCTTCCGGCTTCTCGTGCGACTCATGCTAACCTTATCGTCACCTTCAACCCCTCAGTCAACCAGTGCGACCGATCCCACAAGCTCTCCAGCGACGGCAAGACCTGTGTCCGAAAAGACTCGGTCGCCAAGCGCAGCTTCTGGTAAACACCTCGATCGCAGCGCTGCCTCTTCACCGGCGCCGAGACGATACTCAGCCAAGAAAGACTCGCTGGGTCGATAGACGCGAAGAAACATAATCTAGTTCACGAATAGTTCCGAGGTTTCATATTCTGGGTTTGCCATGGATCGATGGTCACATGATAATATAGTCGAAAAGGTCTGCTTGTAATCGATAGTCTCCGATATATTTCAGTGAATGTTTCTCAGCTCAACTCCCCAATAAACTTGATTACGGCTATTTCATACGGTTCTTCATCCATCTAAAGTATACGGATACATGTTTTATTCGAGACTTGTTTTTGCTCTTCTCTTTGATCGGACCGTCGCAAGCACAAAAGACGATCCCACCCGCGAACACGGACCGTTTATCGGGTACCGGTGATCTTGCTCTGAATCTTCTCGTCGGCCTTTTCCTCCTTTTCCTCCTCCTTGGCCCTTCGCTTATCCTCTTCCTCTTGCTTGGCCTCTTGCTCTGTTCGTCCCGAAAATAACGCCGAGATGATAGAAGTCACATCTCGTCAGCCCCGACCGTCATCAACGTCAAAAGACAGTCACGTGAGAGGATATATGCTTACCGAGGATATCCCTCCAACTGTGGTCCTCAGCCTTCTTAGGCTTCTCGCCCTGGGATCCCATACCGGCGAGCATACCCGAAGCGATGAGTGTACCCAAAGTCGAGGCTTGAGCGACTACTCGAGTTTGAACGAGCTACAAGCCGGATTTTCAGATTTGGTGCGAATACGAGAACGATACAAGTCGAGATGACAAACACGTAGAAGAAGCAGAGTTCTTCGAGGTTAACATCGGGATTGCTTTCTTCGTCGCACAAAATTCTCGATGAGAGAAATGATAGCTTACCTTCTGAGAGAAGGACATGTAAGGGCTTCGACCGATGACGATTCCGGCGATGGCCATTGTTCCCAACCAACTGTAGCATCACGATCATACGAGCAGATGATATCGATATCGTCAGTGACCAATACAAGCAAAAAACAACACGAAAAAGATTGGCTCACCTTCCACCAACGATACTCCACTGGTACCTCTTCCCCCAATCCCTGATCTTCTCCCCCGTGCTCAGACCCTCCCACCTCTTCTCTTCCCGATCCCTCTCGGTCGCCTCGAGCTGACTAACACCAAGAATACCCCTCTCATATCTCTCTCCAGCCTTTTCCGCTCCGATAGAGATACAGGGGACGGCTACGGTGACCACACCGAAAGCTTTCAGGGGGATGGGGATGGCTCGAAAGTTGGCCGAACGTCTCTGCAAGAGGAAGAAGGCTGGGGTGAGGATGGCGGTGGCTACGGCGGCTCCTTTGAGACCTCCTTCGACGTTGTGTCGGAAGGCCCTGTTGAGGTTAATCAGATCACATGTGGCGAAAGACAGAGATATGTCAGCAAATGATTTCTTCCGCAGGTGATGGTAAAGAACGGTGACTTGCTCGTTGGCGTGTTCTTCGGTCCAGGCTCGTTGCTACGAAGTTCAAAAACGATATTTGAGTGTTAGTCTGTGGCGCTGCACATTATCGAGGTTGTTCGACGACTTACCGACATGATTTGTTCAGGAGATTTGCTTTTTTCGACTGATGACGTAGTCAAGGTACTGTATAGGCAACAGATTTGAGCGATCGCGGATCGACGATGGACGAGATTTTCGAGCAACAACCTTGAACATACCGTTTATGACGTGGGTTAGCTTGTTAGTAGGCTGATGTGGTGCGATCGATAGTTGTTGTAGTTGTTTGTATACGCTCGAGTTGCGAGTTGCCTTAGGCAGGTCGTCGTCGCCGTCATCGGCGCTCCGGCAAGCGACGCGATTTTGGCCGAAGCTGGCGGCCTGGACCTTCCGAAAGGTTCATCTTCAAACCAAATAAACCACCTCGACAACATCCCGTTCTATCGCCCCACAACAAGCATAGCAAAGACTAGGAAGAGCAAGCCAAGATGACTGCCATCGTAGCCGGACCTCTGTTGGGTGGACTTGTCGGATCGGCGGTGAGTCATGTCGCGATTCCGAGATCAACGCAAGGAGGTTCACTGAAGATCATGATTCCGAATTACCTTATTGCAGGTCTATTATACCATCTCGCAAACGATCAGCAACCGAACCTCATTGATCCGTTCCGAGTAAGCACCCACATACCCGCTCCCAACGTTCAATTCTCCGTCACATGCTGATCGTTTAACTTGGCCTGACAGACTTCACGACTGCGCCGTCGCCCTCTCCGCCCACTCCTCCTCAAACTCCTCATTCACCCAATCCCCTACCCCTACCTCCTCTCAACTCTCTCATCCTTACCCTCACTACCGCCCCCTCTCTGACCAACTTCGAACTCGATGGAACTCTATTCTGGAAAAGACGGTCACTGGGGTGGAGACGACCGATTGGCAGAACGTCCTCGGTGGTGTCTGGGATGCCGCTAGCGGAGTCGTCCATCGGGTCACTACGAACACCTTCTCCCCTCGAGTAGGGGAAGAAGAATCGAGCTCCTCATCTTTTGGATACTCAGTAGCCCCCAGGGAGGGGGTTGTGGATGCCCTCAAACACAAACTACACGATATCCAAGCGAGCACTACCAACGCCTTGGAATCCGCTCTTCATTCGCACCAGTCCTCCTCTACGAGCTCCACCTCGACACCATCCAACTCTGTTCGCAAAGACGTGGAATTCGTCAAACAAAAAGAACTCGCCCTGGCGACTACCTTGCGTGATGGCAAGATCCCCGGGAGCTTGAACGATCCGTTGGGCAAGCGGGTGGAGAAGGCTTTGGGGGTGGATGATGTTGGCAGCGGGAGGATGGTTTAAGTAGAGGTTATCTGCAATGGCCTGGACTAGGGATTACGGGACGGTTGGAATTGGAGGAGAGGGCAGTCGGAGGTTAACGGAAAGGATACGAAGACGCGCCCGAATCTCACGTCGGTCGGTAGCGCAATACGGGTTACGGATGTGACGTTTAGACGGGTCTGATAGATGTTTATACGATAAGGATGACACGGACGCATCTCGTAGCCCAGTCGCTTGCGGCTTGTGCCCATCGAATGAAGAGGAGTGTTCCAAGTTGTAACCTCTTGCGCTAACGTTGTGTGCTGATCGATCTCCGATCACGACCGAGTCGCAACCCTTCGCGCAGGTCCTTGAACCTTTCGCGTGAAATGGGACTGTCCCGCTTGGTCCTATCCTCTACCTCTAAGGCCTCTAAAGACATAATCATAACCTGTATTCAGTCCCTCGAGCAATTTCTCGATGATAGGGAGTACCGGGGCAAGCTTCCTTGACGTCCTTGCCAGTCCAGCGGATGGTCCAGCGGTCGACGACGACGGTACATGCTTGGCCAGGGGGAGGTTGGCTACATGGCTGTTCTCACTCCGTTCCCGCTTGCGACCGTTAGGCTCGACGGGCTCGCTGATGCCGGGGCCCAGGGAAGGAGAAGACGGGCGGAAAGCCAACGTAAGCCTCTCTCCAATCCTGGTCATCGAACCGGCGGTCTCAGTCTTCTTGTTTCAACATGCTCCCCGAATATGGTCATAAACCGGGTGACCAGTCAAGTGATTGTTCAGCGTGGTCAGGCGAATGTGAAGGGCTTTGCTTGTTACAGATCAACCCCATTGCAAAGGTTACTGCTTGTATACAGGCGGAGAGTGTACGTACTCAAGCTCGGAACGTTCAAGTCAAGGGCAAAGCTTTCCGCCTGCACAAGAATCGATGCACTTAGATGGTTACCACGTTACCACAATATTCACCCCCACCTCGCCCACAGCCTGCTCGATAAACTCGAGTTTTCACCACATATTTCACTACACAAGAAATTTGTGAACGGCTCGACAAGATCCACAACGTGTTGGAAGAGATACCAAAGCATGCAAGGAACGCATTAAGCACATACAATGCATTTTATCCAGGTGAGTGTAGAGGTCAGAAAACACGTCTGGGAAGGATGGGGGCATTCTATCACAGGCACGAGAACTTCGTCCGTCGTTAGGCGGGAGAACTCGGTGTCCTTGCTAGCACAGGTATTGGCAGGGTTACTCTTGGAAGACATCAAGCTCAGTTCGAGGTTGTGGGTGAAATTGTGAACGGAGGCAATCCTGTCAACAGGCCAATGGTGTTGAAGAACCCGGCCCTCATGTTTGCCATTTTCCTTCACCACCACCACCAACCCGTCTCATCTGACTTCCAGGGGTCTTACCTCAGGGAGCTCAGTAACCGTGTCGATTGGACCTGGATAATTGCCGTACAATAAAACCCGGTGATGTTGGCCACCAACGGCACCCTCGGCTCGCTCCTTTGGGAACGGTTTACCGTCGCATCTAGAGACTTGAGTCCGAGTGTATCGAAGCGGTCAAGTTTGGCGCAATCGCTGTAACCCAAACACTAGAAATCCAAACTCGCTCATGTACTCTTTCGCTTTCGCTCGGTGGATGGTGGAGGAGTGGTCAGTCGGATGCTGTCGAATATTGCGGTATTGCACGAGGGGGTCGCTACAACTTCATGGATTCCGGGAGCTGTCGCAATGTCATCAATTGTGGAAAGATCATAGGGTGAACAAATCCCATGGGTGATACGGGCCCGGTTGCATCTCAGGCAATGAGCAGGGCAGCGAGGATCCTTGTAAAGAAGCCCGAACGGGATGACGATGGAGCAGATGATTGCTCGATGACAGCTCCGGATGCGCTCATGGTGGCAAGATGTGCATGCTAAGCATACAAAAAGGTAGCGGATCGATCAGTCGTAATCATGTCAGCGAAGTGGTTTCGAAGAGACTCACCCGAGCATCCCTCGACCTCCCCAGCCTGTTCTCGGTGTGAGCACGACGTCGAGAGTCTCTTCTTCTCGTCTCAGCTTGATCGGGATCTCGACCTGTTCAGCAGACCGTGAGCACAGCAGTCAGTGTTCAAGAAAGCGAGTGTTTGATAACTATGACCTAAACGGACCCCTTCCGATCGCTGCACCAGTTGGCCGATATCCGCTAGAGCGTGTCCTTGATCTGAGGACAGATCGCCGAACTGAATGATGAGATCTCCGCGTTCTAAACCCTGCAATCGCCCAGTGATGTATATGTCAACCTTGCGATTCAATTGATCTCGATCTCCAAAACTGAGGAGGAGCACTTACTGCAGTAGCCGATGGGCTGTTCTCAGAGACCATGTTCACCCTGGCCAGAGGTCTCACACTCGCCGAGCTAGACCCAGATCCAGGTCCGTCTCCGTTGACCATCTTTCCAGCTCCAGCTCCGTTCAACCTAGGTTCGACGACCGCTCCGATGGCATACACTTCCTCCAACACCCGACCTAGACGATCCACCACATCCCGATGATCGTTCCGTAGACGGTTCAAGGAGACTCGAGCATGACGAACGGCGTAAACGTCGATATCCGCTCGAGGAAAGCCTTCGGGGTCGACGAGCGGGGTTGTCATTGTGACATTTTGCTACGACATCAAGCCATTTTGTGAGCCGCCAGTCTCTTCATATCATAACAGTAAGGTTGTACTGACCTGCTCAAGTTGTGATCGGTATGCATCCTGTGTATCGATCGACGCTTCATCAGCGGTGTTTCCCAAACGTAGAGTTCTCTCGTACTGACTATTTCAGCCTCGATGTTCTCCTTCTCTTGCATCAATTGCCTAGCCCGGCTAGCTGGGTCACTCATTTTGATCTACTGAAGGCTGATCTACGAGCATAGTCTGAGCAGGATGGAATGAAGGTGTACATCGTAGACCGCTCTATTTGATTGTGGATCGGAGGTCAACGGATTCGTCATTTGTTTACAAAGTCAAAAAGCCAACTCCGGTTCAGACCTCGACAACTCTGAACGCAGTCAGTCAAGCGCTCGCCACTTGCGAGAGCCGTCGAGATTGCCTGTTACTACCCAGCTGCTCATCTGCTGACTTTTGACTGCGTGCTCCATCCACAATCGCAAGAAAGCACGCTCGACATCGAAACCCATAAGCGAAAGGCGTTCATACAAAAGATACATACATGTCGGCGCTCAAGACACGTCTATTCGTCATCCTCGTCCGAACCCATATCGACATCGCTCCCCTCGTCCTCGTCTTCATCATCGTCCGATTCATCTTGACGGTCCATACGCTCTTCACGTTGAGCCTGCAAGGTGGAACGACCATAAGATCAGTGGTTGTGCGATTGACGAAGGGCATCTTCCGTATCAAGACTCACCGCCTCGATCTCCTGTCTCCTCTGATCCCTGACCTTGCGCTGCAATCTCATCCAACCCCCAATTGGCGTGTCCTCCACCTTGGCATCTTCCAAGAACGCAGCCACCTCCTCCCTCTCGTTCGGCGCAAAGTTCACCCCCCTTCGCTTCTTTTCCACCCATGTCCTCGTCAACTCGATCTTCTCGACGACCGTCTTAACCTGAGCCTTCACTTTGCCCGACCCGCCTCCCTTTTTCAGGAACCGTTTCAGGTGAGCGATGACGGGGATGGTCATCTCCGGGTAAGCCACGTTCCTGCTCATCAGCGCGAAGAAGTCGCCAGCGATGAAACACAGCTCGTCGGCCAAGCTCTCCTGGTACACTCTCGATTTCAAGTACGAGTTGGGTGCCCGGATCACGTATTCCAGGTCAAGAGGACGGAGAGAGCTCGGTTTGGGATTGCTCTTCTTGAACTCGGCCGAATCGAGAATTTCCAGGAGGAAAGGTGCGAGGGGAACGTAAGTACCCGTTCGACCGATAATACGGAGCATCGAGTGCATGACGTGGAATCGCAAGGGGAAGAATCGCGACGTCGGTACCAGTCTATCAAAATCGATGGCACTGTCAGCAGCGTGACAACGTGAACGGAACACTTGCACTCACCGAATGACACCCAAAGCGATCTGTACCAAGGGGAAGATCAAAGGCTCCAATGGACTAGCCAGTCCGCCGCTCTCGATCACCTTCTCCTTGTCGCAAGCCCCGCTCAACACCGTGCTCCAGAAATCGATACAATGCACAAATTGCCAATTATACACCGCTCGGAAAGCTTCCTGATCCGCCTGACCCGATCGGACGACCTGACGCAAGTGGATAGCGAGCGCTCGAATGTACCCGAAGGCGTGTTGGTAGGAGATGGCCGGGTTGATCTGGTAAAGCTCGGCAGCCGAGTTCTTCATCAAGTTGAGCGAAGGAAGGGTGTGTGCCGAGGTGAGACGAAGAGGAGGCAAGAGAGCTGAATAGATGTTCTGTCCATTGCGAAAGAATCAAAAGTCAGTGACCCGTCGCCTTCATGCTGATTGGACGATGATGACTCACCTTCAAGCACAGCTCCTTGATCGTCTCGTCACCAGCAACAAAGACCTTCCGGACGGCCAAGAAACAAGCGATCCTGACGTTATCCGCAGCCGAAGACCAAAGGTCGAGCAGCAGCTGCATCAGGTGCGTCCACTTCCATCAGCTTCTTCGCCTCGTAATCTCTGACATCTCAACGTTACTGACCTTCAAGTACGCCCTGACCTGCCTCTTTCCTTCCATCACCCAAGGCAACATCTTCGTGCTCTCCGTGACGACCGTGTACAATAAGCTGTCCGCGGCACCTTCAACGTCCTCGTTTCCGGTAGGCGCTGATGGCAGTGACTTGATGAGGTACATGATTGTGGTGAAATGAGAGAGGGCGAAACGGGGTAGAGTAGGGTGGGCGTTTGGTGGCGGTTGCGTCTTACTGTTAATGCGATTCAGACGAAAAGATTTCAGTTTATGGCCCTGGCGTGAAAGGACAGAGGAAACAAATAAGACGCACAATTTCCCTGATGCCAACTCTTTCGACGGCATGTGCTTGTTGAGCACAACCGGGGTGAATTTTAAAGCGGTCAGAATCAATTTGTTGAAGACTGCAGCACAGAATATTATCGGTTAGCATCTCTCGTTACACTTGCACATCGGCACTAGCACAGCCTGCACTGACCTTGAGCGCTATCGATCTTATACTTCGTTTCGATCTCATCCTCGTCATCCTGGTTCATATGAGCAGCCGCTCGGAAAGCCAAGATCGTCTTTCTCAGTGATCGTAGCGAGCTTTGCTGTTGTTATCGATCGGTCAGGTATGTTTCTGATCAGTTTTCAGGATCTATACCAAGCTCGAAACTGATCGCGGCTCACCTCGATCATCGCCCGTTGCCATGATCTCAACATCTTCATCGATACCGAGACCTTCTCGACCTCCTTCTGTTCCTCCGGCTGACCGAATTCGGGTTCCTCTTCCGAATCACTCCCAGCATCGTAATCCATCATCTCGTCTTCATCGACGACCTGCTCCTTGCCCTTTCCCTTGGTCTTCTTCTCCTTCTTGTCCTTTTTCGTCTTCTTGGTCACCTCGACTTCCTCATCATCTTCATCCTCGTTCTCTCCACCTTCAAAGTCCAGCAACTCAGCATCGTTCTCTTTCAAGTATTTGAAGAACTCGGGATCCTTCTTGGCGAGGTCGGCAAGGGATTTGGCCATGGCGGCTTCGTCCGCAGCGAGGGCAGCCTCGTTATCGTCGGCATCGTCGTCGTCTTCCTCTTCCAGGTCGGAGAAGTCTTCAAGATCCTCGTCGTCTGATTCAGCAGCATCATCCTGCAGTCATATGACCTGTCAATATCATATCAAATTCGTTTACTGTGTACTGTAACTCACCCCGGCGAGCGCCTTCAAGCCCTCAACAGCCTTGCCCTTGCCCTTCTTTCCACCCTCTTCTTCGTCATCGTCACCGGCAGGCAATGTCACATCCTCATCCTCATCATCACTACCCTCCAATTCACTGTCATCGTCGGCATGCTTTCCCTTTCCTTTACGTTCTTTTCTCAACTTGGTCGCCTCACGTCCCGCGGTCTTTTGCTTGATCTTCTGGTGCTGTCTTCGCTTCGTGATCTCCTGCTTGAGCTTGCCGGAGGACACAAACTTTTTCGTCTGCTTGGTCGCTTTAGCCATTGTTATTCGATGCGCTATGTGGTGTGTCTAGATGACCCTGAATTGCAGGAGCTCGTCCAAATTACAACGATCAAGTCGTTCGAGTTGCAAGTTGATTACAAGCCGAGGTCAACTTTTGGACGATGCCATCGACATCACGTGACCTTCGGAACCTTTTTCGTGAGACCTTCGGAAGCGAATTTAATCACAGTGGCGTCGAATTCTCTGAATGAATAATAATTGATGGTGGCAACCGCATGCTTGCGTAAAGTCAAACACAAAGTGAAACGCAAGACACGGGTATGCGTACTTTGAGTAGCTGAGTATTCGGTTGTATCTGTTGCGTCTTCTGTAGATTTGGAGGCGCTAATGGTTATATGATCACAGATGACGAGATCAACCTACTCGCTACCTCACGCAAATCTTGAATGAAAGGAAACGACGAGCATCTACCATGTGCCGCCGTGCGCCTTGCTGACAATATATATATAGATCAAGGGCGATTTGGGCATCTCCCCATCTCGATAAAGAACTACCTTCTCTCCTCATCGACGAATTGACAAAAATGGCTGCCAATCAAACCCTTACGACCAACTGTTTTATGGCTGGTCTCCCCGAAGACAGGTTGTTCTATTTCCAAGACGAACAGGAACATATGAGCCTGGAGTGGTTGCAAGTGAGTAAGCATATGCTTAGGTGTGCTAAATGTTCACAGTCGTTTCCGCAGGCCCATCTTGCTTGTGGAGACGTCAAGCTCAGATACCGCAACCTGGGTTCCGCCCCAGAGGCGGAAGCTGAGATCCGGGCCGCAATCGAAGAGTATTCCTGGTACGAGCCAATCAAGTCCATCAGAGTCAGTCCGTTCTCATTCTGTTTACATCAAGATTCACGCTGAATGGATGTCTACCTAGTACAACACGGACTTCCACCTATTTTACGTTTCAGGATTGGTAGAAGAGGGGCTTCGTCGAAGCTCTTTGGACGAGTCAACCGCGTGGTTCTCCATCTCGAAGTCGCATCCCGATGTCATCTTGAGACTGGTCAGAGGATCTCAGATTGGACCCCTCTGGGTACATACGGCGACCTTCATGTGCGACCCGCTTGGCGAACACTTTCCACACGAGGCCCTGAATCCGATACCGGAGCCTCCGAGGCTTGTTGCGGAGGATGTAGAAACCGAACCCACGATGGATATCGCTGGGCCTTCAACAAAGGACTTCGCCTTTACCGAGAGCCAAGCTAAAGAGACTGACGATGATGACAAAAACAGCATTGCTAGCTCTGAAAGTCGTCGTACTGCCATTTGTCATGCGCCCAGTCAGAGTTCGCGAATCATATCCATCACAGACGTCGGGTTTACGCCCGTTAAGGAAATCGATGTTTTGGATTCCTTGGAAAAATCTTTGTAACGAACGGATTTATCGATAGCCAGCCATACGAATGTATTTTCCGATCATTGCTGGTCATCGCGAGCGTATTAAAGTATATTACACACAGCTTTGAGTCGTACGGAGTCGTGAACCCAGCGATCGTTATCGCAAATCGAATCGGGGGGCGGGTAACACTGTCCATAAGATTTCGTGTGTTTCCCCAAAGAGATCTGTGTGACAGGTCTTTCGCAGCTACCGCTTAACGAGTGGATAACTGACGTGAATTTTGATGTTGAAGCTGTCCTCGACAGCAGCCCAAGATTGCAGAAACAAGAAATTTGTGGACCCAGATGAGGTCAGGCTGCCAGATGGCCGTCGAACTACGTTGCGCACGCACTGTCGGGCTGAGCTGCACTCCACAGTAATGTGCGACGACTTTGATGGCCCAAAGAAGGCGCAAATGATGTGGCTCAAAGAACCTTACAACGCATCATCGGTCCTCAAAGGACGATCCTTTTTTGGGGTTCGTACGGCCGGATCTGCTCCGGAGAACGTTTCAGCACATGCAAGCGAAAGCGCTATCTGACTTCATCCATGAACCGATCTAATCAATGAATTGCATTCTATCTAAGCGTGGTAGAGGTCTAGAAGCATAAGCCTTCGTACCTTGACTGTCCCAGGTGGAACACGTCGGGCACGACCCGCACATCACGGTTCTGTCGTGCTGAAAGAAGCAGCGCAATGGAAGAAGCGACTCAACCCTTATCTTGATCACGTTCTTTACACAGGGGAAGTAGTCGGAGTTGACTAGCGGACTGAGCCTCACCTGTTGGATCGACTGAGTGCGCCATACAACTTGTCCTGACCCCATATACTCTTACAAGGAGATTGTACAGCAAAGCAATGTGCAACTGGCAAAACCAAACCTTCTCAAAGTCGTTGTTAGCTTTGTCACCCCAGCCGTTTACTACTGCGTTTCCGTTGCAATATGACCGCGAGAACGAGACTGTCTGCTGTTCCAGTGATGACCCAACGTCATCGAGGACTTGTCAGGTCCTTTAGGCGATGACGACGCCTGAACGCCGTATGGTATCATCGAACACCCAACAAAGGAACGGGTACAAGAATCACGATTACCGTACCACCGTCGCAACGTACCGTATTGGCGATCGCCTATATAGCTGATGTCTAATACAGCTCTGACGCTGGTAATCCGCATCAATCTGGCTCAAAGATCAACTTCATACTCAAAACTGCAGGGCGCTATCGAAATGTCATATAATGCTTCTACCGTCACTACTGACGCTTGGATGGTTTCCAGCGCGCGAGAAGCAGTCGAACTGGTCAATTTTAAGGTATATGCTCTACGTCTTCTACATCCAGCAGCTCAGGCAGCCAGTCACTGACTAATCGGTTCAGCACCTGCTTCATCGCACTGTTATTACTGCGGATCGTTTGCTCGTGAATCCTCATCAATTCAACAGCGCGGTTTGCACTGCGCAACAGATTGATGAGGTAGTGAACCAGCAGAAAGGCAGAATCTTGTGCTGCATCCCTCGAAATTGGAGAACAAATCAGGACTTCAGCTTGGTGAGTTATGAAAAGCTCTTTCACATCGGTCTTGACCTCTGAAATCGATACTCAGGAAGGGGAGCATGTCCAATGCGCGAGATATGCTATGGTGGAGGACGCCCAGCTTGACGAGGACATACAGGAATACGAAGGCAAGGGATACAAGACCATGAAGCGGCCGAATGCCAGGAACGCTGCGCAGGTTTTCGTTTCCACGTTCGATAAGCAGGTACATGCCATTGTCCGCAGCCTTGATCAGCAACTGACTACTGGTGAAGGCAAATTCAAAAGGAAAGCCTACGCCTGGGAGATCAACTTCCACTTGGCATCCCTCGTTCCTGTTGAATCTAGTGTGATAGCACCGAGGATGCCAGCCACGATCAATGACAGAAGCTTCTCCCAAACTTCCATACCATCCACAATATTCACTTTCAGCGGGTCTGTTTCGAACCCATCTGGGCCGATTATTCTACCAAGGCCTGTACTACATCCTGATAGCGCCCTCAATGGCCTCGTCGATCCCAGGTGAGTTCTGCCGAACTCGTAATGCTGGAATGATACTGATCTCTCGGATTCTGCAGGCGACACGGTTACTATCTCGGGATCCCGCCGGTCTCTACAGAGCCCCCCGACGGATCAGTAGCAGAGACGTCAAGCGACGCCCAGACGACTTGGCCATATACCACGCGAAGTTGAAGTTGGTACAGTTAGGCGAATGTGTCTTGACTACTGACTACTGGATTTACTGAATTTGTCACTCAGCTGATCTGAAAACTTATGATCTCGCCTTGTACCGTAAAACTTGTAGATGCGCGATCAGGACGAGTGATGAAACATCGTGTACTTGTGTGAATTATGTAGATTTACTTCCATGTCTCATGACCAAAGCCTCCCGCCTACGTTGATCCTGCGAACGAAATTCTCGTCACATCGTGGTCTAGTCGGTACCTAAATGTCGAGGAGGGGGTGCTTGGAACGCTCACGAAGATCATTTGATATCCGGATGCTAGCTCACTCTATGTTTTACCCGATTCCAAAAGCATTCGAGTCTGGAATAGGAGTGACCTCTCTTTCTTACCTCTGATACAGAGTGTTCGTAATAATGATTCCATTGAACGGTCACCTGCACAGCTAATCACGGCGTGTTCCCGCTCATGTAGTAGAAAATACTTTTTGTTACCAGAATCCCAATCAGATTGACCACATGGGACCACGAAGATCTCCAATGTGATCCGCAAATGCCATGATCGTTTCTGGAACCCATCGTTGGGTCCAGCGTCAGAACTTCCACCTCGGGTCGATATCTTTTACCAGACGTTCCATATGAGGTCCGTTCCGGCACAAAAACCGGATAGACCATGCTGCACTCGCCCGGTTGTACCGCCGCCGACGATACGGAGCTGGAACTCGTTGAAACACTGGGTGACCATCAACAAAGGAAACTCACTTACATGATCAGCTCCTCGTACTGTATATATAGGACCTAACAGGAAATCATCCTATGCAGCTGAAATATTTTCACGACCTTTAGATGACTGAAGGCCGAAAATCGAGACTTCAATCCACCTCAAAGACATGTCGAATATCGCAGAGGATGAAACGGCCTGGACCATTCTTAGCAGTGTACAGATACTCTATGCAGAACATCTGGAAGTAAGTCGGTCGGGGTTTTCAGTGACATTTCGTTCTGACAACACATTTTAGAGCCTATTTCGGCCGGGCAAAAGAGTTTGGCAAGCCGACAATTTGATTTGTGACCCGGGACCTTCCGGTACAACAAGCTCCGAGGACGTCACGGCCATTATGACAGCTCAAAGGGGGGTCATCATGCAATGCATCGCAGGGAAATGGGGGGCGAAACAGAACCTAAAAGTGAGCTGAACTGTTGGGCGATCGTAGATACGCTTACTAACGAGTCTCGATAGGAAAGCATATTGGAAAATTGCATGAAATATACAGCAATCGAAAAGGCTCACACTAAAGTACCAGATCAAGAAAAAGCAAAGATCGGAGACGAAGCCTACTGCAGCATGCCAGAACAGGCGTTCTTAGATGCCGCCAAACTATATTTCACTTCGAAGACCAACGATCAAGTCCATGTCACCATTAGCTTTTTGCCCCCCCGAATGGTTTGGATTCTCGGACGCCAAGCACGACTTGGTCAGGCGCGACGGTACCCGTGTAGATTACAATTCTACGTCGAACAGTCTGTAGGACCTTGGTCCGCTACCGTCTCGTCATTGCCAGGAGATTCATCCCAGCAGCCTTCGAGCTCCAATACGGCGGAAATTGAGAACGCCGGTATAGATCCATTCGTCGCCACTCAGTGAGTCTGCGGATGCCAGATGCATACGAACATTTTTCTTTGTTGCCCGAGAGCTAGCAGCCAATCTGACCACAACCCTCACAGAGGCCCTGTAAGCACTGTTCAAAAGGATTACACGATGTCGCTTGGTTCCTCGTGAGTGGTAGGCAGAACGTCATGAAACCAATGTGATAGAGCTCAAGAGAAATTCATCTCCGACGAATGGGCGCAAATCGCTACAATCAGAGGGAAAGGCTACCGGAGACCCATCCTCGCAAGAGAATCGCGCGGACGAGAAAGAACTCTGGGATCTCGTGGTATTCCCGGAGTGAGTGGACAAAAGATTGGATCGATCGATGAATGAATTGTCACACGCCTAGTGTACGTCAATACTAGCCTCACTTGCGTCGGCCGGGTCCTTGCCAGTTCAGTGTAGTGCCTCGTGTTATTACCGTATCTGGTTCAAAAGCCTCAAAAACACCTTTAGAATCGGGACCCATCATCGCTATGCGTATGCTGTACTTGAGAAGAAGTCACGATGATGATATTTCGTCGAATACAAATCGCATTATCCAATTCTCTAATAGCGGAATCGTACATGATGTTCCTTCGCCTCTTACATGATACCTAGGCGCCCACGATCCTCCCTCTCTTGCCCCACCTCCTCATCCTATGTTGCACGAGGCTACAAAGCCTGCTCGAAGAAGCTCGGTCGATCAGCCTCCCCGAGAAGATGTTGTCCCGAACGCTATCCACAGCCGAGACCTGTACCCGATCAGCCCCCAATTCTCATCAAAATCGGAATCGGACTCGGGCTCGAAACCGGATGAAGAAACGCGGACTCACCCTGGCCATAACAGCTCGTCTCCACTTCGTCTTCTCTTCCTGTCCGACGACGTACCGATCGGCGATCGCGTACCCCACGGTCCCGATAGTGACTGCCCAGAAGATCTTGGGGAGGATGCCGATGGGTTTGGCGTAGGTGTACATCTTGTTGGAGGGTTCGTAGAAGTTCATCGTCGGAAAGATTTATGCGAGTTGTAGTTGCGATGAAAGTTGGTGATTGCGGTGTTTAAAGTGGATGGTTTGCGAAGAATATTTGTGTGCGTGTTTGTGGCTGTTTCACCGGTTCGAGACCGACAGACCTCGATCCCACTCGATTCATCGACCTTTATATCCTTCATCTGACATCGTGTCCCGTCTTCGTGCAAACTCGCGAAATTGATTCTCGCTTCAGACCGCACTGCTGCCCATTCCTATCCCAATTCGTAGCCCACAAAGTCCCGAATGCGTTTCATCCTTGACCAACGTCAGGGTGGTCGAAGGTTCGGAAGAAACAGGCGCGCGGGACAGTACGCGCGCGCGTGTCTCGGGCATCGTCGAACCTCGAAAGTCGCCGATTCCAGGTCGAGATACTCCTCAACGATCAACAACGAACAGGACACAGCAGGCCACAGGACGGGGCAGGAAGGGCAGAGTGTGGGAGTGAGGGCGTGGCTTCCAGTGGTCCATAGCCTCTCTGTACTTCGCGCATGTGTCCTTGTGTACGAGGCTCCCCGAGATGGAGAGTAACCGACCTCGAGCGGGGTGTCCGACATAAGCGGACCGAGTTTTGCGATCGTGTTGATACGGTATGCGAGCTGCGATCGTACGACGAGCGTAGTACAGGAGGTGCGAAACGTTCCGAGGTCCTTTGATATCGATGCGGTATACGAACACGCAGGATATGTTACCGAGTCGCCCTCATAGCAATTAGAAGGACGATCGAGCTTTTGCCGCAGCCAGCGATAGCCATGACCGACAGCCAAGTTTGTCTCGCACTATGCGCGATATCTACACCGAAATCGAACGTTGCGCAAGTTCGGAGCTCCCTCGAGTGCCTTTCAGATCGACAGTAGTGGGAGGTCAATACAGCGCAAGGTATAGACCGGGAAACGCACTGCGATCAGCTGCAAGGTCGATATGAGCAATCCGCGGTGCACAGTTCATAATACCGCCACTTCGGCCGAGATCCTTCCGCCACTCTGATCGCCGAACGTTTCAGCGACTAATCGTCCGAGCTCGGAGTTGATATAAGAATTGAAGGTCGACTCCGAATATAATTTGACAACCTCTCATCAGAGTATCCACTCCCAGAAACTCACAGAACAAACCAGAAAACAAGCTCATCGTCACCACCATGCCTTCCCCCACCGAACCCCTCGCCACCCACATCTTCACGGCCGATCCGTCTGCTCACTCGTTCGAGGGCAAGATCTATGTCTATCCTTCGCACGACCGCGAGACCGACATTGCCGACAACGACAATGGCGACCAGTACGACATGGTGGACTACCACGTTTTTAGCATGGACACCATCGACGGCCCCGTGACCGACCACGGTGTCTCTTTACGTGGGGCCGACGTACCTTGGGTGTCCAAGCAGGTCTGGGCACCAGATGCGGCTTGCAAGAACGGAAAGTACTTTTTCTACTTCCCCGCTAGGGACAAGGAGGGCATCTTCCGGATCGGTGTCGCCGAGAGCGACCGCCCGGAAGGTCCTTTCAAGCCGGACGAGTCCTACATCCCCGGGTCATACTCTATCGACCCGGCCTCGTACGTCGACGAGGACACCAACGACGCTTACCTCTACTTCGGCGGAATCTGGGGCGGTCAGTTGCAATGCTGGCAACAGAAGGGCGTATTCGACGCTTCCCTCAGCGGGCCACACGAACCCTCCGGCAAGATCCCTGCGCTCATGCCGCGAGTAGCCAAGCTTAGCGAGGACATGCACACGTTCGTGGAAGAGCCTAGGGAGCTCGTCATCCTCGCCCCTGAAACTGGCGAACCCCTGATTGCCGACGATCACGACCGTCGGTTCTTCGAGGCCGCCTGGATGCACAAGTACAACGGCAAATACTATTTCTCCTACTCGACCGGAGACACCCACTACCTCGTCTATGCTACGGGTGATTCGCCTTACGGACCCTTTACGTACCAGGGTCGAATCCTCGAGCCCGTCGAGGGGTGGACGACACATCACTCGATCGTCCAGCACAAGGGCAAGTGGTACCTGTTCTATCACGACACGAGTTTGTCGCACAAGAACCACTTGCGATGCGTCAAGGCGAGAGAGATCTTTTACGACAAGGAGGGCAAGATCCAGCTGGAACCTACGAGCGAGTAGGCTCCATAGGGTGATCCGACGTTGATCGGGTTGATGAATGTAATGCGGATATATGTTCGTTTGCATTACCAAAAGATGAAGAAAAGAATAGTCTATCAAGAACCCAACTACCGCGCTGAACGAGTCTAGGGTATGGAATGCCACAATGTATGCCCAGAAAAGATGCCCAAAGACCGGACCGCCCGTCATCCGTTTTTGCTTCCCACTCGAGTCTCGCTCGAACTACTTCTTCAAGGTAGCGTGAACAGGGACTGGCGTACCCTTGATGCTATCGATCATGAACACAAAGCCAAGACATCAGCATATTCCCTTATGACGAAGACCCCGCCTGAAGCCCGACACTCACGCAGCCTTGACGTAATCCGCAAACGAGACCATGCAGACGGTCTGCCAGATTCCCAACCCGATCCTTGGGGTGACACCCCTGTACAATCCCTTGATCCCGTTCTCCTTGTAGATGTACGACAGCGTGTTGGCGATCGTCTTTTTCTGGGCGGCTCGGACGGCGTCGGCGGACTTCATGGCGGATTGCATCTCGACTCGGACGACTGCGAGACATTCAGAAATCGATTAGCTATCTAGACGGTCAAAGTAGAAGGTTTCGCTGCTCACCCTCGATAGGCTGGTTCCAGGTGGCCAAAGCACCTCCGATACTAGCAGCGGCGATCTTGTCCAAAGCACCCAACTGCTCGTGTTCCCTCTTTCCCCTCACGTTTCTGATCGCGCTCTCGGCAAGACGAGCGAAACCCATTCTACATGGTCAACCCCACCATCACATCGCAATGCCATCATCGATCATCACATGGTCAGCCTTGGCTTCCCCAACCTTGCTTTCGATCATCCCTGCTCGAGACCGGACTTACCGACTACCCCAGTTGGTCATCTGTCTCACAGCGACGGCGTTGACACCCTTATTGATCCCGGCGATACCCTCCTTCCTGTAAATGTCCATGAACACCGAAAAGGTACCCTGAGGAGCGACTCCGGCGGCGGCCTGCTTGTGTCGGGTGATCTCCACCGTCTTCATGCAGGTGCAGAAACCTGGTAGCATTTGTTGATGTGGGTCACGACGAAAGGAAGGTAGCGACGAGCTGTGTAAGTGCTCTAATCGACGAAAACAGGTATGCTGGACACTACATACCCATCGTAGCATAAGCCTGAGCAATTCCACCTCCCATACCCCCCAACAACCCGGCCCCAGCACCACCCAGCCCAAACTTCTCCTTGGCCATCGTCTCAATCTCTCCACTGGCAAAGAGGAGCACCGCACCCTTCGTAGAAGCCTCGATCCAAGCCCAGGGGATCAGACCCTGGTAGAACCCCTTGATACCTCCTCGGGAGAGGACGGTGTTGAACGCCTGGAGCATGGTCTGTTGACGGTTGGCTGCCATCTGGGTCTTGAGGACTTCGAGGGGTTGACCGAGGGTCGTTACTTCCTGTTCATACAGTTCAGGAGCATGGATCAAGTCAGTGAACAGATCCTCGATAGGAAGAGAGATGTCGAAGCGGTTGACTTACGAACTGCACATTGTGAGAACAACGGATTTGATGAGGATCATGAATAGAGCAGAATGGAGATCAGCGTGGTTCGCCAAGAGCCGTTCACCAGGATCGAATATACCATGTTCATCGTGGCACCTATATCCCACGAAACCGAAATATGCAGAGCAACCCGACTGATCAGCTATCACATCTCTCTGCCTGCTTGTGACAGAGACAAGCTGATACTCACCGACCGCGATGTTGCTCCAACTGAATCCTTTTTCCATAGGCGCCATCTTGACTGAAACTTCTTGATTCTATTCGATTACTTTACTGTTGTTGTTAGGATTTATGGTCGCACGATATCGTGACGTTTTTTGTGGCAGAGATGTCGTGTGGAATGTGGATCAACAGCTATCAAAGTGACGGAAACGCGCGGAATGAGGTCGATTCAGCTGAAAGCACACGGCTGATGATCCGGCTGGTGCGATATAACGGTAGATTGTGCTTACATCTTAGACTGATTGACTGGACGGTATGGCAAGGTAGTAGGGGTAGATATTCTTTGATCGTGTCTGATACCAAAATCGAGTGATGGTTATAGGTTCAAAGTGTCGTACTCGTTGGGGGAAACAACGCGCCCAGCGACGCCAAGTGGGGGAAGGTGGGGGTGCGGAAGCAAAGCTGGACCGAGCTGGATGTATATATCGGGTCCGAAGACGGGTGACAACACGTCCTTACAAGCATGCAAGGATGACGACGACCATGTCCAGACCACCTAACGACGCCCATCTCCGAAAGACCATGCTCGCCTGCCCTCAGACCCTGTCAAACCCGCCTGAATGCCGAAGACATTCCAGGTGATACGCCATCCACCCATTGTTGTCTTTGTCCTCGTCATCCCCGCCCGAACACGCCCGCGCTCGTCCGATGGGCAGTCCGCCTGGCACACCTGGACCTGGCCCTGCAGTGCTCCCAGAGTAGAATAATCGCTGGCAGATGAAACAAGGTCTGGTCATCAGATCGTTATACGTACTGAGCCGGATCTGACATCCGTCCCAACATTGACCGTCGCGGGGTAATAAAGTATCAGCGTCCCCGATTCTTCTCTATGTTAGATATTCGAGAAGATCAAGACTCACCAGAGTCTCCTCGAGACCTAGACCGAGCCCGGCCAGATAGATCCCCAAATCGATCGTCGCCTTGTACGCCGAAACGTCGTTCTTGCCCTTGTTCTACGGGAAACGATGACACCGCTGTCAACTTCTAATCCTCGTATCGTTTCTCGATCGCCCCGACCGACCGCGCTCGGATCAAAAAGAGTTATGAGAGGTCCAGTGGGACCTCGACTCACAGCTTCGGTATCAGCAAACAGATTAAACCTGAACGCTACCATGTTCCTCTCCCCAATCTTTCTCGCTCCCATATCCGCTTGTGAGCCAGTTTTCGGTCTGGGTTTGCTCTTCCGTCGACCAAAGACGGCCCATCCCTTGAAACATCCTCTCAGCCTAAACTTGATCGTAAACTCTGGATCAGGTTCCAAGATCGAGTTTGCGGCTGTATGTACCTCGAAGTTCCGGGTGGAAGGCGAATCCAGGTTTTCGTTTTCGTTTTTCTTCTTCGACGCCGAGTTCGTGTTGGGACTGTCTTGCTCAGCTCGATTCTTGCTCGCACCAGACGCAAGTCTGCTACTCGAGCCCGGCCAATAATCTTCTAGACTGAATTCTAGTCCTGTTCCAGTTGATGTGTCCGGCTGCTGCCCGGATCCTGGCTCTAAGCCTGATCCAAGTCCTGAGCTGGGCGCTGAGCTTGAAGTCGCTGCTGCCATTGCGATTGCTGTCCCCGCATCTACATTCACACCGAGACCCAGGCCCGGGTCCAGATTGGTACCTCCTTCTGAACCTGATCCGACCGTTAAAGCTTTCGTCGTCGAGTTAACCAAGATCCCACTGTTCTGAATCTCGTTGAGACCGACTTCCAGCCGTTCTCTCGAGCTCCAGATCGGGGATCGTCTTGCCGGTACCTCGGGTCCCCTTGTACTACTATCCGGACTTTCCGACTCTAGCCTATCGACTTGAATCTTGTCTGATGGCGATGGAGACGAAGAAGAGGAAGGTGTCGTAGGGTAGACCAGCCTGACTAGCTCCTCCGGGACATCGGGATAGACGTCCACCTCCCGCTTTCCCCCCGTCAAAGCCTGTCCGTATGCCATTCCCGTTTGACGCATAGCACTACCATTGTCGACAGTACTTTGGGTTCGAGCTCGTTTGCCCTCCAATCCGCTCGACTGTGACTTGGATGGAGAGGCGTGCCTTGCGCGTTTCCCCTTCGACGAAGTTTGGCGGTAGGGGGATGGTTGTGCAGAAGGGTCAAACGGAGAAATCTGGTAGATGTCTATAAGAATGCAACCATACTGTAAGTCAGCCACAATCTTGTCTCATACTGCTCAATTATTCCGCTTCGTCGAGACCCATGCGGAAATTATCGTCCTACTTACTCTCATCGCTCGACTCAACGAACCCGCTAATCCGCTTGACAGCCCTCATCCATTCTCTCCCTCTCGAACTTTCCCCAATTCCGAGCCCCGATCCATCTATTGGCAGTAATCCTGACCCGGCTGCCAGTATTGGGCCTTCAAGTCCAACATCACCACCTAGCGACAACCTCACGCCAGAGGAGAGGAATTCCAGTTCCTGCCCTATGGCATGGAATGGGTTGTTCGGTTTCGAGTTCATGTCCATCCTCGGTTCTGCGCTGTTTCCGTTCATCCCGAGCGCAGGCGATGTGTGCCCGTTCCCTTTAGGCTTTTCTGGGTTTCCGTTGAGATATTGACCTTGAGAGGTCGGGTCTGGTTGCGTCATCTTTCAGCTAGAGATCGCGATGAAAGATCCGTTATTCAATCGTCCGTTGAGCAAGGTCTACCATGCCGATCCTGGAGGTACCATGCAGACCCTTGATCTTACTACTAACAGCCTACAGTTGACCGAACAGGAAGGACATATAGATTTCGATAATAATATTCGCTCAAAGACAGAGGTAACAAATTAACAAAGGTGTATCGCGCCGCCGGCTGAGCCGGTTATGACGCGCCGTTTGTACCAACTCGACCCCCGCGCACTCTCAGTTGGGCAGCGCGCTCCTCCATCAATTCCTAGGTAGCTTTTTATCTAGAGATCCCAGATTATTGATCAAAATTGGCGTTCCAGAGCCTCTCAGAGCCTCTACACACACCATAGCCTCTCGAGCCTTTCAGGGCCTCTATCTAGCCTTGCTCCTGCCCTCTGTATACACTCAATTACCTTCGATATGGACGATCAAATCACTCAGCTAGAGATCGAAACCCGTACCTATGTCGACGATGTTCATCAACCGATACAGATGTTCCTTGCTGCCTCCCCTGCCGACCGTGATCCCTCAGTCATACCAACGTACCTCCATACACTTGATGCTCTAGTAGGCTGGATCGATACCGAGCTGAAAGATAAGATCCCCAACCAAGTACACCGCAATCACCTTCAGAGGTCTATCTCCTTGCGAGATCAAGTACATGCTTGCTATCAGAACCTCTTACACAACCCCGTACCCAAACAAGAACGATCGATCCTATCGAAGCCTGGGCAAGGCAGCTACCTCCTAAATGTGAACACCGACCTGCTTCACGAGCTATACTCCAATGGGTTCACCGACAAAGAGATGGCTGAGCATCTCGGCTGTTCTAGGCAGACAGTCATACGTAGACGCAGAGCTCTCGGCCTACTCGACAAACGTGCTGCCAAGCATGTTCATACCGAAGAGCAGGTTAGGGAACAGATAGGTCTCTACCTAGCTGGCAGAGACCAACTGACAACGGGTCAACGCAACGTACAAGGCTGGCTAGAGGCCAATAACATCAACACGACTCGAGACCAGGTCCGGAGGCTCATGCGAGAGCTCGATCCCGATGGTACTCGTCTGAGAGCCTCAGTCATGAGAAAGCGAAGGGTCTACAAAGTTCCTTTCCCAAACTCTCTATGGCATATCGATGGCCAACACAAGCTCATCAGGTGGAAGTTCGTCATTCATGGAGGGGTCGACGGCTACAGCAGAGCCTGCGTCTTCATGCACGCTAGCGACAACAATCGAGCCGAAACTGTGGAAAGGCTGTTCCTCAACGCTACTCAGCAGTGGGGATGGCCACAGAGGGTCAGGGTCGATTACGGGAAGGAGAACAATGGTATCTGGCAGCAGATGATCAATATCCGAGGTGAGCCTCATCGACGGGCCAGTCGCTCATTTCGCCCCGGCTGACCTAGCCTCGATGTATCTGTGTAGACACTATCCGAGCCCCATTCATAAGGGGTAAGAGTACCAGCAACACCCCCATCGAGAGGCACTGGAAGGACGTTGGGGAAAAATTCACGCAGAAGTACTCTCGGACCTTCGCTCACCTCGAATGGAGCCACGATCTCGATGCAGACGATCCCATCGACATCTTCTGTTTGCATCATTGCTTCCTCCCCCTTCTCAACCTCACCATCTCCACGCATATCCTCGCTCACAATCAGCACAAGAGCTCCACCAAAGGGGAGAAACATTGGAGCCCGAACAAGAAGTGGCTCGATGGCAACCTCAGGGCTCAGCAGCGAGGCATGAATCTCCATCTGTTTCCGCAAGACTTTCAGCCGGGAGACTTGGACAACGAGGGCTTCATCGATGAGGTCGTCGAAGGTGAAGAGGAAGGAGAGCATGGAGAGGGAGAGGTGGAAGCTAGGCCCAGCGTAACCACTTGGAGGTCCGAGCAGCAGCTGGCCGATCAGGACCGACCTCCGAAAGACACCGACCCATACGTGCAGGTTGAACGTTATCATGAGAACCTGCCACCTCTGCTACAGGACGAAGGGTTTCGTGCTGCTATGCAAGTGCACTTTCCACCTCCGAGCCAACATGAGCCTCTCAACATGGCACCTGATGTAGACGTCGAGGACAACATCTTTGACACGACCCAGTATCTTGCTGTGCGCGAATGGGTACGAGACTCTTTACTGCTTGAAGGCCAGAGGTAGATTGCATACGACTTGTAGCCTTGTACATGACCCTATAAATCGCTTTCCCACGGTGTAACTGTTTCAAAGGAGGGTCAGAGGCTCACCGAGCCTATTGTTGCCGCTTTGAGCCTCTCGAGCCTTTTGTTGTTTGATCGCTTAGGCGACAGAACATATTCTCAGCCAGGTCCATCAAATACAAACAAATCGACATACTATCGACACATATACATCTTCCGCTTTACCTTGTCAAGTAAACACCTTCATCGATATACATTCCCGACTCTACCCTTCTTAAAACTAAATATCCAAGATGTCTGACACCTCTGACTCCCGCCGAAGGAAAGAGAAGGAGGAGGAAGAGAAACGGAAGAAGGACGAGGAGCGACAGGTGTTGCCGGCGCCTCCGGCAGGTATAGGTGAGCCCTTTGACCCGGTTCTGGTTCACCGTGTAGCTGTATCTCACATACCTGCTTCTTGTGATCATTAGCTTTTGCGGCATGGCTCGAGACCCAGCCGAAATGGGTGCAGGATGGGTACGCGGGGGGCGTTGTGGGTGAGTCGAGGCTCGCTTGTATTGTTTGGCTTTGGTATGTACGTCTAACCATCCGTGTTGTGTTCCGATAAGGTCTTGTTGCGAGGCAGCAAGCAGAGAAGGAGGCCGCGGAGAGGCAGCAGGCCGAGGAGGAAGAGAGGCGGGAACAGGAGCGGCTGGCCACCGCTCAAAGGAAGCAAGAGGATAGGCTGGCTATCCTCGTGAGTCTACTCGAGCCTATCTTTACGAACCATATACCTTTAACTGAATAAGATATGCATGACTTGCTTGCAGCGTGCCCAAGTGGATGAAATTGGGAGCACCTTGGAGGGCAGGGCTTTGATGAAGGCCTTCCTCGATAGGTACAACGACCGTTAGTGTTCCGAACCTTGCCATCCGCACTAGCCTTAGTGAACGCCACTGATTCCGCGTTTCGGGGTGTTTTGGTTCGTGTTTTTGTTTCACAGATCTACGAGCAAGGTCGGGGTTGGCGGCTTCGGTGGAGCCGGAGACGGATGCCGAGCCCACGGTTGAGCCTCGGGCCTCGCAGATGGAGGCCGAGCTGGCCAAAATGAAGAAGAAGCTCGCGGCGTTGGAGAAGGGCAAGGGAAGGGCGGGGGCGGGGGGAAAGGCGGCGGGGAAGAGGCCGTTGGCGTTGGTGGAGGACGACGAGGTAGAGGTGCTGGCTGGTCCACCTGCCGGCAACACCCGGGGGGCCAAGAAGGCCAAGGGAGAGGGAAAGTCGAAGGCTTTCCTGCCGACCCAGAAGCCGGCTGGGTGGCCCGATTCAACTTGGGACAATGCGGTGGTGAGTTTGTGCCTTGTACATTTGGGAAGGAGCCTCGACTGATGTTTGATTATGTATTACAGAAAGCGGAGGCTCTTCTCACCGACCCGAGGGCCCGGGAGGTCCCGAAGAACAAGAGGTGCAAGCACTGTGCCTCGCCGGACAAGATGATGGGGAGCTCGAAGAACGCCAAGAACCCGGACGACCCTCTCCGGATGGCCATGAATGAGCGGTACGACGTTTGTGGGGTGATCCCGGGGCAGCCTGGGTGTTGTGTCAGATGTATCTGGCGCAACAACAAGCAAGGGTGCGACTATCTGACGCATCCCTTCGAGGCCAAGCCCAACGTCGCGGGCTCGACAACGTCGTCGAACAGGGTCGACCTCCCTCTTGCCGACGCCCCTCTCCCTCCCGCTCCCGCTCCCCCTCCCCCTCCCCCTGCATCCAACATGGATATCTTGGCCCAGGTCTTGGCCGCTATGGGCAACGCCAACGCCGCCGGTGGGAGCCAGTATACCTGGCCTCAGGGTCGTCCTGGGGGTTCGGGTGCTTAAAGGCTCGTTCGGTTTGTATATTTAATTCTTTGTATAAAAATAATAAGATATTTACGAGGTACAACAAGGTTACAATAACGCCCTCTTTGCGACCCTCGATCTCTTCTCGCGAGGTGGCAGAGGCTCAACGGTCTTGCGTTTGCGGGCGTTGGTGGGCTGTGGTTCGATGACCGGAGCAGTCACAGGGGGTTCCGCAGCCTCTGGAGCCTCGGACTCTTTCTCCATGTCCGATACACCTGGTTCTTTCTTGATAGACCCGGGCATATTGAGCTTGATCTTGAGACGAGACGAAGAAGGGGCGGAGTCCATTGCAGTCACCTCAAAGTCTTCTCGTCGAGACTGAGCGATACGGTGAGGGCGAAGGATGTCGTCGATCAGAGCTTGAAAGGGCTTGAAGCCAAGGATCCCAACCTGTTCGCGGCAAACCTTCTCAAACTCTGCTATAGTCAGAGGACGAGCTGATCACCAAGGCTATCATCAGTGTCTCTCCGGCTATTGTGAGCCTTCCAAACACTCAAAGACTCACCGGGTGTATCGTCCGACTCGGACTCTGAATAAGATTCCCACCCTATCAATGTAGGCCTCGCCTTTGGAGACTCTCCCTGCCCATCCTGGTCGAAGATGTCCTCATGAACTGAGGCTGAGCTCACGGACACCGCTTTGTGCTTGCCCTTCCAAGGAGCGGGCTTTGGCTTCTGCATCCTCTTGTACTTCAGACACTCCCCATAGTGACGAGATAGGCGCTCGTACGGTAGGTTGATACCGCACCCGATGCAGTCCGAGACCACGACAGGCTCTTCTACTGCAGCCTCTCCTGTCTCCTTGTCTTCCCCAACCAGATCGTCGATATCGATCTCGTCAACCTGGCGAATACGAGGCTCCCGTCTCCATGTAAGAGGATGATAGGCCATGGCCTTTGCGATCCCCTCACGGAAACCGACATCGTCCTGAGCCTTCTCTTTGAAAGTTGCAGGTGCAACGAAGACGAAGGGATCCTCGGCGAAGTGAGTTGCGAGGTTGTTAAGGGTCATATTCCACGGCTCGTAGGTGAACTTGGCCGATAGTGCGCCCGTGAGCGGGGACTTCTTGACAAAGACCCAGGCTGAAGGCAATCCTTGACCTTGCCGTACTCCAGCGAAGATGTTCTCGACATAACGAGTGATGTCCCGGCTAGTCATGTCCGTTGTGAATTCACAATTGAACATGTGGCCGGATGCCTCCATGTAATCGACAAGGCCTGCATGTTGTCGTTTCCCCGGCGTTTTCAACTCGAGCTCGTCTCTGACCAAGGAGCCACAAGCGATGTACCCAATCTATCAAGTGCAAATCAGCCTCTATACAGGATCGGAAATACAAACACACTCATGAACATACCTTGTTCTTCTTAGAGACTCGCTTAGGATGACCCGAGCCTTTCTTGGTAAACGTTTGGAGAACGCTGCCTTTCATGGAGTAACCATGCGTACTCTTACGGAAAGCTCCGATACCGCTGGGTTGTTGGACATTCTCTTGAGCGTAGGGTGTAGCTCTCTGCCCTTGTACCATCTCCTGAATTCGACGAGCGTCATGTTTCTTGACGCCAACGGGAGGAGGAGCAGGTGGGGGGGCCCTGGTAGCGACGGGAGGGGTGTCCTCTGGATCGTCTTCGAGTTCGATTGGGGCCTCGGGCTCGGGTCTTTGGTAAGGTGGGGGAACGCTTACGACCTTGGCAGACGAAGTGCTGACTCTGGTCTCCTCCGCAGCTGGAGGAGTCGATACAGATGCGGCTTGGTAGGCCTGCATCTGACCAGGTGTCATCATCTCTTGCATGAGCATCCCGAACAGAGTTCGCATGTCGGCGGGGGTCAAAGACCCCAAGGTGGTGTTGTTGGGCTGAGACATGATGATATGATATGGATTGGATATCTAGATAGTGTACGAGAGAGGCTATGAAAGGCTATAGCAGAGGCTCCAGAGGCTCGAGGTGTCTAAGGCTGTCAGGGGCTCTGGAACGCCAATTTTGATCAATAATCTGGGATCTCTAGATAAAAAGCTACCTAGGAATTGATGGAGTAGCACTTGGCTAGCTCTCAATCTGAGCGCGCGGGAGACGATTTTTGATGACAGCGCGCGAGAAGTCGAGTTGGTACAAACGGCCCGGTATAGCCGGTCATTTCGGCGGACAACTCGGCTCGGGCCGGGCCATAACGTAAAGATGGAGAGGTAGAGGTATATCGACATGCAATAACCAGCAGAGAATCATCGAGGACAGTATGACTGCCGCCAGAAACTCCGCAAGAAGATGTATGTACAAGTTCGGATCGTAAGCCAGAGATCAACGCAAGAAAGCCCAGATTGAAAGCGAGAGTGGCAGGGGAAATTTCGTCAAGAGAGAACGCAGATCGGAAGTGGAATTCGTCAAGGTCAAAAGGTGGAAGGGGAAGGAACAAAAGCGTCAAGAGGTCATGTCGTTGCCAGGCGATCAGTCCATGGGACTTCTCGATCAACCCTCTCGGGCCATCGAAGAGGCTTGTTGTTGCTTGGCGGACGATTCCTTTAAGGCCGTGAGCTGCAAAGATCGCTCTTGGTTAGCGAAATCGCGAAAGGTAAGTCACAGCATGTATGCTCAGCTACTTACCTGCTTCGAACGGAAAGCCTCGTAATGGTTCAAAGCGGTAGACTCGATCAAGTCTTGCAAATGCGTCCTGTCCAACCCAAGCCATTAAGCCTTCTCTTTCTCCCTTCCCTCAATGTTCCGCCCGGTCCCTCACCTGGTCAAAAAGTTTCTCAAATAGACAAACTCGCAATGCCTCTCGTCCTCGACGTTAACGACACCCCACCTAGTCTTTCTGCCCCTGACGGATTTGCCATCCACCACGACCGAGCGTTCCGACCCGACGACGGCAAAGGGGATCATCGACTGTAATTTTGAACGAGGATGGTTGCATCAGTTTCAACCTCCTCCGAGACAGGTTCGACTAGAGTATATGGAAATGCTCACCCTGATCCTCTCATTCAGCGCAATCTCGTCCTGATCGTGTTCCTCGGTATCGATGGGGTAAAGTCGAATCTGGTGATAATGCAATTCCGCGCGAATCTACCACGAGGTCGAAACATCAGCTACGAACTCTCGTATGCAATACTCCTGATTCGTCTACTTACTCGCTCTTTGAAAGCCTCTCGTTCCTGCAAGGTCAACGAGTCCGACTTGGCGATGATCGGGACGACGTTGGTCACCTCGGCCAACTTCCTCAAGACCGTGATATCGATCTGACCAGCGCATATGGCACCATATGGTTCAGCTACTCTGACGTATCATTCATCACGACTTATCAACGGAACTCACGGGCTTCAAGGAATGTCCAGTAGGGTTGATGAAGAACAAACAACAGTGAATCCTGGTATCCGGGATGAACCGATCACGTTGAGCTGTGAGCTCTTTTCGGAGGTAAGTTGAATACTGGTCTTTGATCTGTCATCCATTCCAACTCGATCAGCTTGATTACATGCCGATATGAGGTGTGTATCGAGTGGGACGCACGTATCGAACGATAGGCTCCCAACAACCTTCGTTGTTGACCTGATCGCCATATCCGGGGGTGTCCACGATGTTCAGCTTGAGCCTGACTCCTCCCTCGACGATGACTACGGTGATCGAAGACATCCAAATCAGAACATTTCCATTTTCCGCGGCTGCCCGCGACCGCAAAGGCAGGAATAGCGAGAGACATACCGTGCTGCTCCTCCTTGATCTCGGTCGTCTGACGCATAGGTCCGTCCACCTCGAGCCGTCCTTTCGACTCGATCAAGTGGGATGCGAAGAGGGTGTTGACCATGGTTGACTTCCCCAGTCCAGTTTGGCCTGTAAACAAGAAGGAGACGTATGCCAGGATGATCGATAGGTGTTCTCTCAGGTGAAAGATGAATTTGATGGGATAACGTACCGACAACCATCACATTGAACTGGAAACCTCGTTTGAGCAGCTTGTGCTCGATCTGTCGAGTGATAGCTGGAATACAAGGTACAAGCTATCAGCACATAGCCACGGACGTTACATATGAGATGGTCAGATCGCAGCTTACTCTCGAAACCAACATATGACTGAGCCCGGAGCTCTCCATTGTCTAGAGACATTTTGATGTGTTTGAGAAGTCGATTTGAGTCGCTGTTTTCTGGGGGTGCAAAGGGTTGTTGCACAGACGTGAGATCGTAGAGGATTTCCTTGCTATACCACCGTCTTTGTGATAGTTTCCTAGCTGTTATACCAGGATAGAGGCAAGTTGGAAGTTTGATGAGATTCGAATACCCTTGTCCCCCCCCTCCACCCCCCTCTCTGAATGTAAACATCCGGCCACGCGACCGGGGGCAAGCAGCAAGCAGCGTGCAGCGTGTAGACCTTGACCTACTTACTTTCATGAACCAGCTTCATAGTCGACTATGCATCTCTGCAACCACCTCCCGTAGCCTGAGAGATAATCAATACGCAGAAATCTCTGACTTCTCAATCATGAACTTGTTGCAACAGTTCGTGAGTCACGACTTGCTCCGAGGTTGCACATCAAGCATGCTCATGATCCTGCGTCATCCTGGGTTTCTGTAGGGAACTCCCTTGACCCGTAACATCCCCGGCTTCTTGAGACAGCCTGCTGAAGCTCTTGTCGGAGAGGTGAGTATGTCCACATGTCTATAATAAGAGATTCAAGCTGATACGTTGCCTGCAGAAATGCTACACCTCACTAGTTTACAACCTAAACATTGCCGATGTTGACTGCCTGAAATACGCCTTGTCTAAAGGTGAGAATCCCTTTGACCATCAGCTTCTTCACTCTTCGTCGGGAAATCGCTTAAGCCATCTTGACTTGTAGGTCTTGGTCTCGGGATGGTCATCGGAGGAGGAATCTTGAAAGTACCCCAGATTGCAAAGATCGTCTCTACCAGGTCGACCCGAGGACTGTCATTGTCTGCCTTTGTGAGCCGACTCATGCCGTCTGCAAACCTCATGACAGCTCAACAGGTGCTCATCTCATATGTCCTTTCCTTACTTAGATCATGGAGACCTTTGCCTACGGGATCACCACCGCCTATTCAGCCCGGAACCTCTTCCCCTTTTCGCAGTACGGCGAAAACGCCTTTCTCGCCGTTTCGGACATCATCATCCTCGCCCTCTTCTTCCTTTATGGCCCGGGAGGTACCTTACAGCCGAACGCCAAGGGTCTCATGGCTGTTCTAGTAGGGTCGGTCGGGTTCTCGTTATGGTTGGCTAGCGAGACTCTGTGTCCGCCTGTTATCCGTGAGTGCCGTCGTACCGCAACTCGAGCGTATCTCACTGATGATCCAATGATACTGCATAACCCGATGTAGTCTCGGCTCTACAAGCCAGTACCGTCCCCCTGACCGTCCTCTCCAAAGCCCCTCAGATCGCCTCCAACCATCGTCTCCGTTCGACCGGCAACCTCTCCGCTTTCGCCGTCTTCAACTCGTTCCTCGGATGTGCCGTCCGAGTATTCACCACAGGCCAAGAGACCGGGGACAGTCTGGTCTGGTGGGGTTACTTCTTGGCTGCCGTGTGCAATGCCATCCTGGTCGGCCAGATGGTCCTCTATTGGAGGAACTCGGAAGCAGGCGAGAAGTCGTCGGGGAAAGATTTCCCGCTGACATCTTTGGGATACAATGACCGGAAGAAGGCTTGAGTCGGATGATCGGTATGTATAGACAAGACTCGACATGAAGCTATAGAATCATACACCACACAATTTCCAGATATCACTTCAAAGCTGACAGCTGGGTCGCGCTCCCGAGATTGGCGTCGTCAATGCCACTACCAAGGCAAAGCACCTCCAGGGATCCCATAAGCGAGGAACTTGCCACCGTGCTCCTCCCGATTGGCCTTGTCGAGCAAATCGATCATCGCCTCGACCCCTTCTTTCAGCGTGTGTGGAGCTTCGGAAAGATGAGCCGCTTCGGCCGCTCGGTTGCCCATATCGGTCTGCAGCCAGCCTGGGTCGAGGTCAAGGTCGAGGTTGAAGTCAGAATATAAAGGTGATCGAGATCGTACAAGGCAAGCCAGGTCGAGATGAGCCGACGTGCGAGACGAAGAGGAAGAATCACAAAAACGTCGCGACTGACCTGGATGATAAGGAGAGACGACCAAACCCGTCTCCTCGTTCTGGAGGTGCATCTCTCTAGCGAGCATATTGACCGCAGCCTTACTGGTTCCGTACGCTCCAACAGGTATGCCAGGACTGGCACTGATGCACCCGGCGCCGGAGCTCGTGATTAGGAAGACCGGAGGTCGAGCTCTTCCCCCCCTAGTCGAACTGGTGAGGAGGGCGTGTGTGGCTTGATAGAGGTATAGAGGGCCGCAAGTGTTCACTTTGATAGCGTCGAGGAGTTGGGATGGCGGGATGGTCAGGCAGTCTTGAAGACCGACCATCAAACCTGAATTAGGTATATGTGTATATCAGCCAGTATGAAGCATCTCGACAACGTGTGAGAGACTTACCAGCATTGGCGATCACATAATCCAGTCGATCCGTCAACCCTTTAATCTCGTCAGTCAGGCTCGCATATTGGCTTTCGTCCTCGACGTTGAGAGTGAGGATACGGAGTGCCGTTGGAAATGATTCGTGCAGCTTGTTCAAGTCGGCGCTGTTGACCCGGGTGGTAGCGAAGACAAAGGCGTCGGGTCTGGACTCGAGAAGCTTGGTGACCAGAGCTAGGCCGATTCCTCTGCTTGCGCCAGTAACTGTGGAGTAAGCGCAGCGGATCAGTGACGGAGTGACGAACAGCCTGTTAATCTGGACTGCGTACCAAGATAGTAAGTCGTGTGCCCAAAGTTCATGCTTGGCCTCGGCGCAGTGGTGTCTTGCTGCGCATCGCAATCGCAATTGTAAGCAGCGATAGAGAGCGCATGCGGCCGACTTCGTTACTATATATATACGTCCCCTTCACCACAACCACGACAGAGCAGAGTCCTTTGTGGAACCGACGGTCGGCAAACGATAAGCCATCCGGGCTTCCGGTCGAACCCGGATTGCCCTGATGTGCAGTTTGGAGCTAGAACGAACGTTGCTCCTGCTGGAGTTGCGACAGATCGACGACGATCCATCATCAAACGCGCCATCACGCGCGCGTGCCGACGTCTCCCGAGCGCCAAAGGACTTTCCGGTGATCCGAAACATCCTTTGAGCTCCTTTTGTTCTGTGTTTTGCACCCGCCCGTCCTTTGATCGATCCACCCGTACGATACTTGTTTGTTTATCTTCAGAAGATCAGAGATCGATCAAAGGCCTCAAAGGCCAAAGGATCCTTCTCAGCTTCTCATGCAACTCAGCCGCGTCACCGGCACCTGAACACCTGATCATTCGTAATCTCTTCGGCTTCGAATCAGTCCTGTCCCGCTTCCAAGTACACCTCTCCTCGAGACCCAGCACTTCCAGCCCCGGAGCCCATCACCTAGTTTCCTAAGATATGCCAACCTTGCCTGGGCTCACGTTCCACTCCACCTGCGTCGCGGACCTGGACCAGTTGCGTCCAGCTAGAGTATATCCCGGATGGACCCCGCTTAAACAATACTGCGAGCAAATGGAGGGCTTCTACTACATGCTCACGCTGAGGTACAACGTGTTGATCATGCTACAACAGGAGTCTCTCGGCATGGCTCCAACCGTTGGGATACCTAGGGGAGCTAGAGAATATTTGGAATCGGCGAGACGATATTTCAGCACGCTGAAGGGTTCGGGTGAGTATGATTTCATGGAGACTCCTTGACATCCTTTGCTCAACGCTACATTATATCCAGCTCTCCGACATGCCATACGAGAACTCTTAATCGAGATGCGTTTCTTTGCCAGTGACTGTCAAATCAGGTTCGACATAGGCCGGCATCCCTTCCATCCCGAAACGGGTACGCCTTTAACGAACACTCAGGGCCAATCGTCGGTCGGCGTGATTTTGGTGCCTGTAGCGTATGTGAGTCTCCCTGAACCCGCACCCTGATGTACAAGGAAAACGAGTGATTCACACTGAACTCGTCCGTTTTAGTTCACGATGGATACATGAGGAGACTTAGCTCGCCATCGGTTGCACGAGACCCCATGACTCCTTCCCGACCCCTTGTCTCCGCACAACTCCAACCTCTCGGTTGCATCACCACCGTACGGAGAGAGCTTCATCAATCAGACATTGTTCAAGCCTCATCAATGCTTTGCGAAATCAGAATTATGGATATCGAGCGGACGAGTACCCCGACCGGCGTCCACATCACATAGGCTTTCATGTCACCAATATCAATGGCCATGCAGAAGGATTGCTGGACCGACCGTTCTCGATTTTTCATCATGACTCTATAGAGCCAGAAGAAGTGATGGGGTTGGCGCCACTGGTGTCTGTGACAAAAGGGTTGAATACCACCCCCGCTTTTCAATAAACGTGGTACAAATATCGCCAGAAGTGCTCGAAGCGTCTTCTTGTACGCACGCGACATACCGTTCTCCAGAAGTCCACCACTGCCGCGGGGCCGATTGCTTTCACCTTCAAGAGCTCAAAAATCTGTCGAAAGCGTTCTCGAAAGTAAGGATTCAATGGCGAATCCAGCGGTTAGGATGTCAGTATGTAGGGTTCGATGGGCCTGCGTCCCTACATCTCGCTGTCCTTGGCGATGGATTCACGTTTTTTGCGCTGCCTCGCCTGTCGACAGACCACGTCAATGAATCATGTCAATAGACCACGGCCAATCACAACTTACCCGATTGACACAGTGATTGTCTCCTTCGCCTTGATGCTTTCCTTCGCTTTGACTCCTTCCCTCGCCTCGTTCGCTTCCACCCCTACACCTCTTGCTGTTGACCTCCTTGAATCCCGTCTCTACAGGACTAGCCGCATGTCCCCGTTCCCCTTCGCCAAACCCATCGCCCCCGGCACATTCAGGAACCCTTCATCAGGCAGATGCTCTTTCTGACAACCTTCCGCTTGACTGCCTCCCTCTGCCCACTTGCCTCGCGTAAGTTCCGGTCGAAACCATCGTTCACAGCTTTGCCTAGGGTTCATGGTGAAGAGGGATGGAGAAGGCAATGGGTCAAGGCTTGGTACTGCTTATTGACAGCATCATCCTCATCCAGATTCTTCGCAAACAAATTGATTGGCATCAACCTCTTTTCTTCGACTATATTGCAGCAGTCAAGGCTGTATCTCTGCCAAGTATTCCGCCTTCGCTTTCTGTGTCTCCCGTATGTGCGTCTCATCCGCGGTGACACCCGCAATTGCATTGATACCCGCAATTGCATCTCGGATTCTCGGTTGCAATCAATTTTGGCTTGCTTGTGAGGAGGTCTTGACTGTGATTGGGATTGGGAGCTCTTGCCGCTCTCCTGTCGCAAGCGCTTGGCGACGGCGTGTTCAATAACATTCATCACTCTATCTATACGAATGGTTGCAACATGGTATGCATTAAATTGCTACCCGAGTGTTTGTCATCCGCACATCTCTTGTGAAGTTGGTTGACGTGTTAATTTAAGGCTGATTGTTTCCATTCGTGTATGGACCTGGATTGCTCGCCGGTGTCATTTGGTAGCAAGTCACATCTATGATATGATGGTTAGCGGTTCCTGTTGTTTGCTCTGTAATTTACCTGTCATTACGGTTGATACAACAAAAAAGCTGATCAAACCGTCAATATGATACGCACGCAGCAATCGGAGATTTTGAAAGTTGATTCCTGCCTCAAGCCAACAAGCATCGAGGCCCTGGTCACGCATGTGGGGATTTGGTATCTAGATAGTATCCGGTACAAGTGAGTATGAAGTACAAGGCCCGTTCTGTCGAGCAAGGACAATGGGTATACGTGAATGTCGTTCGAGACGGGGTCGGGATCTCTGATGTGTCCGTCCGTGATCTTCGGCGATTCATAGAAAGGTCGGCTAAGCGATTTCTCCTAGCGATGGATGCTGCCGAGCTATCCATGGCGGTGAAGCCTTATACCAGACAGGCGGGGATGTGTTGGTGTGGTGATGGCAGCGCTGGCCGTCATGACGGTACGGTGGCAGCGTTTGGCTCGTCAGCTCGACGAACGCCGATGAGCTTTCTAGACGACGTCCTCGAATCAATGACGACTGCGATTTATCGGTGGGCTTTTATAGTCCGTCATTATCCCACCGTACTGGCGACGATAGTACGGATCCTTTCATCGAAGCCGTTCACGTTGATGGGCATCTCCAGCGTGTAGAAAGGATTCTTCATTACTGCATCGGAATCTGAGTATCGAAACAGCCAGCCAGGTATGTTTAAACATCACTACCAAGGATATGTGAGCCATGCAAGACCTCTTGGGCTACTCACAAGCTTCATAGACTTTCTGGAGCGTTGACTCGGGATTTGGGTGGGGTAATGACGTGATGAGCACGAACTTGGTACCTGCATCATGATAGGGGCGTTCATAAGCTTCAAAGTAATGTCGCAATCCCGAAATGCCTTGAGTCCACGACCTACCGGTCAGTGTCAACATGATGTTGAGTTTGAAATCTTCTCCCTCGATAACCTGCACTCCGGAACCTTTTCCCGTGGGTGATAGTTTGGAAGTGATGGCGTGAACTCCGTGCAACGTTCCAGCCAGGACAAGATATTCGTTCGCCGTCAAGGAGGAAAGACCCTCTAATAAATCCCGGCAAACATCGAGAACCGGAGGATCAGGTCAAGAGAGCGGGGAATACTTTATGACGAATGCTTGATATAACGAACACACACCTGCATAGTTTCGCTGAAACACCAGCCCTCCAGCCTTATTGATGATCCACAGTCCATGCACGACCATTGTATCACGGCTCAGTCGATTGGTCTTGATCTTGTCGATTTACTGTACGAAGGATGGGCATAAAGTGCAAGTGTTCAAGCGAGGTCTATTATTGATGAGGTGTACCCGGGGAGATTACACGGACATGACCACGTTTCCCGTGAATTGACCTCCCTCATCGATGTCCGTGCATGAACCACTTGAGGTGCCCAATGAGTGAACACTCTTTCGTGATGATCATGCTCAACAACGATATATGCTCGTGGAAAGGGACCATAACGGTACTACCCTTACATCCGGTACCTTCTCAAACTCGACATGTTTTCCCTCCGACGGCAATCCACCTCGCTCGGTCGATCCTTGGTCGCCGGGCGAACCTACGCCTCGAACGCACCGACTGCTCCTGGAATCACCGGAGCTGCTCACACGCCCAAGCCCGGCTCTCCTATCGCTTCGGACAACCCTACCGAGGCCGACCCCCAGAACCTCTACCAAGCTCCTAACCACCCTTCGACCTGGAGCACGAGCCAAAACCCGAAGAAGCACGCCTTTTCCGGACCCCGCTTCGAGCAGGTCAACTTCTCCTTGCAACCCCAACCCATCTCTGCCATGGCCATGGTAGCTGAGGACCCCGTTCGTCTCGTACCTGGCCGAAAAGCGACCTGTGATGGTGGTAGGTTGACAACGCTTCTGATTATACCGGAGGAATTTGACTAGTCAAGCTGAGCATCTATGTCGCGCTCTGTATCAGGTGGTGGTGCTCTAGGCCACCCCAAGATCTTTATCAACCTCGACAAGCCAGGCCCCAAGGCATGTGGATACTGGTTCGTTACCTTTCTCTTTCGATATCGACTTTTACGGGCGGCCGTCTTTCATGAAACATCATGCTGATTCAAGCCTGGCCTGACTTCCCTTCTAGCGGTGTTCGGTTCGAGCAGGCCCACGAACACCATTGATCGATGATGCGGCGGTACCACTTCCGTAATACAATGTTCAGGGCGAACACCGGCCTTGTTGTATCGATATTCATGAAGAAGCAGACATACTTAATCGATCGTTCGGTCACGCCCGGACTGGGCCATTCGATTCTCCGTCTCGGGACAATCGATCACGACGAAAGCGACAAGATTATCGTGAACCCGGATGACGGCCCGTCTTGAAAGGTGGTACAAGTCTAGCATATTCATGCGCCTGTCGTTGGACGCGTAGTATATATACATCGTTGAAAGGCAATAGGGGCCGAGGGGGAAGGGGTGTCGTTACTATATCGTGAGGATCGTTCTGACAAAGCATACGAGTAGACAAGATCCGGTCAATATGCCAGACTCAGGCAACCGGAACCTCTCGAACTCACCCTGTTCGTCTAATCTCACGCCTCCCAGACAGGCTTGCGCAACTGGCTCGCTTGCTTCTTGATGATATCCTTTTGCTTCAAAGGCTGCTGAGCACCTCGAAGGAACTGAATCCTGTTATCTAGTCGTTCGACAAACACGCCAACTTCGGCTATTCCGACGCCGTCACGAAGAACCAGAGCCGCTTGGCGTGCTCGCAGTTGATCACGGAAACTTTGCAGAGCCTCGATCTCGATCATGAGACGAGGATCGACGTAGAGCGCACCAAGACCAGCACCGGATGAGCAATGCTGTCTGGATTTGAGTACCCGCAGCGCCGCGGTCAAAATTGGCTATCGAACCAGAGTCGAATATCGATTAGTCACATGGCATTGCATCAATTATCACGAACGACTTACCACATGACTGGCATTGCTGGGCCTGAGGAAGTAGGCGACATGTTCCGCAGACAGGGTACCGGCCGGGAAACCGTACAATAGCTCGAGAGCAGGAGTCTTTTGAGCGACGTTGCTCTTGTTCCCAGCAGCAGTGGGAGGAACCGGCGCACGGTCCTTCTTGACATCCAGCGTTGGGAGCGCCTTGGACCCGGAGCCGGGCTCTGTAGCCTCGAGCCGAGACCACCAAGTCCAGGCTTGTTTCTCCGTAGCCGTCATCCCTTCGACGGCCAGGGACTCTGGCGTATGTCTGTCTGGTACCCCTTCAAACAGCCCGAGATGAGCGGCAAGGGTGAGACCGCTATCAAGCAGACTGCCGACGTGATGTATCTTTTCCAGGCAAGCTGCGGCCCCGTCCGTCGGCAGAATCGTGACCTGATGAGGAGCGAGTTCCTTGTTCTGGGCCTCCATCTGTATCACGTTTGGGTTATGACGGTTGACGGGAGGTTTGATAGTACTGGTCAAAGCTGTGTTGATGGCAGGCTGATTCGGCTGAATTGGAAGACGCTCATGTTGCGGTTGAGTTGAAATAAGCTCATCTTGCGGCCAAGGTGAAGGGTCCTGCGGGAATGTCGGAGGCTGCGACGGCGAAGACGCCGCAACGTTCGCAGCTGGTACGGCAGAATTAGACTGCTGCACGTTGTGTACGGGGATCTGGAAGCCTTGAGAGCTACTCGCTCCAGGCATGAAGGGGGTAGACGTCGCATTTGGGGCTGGAGCACGATTGACTTCGTCAAACTCATGCTCAGGCCTCGGGCGAAAGAACCGCGAAGGACCTGGAGCCGGCGTATTTCCATCGACCAGTCCAGCCCAGATTATGCTGCTGGGATCTACCCCAGCGTTGTAAGACTGCATGACCTGTACCGTAGTTCTGGCTTCAGATCGTGGGTCCTATACGCTGGTTGTCAGGTCGAGTCTAGGTGCGTGATGATGTCCGAGATGACGAATGGAAGCAGTGAGCTCTCGCGTCGCTAGGTCTGTCGTTACGATCCTGGTTCTTGCTGCCTTTCTGGGCTCTCGTGTAAAGCTGAATCTGCATTCGAGCTGTGCTAACAGGAGGACTATTTCATGGTACGTTAATGATAAGATGATAAGAACGTTGCTGTCTGAGTTGCTCGCTGAGAGGGGGGGGGACAAGGCAAGGTCCCAAGAAATCACGTGATTTGCGACGACGAACGCCGACATCCCGCTCGTCCCTCTGCACAAGATCGATCACACTCGCAAAATCATCACTTGTTGACACAGCAGAGTCGAGTGGATACACAGGTACACAGGTAGCATCGTATCATCCTTGTTACTGCAATATAGATGCCCAACCCAGTAATCGGATCTCCGCAACCATTGCGCATCTCGGTCGACGACGCAGATTTTGCGGATCGCACCGCTCAGTACGTCTGCGACTTCTTCACCTCGCTTCAAATCCGGGGTGGTCGCCCTCAACCGAACCAATGGACTATACTGGCGGCTTTTCTGTCATACACTGGTCCGCAGGCGGATGATCCGGCTGGAGCTCTAGAGATTTTGACCTTTGGTCTAGGAAACAAATGCGTTTCTAATCCGCTACGCCGTGAACAACAGGTGGTGGATATGCACGCAGAGGTGCTAGCTCGCCGAGAACTGGAAGCCTTGTTGCTTGACGGGGTCGGAGCTTTACGAACAACGGAAGAGTCGGATGCCTCGGATAACCAGCGCTCTGCCTTCGCAACGCAAACACTCTTTAATCTCGGGTCAAGGCGATCGGACCTGTACCTTTATACAAGTCATATGCCATGTGGTGCGGCTTCAAACGCAGCGCATCTAGAGCGTTTAGACAAGGAAGACGAGCTCATGAAACGCGTCTTGGATCACGGCTCATCCGATTCGGAAGTGCGAGGCGAATCGTCATTCCGAGCAGATCGCGAGCTCGAGGTCCCGCCATTGACCAAGAAGCCGTCTCGAGGAGATGCCATACCTACCTCGTGCTACTCTTGCTCAGACAAGCTGTCACGGTATCAGGTACTCGGATTGCAAGGTGGACGATTGAGCGGATGTTTCGAAGAGAACGGCTGGCCGCCCTTGCGGATGAGCGGCCTGATCGTAGGAGAGGATTTCTCTGATGGACGAGGATTACGAATGCTCTTCGGGGGCACGATCGTTACGGACACCGAGATACCGCGCTCCTATTCTAGGATGATAGATGGCATCCGTGAGGTCTTTGCAGAGCACTGTGATCCGGCGACTGCTCTGTTTCATGATACACTGGTCGATGCGGTCCGCGATTTTCGAATTTTCCGGACGACCTGGATATTCGCGTACTCCCGATCAAGGGTGACTGCTCTAGCTTGTGACCGCGCTGGCCTTGCGCAGGATGCTGCTACCATATTCCAAGCATTATCGGAAGTGGAGCGAGCGCGATTGCGGACCCTGCCTCTTCCGATAGTGCGAGATACGCTTGTACCGCAACCACCCATCTCGACATTTCCTCTGAGCTGCAGCTGGAGAGTCGGACAATGCGTCGAGATCCTAGGTCCGACCGGCGTACTGAACGGGTCAAAGCGGAGCAAGACGACGGGCGATTTCGAGAAGACGAGTCGATTATGCCGGAAGCGGCTGCAGGAGGCGTACGACGAGATCATAATTTCAGGAGATGGCGCAGCAGCATACGGGAAGGGGAAAGGTAGTCCTATGTGGAGGCTTGTATCTTCTCGGATGGAGGCCAGAGGACCATGGAAAGACTGGCATAGATCGAGGGTCTGTGAGATATAACACCCAACAATGTCGGGATTTGGCGAACCTTATGATATACATCTTTTCCATCGCGATCGTTGAGAAATGACATAAAACCCATCGGGGTGTTGGCGTAAAAGGTTATCCAGGAGATACAATGGCGACGGTCTATGCGGAAATCGATCATATGGGCAAAGCACATTATAATGCTAAGAGTTTGGGATCGATCGAAATTCGACAGAGACGGGCGATCAACCCGCCCAGCTGTACCAAAGTCCCCACCCCCTCGAGAATCCTCATGTGAGTCCAGCCAATCTCCTATGGAGCGACGCTGCGTCAGACCATTATGATCACCTGTCAAACCTCGGTTGTACGTACGCGTATGAACTCCAGTTTCAGGTATTCCGGAAGTCTACCGGACACGCAAACAGCGGATCGTAGTGATTAGCTAACACCCCCAACGATGTTCACCTTGCCATGGCGTTTAAACTTACGCGTCCATCGTCTTGACCACACGGAAGATGGTCACTACGATATCTACAGCGCTGTACCCTTGATCCCACAGATCCCGCAGACCGTCCAACGCATCATCTACCTTTTGCGCCTGGCACTCCTTCATCATCTTTTGGACCACAACGGGATGGGGCTGATCGCAAACTTTGAAGACGTTGTCTGGTGAGATAAAGTTGAACCCAGAATATGTCGATTGCAGATTGTTGATGGCTTGTCTCATGTCACCTTCCGATGTGAAGATCAGGGCGGAGATACCCTCGTCTGAATATGGGACCTGTTTGTTGTAGTCAGCAGGATATTGAAATTACTAGAGGTAACAGATCGCCTGAGGGCTAGGTCACTCACATCTTCCGCTTTGCAGACTTCCAAAAGCCTTTTAAGCACCTCCGTATCCCTCAGTTTTGCGTATCGCAGGAGGGCACAACGACTTTGAATGGGTTCGATGATCTTGTTCGACATGTTGCAGGCCAAAGCGAAACGAGTGGTATTGCTGTAAATCTCCATCGTCCTCCGAAGAGCCTGTTGAGCGCCTGTTGTCATTCTGAACCGAAAGACAGGTAATGCCCGCAGGTTTAAGCCACTGATCTAGAAGCTGCAGATCCTCGTCGAATGCCTCTTACGAATCCGCTTCATCGAGAATGATGATCTTGTGACGTCCAGCCGGCAGCGTGACTTTCCGCTGAGCGAAGCTTTTGATCTTGTTTCGGACGACATCGATACCTCTATTGCAATCATGATATCAGTAACTTTTCCAGGAGCGAGCTGTTGCAATGACCGCCCTACGAACCTCTCGTCGCTAGCGTTTAATTCAAGCACTCCTTCTTTGTAGGCATCACCGAGCAGAGCATGTGCCAGACAGTGAATTGACGTTGTCTTTCCGATTCCAGGCATACCCTGAGCACAAGATGCGTCCGGAACAGATCAGTACCTTCCCCTCAGGGATTTATGATCTCGGCCCCTTACCGAAATGATGATGTGCGGCATGTTACCATCCTCTGCAATAACTTTTAGCCTTTCGACCGTTTCTGCGTTTCCAACCACATCGTCCAGGACCATCGGACGATATTTCTCAACCCTTAAACAGGTATAATCGGTCTTGTTGTCAGCCATGAAACACGGCTCCATCATGTGATGGGAGCACCAGTACTCACCATGGCATCTCGTATGATTCGGCATCCTTGTTCACCGAGGTCGTCGTGTTCTCAAGAGCGACCTCAATAGATCGCCCTGGTGGGGCTACTTCGGTTCCCATCGGTGTCACACGAACTGGGGCTTGACAGGTGAATGTGGTGACTTGCCCTTGAGGATCTATGGACACATGGAGGGAGTCGACGTGATGTTACGATCTACGAAGAATGGTAAACACCCAAAGGTCGATCGGAGTTGGGTGCTGCTGCTGTTGCTGCTGATCGGCGAGGCCGCGTCGCGCGAACGCGCCTGAGGTCATCAATTACCAGAATTACCAGAGCGACTGCAATCGGCGAGGCACAGTTCACCAGCTAATAGCTAGTAGCTAGTATACGGTATATCGTATAACTCTTTGCGTATTGCGAATTGGCTAGCTATCGGCTAGATTGAGATACAACAGGGGGCTTGACATGAAAATCGTTTGGCAGTCTGTTTGACGTCATGGCAGGATGCTCTGAGCCAGCATGTTGAGCACCCGCTAGATCCAGACAGTAAGGGTGTGTCGGTCGTAGAGATTGGTTTGATCGCTCAGCTCTCCGAGATTCGGGTAGAATGGCACCATGGCGTCCTGAGCTCCAAGATAGCACGTGTTGTAGATCCGCCAAAAGACCTCCCTGACCCTACGAGACGGATGGAACAAGCCTTGCACCACGTAGCTCATCAGGACACCCGGGCCGAGACCGACACGCATGGCCTCGATGGCGTCCATAACTCCTCCAATGACGTGCGGACTGGTTTCGAAGATGTTCGGCCAAACCAGATTCAACAGGTGGACCAGTGCATCTTCATTGCCAAGTCCCGCTACGCCCAAGGTGAGATGCTTGACGATGGCGCAGGCGGTCTGTCGGTGCACGTGGTCCCGGTCGGTCAGAGCGTCCTCCAGCATTCCAACCACCGAGTGGATGTAATCCTTTGACATCTCCCCAACGTATTCGAAAACGAAGGAGAGGGCTTTGAGACATCCGTTTCGTACGTTGAGCTCGGGTGTACGGTATTCGTTGAGGATTGCAGGAATACACGTAAAAGGACCACACGTCTCGGCGACGATGGCTAACGAAACGAGCATTGTCGTCAGCGCGTTCTCTTGCGTGGTTCAGCGAACTCAAGACTTACCGATGGCGACCGTACTGCAGACTCGACTCTGACGCTCTTGAACTTTCAAGTTCGTCAGGAGGACGCTCAATACGTCTTGGGGACCGATCGCTTTGGCGATATAACCGAAAGAGTTGACAGCCGCTCGACGAATGGACTTCTTGTGCGCCTTCAGCAGATCCAATAGTTCGAAACAGATTCGCATCCATTCCTTGGCTGGGACGAACTCGGCTCCTCGATCGGCTGGGAAATGATTGGAAAGTTAGCTAGAGATCCGTTCATGTACGAACACGACATTGAGACGTACCTATACGACCGATCAGGTTGATAGTTGCCTCTTGTACTTTTTCGTGTCGATTTCTCAAAATCGGTGTCATGCGGGGAACTGGAGATGATACGGACACGAATAGTCTTAGCGTTTGCAGAACTGGGGCGTTCGAGACGACTCACGCAAGTCCTTGATAGGTGGATTCATCTGCGTCATTCCAACCACGTTGGCGATAGCTCCCTCGGCAGCGATGATACTAGAAGTCCAAGTCGCATGAGCATAGAAGTAAGGCATAATCTTCGCGCAACTGAGCTAACTGCTACGTACCTTCCTAGCGTGTCCGGGTATTCTTCACCAAGATGCTCAAAGAGCACGACACCTAATTTGCTCAGCAGACCATCTTCGCCGCAATTCTTGATCACGACCGCGAGTCTAGCAGCGAGATCGGCGGCTTGCATTCGCACTTTGGCACTCTTGTTGGTGAACCGCCACAAGATCGTAGATACGATTTGGGTGAGATACGGTTTTGCTCGAATGCCTTCGAATAGGAAAGGTGCACATCAGTGCGGTTCCCTTCTCACAAAAACGCCGAGCGAACTTACCGAGAGCGCTAACCACTGTACCGAAACCATCAAGCATCACGTTGTCTTCAAGCGTCTGCTCCGAGAATGCGTAAATGATGCCGTCAATGAGGAGGACCTCCAATCGCTCGTCGACGTCCGCGGCTCCTGACGATTCCACGACCTTGGTAATGGTCTCCATCACCATTTTACGGAAAGGCTCGCTATCATCCTTGAGATCGTTGACGATCCGTCCGACAATGTCAGCGACGCCAGCCTTTTGAGCAAGCTCTACGGTGGTCTCGACCAATTGTTTGTAATTTCGACGGTCGAGCGCCATACGCCTGACCCAGAAAGCTTTGAAGAATTCGGGCAATATTTCCTGTCGAATGTACGTCGGCGTTACTCCTTCTGTTGCGGCACATTGCTTGATGACGACCAGGACATATTTCTTCATCTCTTCGTCGGTCGTCTGGAATTCTCGGATCAGGATCGGTACCACGTTGCTAACGTAGTAGCTCGCATATTCGGGGTCCATCAACGGGATGATGAAACCGATAGCTTTCAGAAAGGCAGCTAGAGTCTTGCCTCGATGCACTCGCCCACCCAACCAAAGTGGCTTGAGGACGTTGTCGAAGGATTCGATTCCGTATGGAGCAGCAGCCTCGGCCAACGCAGCAAGTGCCAACGCGGTCATGGTCCTGACCTTTTGCTGGTCGTCTTCCAACCCGTGGGCAATCGCGTCTACCAAGTTCCGAAGATGCGGCAACACCGCACATCCCATCATGATGGCGATCTGCTGCACGATCCTGATACCGGTGTGGCGGGCTTGCCAAGACTTTTTTGATCTGCAGACAGCCTTGAGGAAAGGCAACAACGCCGGTATACCCAAAGCGCTGGCGACAACAGCAAACGCACGAGACGTCGTGTTTCGCACGTACTCGTCGACATGATCGATGTCAGGTCGCATGGTTGAAATCATGTGCGCTAGCCCGCTTGCTTTGGCCAAGTTACTGATGATCTCTCGTCCTTCCACTCTCGCGTAATAATCCTCGTCGATCAACAGCGGTTCTATGACCACCAGGATCTTGTGGACGTAAGGTCTTACGAGATCATCGAGCTTGTAGAGAATTCGATCGATGACCTTGACCAAGAGATGACGTTCCTGGTCCTCCAAGGTTCTCTCCATCAACAGGGGCAAGATTTTGTCGAACAGGGGTCCCGCTCCGAACTCTCGCGCTTTGTCTGTGATGGTACGAAGTGCGACCTTTCGGCTGGCAGGAGTCCCGTTCTTGATTTTCAGCAGCAGCCGCATAATCTTCTTTTCTTTCAGCTCTTCAACGGTCAGACCGACATCTGACGATTCGTTTGCACCGTCACCGAGAATCTTTGCGAAATACGTCGCATCTTCGGGCTTGAAAAAGGCCAAGCTACCGACTCCTTCAATCTCGGTCGGTTCGGCGTGACCGAGACCTCCTGCAGCTGCTACAGCTGCTTGCGCCGCCGCGTCGTCTTGCATCATGAAACCGCCATACTGCTGCCCTTCAGAGTTTACTACCCCGCGATTCGGCTTGGTAACCGGAGTGTAGCCAGCGGGAGGCGTTACGATAGTGTAGCCCTCAGAGGGCAACAGCAAATCCAGATCGGCATCCGTCATATACCGATTACGGGGATCCTCTACGGCGCCGGCCAGCGTGTTACCGGTACCGGTGGGATAGGTAGTCATGGGCACGGAGGAGCCGTAGCTCGTCAATTGCTCAGGAGTACTGGCTGAAGCGGGTGTCTGATCCCAACGAGAACGTTTGACTGGGGCGGTACTCGGCTTGGCCTCTTCCTGTCCCTCGGCACCCATGTCCCAACGAGATCGGCGTTTCCTAGGTGGCTCCTCGACTTTGGCAGGCTGAATCTCAGGCTTCACATCCTCCTCGTTCTCCTCTGGTAACTTCCTCTTGGAGGAAGGAGGAGTCACATCGCCTTCCAAAGCGAGCGTCTTCCGAGGAGGTGTTTTGTCGAGATCCATACCATCGTGACCTACCATGTCGCCACCTTCTTCGGCGCCTTTCGCTGCCAAGTCCTCCTTGTACCTCCTGACCCTCTCCTCTTCTCTTTCCAAGTTATTTCTCCGCATTCGCTCTGCGTATGTCTCATCCTCACCAGCTCCCTCCTCCCGGTTGAATCGTCGCAGCTGATAATCACTCTGACGGGCTGCCACTTGACGGGTCTTTGCCGTAGCCTCGAAGATGTCTGGCTCATCGTCCTGTTCAGCGAGTTCGGCGAATTCATCGAGAATCTCTTTCGGGGCGGTAAAAGACTGAAGCGCTCGACGCTCTTGTTCGGCCATGATGAGGTTGATGAGGTCGGCCTGGAAACCCTATTGTTATGCGACTGTCAGAGCTCACCTGGAATATACGTACTTCTGGCAATCATCCGATCGATCGCCAGTTGGCCAGTTGAGTGAGGTCAGGGATCGCGCGCGGACAACTATGACGATTCTGTAAGTCCGTTTTATGCGTGATGTCTCCTAGGCAATTAGACAAAGCAACAAATAACAAGTCCGTTCTTAGGGATGAACCAATAATTTAGTCTCGAAACCCATACAGGGAAGGATCAAAACCTCCACCAGCATCTGTTTGACCTGGCTCTAGGCTGTGGCTATACGCAAGACCTTCACAATGTTACAAAGGTGACCGACAGTAACAGGAACTGTTGTCAAACGGATCAAAGCATCAGTAGATTTTGTGCTAAGATGGATAGAACCCAGCTAGAAGTCTTGAGTAACTAGTCCTTATGTCTGACTGTGAAGTGCTTGATAAGAGCACCGTTATTGCTGAGAGTTGGTGGATAGTGCAGTATTGGTAGGCAGCAAGTATGTCAAGAGTGTAACTTGTGATAATTCTTCTTGAAGAGAAGAATGAAGATCACAAAGGAGGGAACTTACAATGACAGCAAATTGATTGGCTATATATATTGATGTCTTGGACATTCCTAATAATGCTCCCAATCAAGATCGAGATTATGGTCAAGGTCTAGGTTATGGTCAAGGTTAATATCATGGTTGAGATCCCAATCACCATTCTGATTTATGATATCTGATATTGGTCCATCACACACAGTCATGTCACGGGAGGGCTAGCCTTACAAGCTGTGACAAGCCTACTTGGAGAGGATCAAGGTTTGTAAGACGGGTAGCTGTGATCAGGGGATGTGAACAAATTCGAGAGACTTAGCTTAGTAATATCCCATATGGACCACTTGAGGTGTCAGTCTGCTGAAGCCAAGTGGGATGAAAGGTGTGATAAGGTTTGTGAAAGTGATTTATAATATTAGACAAGAAGGAGTCTGGGGAGAAATAATGTACAGACTATCCAAAATGGTATTACAGACATCAAACGGTGCGCATTGCTTTAGACACATCCTTAGGGATCCTCTCAGAGACTACTGTGCAGATGTACTTGCAGATGTCTAGCTAATATCCTGTAACAACAGCTGTCGATCAGCTTCAGATTTCCTTCTGTACTGGCTTGATTACTGGGAGACAAGTGATGCTCGCAGTGAGTAATCCAGCTTCAGACGTCAATCTACCTGCTTGTTGTGCAGTTGCCAGATGGGCCTAATGAAGCCTACTCCTTGGCAAACTAATTGCTCCAACAAAAATCTCTAGCTGGACATTGATAAAGGATTTGCTCTTGCAGTGGGAGTCAATGTGATGATACTGGCAACCAGAAGTTTTATTGGCAAATCCGCCAATCATGAGGGTAAAAAGACGGTTGTGGATTCACAGTAGGAGTGGAAGTTTAACATTGCCGCCAAGGACAGCATCCCTGTTCACTGAGATGAGATGGAGAATCTGATAATCAACTGATATTGTGGCAGAGTTGGAAGGACCTAGATTCACTGAGATTCAAATGAGGATGCAAATGATATGAGTGACAGGGGTTGAAGCATAGACATCTGCAATGTCAATCTGAAGTCAAAAGGATCCTGCCACCATCGTCCCACCAACCATCAATTCAAGTTCAGTACAGTATCCTGGATGTTAAAGGTTGGCTTGCTATGATAGCCAAGGAGGTGATGCTCAAGGTACAATCTCAAGCACAAAAGGTCAACATGTGATCCTGCTTGTGATCCTGGATGTGACCAGGATCACATGTCGTGACAGGAGACCCACTCATGCATCTGGTGTCGCATCATGATAATGTCATTTGTGACTGGAGTCAGAAATACATGTCTGGAGGCGCAAATGCGTGAATGGAGACGCAAATTCACTAGAGAAACATGCTCATCAGAATAGCATATATAACATGCAAAGCAGACCATTTAGTCCAATTTCCCCTTCTCTTCTCATGTACTACTTTACTTCTTTCAAGCAACATGGATTATCTTCACAACAAGACAAGATCAGCACTAGTAGCACACCATCACTATTGCCTAGGTACATCAAGAAAACCAACCTTGGTGGATCTAGTTGTTACTTCAACGGAATATATAACTGTAGACGCAGATGTTGTTGTAAATACTTATTTCTTCAGATTGTGCATATCAATATAGCTATACAAGAGTTCCAAAGAAGCAACGTGTTATCCCTTTTCTCTCTTATGAGGGCTCAGACCCCTTAACAAGATATATCCTTGTTACCCTTACCTTTCCCGCTGAGAAGCCCGAACGAGAGGTAAGTCATAAGCACCAACATGACCTGGCTACCATAGCTACCATAAAGGCATCAACTGCACCTGTTTTGCAACATCCTACACAACATCACTCATCATATCATCATCCAATGACATGCCATGACGATAGATGCAATAAGCACTGCCAACGCATTATGCCCCAATCTACAAGTTCTCGGAACGTCCATCTGAGAAGGTCTACAAGACTAACCACCCGGTCTACAACCACCTCAGCCAAGACCTCTTTGCCTTCATTTACAAACAGTCAAACAGCTGCGCAAAGCGAAGCTATATCCAGATCCTTGATCCCTCAAAGAGCCTTAAGCTTTGACTCCGACCTTTCTTCCTCCCCCCCCCTTTTCCAATCTTGAATCCTAATAACATCTACAATGATGCGATATCGCTCATCCCGGGAAGCTTGAGATGTTCCAGGATAAAGCCGGTGAAGTTGCCTGCGAGAATGCACGCAGGTTAGAAGATATGGTGAATGACCAGTCAATGGAGACCGAGGATGTACAGAACGGGGCATCCGGGTCTGTCGCCTTCAAGCCGGTGGAAGTGGACGAATTGACGGAGTTGGACAAGGCGGGTATAGACAACTCGACAGATAAGGCGGGTGTAGACAACTCAACAGAGTCAAAGGAACTGGGCGCAGACAACTTGATGGAGTTGGACAAGGTGGAAATGACCAAATCAATGCAGTTGGAGTCGGTAGGCGCAGACAACTTGATGGACTTGGACAAGGTGGAAGAAGTGGTCGAATCGATAGAGTCAGAGGGGACGGGTGCAGGCAACTTGATGGAGCCAGAGAACATGGAAGATGACAAAGTCACCGCAGAATTTGACAACCAAGACCACCACAATGCTCGATTATCGTCCACCACCAACAACAGGAGTAATCGAAACAGTCCCTGGTATCGGAAGCGAAACGGCAAGAATGGGCAGAAAAAGGGTGGGTGTTGCCTGTGCCTGAATACGCATAAACACACCCTGATGATATATACATGAATCCTCTATAGAAAACCTCGCTAGAGACGGATGTCCAGGTTCGGGATCCCTTGACAGAACCTGCCGGTCTTGCTGGCCCAGGTTTGTCTACGTCAGAAGTGAGGGTGTCTGTGCGTGTGTGTCCATCTCTCTCTCTCTGTAACGGAACTTGGAATCACTCTGGAAGCACGGAGGCATATCTGGAGACATGTCAGGACATACGGAGAGATATAATCACGTACATTTGGAAAGACGGAGACATGATAGGAAAGACGGAGATATATCTGGAGAGATGGAGATATATCTGGAGAGATGGAGATACATCTGGAGAGATGGAGATACATATGGAAGAATGGAGTTATAGCAGGATGATATTTTGGATGATTGGAAGAATGGATAGTCCTATTAATACACTTCCGTTTAGCTGTGACTTGTACATTTGCCACCGAATGGCATTCCCCTGATGAGTATATATAGAGGACATTTCAAGGGAGATTGTAGGGTATCTCTCATGGATATTCTCTTCACCTTTTGACATCCTCACATTGAGCATACAACCTAGCCCCCAGGCGCTCTACACCATACACCTTCCACAACAAGTCTTTGGTATTTGACTTTCACCTTCATCAACAAGCATCATCGCTATCGATTCAGTCAAGGTCCTTTTGGTAAGATAGGTCTAGCTAACTCATCTTCACAATCGTATAGGTATAACTCGGGACAGGCTTATCAAGTGATCTAGGATCGGGTAATAACCAAGCACAGACCAGGTAAATACTATAGCTCGTGATCTACTAATCCTTCTCTTGCTATTCTTTTGCAGTTACAGGCTTATAGATATCGCACTCGCTACTCTCTCTCTCTCTCTCTCTCTCTCTCTCTCTCTCTCTCTCTCTCTCTCTCTCTCTCTCTCTCTCTCTCTCTCTCTCTCTCTCTCTCTCTCTCTCTCTCTCTCTCTCTCTCTCTCTCTCTCTCTCTCTCTCTCTCTCTCTCTCTCTGTCTGTCTCTCTCTCTCTCTCTCTCTCTCTCTCTCTCTCTCTCTCCCTCCTTCTTCATATATATCAATATCCGCAAGTGGCTCCAATCCTGACCCACACAAATAGGCAATTCCTGCAGGACGTACAGGCGGCCACTGCACCAATGACTTTGGAGATTGAGAAGATACAGCTTCTCAGCTTGTTGTGTCGGTTCGATTTAGGAGATCTTCATGGAACTGGGCAAGCAGAGACAAATGTGGCTGAGCAGTAACAGCGTGAGCTTGAGGAACATTGACCCTGAGGCACTGCTCAAGATGGGGCTCATAATGGAGATGGAGAAGGATCAAATTGTCAACCACAAACAAGCCATCAAACGCTTTTGTGACTTGAAAGAGAATGTCGATTGGCTATCACAGCTATGGACAGACACGGGATCCAGCCAGCCCCTGGACATTGAAACCATGTTGTTTTTGGAAGAACTCGTGCCGGAGGTCCGGAATCTGTTAGAAATGCTCCCTCCAGGAATCTCTTCAAACATTGAGTCCGGGGGTAATACTCAAAGGTGGGAGTACCTGAGGGGGAGGATTAAGCATGGCAGGCTGGAGATCATGCTTTTATATATGCCCAGTATGTCAGCAGTTTGATGGTGGTCGTGGTGATGTGTCGCCTTATAGTTATGGATTATTGTAACAAGTAAATCACCCATAGGCTCATATACATCTCTCCAGCATCACCAAGGATCTCATCATCTCATTACTTACAAGCACTGCAGCCTCGTACCGTCGTGCCTCGGATTTAAGGGGCCAGCAGCATAGGTGGTCATATCAGCGTCCAGCTCGTGTTGATGTGATTACAACCTATCAGAAAGTAGGTCATTCAGGTCGAGCCCGAGTATCAACCGACCCAAGTTTTCAATTAAGCCAATTTCTTATGTCTGCCTGTTACGGCGGAAGTCGCTAATCGAGATAGGTCCTAAGTCGTAAGGCGCAGGGTGCTTATAGGTAGATCGCAGGTAGTCGGGAGAATGTCGCAAGTTCGCTTAGATGAAGCGGGTTCGGGTAAGGGATACGAATCCAGAGATATATGGATAAGGAAGGTGATCACTCGGTGTGAGGTACCGGATTCGGTCTAAGGTAAAACGACGAAGCGTAGATACTTAGCGACGTCCTTGGGTTGTAACCTCTCCGCAACACGTCTTGAAGATGTTGTAACAAGTCAGATAGGCGTGTATTGAATGTGATATCGGAACTTGACCTATTACTATTACAGAGTGTCCTCTATGAAATTCGGTCAAGTTCCTCTAGCTATTTATACGGAGACGAGTATGGAGACGAGGCTGGCGAACACTGAAAAGATCCAAGAGAAATGAATGGCAAGAGATGGCGAAACTGGAAGAACAAGACGGCAAACAAACGAATCCTGTCGAGAGCAACCGGATTCGGTAGAGGAGGCGAGTTTGGGTTTGCATTGTCCCCAGGTACGTCGAGTAAGGTTGTTGGGGTCCTGAGTAAAGTTGTCATGTACCTCGAGGTCCCTGTACCTGTTTGTGATATGTGTCGGGAAGGTTTGTTGTTTTGGTGAATGGTGAAGGTGAATGGCAGGGGCGACCAAATCTGCTCTGAGGGAATCGGGTTCGCCTCGTCGAGCTGGACTTAGGTGTATGCTGATGTCTGTGGAACGATCCTGCGTGCCGGTAATCAACTAACGTGATGATCCCGTAACACTGCCCAAGTTTTGGATTGACCAAGCCCAAACTTTGCATAGTCTCCCCCACAGAGAAGCGATCATGTGAATATCCGCTTCATTAGCGCCTGCCATTGATACTTCCCAGCACGTCTTGACCATGATCCCAATCGACCACGACTCAACTGCTATCGCGACGCAACATGTCCGACTTTACCATCCCCAGCCTATGGCAACAATTCAGCCATGGCAATTTTGATGAGGCAATGCAGTATCTGTCTAAACAATCAATCAGCACTGCAAATGATATGGTTGCGGATCTGCTCCTGTACTCTGAGGCCCACCTATTGCATTGACAACAACTGACTGCTGACATCTGGTCGCGTCTTGCGGAGGAGAAGATCATCAACATCAAGGCCTTGGATTCTAAACTGGTTCAAAGGTCGCAGAACTATGCCTACACCACTCAATCTATTCCAAATATGAGACAATATTGTTGTGAAGTAACAACCAGATCCACCAAGGTTGGTTACTTGATGTACCTAGGCAATAGTAATGGTGTGTTACTAGTGCTGATCTTGTCTTGTTATGAAGATGAATCAATGTCGCTTGCATAAAAGTAAAAGAAGTACATAGAGGGGAAAGAGAAATCAGGCCAAAATGGCCTGCTATATAAACTTTTCTGGGAAGGGGCAAACGGTGGCAAAAGTGGTGGCAAATGGGTTGAGTCATAACTTTTCCAATGACCGATTGTGAACTGTTCACCAGTCGACCGTGATTACGTCTCCGATCACATCTTGAGGCTGTTTTGCTATTGATGGCAATAAACTTTCAGATTTGCCACCCAATGGCAAAAGTCCCTCAGGTTTGCCACCCAATGGCATTAATGCCTCAGTGGCAAACTCAACCCTTCTAGCACGTCCCATGCTTTTGCTTCCACTTTGCATCCACTTTGCGTCCACTCTGCATCCTGTTTGGATCCACTTTGCTTCCTGTTTGCTTCCTGCTTCCTGTTGTTTACTTTGTGGTTGAGATTGCTTCCACGTGCTGATGACTAACCACCACATGCCTATTTGCAACAAGTATGAGTGATTGTCGAGTGAGTCCCCAGATCAGTCATCAATCCAGGAGTGGTCCTGATGTTTGGCTACTTGTCTAGATGTAGTGAAGAAGAAATCCTTCGAGCTGCCTGCGCTTTGAGACGCTTTGCCAGTGAGCCTGTCAAGCGATCTGTTGTACATTCTTTACCCAGACAAAGGGAGGATTTGGATGACACGGCCAACAGGGAACGGTTCTGAAAGCCATGCAACACCGCACAGACATCGTCTTGCCCCAGACCTATGATCAGTTGGTCCTCAATGCCGGGGTCAAAGCCAAGCAAACCATGGGGAAAAAGACAAAACCACGCAGCTGATGGACAAGCTAGCCCTTGAGCAAGCAGCCAAGTGGAAAGAGATGTGCGACCATACATGGGAAGAGGGAGCAAGCGCTTGGGACAACGCCATTGCCACTCTGCCTCTCATCCAAGAAAATGTGATCATGCGGTCTAAGGACAAGAGGATTATCCGCATCAAGATGAATGGAGGCCTGAACTTACCTTGGAAATCACAGCGAAAGGGATGAATGACAAGTGAGCTCCGGTCGTGCTACACCATTTTTCTCAATCTCAGCCTAACTTCATTTGATTGGGCTGCTAAAACACTTCTTCCACTCGTTTGTGGCACTCCTTACTGGCTGGAAGGGCCCCCTCCAACGCCTGGTGAATTTGATCACCGGCACCACTATGCAAAGCCATGGTGGAAAAATACCAGAACGACAGGGGGGCTGGAGTCTGGCATTTCGCTCTGTGGAAACCCTATGCCGCTGTGCCATTCATATCAACAAGCTGCTTTGGCAATAAAGTGTACAACACAGAAGCAGTATCTTATTCCCTCAGTGCAATGGCACCTCTACAGCAAGTGGCGGCCAATCTATTCAGTATCTTTCTCCCAAACAACCACACGCAGTACAAGCAGCATTTTGACAGACTACGCAAGATCTTTAAGAGTATGTTGTTCATACGGTTCAGCTCCAAGATGGCCTTTCTGGGAATGGCGCTGCCTCAGAACCTCAGGGTACCGTTGCATACGGACAATGCGGACGACAAGCACGGGTTTGTCATCATGACACCATTCAGTAAGCTCACCGGCAGACATCTCTTGCTTGGCAGCTGGACCTTTCAGTACAGGATGGAATACCAGCAAGGCAACTTAGTGATCTTCAACTCTGGCATCTTTCTCACGCCATCACTCCATCTGAGGGTACCAGGCAGGCTGTGGTTCTGTTTCCTCACAAGGGTGTGTTTGATTTCGAGTTGTAAATCATCAATGAGAACAAACCAATTCCCATGGCGGAGGCTACTTGCTATGTTGTAGTTCATATTGGAGTTCTTGTATTGCCCATGACCATCAACGACATCTATTCTTTGTTTGTATGACATTGCCGTCAAACGAATTGTCATTGCTGTCAAACAGATGGTCCGCGCGGCGCGCGCACGCCTTGATGTCACCGCAGCAAGTGGTTGACCGACGGCAGCCCTCGGAATGAACCTCTTGGATCGGACAAACGAAGCCGAGCTGCGAGCTGCAAGTATACCAGGTATATTGACGAGTCCCGTGTCACCCAACAAGCCCTCGTGGACAACTTCAATGCGCTCAAGCAGGTGGTGCAATCCCAAATTACCTCCCAGGAGGACGATTGGACGGGGCGAGAGCAACACCATCCCTTCCATCCTTTCTCTTTCCACCCTTGCCCCTCCAAATCAACGAGGCAAAACCAAGGGTAATTGGGCAAATGGAGCAAGTTCATTTAGTTAAGCAAGTTTGGTATGGATAAGCGAGTCAATAGATCCCAGACAAGCTGGATGACACTGCAATTCCCGGGCTTCCAGCCATGGGGCTACCACACACCTTGCAGAATGCTCTCGAAAATCCCATTTGTGCGTAGCCCGTACAAACTGAAATATTACACGATGTTGAGGTCCCCCCCTTTCCAGGTTATTGAGACGTCAAATCAATCAAGCGGGTGAATCACAACAAGGAGCAGCCAAAAGTTCTGTGGAACCTCAGGGCAGGCCAATTTCAGGGCTCAAGGAACTTCACATATCACGGAAAGATATCAGAGCATGGCCAGTCAAGCTGTTGCACATTGGAGAAGTTGTCAAAGGATATGCAGCAGATTCTCATAGATCAAAGACCAATCTATTCAATGATGGCCAACAAGTCCCACTCCTTGAATACGATCAAGATTACTTGAAGAACAGTGTTCTGCAGTTGAAACGATGTCAGAGGAATCAGGGTTACTTCCTGTGTTTGGTGAGGGGCCAAGACTGCAAGATTTGGAAGAGAGCAGAGCAGTGGCAAACCTTATGTGTCTTGGTGGGCAATAGAATTGTCAAGAAGTTACAGAACCTGTAAATCATCAAGTTTCACTCTGCAACCTGCTAACCTTGCTCACCAAAGCGAGACAATTGTAGATCAACCTTGAATGTAGCGGACATAATGCAGCTATTTGGACAGATCTACCGACTTTATCAAACCTGCCCACCCTCTCTCATAATCTTGATCACAGCAAAAACTTATGGGACTGTGATCCTCAGATTGCTCTCAAGGGAGGAGCATGTAAAGGTGCGACTGCAATCACCACTTGTTGTTGTGAAGTAACAACTAGATCCACCAAGGTTGGTTACTTGATGTACCTAGGCAATAGTAATGGTGTGTTACTAGTGCTGATCTTGTCTTGTTGTGAAGATGAATCAATGTTGCTTGCACAAAAGTAGAGTAGTACATGAGAGGGGAAGAGGAAATCAGGCCAAACTGGCCTCCTATATATACTATTCTGATTGTAGCCTCCATGGCTCCATGACCCCTTGAAACCTGTACATTCTACAGGATTCCCTGTAGATTGTACAAAGTACGATGTACAATGTACATTCTACAAAATGAGGCTTCGTGATTGAGATTGCACCTTTGATGATGTCATCACCTGTGATATTGTATCATCCCAATCTTCAACACTTGTGACCAGAGACACAAGTCCGCGACCACAGTCACGTATCTGCGTCTGCAGACACATCTGTGCGACCAGAGACGCATCGTTGCGACTACAGACACGCATTTGCGTCTACAGTCACACATTTGCAACTGCAGTCACATGTTCTGTTACATGCTATTTCCTCAGATTGTACATATATATAGGAGTTCCCAGAAGGATGAATGGGTCATCCATTTTATCTTTAGGAGGACTCAGACCTCTTATCACTAGATCCATTCCCACTACCTTTACCTTTCACTTCACCCCTTTCACCCTTTCCCTTTCCACCTTCACCTCTTCAACATCAACAAGGACTAGCTACCCTTGTTGCACAACAAGCAAAGGATATCAAGAATCACTAAATAGGACAGTGTTGAGACAACTGCAATGTATCTGGTCTTGAAAACAGTTGTCAGATTCGCTCCTCTCCCACATAAGAGTCGGCTTACTTCACAGCGGTACGTATGGTAATGTAAATAACAGATGTCTGATTATTACAGGATACTTGTTGGACATTCACATGAACATCTCCTGAGAAACCCCAAGAGGGTCTCCAAGGGGCTCTCCAAACAAGACCCGAGACAATGCCCACCGCAGGTCTGTGATGGACCAAGCTTTCTCTCAAGGGAAAGTTAGGTTTTTCACAACTAATTTATCCGGTTCTTGCAGTTGTCTCAACACTTCTCCTTGTACAAACAATCATCTTACTCTCTCTAACACCTAGTGGAAGAAGCAACAATGGTAGCTAAGCCTTGAAGGGATTGGCGAAGGTTATTGTGTGTGAAGGTGACTTGGTTTCGCAGGAAGACACTAAGGTAGGGTCTTGTGACTAGGTAGTAAGATGAGTGAAGAGTAAAGAGGTAGAGTGTTGTACCCTGATCCCCTTCCTCCTGCCTCCTATATATACTCATGAGTAGACTAGGAGTACAAAGATAAGAGGTGGTCGTACATTGTACAATGTACAAAGTACGGAATGTACAATGTACAAAGTACAAAGTATGGAATGCGAAACTATGTAGAAGGTGCAAGTCGTTCCCCTGATCCTTTACACTTACTGACTATTCAATTTTAATACCACAATAAATGGCAGGCTGCCCAATCAAGAACGAGAAAGAGATGCAGACCGAGATAATCCTGTTTCCGCAACTTTGACCGCAATTCTACTTTGACATGATATACTCGTATGATCGTATGCAACTGTAAAAGACAAGCACCCAATTCTTCACCCCACTCTCTGATCAGCTGTGCCAGTCATTTCCCCTTTGACGTGCCTGCAAAGCTTGCTGGTATGTCCACATTCTTGTCGATTGCACTTTCTCAGGTCAGGCTCCCTTGTTTGACTGACAACCACATCCACCAATTGCAGCAGCGCGTTGTACTTTGGGCCAACAAACACGTCTACCGAGGCCTCCTCAGATTTTCCGATTGCTCTGTGCATTTGAACACTCACACAAGTCAGAAGTGAGACGGACCAGACATTCTGCGCAAGACAACAATGAACTCCCCTGAGAGAGCAATCCTGATGTGGTTGGAGACGTCCCCACTCTGACCTATCGGTGAATTCCAATTTCCAATAACGCAGGGTTTCAGGAGCATCCAGGTACGTCAGTTGGGCCTATTGATTTCTTGTGCAGAACTCAAAGAATGAGATCAACATGGGAGAGAGGAGCGAGAGACGGTTGCTGCAATTGACTGGGGTTGTTACAGGCGTAACGTGACGCGCAACCTATGATGCATGTCGCCCTGGGGTTTTGCTCGGAGACCTTCTAGGAGATGCTCTTGTAGACGTCTAACTAGTACCCTGTAGTAGTTAGATATCCGTTATTACATTACTATGCCTACCGTTAACTTTCCCCAGTCCCGCAACCTTATTACCTCAAGACCCTGCAGGTTGACTGCAGGGCCTCATAGGGGTCCCCTTCGCGTAGACCTCAATGTTGTAATATCAGCCTAAGCTGGTGGTGTAGCTGTCCCTTTGATAATATTGACTGATGCCATCTCTTGTGTGAATGACTATGTATCTGGTTGCCTGCTTGCTTTGTGGTCAAGGTTGCTTCCACATGTTGATGACTAATCATCACATGCTGATTTGCAACACTCAAGACTGACAATGGGGATTGAGGTGAAGTGGTATAGCCAGCACGTGACGTGTTGTTACCTCCATGAGAGACCCCCTTGGACTTGGAGACACCTCTCAACATCCCCACAGGGGTCTTCTTTTACATCTCCTGTAGGTGCTTATTATAAAAGGCCCATTGTATGTATATACTTCATCCGTTATTACACGCTTAACCTTAGACCTAGCCCCATGTAGACTGTTAGTCCTTCCCCCTGATAGACCCACACTCCGAAAGCAAGTCTTGAGACAGCTCTGCCCGCTGGATGCCATCGAGCAAGAGGTGCAAGCTATCATAGCTGATGGACGCATGACCCTGGCAAAGGGTGGGCTTGGGGGACCAGACCAAGTGCTTTGTGTCTGGCAACATGATACTGGTGGAACCATATGCACGCAATGTCAGTTTATTGTTCATCTCCTGTAGTTAGGGGTGTGAACTCACAGTCTGCTACTCGGTGTCAACAGCACGCTCTGCAATCTCCTATCATTCACCTCTCCATCATCGTGAATGACCCAGAGTTTCTCTCCAGCGAGACAGATGACCTTGGTCGAGGCTCCCGGTTGATCGGCATGACGTCCAGTGATGGATCCCCCCCTGCATAATAGGTAGAAACCATCGAATCTGTCAAAACCTCCCTGAACCTCTGCAGAGAATGTGATCTCCCAGTTTCTGCTGATTGAGATCCTTTAGAAGGCTTCACAAACCAGCCGATTGGGTGCAAGGGCATTGATCAACTGTCTACCATGGAAGAAGACCAGATGATCAGTTTGAGACTCTCCCAAGATACTGGGTGTATCAGTGCTCACCTCTGTAACTGCTCTTGGTTCTGCACAAGCAAGTTGGTGTGATTCAAGCTTGCTACCTCTGGATCTGGCCCTTTCAAACTCTCCAGGACCCATGGCTTCAGATATGTACTTGACAGTGACGTGGTGTAGAGCGAGCAGGGGTATCCAGCAGTATATTCCCATAGTGATTGGATGTTTTCCTGCCAGTTTGCTTCTATCAGGAAGATGACAACAGCCACCATGCTTTTAGGGAAACACTCACGGATCACGTCCACTCCTTTGCTATTCGACTGATCATCCAACAATACCCTCAGCAAGACCTCCATGTTGGCAACTTGCACCATGACTTCTGTCACATCTCATGATTGCCTCTGAAACACTGGCCCTGAACCCTTGGCAATTCTGCTGAGAAAGGTTGGCATCAGGCTGGTCAGGTCTGCAGTGTTGGGCAGCATGAATGTTGCAAAGTAACAACTAGATCCACCAAGGTTGGTTACTTGATGTACCTAGGCAATAGTAATGGTGTGTTACTAGTGCTGATCTTGTCTTGTTGTGAAGATGAATCAATGTTGCTTGCATAAAAGTAAAGTAATACATGAGAGGGGAAAGAGAAATCAGATCCAAATGGTTTGCTATATATGCTATTCTGATGAGCATGTCCCCCAGTGAACTTGCGACTAGAGCAGTCGCATAATTGCAACTCTGGTCGCATATTGCGTCTCCAGTCACGTATTTGCAACTTCAGTCACAAATGACATCACCGATATGCAACTCCAGTCGCATATGTGTGTCTCTGGTCGCATAAGTGTGACTCCAGTCACATAAGTGCGTCTCCAGTCACGACATGTGATCCTGGTCACATGTTGACCATTTGTGCTTGAGATTGCACCTTTGAGCATCATCAATGATGTCATAGCATGCCAATCTTCAACAATGGACACCATGGATGATGGTGGAGGACCGTCCCGAGTGATTTAGCAAATAGCCTGATTGTGTTCCTGTGAAGAAAAGACTGGATGCCAGGATACCAGCCATGTAGTAGCTTCTGCTTCCTACCATCCGGATTCATTGTCTAGAGCAAGCTGGGTCAGCCACTTCTGCCGATGCCTTTGCAGGTCGCTGGACCCAGTTGCACCTCCCACATGTCTCTTTCCCTGGGACAACAGGGAGTTCACATTGCGTCCATGGACCACTCTGGCTTTTGCTTGCTATTGACGGGACAGCGGTGCTCATGACATAGATAGTAATAAGGGTAAAACCGGGCAAAGGAGCGATGTGGAAGGGTGGCCTTGGTGGTTTTGGGTGAAGCCTTTCGGTGCCAGTGCAGTCCAGTTCACAGATGTGGCATAGGGACGCTCCATGATAAGATGATGGTGCTAACATGGTTGGATACTTGGTTGTCGACTTGAATGATCGTAGCAAATGTCTAGATGATTTTAGCAAGTGTTCGGTCAATTGTAGCAATCTGATCAAATGCTACAATTGGGCTCTTGCTTGTATGCTGCTACAATCGCTAGGTGAGTTGGTCAAGTCGCTGACGTAAGTATCCTGTCTACCGTCTGCCTTTAAATCACCGTGGTAGCTCGTTTGATTTGCACGTTGCCAGGACAAATGCCTCTGAGCCGGGATGACCTTCTCCAACAGAGGAACAAACTTTTGAGGAGATGAAAAGCTCTTTTATGTCAAGAGGAAAACCGCTGCTGTCAATGTCGATCTGGACAAAGAGGTCATCAGCATGAGGGTCAACTTCATCTGTCTAAAGAAGTGTGCGCCACCTCTTCTCGCCGTTTCTTGAGCCTTTCCGGTGCATCAAACAACTGGCAATCGTGGCTTTGCATGTGCTGGGAAGTAAGGATATTCTGGCTGATGGTCCAGGCGTACAATCAATTGATGATGTCCCTGTAGACGCTGTGCTCTACGTCGAGTCGACAGAGAATCGACAAACAGGCCGGCTGGGGATCCTTTGCAGAGTTGATCTTGCGCTGGAGGCCGGCCAACATGGTTGCGGTAGTCTGCGAGGGACAATGGAAAGGTCAGCGACTTTGACGACGGGTGCGTCAGCGGTCGGAGACGTGTACCAGATGATGATTTTCCGTGAGCTAAACCTGACTTTAATGCGCGGAAAATGATCATCCGGTTTCGTTGCACCGGTGTGCAAACCCCAACACCGGCCCCTTCACAAATCCACCACTATCAAAGGTCAAACACCGATGCAAGCTCAACGTCAACCTAGCTTGATTACATGAGCATTTTGTCAACCAGAGTTCCCTGTCAAGGGTTTGTGACCGAAGGGGCATCAATCACCCGTCTCGATCGTAGTTATCGACCATCAAACCATCACATCCTGTATCTCCATAGCTCAAAAACTTCAATCCCGTCTCAATCTTGGGCAAACGAATCTCGGGCAAACGAATTTGCATGGACCTTGGGCGCAAGCAAATGTCAGGCAAACCCCTAATCTCTGGCAACGTAAACATTCTACGCGAAACTCAGGCAACACAAATCTCTAGCACACGCGTAATAAGTCTCTGATTATGAGGGTTAGGCATTTTCAAGGTTTCCTGACTGGTGCCATTGTAAGCAGTGATAGCAATGTAAACTCGACTGATCATGGTGCTTTCAAGATGAATGTATTTGGTCTGCTTGTGAAAAGTCCCTCTCTGCATGGCCAGGATGACCGCAATGATGGCCACACATCGACATGGTAACCAGAATTACCTTTCTGATAAGTAGAATAGTCTTTCTAGTAACCAGAACAGTCTTTCTGGTAGCCAGAAAGGTTGTTCTGGCTATCAGAACAATTCTTCTGGTTATCAAAGTCGAGTTTCTGGCTCTGGTCAGCGTAGATTGTACCTTTGAATGATAGAACTGCCAGGATGCGTCAGAATCACTACACGCCGGACAGAGGTATCATTGAAATCACCGTCTCTGTTGCACACACGCCGTGCATCCATTCCACCACTCGTCTGCAGCCAATCATCTGGCCATCCACAATGTTCCTTCTCTAGACTGACAAAGAAAACTACTCAAAGACACGTATCTCTCTCTGTCTCATTGCATTGTGATGAGCCTCGACTGGGAACGCTGTAAGATAAACAATGAATAGAAGCATTCTACAATCTTTTCCATCCGCGTCATCTGTAGGGCTTCCCGTCTTTTATGGGCTTTTGAAATCAAGGTCATTGGCAAGTCTGTTCATCACTGAGTTCCAAGCCAAAGAGTCAGTTTCAATCAGATGCAGTTCTGTGACGGCTTTGGCAACACGACTTTCGATCTTTCCCCTGTTGGCTCTGCAGATTTGATGCATCAGATACCCAAAAGTGGTTCACCTGCATAGAAAAGTTGTGTGGAATCTTTTCGTAAACCAATCAACCTTCAAAGTCTGGAGCATACATATATGAGACCATGAGTAAGCTCAAACATGCAGAGAGTCAGACAGTACCCACAGGGCCAAATAATGCTCACCAGACAAGGTGTGGTCCCAATAAACCTGACCAAGAGCACCGCCCACTCAGAAGATGTTGTAGCCAATTCTGGTAACACCTATTTGAAACCACCAGTCAAGCGCTCAGGACCTGAAGATGGCAAGCACCTTTGTGTGGAATATTCTTCCCTACCCTTATGCTATGTAGTTCCCATGCACCAGTACTGAGATGGACTGATAAGTGCATGGGCTGGGATTCAGTAGCTGTTGGGTCCAGGTTCAAGTTGGGGGGCTGTAACCAGAGAGGCATTGGGTAGTCTGCCATTGGATGTGAATGCGGACTGATTCCCATGATGCCCTATCAACAAGCTAGCTACAAAAGGGGAGAACTGTACATCAATGATTCTCATTTGTTATGAAAGCTGCGCTTGTCCCCTCATGTCTCTATTGTTGCCTTTCTATTTGACTGTTTGTAAGCCAAGCCAATATAAGGCGACCATCCATAGACAATCACCTTCACGAAGTGCATGGTCTTCTTCAACATTGGGTTCACAGCTTCTGCAATGGCCGTTTTCGTTGAAGAATGGCATGCTATGACATCATAGGCGATGCTCAAGGTGCATTTCCAAGCACAAAAGGTCAACATGTGACCAGGATGATATGTTGTGACCGCAAACTAGCAATTGTCCAACCGCTCCTGTCAGAAGTTCACTGAAGAACATGCTCGTCAGAAGAGCATATATAGCATACATAGCAGACCATTTGGTCCAATCTCTCTTTCTCTTCTCATGTACTACTTTACTTTTATGCAAGCAACATGGACTCATCTTCACAACAAGCCAGCATCAGCAATAGTAGCACACCATTACTATTGCCTAGGTACATCAAGCGATGAAACTGACTGGTTGGCACTCTACAACAAGGACCAGCCAGAATCATTTGCCAGCATGTCACTTGGTAATCACAGACTAAACCTAAACTCAAGGTAAATTCATCAGCATATACGCGTACACAGGTGACTACGTGTTCTTGCCTGTACAAGCACCAGCACAGCAGCTCAAATACTACGTATCTGGTACACAACTTGATATCATCTACAATCTACCGCGAGAATGACTAGAATATCTGTTCGCCTTCCGCTGACTGCTCTAGCGTCCGGCGTGTGCATGCAATAGTCGTCTCAACGACGGTGGAAAAGAGGGTGTAAATCATAGCTATACAATAATCTGAAGTCGTCATGTCGTCACGTCAGAAGTCCTCGTCAATTTCGTAAATCGTGTCTAGCGGGATGTAGCGGATCCCTTCCAGCTGCTAGGAGGAATCGCGGAAGGCGATGTATCGCCCTGCCGCGTTTTGATCGCCTCGGTAGCGTCCACGCGGGCGTCTCGCGCTGTCCTGTCGTGGATAGAGAATCTGGTTCTGGAAGCAGTTGAATTGGCCCTCTCTCGAGGTGAATATTCTGAACGGGCATCTGAGCCTTTGGACCTGGTTTGACTCGATGGACCAAAGCTTCCGCCATAAACCGAGGACGCGCTTCTGCCATAGCCTGGATGGGATCGCCCTGGTCTGGTCTCGGCAGCATAGGTCGAGCCGCCATAGACCGACGAACTGCCTCGGGGCTGCACATTGTCTCCGCCGAAATGTGAGGGGAAGGGAAAGAGATTTGACGTCGGGCCGTCTGCCACAGAGAAGGCTTGAGACCCGCTCGTGCCGCCCATGTTGCTGGCTCTTTCCCAGGCCTCATCGGCAGCCTGGATAGCTGCTGCCGCCATAGCAGCTTGGTATTGCTGTTTCGCCGCTGCCATGCTGCGGGAACCATGGTGTTAGGCGACGAAAGAGAATATGAATCGCCCTACCGCTTCACTTACGCTTGTTGATGCATAGTCATATAGCCCGGCACCATTTGAGCTGCGTTGTACTGCTGCCATTGCATCTGCATATGTAGCTGCATCTGCATCTGCATTTGCATCTGAAGCTGCATATTCTGCTGCGCGGCTAGCATTTCGCTGTCGGTCTGGTATTGCGATGATTGGTTGGCCGCCGCAGCATCAAGCCCGCCGTTGAATTGACCTGCGTAGACTCCCGCAGGATGTTGCAACGCCGCCTGTCCTTACTCAATCAGTACTGCGATAGGACAGATTTGGTATAGCTAGCACTCACGAAATTGCCATCTGGTGCTTTCACCGGAGCTGGGACTGTCTGAATCTTCGATTCTGACGCATTTGTTGTCGACGACTGCTGCCAATCGGCATTTAGAAAACTGACTCGTCTCGAATTCGGGCCAGGAGAGGTCCCCTTGCCATCCGCACTCGAAGCACCTCCGACTACCACAGGCTGAGAGATCATGCCCACCTCCTGAGGGGTCAGTGGCCCATTCCGACTAGAGGCTTCGCCTGTGGTTCCACTCTGTGATGATGCGGGTGACTCGCGTGGCCAGAAGCTGTTTTGTCCATAGCCGGACAGGATTGGATACGTAGGAAGAGCGGGGGCTAGAGGTGGGACTGGCAGAGCTCGCTGCGAAACAGGTTTGCCCGACGATCCTGCAGGCGGACTCGCCATCTTCATTGCCGATTTGATTGGCGAGTTTCGCGCTGCTCCATGGGAATGCGATTGCTTTGTAGGAGAAGTAAGATTAGGTGTCGAGGCTGCAAATTGTGCTTTGAGCGATATTTTGCTTTGCTTTCTCATAATCACGGCAAGAGATTCGTCGCTACTACTGCTACTGGATGCGTCACTTTCTTCCTCATGGTGGAAATCGCGACTTGTCGCTGATGGCAACACCTTGCCAGAAGACTGCGACAGGAGCGATCGTACCGAGTGGGTTGAAGGCGTACGATTCCCATGAGTGAGAGGACGCCCAGAACTGGCCTCTCCGAAAGCTTCTGAAGGGTGCGGTGGCTTGCGCACACCAGAGGGTAAGCTTCTGACCGGAATCGACGCCTTCTGGGCCGGCTTGGCCTTTGAAGCCATTTTCCGCCTTGGCTGTTGCTCGTCGCCACTACTGTCGGATGAGGACGAGTCCCATCCGTGACGCGTCCGCGGTTTGCGAGCTGGGGAAGACAGCGGACTGTTCACGGTAGAAGTCGATTTCGCGTCCAGTCTGGGTAAAGAAGAGCTAGAGGGGAACCCCGTCCGCGCCATACTGGTCTCCGCGGATCCCATGCTCGCCTCGACGTGTGATTTGACGGGAGGGATCAGGCAATCCTGGGTATTAGCTGTGGAAGCGGTGACCAAGGCGGCGGAGGCGAGCCTCTCATTTAGAGGTAAACGGTTCTTCGTCCGATTTTGGTTCTCAGCCTCGAAACCTCCTGTCGGCATGGACGATGTCGACCTTGACCTGTCGTGCGTTCTGACAAAGGTCTCAGGGAGACGTACGTCTCGCTTTTCGCCTCGATCGCTCGAAGCGGGGGAGTATTCTCGCAAAGCGGTGCCAGCAAAGCTGAAGGCCCTGCGTTGAGCCAGCGCCACGTCAGCTGTCCGGTTGACCGCTCGATCTGCTGGGACCACCTTTTTCGGCATCAGAATTTGAGCTGCTGGCTCGAGGACATGATGAGCGGTGTTCTCATTGCTGGTCGTCCGAGCGTGGTTGAACCGGTCGTCTTGATGATCCTGGCGTTTCTGGAACAACATGGCATCGTGAGACGGCTGGGTTATGACTTCGGGTCGATCGTTTCCTGCAATTCCCAAAGGCTTGCGTTTGGGTGATGCTAGCATCTCGATGGAGCTTTCCCTCGTGCTGGTTCTTTTCAGCCTGGCCATACGGTCAGCTTGAGCTGCATGCGCATCAGATGAAGGGGCGGTTTTTTCGTCATCATCGGGTTGCTGATATGCCTCAAGCGTAAAAACGCTCGAGGTGCTCTGCCTGCGTGCTTGTTTGAAGAATTGCGCGCTGACTTGTCTCGCGGGCTCCTCGCCCCCTATGCTCCCCGCAAATGATGGAGGTCTGCTTAGTCTCGGAGCCGTTGGGCGGGCAGCTTCGGTCATGACTTCCTCATGATTCGATGCCGCACCACTTCCTGGGGACCGCACTGGTGGTGAAGAAGGCCCCAGCTGTCTAATCGATGCAGGTGATCTCTGCCAGGGGCTCTCGCCTGTGCCGGAGACGTGGCGGAAATTCCGGACTTCAAAGTAGTCGTTCTGGGAAGCGATACGTTCAGTGACACTTGTGCCGTGGCTGTGATCGCGACTAAGCTGTGCTAGATGAGAAATTCCCTGTCCGTCCGCTTCGCTTCTGGGACTACCTGATGGCACCGGAAGGGTCATGTGGGACGGTGAATTCGGGTCCCGGGCGGGACGAAGACCATGCTTTTGATCGGGCTGCACAGCGACAGCTAGTGGAGAAGGTCGACGTTGCGGTGCCTCGTTCGGCTTCGAATCGGATCGTGACTCTGGTCTGGTCGTTTCTGCCTCTTTGCCGCCGGAAAAGCTTCGCAAACTGAACAGACTACGCCGTTGTCGGACATCGGGTCGGCTCAGGGCTTCAGAGTGGATCGGCGGTGTGGGTAGTGCTTTATGACCATTTGCCGGATGATGGGAGGGCCCCGAATGCACGTCTGATGTCTCTGGCTGTAGGGGAGAGCGTCCAGCATGGCGACTCCAGGACGAGTCGATTCCCTGCCGATCGACATACTGCTCGCCCCGACCAGCTGAAGAGGTAGGAGATCCCAAGGCCAGAGTTCCTTGAGAAGCCGAGCGAGAGGCCGAGGCGTTCACAGCAGGAGGTTGACGAGTTGGTTGCGTTAAAGATGCGTACGGAATCGTTTGAAGGGAGCTCGCATCGTTCCGTGTCGAAGGTTTTGTAGCTCTCTTCGGTCCCTTGAAGCTCTTCTCTGCCGTCGAGTTCCCATTCGCGCCGGCCTTTGTATTCGCCGCATCGGTACTCGATTGTGCTTTTTGCCCCTGCGATCCACCCTTGAAGAGCCCGAGCTTAAAGATCCCCATTCTTTACTCGTCGAAGCCCACTTGATGTTTACAAGCCCTGGTGGGAGAAGGACATGAAGATGAGCATCAGTGAAGAGTACGAGGATGTACGCTCTTCCGGTGTCAGAACGGCAAGTTGAGAACTTTTCTTGCTTACAGTCGGAACAAAGGATCGCGCTGGGATCAGGCGAGAAGTGATCAAGGTAACATTGCCGGTATATCTGGAATTGACTGATACGACCAGGTTATGAGACTGACGGTCGTTTCGTGGTATGGCAGATGTGTGATATCGATCTGTAAGAAGGGAGTTCCGAGGCGAGAGGTTTGATGGATGCTATATGCTATCGATGTCCTGTATGATATCGATGCACCGGGGGGGATCTCAATAACAAGCAGCTGCAGCTGCTGGGTCGTTTTGCTTCCGCGATCCCCTTGGCACTATCGATCGTGACCTCGATCGCCTTTCAGCCGTTCGACCTCGTCGTCAGCAAGAGGATTCTTGTAAGCTTGTGATGCTTGTGACTTGTTTAGCTTGTTCAGCTCGTAATGCCTGTTACCCGACAATAGATCCAGTAGCCAATAGATGATCGACATCGACAGGACAAACACGGACAAACAATAGAAAGAAAGCTCACGAGAGAGCGATGACGATGACGGCGACAACGACGATCATCCCGCTGATCGTGCAAGCTTCTCGTAGTATATAAATATATGAAGAGACCGCTGGCGAAAGTGTCTCCTATGCAACGATGATGAAACCACCCGCAAACGTCTCTTCATCTCCTACAATTTTCAAGACAAAGTGGGCTTGCCAACACTCATGCCAGAAGACGCCCGGCTCGCTGTGTGGCAGGAGCGTTGCCGTGCCCCTCAACGAGAGGAGCCACAGTTCGTTCCCGAAGAATCCCCCTTGATCGAGATACGGCTGGAGGACCAGGAAGCCATCGAGATCGAACAGCAAGAAATCATGATCACTGGAGCTGTAATTCAGTCTGAACAAGGTGAGCCGCGCTTTGCATCTATCACCGGGCGACCGGCTCCCCCTGTAATACGAACTTTCCTTGTCTCCTTACGTTCCGGCTTAGTCTTTCAGCTTCCCAACTCGCTGACCATGTCCTTTCCCCCCAGATAACATCAACGGATGGACGGACTATGATGCCGGCTATCGAAGATGGACACCCCAGGAGATCCGTATTCTGCGTCGCGCCGTGTGCGCATACGGCGAGTCGACTCCTGAAGGCTGGACCGCTACTCAGCGAATGATGAACAAGGACGTAGGGGTCAGAGGGCAGTCTTGGTCGCTTCGTGTAAGTCCCCGTCAGTCACATGGTCTTGAGTTTCTGCTGAGTCTTCTGCCACAGCTGCTTCGATATCGGTGGTCGATCGAAGCCGCTGCCTTGAAGGGAGATGTCACCAGTCCCTTCCGACGGTCCCTGCGGTCTCTACTCTTCAAATTTGGATCTCAAACCGCAGACGAAGCTGGTTATTGGGATGTCATGGCGGAGAAGTTACTGGCCAAATATCCGGACCAGGCGGATGTCTTTGGGCCAATGGGGAACCGCGGCGAACTGCTAAGAGAGATATGGGTATCCAGCGAAGAGCCTAGAATCTGCAATACGAGACCTTTCGCTTGGCTAGACTTTGATGAATTGTTGGCCTGAGAGTTCTCCGTAGATGGCGTCAACATCATGAATACGTGACTAGTATTGTGAGCTGCGTAATGTAGAATTGTACTATAACAGGCTATATCGTCTCTTTGTTCTGCTACAACAACGGGCACTGGCCAGGGCGTATGAACAGCATAACAAGACATCTCCACCACACTCTGGGCGAAGCGAAGCGTATCGAAAGGGTTCCACAGTGGCGGGACTATCAGATCGTGGGACCGATTTCAGATCAGATTATCAGGCCGTTTCAGATTCCCTCGATGGATAGATAGAACCTCTCTGGCTTACCTTGCTCAGCCTTGTCGACGTTGCGGACCGTTCTGTCTATTTGCCATCGAGCCGCGATTGCCGCCTCGGCCATTGTTGGTAGTTCCGCGGGCTTGATGAGCCGGAGGACCCCTTCTCCTAGTGGCAATCTGGAAGCCGTCATCCTCCATCGCAGGTTCCGGTTCTGCCGGTTTGATAAGCGGTTTTCCAGCCTGATGAAACCCTCCCCTACCGCGTCCTCGACCAATGGTCGGGGCGTTGTTCTGGCGTTGTTGCGAGATGTTTGTAGAAGCACCGCTTGCCGAGCGAGTATTGGAGCGGCTTTTGTTCGATTGAGGAGGAATTTCGGGTGGGGGTTGAACGGTACGAGCGTGCGATTGAGCGCTCATCAGGGTCTCAGAGGTCGACAGCGGCGAGCTACTCTTGTTTGCGGCAAGGTTCGGTAGCGGAGCAGGACCTGCGGCAGCTATCGATGGCTTGTCGCTTGCCGTATCAGACGAGGCAGATGCCAGAGGAGGCATGTTGAATTGAGCCCGGATGCGAGCCAGTTCTTCTTCCCCCGAGTGATCTTCATCGTCATCGGCCCAATTCAGACCAACGATCTTTGCAATATTCGGTTGGGAATGCTACAAAGGCGGTCACAACAAAGCCTCAGCGTGACTACCAAACAGATGCCTTGAGATTCGACGTACCGAAGTTTTCTTTTCGTGCGTGGTCTTCTTCTCAGGAACTGACGGCGGTTCGACCCTTTCCTCAACCTTGCTAACCGGAGGCTCCTCGACAGGAGGATTTCGGTTGACAACCTCCCCTTCGACGAGCTCGCTTGATTGGATGAAGCTCATCTCAGGTTGAGCAGGCTTCGTCGGTTGGATGTTCCGGCTGACAGGTTGTTCGGCGACTTCGGGCTGGAATCGGAAAGAGTCTAACTCGTTGTCGTTCTGAACGACGTCAGGCACGGCGTACGACCCTTCGGTGGGTAGATTGATCGTCGCCAACGGTTGAGGAGAGAATACTGGTGTCGAACCCGACGACTCTGCAGTAGATGCGTCCCCGAGATGCAGTACTTTGCCAATCGGAGTGGCTATATGGAGACGAAGAGAGACGTAATGAGTTGAATTCCGAACGAACAGCTTGATGGACTAACGCTTCAAAAGCTGGATCCTCTCGATAACCCCCTGAGCATCTCCCATCTTGAGCAGGCCGAACAGCTCGTCGACGACATCCACATCGGGTCGAGACAACGATTGGAGCTCTACAGGTAGATCGCTTGCCATGAAATTTGAAGAGGGGGACGAGGAGGGCCTCAGGGTCGCGTGGACCCGGACGAGTGCTGTCAACAGCGGAAGGCACGTTTCCTATAAACAGCGGCAGATGAGCAACGTGCGCCTGATATGGCGAGCGAGAATGTTCATGAGACCTCGCGAGGCAACGCACCTTGTATACATTGACGGCAGATTCCGTAGCATTCCGGAGGTCAGACTCGGCGGCAAGGCGTGCCGCTTGGTCCTTCGCGGATTCTTCCTTGGCGATAGCCTTTCCAAACCAAGTTTACAATAATTCAGCGCCAGCGAGATGTTCCTTAATCTCCTCCATCGACTGACCTCGAGGCCAGAAGCAAGATCTTCCAACTCCTTTGCAGCAGCTTCAAGACCAGGCAGAGAAGCCAGGCCCGCCTTCTGGTCGGCGTTCAGATTACTGCCACCCTGGTATGATCGGAATCGTTGCTGTATACATCGCGAAGGCAGATTGTTCAGCAATTTCTCGGTCTCGACGATCCGGATGTGCTCACAATCTTTTTGTTGAGAATCCTAAGTCGTTTGAGAACCAGATCTTGAGCGGCGGTCCTCGACCTAGCGCTTTGCTCCGAAGCTTTCTGGATCCTTCCCACCTCCGATGCATTTCCACCAGCGTGATTGATCATTGGTTCCGGCGTCTCACCGGCGATACCGATGAGTTGCTTTTGGCTTGACTCAGCCTGCGCTTCGGCTGGAAGCATGTTGCTATCGTCCAAGCTCTGGGTGGTACCGAATTCTACCATTCTGTTTCGTGAGATCGTGATGTCGTAGAGCTGAGTGTGAGAGAAAGGGCGTGGGGCGTTGGAGAGGCGTGCAGAGAGGTGGTGTTTGTACGAGCGTCGGGAGGGAGAAGGTCAGTCGGAGATGGAGCTGGAGATGGAGCCCTAGCTGATCGAGAATTGGCTCAATCGCTCTCGAGTCAATCTGCTTGCGATTGATCACTCTGATCAAAAGTGTGAAGTTGCTTTCGCTCGCTTTCACAAGTGGAATGCGAGCGAGGGCTAACGGCTTCAAAAGCATCCGATCGGAACCAAATCACTCACGCGCAATCGTCATCACGCACCTATGCTGCGGCTGTTGTTCACTCGAATTACTTGCATTACTTGCTCGCTATCAACCTTCATATCACGGCAACCCTACACAGTATCGGGCTCCCTTGACTTTCAGACTGTCAGACTATCCACGGAACTAGTTCGCACGTCCTGCACAGCCTCAAATCCAACGTGGACACGAACTATCTGGAGCCAAAGGTATCCAAGCCGAACGGCCTTGTCCGAAGCGGCGACCGCTATCGAGATGGAGACATTGAATCAGCTCGTGAGTGGTTCGTATTACTGCTTAGCTGCCTATTCTTATCCTTACCCTCTCATGTTGTAGACCGAAGCGCTCCCTGTAAAGAGCGAAGTCCCTCCGTACGCTCTGGGGTCTCCTCAAGCTCGATCCGCGTCAAGCTAATGTCAAATCCCACAGTTCTGCCTCGTCGCTCTTGAACGAAGTGAGAAATGCAGTGGACAAACTCTCAGCTCTGCAGTCATGTCTATTCGGTAATATCAGGTTTCCTCTGCTTATGAATTAATCGGTCGACGAGGCTGACAACCAACCCTTCGACACACGACGGTGTATGAGAACAGAAATACAAGAACAAAGGCACGGTCGAGCGGAAGCGACGAACCTCGTTCAGGATACGCTTAAAATCGATCGAAGTTCACTAGATAGACTAGTTCACAACTTTGACATCGACTTGGAAGTCTTTTCGCGAACGATCCAATCAATAACCGAGCAAGTCGAAGCTTTGAAAGGCTCGATAGCTTACGGCGGTTCCCGAGAACCTTCAGATCATAGCCTGCTCCAGGCAGAATTGGAAGATCTCCAGTCTGACTGGGCAGACTTGGTCGAAGCCGACGTGAGACTGAGGGACGAATTGAAGGAGGATAGCTGGCTGGTCCTGTTGAGACAGTAAGTCATGTTTCCAGCTCTGTCGAGGTATGGTCCTCTGGCCTGACAGCGAACATGGGGCAGAACAGTCGACTCCGCCAACGACATGATGGTGTCTATGGAGAAGGCAATCACAGTCGTGCTCGTAAGTTAGGGTTTCGTCTCTGTCTCGCTCGATGGTTTATGTATTCTTATAACAATCCTTATCAGCAATTCGTCGATATCGATTTACGCTCAGCACATCCTGCTCGTGCTGAAGCCGCCGAATCAGCTCTTCGAAGCCTGGATGAGAAATCAAAGTGAGCATCCGCCATGTACCGCAATGTCAGATCTCTAACCTTTCTGCTTAGATTTTACTTGCCAAGCATAGGCAAAGCATGCGCTATGTCGACGCGCGGGCTGAAGAACCGCTTGACCACCAACGGAGAAGCTCTTCGAAGGTGGTGCACACCCTCGACGATATCCGATGCATGCATAGTGCTGAATATTCTCTGCCACATCCTATATTCAGGCATACCGATTTGGTGGACCGCTGGTCACGTGTGCAAAATGAGCTCGACAGCCTTGCTCCGAAACTGCGCCGTCTGCGGCTGGAACTACAGAATGCTGCCAAAGATGATGGTTCCGAGTTCCTGATCGATGGTGAGACGCTTTGCAGGCTTTTGACGTCCATGATCGCCGCCACTGACTGGAATTACCGGACATAACTAGACGCTTCAAACTTTTCGAGTCCAGCATCTCATGGTGGTCAAATGCAATCCGGTCGAAAGGCCTTTCAATATGGCGCTGGTTCGCCAAGCCAACAATCTTCAACATCCCAGGACAGGCGACCAGGACAGGCGACGTCAGGTCAATACAGCCGACTGATGAGCCCCTCTGTCCAAAGGACCAGGCAAAGCACCACCGCCAGCTCGGCGAACAGAACGAAACATCCCGAGCCGACTGCGCAGACGCCGCCCGCTACCCTGTTTCGACGGCCATCTATGGCGGGATCGTCGGGAGTCGATGCTCTACAGCCTAGAGGAAGCTATACCCCTTCACGGAGCGATTCGCATCAAGAGCTCCCGGCTACCCCTCGTTCAGCAAGACAAGAGAACCGATATGAGGCTCCCTTCGGCTCAAGACTCTCAAGCATGGGACTCGTACGGCCTTCGCAAACACAAGAAATGACAAGAACCACTTATGCCCGGCCAGTTTCTCCAGCGACATCAATTGCTTCTTCCAAGTCGACCTTGCAACGGAATGGTCTCCGAAGATCTCTCATTCCCGTCGCAAGTCCATCGCCGTCGTTTCGACGTAGCACATCAAGAATGGGATCATCACCGCCCCCAGTGCCGACATTACCCAGCCAGGAGTTGATCGCGGAAAAGGAGCGAGAGGTCAGGTTGACTCAGCTCCGGACGATGCTACAGACGCCAGAGCCCACGTTGAGAGCGAGAGCCTCGCAGATGCCCTTTTATAGCGGCAGACGGAGTACAGCAGGTCAGACTCCTCAAGGGCCTGGGTCGATTGCACAGTCTCCTAGCTTCAACAGGAGAGTCTCGGGCGAACAGGGCAGGCACGTCTCTGCAAGTTCACGCGAGGCCGCTCCAAGCGCCTGGAAAGAACAGCCGCGTATGCGTCCCGGGTCTGCCATGTCCGTCAGATCTCGTGCTGGTGCGGCCACGCCGTTGCCCACGGCACAACATCACAAGGCGTGGATACCAAATAGCCGAGATCCGCTGGATATGGAACTGTCGGTCATATTGAGCGATATTCCCCACGACGTCTACGTCGAAAGGCTCGATCCACCGTTGCGAAAAGGTCAAGTCCACACAGGTGAATGGACGGCTCAATATGCTTTCGCAAGCGGGAGGCATGGCCGTCGGGTATTTCCTGCGAGGTTACTGGAGCTGCACAAAACGCGCAACAATGAGAGGGTCCGCAAGGTCATGGTACGGATCGACGGTTTGTGGCGGGATGTGAGGCTAGTACTGCTCGAGATGGCATGAGCGTTTGTAAGCGAACGCGCGCGCGAATAATCATGAACGGATGTTGTGCCTTCGTTTCCTCCTTATAACTTTCGCCATCTGAGGATGATGGCGGTAATTTCCAATGAGCAGACTTGACTACCTACATCGTATTGAACGATTACAAACAACATCACAAAGGATACACTGCGTGATTGTTACGAGCGAGTTCAGTGGCGGCAAAGCGCAAGGTGAGGCTGATGTCCACATTATCGCTCGCAGGGAGGACGTGGTTCCAGCCTTGTGCAGGGTGCGGCTGCACCGGCTCTTCCCGGATGACAGATGGTGTTGGTAGTGGTGCCGGTTGATCTTTGCCTCCCTGATACGCCCAAACACTAACGTACGGTTGCATGGGGACGTAAGGGATCTCGCTGGTCTGGCTGGATGCAGACGACGATACGGGTTCGAGCGCGGGCTCTGCCGACGCTTGCAATGCCCGATCGCGATCGCGTTGCAAGACGTTGGCGTTTCGCGAGCTCGGCCATTGCGTGTCGACCGAGGTCGAATCTGCCTCTTTGCCCACGGCGGCTTCCTCCGAGCTCGACCAGAATCGAACCGATTTGAGTCGTCGATGGTGGGGGTTCAGCTTGCGCAAGGACGATTTGAGCCCCCGCGGTTCGTTGGGCGACAGCAAAGGCACCTCGTCCTCGTGGTAGGCACGATTGTCACTCGGAGTGTGTTGGGCCTCTCGACCGGACCCCCATTCGATACGAGGGTAGTGGGTTGGCTCTCGAACGGAGTGCGGAACCGGTTGCTCCTTGCGGAGTACATTGTGGTGTTTCGTCATGAATACGATTGTCCGACAGACTTTTATAACTGAACGACTAGACGCTAGACGACTGCGTTGTCTTCAGAAGTTTGTGTACAAATGATGGGTCCAACGTCCGTAACATGTCGCACTTCTGTACGCGATCAAGCAATGATCTGTGATATACAACTCGAATACGAGGTAGAAAGGGAGTGATGTCTCGACGAGTCCCGATCTGGTAGATCCAACAAGATCTGCAAAGTCATGGAAGATCCCCGTAAAGGAATCGAAAAGGAGCTTTGGTATTGCGAAACGCGGTTGTATCGGAGTTAGACGACCCCCTCCATCGCGCGTAGACGTTGTGAGCCAAACAGAAGCGCAAAAGCGCGGGTGAGCCAGCCTCGCACACCAGCGGAGGTCTCGCGCTCACCCTCTCTCGCTCGGCTGGGCCGTGGATGGTGGGTGGATGGGCGTGTGGTGGGTGGTGAGAATGTCGGGATCGCGAGGTCATCTCACGCATTTGGCATTGGCGAGCGTCTTGCTTCCCTTTTCACCCCTCTCGGCACTTCCCCCTTCAAGAGAAAGCAAAAAGAGGTCGGTATTCTCTCGCTCGTCGTTATTCATCGCCCCGTCAAGAACGTCGTCCTGACCGCAATTCGGCACGAATTATAAACTTTTATCAGACTCGTCGAAATGGTCGCCCACAACAACCAACTCGCCAACGAGCATTTCAGGAAGTCCAGCTGGCAGGTGAATATCAGATTCTGAGCGGTTGAGGGTCCATGGCGGGCGAATAAAGAGAAGGCAAACATCAGCAATGAGGTCGGCGGCGGAGTGTGTTCCCCTTGGAGCTGGATTGGGATGACGGGACGGGAATCATGAGCTTGCTGCATCGATACGATCGCACAAGCGGCATGAACGGCCGATGGATTGGGATGAGCGGAGAATGCCATTCCTACAATCACGTCGATTCGGCGAGTGGCCCGTTGAAGCACAAGCGAACTTGTGGGAATGGCTATCGCAACCGGAGAAGATTCGTCGTCGGCTTCTGGGAAACACACCGCCCCGTCTACGCCCGCCATAGAGACTCTCAACGTCGCTGGATATATGAATTACGGACCGCAGCTTCATGACGCTGATCAACGCCATGTCTGTCTTGTTTACAGGAGCGTGTCAAGACCTGGTTCGACCAGCCCGGCCGAAAGCACTCCAGGCGTGTCGCTCGTCAGAAGAAGGCCTTGAACCTCGGAGTTCGACCCCTTCAATTGCTCCGACCTGCCGTTCGAGCCCCTACCCAGCGATACAACACCAAGGTCAGGCTCGGTCGAGGTTTCACCCTCTCCGAGTTGAAGCAGGCCGGTGTCCCCAGGAAGGAGGCCAAGGGTTTGGGTATCGTCATCGACCACAGGAGGAACCGAAGGTCCGAGGAGAGCGAGAAGGTCAACGTCGAGAGGCTCAAGGAGTACAGGAGCAGGTTGATCGTCTTCCCCAAGAAGGCTGGCAAGGCCAAGAAGGGTGACTCTTCCGTAAGTCATCGGCGATTCGGCGAAAGATGGCTCGCCTGGGGAGCTCGGTTACTGAAAGCGCCTATACTTGAATGTTGCCTGTCTATCCGTCCGTTCAGGCTGAAGAGCTCAAGGCCGACACCACCCGAGTCCAGTTGGCTCTCCCTAACGTTTACGAGGCCGAGGCTCCTCGTGCTATCACCGAAGAAGAGAAGAACTTCGATGCTTTCTTGACTTTGAGGAGGGTCAGGGCCGACAAGAGGAACGCCGGTCAGAGGAAGAAGAGGGCCGACGCCGTAAGCACATGTTTAGTCTTATTGCCTCGCTTTGCGTATGCTAATCCGTTACGACGCTCTTGCGTACCATTCGAGAATCTGCAGAAGGCCGCCGAGGAGGCCGCTTCCAAGAAGTAGACGCAAATCGTCTGCTGAAAGGGACGAGATTGGAGGGAGACCGATCACAACCGCGTAGTGGACTTTGTACAGCGCACGTTTTCATACATGATGTTGACGAATCCATTGCCAATCTCATGAACAACTGGACTCGCTCTGCTTCACCGAAGATGCCGATTGGGATCCAGCTCGGGCACGCTCAAATACAGCCAGCCAATTTTGGGAATGCAAGGTTTGAGACAATACAACTTCAAGCTCTCTAAGTACAACTAGCCTGACGTTCCGCCTGATCGAGGATCGCCTGTCGCGAGTATGCATACGTTCATAATCGATGTGTAGTCTAATCAGCGGGAATTTTTGCGCGCATGATTAGCGGCCAATGTGAGGTCGTCCTGGGGTGCCGTGACAGTACGCCCGTCGATGTTGCGCTCCAATTTTCCGTCTTCGCGAACAGTCGTATCCGGCGAGACGCCGTGGCCATACGGTTCGCTGGGATCAGTGGCTCGCACCAACGTCGGACTAGGGGGAGACAAGGCTTGCGATCCGGATAACCGTCGACCGATCTGCGCGGCCGGATGTAGTGATTTGATTGCCTCTGGAGAGGAACCTGGCGAGGGGCTTGAAACACTGCCGTTGCTACTCGAATTCGCATCATCCCATGATCTTGCGCGGGCATTGGCGGATCTTGTGGATTGTCGAACCCGTCCTGATTCCAAATGACCTCCAGGGACGGACCAGTTGGCTGCCAAGAATTGCGCAGCCGACTCGAATCCCCCATGATCGGGCTCGACGATGATACCGTGAGCATGCTCGCTAGCTTCGTCATCATCATCTTCGTCGTCATCGTCATCGCTGCTGTCGTCCGCGCCGGATCTCGTTGCAGATTCTCCGGCGAATTGCTCTCGGAAAGCCTGGTTGGCAAAATCCGCCGCTGTCATTGGTCGATTGGCATGTATACTCATCCGGGGTTTCTGGTATGGCGCTTCAAACGAGTCGCCAAACGGATCGGCTGCGACAAAGTCGCCAAAGCCGTCGTCCATCTCGCCCGGATCGCTAGAAGGTGAAAAGGCGTTCTAGAGAAGAGAAAAGTCGGCGAGGGGTTTTGTAGCGTTCTCGCGCCCGCTCACCTCGAAGCCATCTGACAGCATTTGCTGACGACCTCCGCGATTTGCCCGGGGTGACTCGGAACTATCGTCACTATCCTCATCCGATGAAGCGAACGACCCCGAATAGGTCTCATTGGTCAAGAACTTGTTGAACTGCGCGATTCGAGTTCGTTTAACGACAGGCGCCAAGGATCGTCATACTGCCCAGACTCACCACACGGAACCTAGAGTCTTCGTTTTCAGCGGTGCCAAAGCCGAAAGAGCCACTAAAGGCGTCACCGGAAGAGACGGATCTGGTCAGAGGCTGACCAGCTAATGCTCCGGAGACGTCCTCTTCTTCTTCCCCATTGTCCCAATCTTGCTTGGCAGCATTCGCCGCTGCCAACGCGGAAGGACGGCCGCCACCTAGGGGCTGAGCATCTCGCTGACGACTTTCCCGCAGCTCGCCCGCTACAAAGGCGTTCCATTCTGACCGCACGAAAGAGTGTTCTATGCTCTCATAGAGCTCCGGGGGACACCGCTCGAAGAATTTTTCGAGTTCGTCTGCTATTAGAAGCATGTGGCCCATCAGGCCCAATCTCCTCGATCTTTTACCTTGGCTATCGATGGAAGCTGTGTCAGAAAACCTCGCATACGGCATGCACGATAATGACGACTGCTTACCACAGTTCCACGTTGAGCCTTTGAGTATCTAGAATCTTCTCGACAATCTTCGCATCGCAGAACAGCTCGTAAACAAGTCGACGGTTGTAGCCTTGATCGATCCGGCCGTTGAGCACCTGCTGAACGATGTCGTATATGACATTATGGAGGAAATTGTTGCTCGGGTGTTCAAAAAAGATATCCTACGCGAACGCATCAGTATTTGCGCTGACGATCGTCAGAAGGCCTTCACTCACGACAACGGAAAGCAATACCCGGTGGTCGATGTACAACTGCTTCAGGACATCTCCACTTGTCATCGTCGTTGCAGGCTCTTCGCGGTGGGTGTTCTCCACGGAAGCACCGGCTGGGTTTCGTACGTTGGCCAACCTCTTTGCCGTCTGCGTTTCGGTTTCACTAGACGCTTCCGTAGAAAGGCTGAGTTTGTCTGTTGCCGTGGTCATGTCTTCAAACAATGTCTGTTTCGGGGTTGAAGGTTCCTCTTCCTCCTCCTCTTCCGGGCGCACGGAAGGAGCTGACTCCACGTCACCTGAATTGGCTTCAGAGGAATTGATTTGCACGGTGTGTTCCGAAACTGGGTCCTCTCCCTCGTCGTCCGAGCCAGTCAATGAACAGTTCGTGGACCCAGAGCTGCTAACGGGCAGATCTCTTGCAGGTGTCACCTCGTTGAGCACTTCGTCGTTTCCGTTGCCCGCTTCAGTGACACCTTCCAGAGCAGTCCCTAGCTTCTCGAGGGCATCGAGGCCGCCTTCGAGCCGACCATCAGCGGTGTAATCCGGGCCGGAACCCTTGGCTCGGTTGAGGATGGACATGTTCGAGCAATGGAGCATCTCCGCATAAAGCTCTACTATACGGAACCTCTCGGTGGTAAGAGGATTCGGAACGCCCGGAATGCGTGATCGTTCCTATCGCCGTGAGATTAGCTGATGCCGCACGTTCCTATCAGGAGGGCACAGATGTGACTAACCGGATGACGCGGGTGGAGGATCGCTTCTTGCAGCTCTCCTATGTGCTCTCTGACCTGGGACAATAACGGTCCGAGGTGTACTATGCCGAGCTTCTCGCTCATCTTGGCCATCGTATCCTCCATGTCCTGTCTGTCCTGTGCGTCCTCCTCTAGCGAAGACGTGTGCTTGTCCTCCTGATCTGCCTGATCTTTAGCCTGGAATCTAATCTCGACTTTGCGTTGCTGCATTCCCATGAGACGGTTCCTGATCGAATGGAAGAGATAAGGCTCGGAATAGTCGGAGTTGTTTTTCCTGATCAACTCGATCAAGATTGTTATCGATTGGCAGAAGGAAGACGTGACAGAGGCGATCGAAGGTAGCTTGGTGACTTGATAGGGGTCGAACGAATATGGCTCCGACGCGTTCTGTACTGGGATATCGGTCGTCTTGCTAGCGGACGTATTTGCTGATCCATCGTCCAAGTCTACCTCGACCAGAGAAGTACGATGGCGGTCTTGCTCCGGAACGGTCCCGTCCGTCGTCGCAACTGTTCTCTTCACCGCTTCCACCAGCATGGCGATGTTCTCTGGCATGACCAATTCCCGGATAAGGCGGTTGTCCCTCTGACCGATCGGAGCGGCGGAGTCGTTCGTTGCATTTGCAGAGGTCGCTATCGGCCCAGACGTTGGATCCAAAGGACTGCTCGCATTGGCATGCGCCGCAGCGTTCGCCCCGTCTGAAGCAGAGCCGGCCTCTCCCTGATCACCACCATTGCCTCCATTTGGACTGAAGGCGTTTGGAGAGGTCAGATTGATGATCGCCTTGACGATTTCTGTGATCGTGAAGTGTGTCGAGGGACTTTCGTAGGGGGACAAGAGGGACAGCAGTTTTGGAATGAAATTTTCTTGTCGTAACCACTGTTGTTCCGGTCGATAGATCAGCTAAATCCGATTACACTGCGATATCTCAATCGGCCCACCTCGATCACTCCAACCACACCGGCTTCTTCGCATGTGATCAGACGGAGTATGGTATCCTGTATGGATGGGCTGTCAATCCTGTCGACCAGCCTTGACACGACAGAAGGTATCTCTTGGATAAACTTGAACATCTGCTCGATGGACGGGTGACGCTGGTCGTCAGCAAGAGTCCCGAAGTCGGAATAGGCATTGTATCGCACCTGCGTGGGTCTTTTCGTCAACAACATGCCGTTGATCCGGGTCCAATTACCTCGGATGATCTCCCTGCGCTTGTCATCATCCTCGTCCCTCTCGCTCTTCGTACGCTCGAGCTCATACCGCACATGAGCCCGTAATCGCGATCGCATCTCGGGCGTATCGCACCCCTCGACGACTGACATGCCAAGCGCTTCCTCGCGAGAACCCAGTATGATGTCCCATATCGGTCCCAACAGGCCCGGCAGATCCGACCAGAGCGTCTCGCTGATCTGGAAATAATCCGCACAGAGGATCTCGGTCGCGAGATGCGGATAACGCTGTCGTTTGGCATCGCCTTCGACGTCCGGTTGCGGTGAGGCGTTGGGAAAGTTTCCCCAAAGGCCGCTACTAGTGGGACTTTCAGACCGCTCGGTGGTTTCAGATGCAGCTTTGTCATGTGTGGACGCTGGCGATAAACCTCCGGTACTACCGGTCTTGTCTCCGTTCGCTGTGCTCGAGTCCAGACTGGCGAGGCCACCTTGCTTTACCAGGTCCTCGAGGATCCTCCGTTCAGCGGTATCGGCGTGACGCTCAATCTCGTCGGTCCCGTATACCGACCAAGCGATCAGCCCGCGCACATTGTCCCTCGCCGACAGGACCTGTATCAGTCTACGATAGTCGATGTTTCCACAGATGGCGAGAGGGTAACGGGTGACACCAACAATTCGAACGTCATCAGCGACATGGCTCAGGCGTCCCTTCCGAACGGCCAGGGACAACAGCGCTTTGTGCGGTTGCTCGCGTGACGAACCTAGCATTGCCCGCCTTGAGCTCGCTCAGGAGATCCGTCTCGTCCAACAGCTGATCCAAGACGTTGTGCATTCCACCGCCGCCGCTAGATCCTGCACCTCCTGATCCTCTGTTGCCGGAATACTGCGAGTTTGAGCTCGAATCTCCGCCGTTCCCACCGAGCGCTCTATCCAGCGTGGCCTCCAAGGTAGACGAGGCATTCAAGCCGGGGTTCATCCGCCAAAACATGATTGCAGGACGGGTTGCCGGAGCTGACTATATGCACGCTTTATGCTTGCTGCTAAACGATATATAATGTGTGTGCTGCTGATCCAGTGGTTCGATGCTTGTGCTCGTTGTTGACAACCACTCATGATCAAACCACGCTGTGAAGGACGATGAGATCAGGGAGATGAGAGAGAGGTGAGACTCGTCGCGAGCCACGCTTCCCACTTCGTCATGCTCAGACCAGATATCATGCAGAACAAGTTGATGCGAGCACCATCCTAAGAAACATGGCGATCGACCATCAGCACCACACCTACAGCAGACAGGAAGAGGAAATCAGATACTCCTGATCGATACTCTGATCGACATGAACAGGTGTAGCAAAATCGCCCTCCCACTGTCGGGCTCGAGTCGCCACGGCGCTGCATCGCAAGCAAGAACAAGACGGCCCCGTCTCCCCGCCACCATACCTGCTTCGCCGAGCACCACTCCGCAATGTCGATCCATTTCAGGCTCTTCGTCTTGTCTGAAAGACTCTTTGTCGAATTACCGACCGCCGACCGCCTCGTACTTACCCCCGGCGACGAGATCGTACGGTCGGGTCGACGATCATCCCATGCCCGATGACATGCCGAGAGAAGATTACTCGACGCCGGCCATGTACACGTTCAACATGCTGGCCAAGATATTGCGTTACCTCCTCTACGGAACGCTAGGAGTGACCGCTGCAGGTCTAGCCGGGGTCGAGGGTGGACATCAATACGTCGAGAACGTCATGATGGCATACCCCAGCCATGTGGATAGTCGTAATATAGACCCAAACTCGGAAGAGGCTGTTTATGCTTGGGCCGAAGAGAATGACGCATGGACAGGTGGATCTTCCGGAGGTACCTCCTCGGCACTAGGTTTCTACGCTCGACATACGTTGCGATCTGCTTGGTTAGCCAGGGAATACGGAGTCGGCAGTAGCGGCGCCGCTGCGATCGGGAGAGCTGGACAAGACTCTGACAGCGGTCAGATGAAGGGTATGATCGGAGCGGGCAGATCTGGAACGGAAGGGGATAGTCTCAATACGAGCGACCCCAGCTCGATCATGGCGGAAGATTATCTGGCACGCACCATACTCGCTGCCAGGTCAAAAGGTATCGCATTCCCGGGCAATCTACCTGGTAACCGGGAAACATATCCACCGGTTCATCCTTCTAGTTCGCACGCGCAGGTCCCTGTCGACCGTGTAGCGCTGGACCTGCTTACACGTCATGCCGAAGTGTTGGAGCGTATAGCAAAGCCTTCCTCGCTAAGGGAGGCCGAGGAGACTTACGAGATACTGCTCCGATCAGTTCTGGATCGAAGTGTTACCAATTCCGTGGAAGAGGTCGTCAAGCAGGCGGAACTTTTGCAACTCGCCAAGAAGCTAGGGGATGTCAATATCAGGTTGGGCGATGCGGAGAGAGCGACCGGATGGTGGGAATGGGGTATGCGATTCGGGGGTCTGGCGACGCGGCGTCCATCGTCACAAGCTATGCCAGTGACGGATCACGGTGTGACGGTGGCGGAGACTCGAGGCTGGCTCCCTCGTTGGCTCGGCTCGAACAGCGGGTCAGCACCAGCGGAAGCTGCTGGTTCCCGTATGGAACATACCTTGGCCCAGAACAGCCATATGGTTGTCCCTCAAGACACGACGATGGATCACGCCTTGCCCAATCTGCATCCGCTGATCCGCCGCGCCGCGATCTCATTGATCAGCTCTTACGCTTCAAATCTGGGTATGCAAGGGCAGCTCGTCGAGGCCGGCGCTTTACAGAACATGGGATTGCAGCTAGCAAAGGCTACCGACTCTACCAAAGAGAGTACGCCTGCTGCCTCCTTGCAAAATCTCTGGCTCAACCATCGGGCCTCTCTTTTGACTCTGAACGCGGTTGAAGTCGCCCATGCCCAGGGCGAGGACATCCAAGTAGGCCTCGGCCGATTAGCAGAAGCGACGAAACAAGCAGAAGAGGTCATCCGCAATATAGCGGCGGCTTATTCCACGTCGGCCAAACCCGTCATCGCCGCGGATGGCCAGCCCGCTCAGTACACCCCTTCTAGGGCCATCCCGATGCGAAACATGGAGATTGCAGACAGGTTCGGCAAGAATCAACGCAAGAGCCCCCTAGCGCGACCCGCATCTCAGCTCTTGAGAGACGCAGAACGGACTGCGGCGGAGGGATGGAATCTGACAGGGCTGCTCTACGAGAAATTGGCCCGGTTGCCTGTTCATCAGGCGATGCAGCGACAGGCGCTCCACGAGGTGGCACTCGACTGCCACGAAAGGGCCATGGGGTGGTCTACGATCGCGAGTGGTGGTGAAGCAGATGGGTTGAACCAGATAGCTGTCGACGAGGACGCGCTCGGTTTGGGCGGCAAGGGAGGTGTTGGGAAGACTACAGAATATTGGAGAAACTATATGAGGGTGCGGGCCAAGTTGGAAGCCCAGGTCACTGCAGTATAATCCGGGCTGTTAGCCCTCGGATAGCAGGCACTGCTGCTAGCGTTTTGCTCTTGTTTGTATATATGCCAAATCTTTACAACGAGGGTGAATCACACATATAATGACCGAGTGAGAAAGAGAGAGTATGAGGAATAAAGCTGTGTGGCTGCCCAAGATTAGGAAATCGAAGAGAAAGAGGCCGTCTGGATGACGAGGCGAGGGGTGACAGATCGTCTGTCCTCGACCAGTCTAGGCTCGTCCGTTGCCTCGGGCCGCTGCTTCAGCCTTGGCTCGGTTCAGGGCCGCTAGATCGGCAGGTTTACCCTGCGGGTACTTGACTTGATAATCGATCTCTCGTCGGAAGAGTACTGTTGTCGTCATATGCGTCAGTTGCCCCGGTTCATGTCGTGTTCTGACGGAGACTTTTTACTCACGGATATGAGGCTCGGGCGCTGCCGTGCAACAAGAGGACAACCGATTTTCGAAGTTAGCATGACAACGACTTGCAGGAAAAAAAGGTAAGGTCAGTCGTACCATGTACTTCGAAATGCTGTTCAATGTGATTAATGACGTATGCTTAGTCCTGGAATCTCGTATTCGATCGTGTTGAACACGGGCGCCGTGGCCGGAAAAACTCACCTCCCAGCCCAAACTCTGCGTGATTCCGATCCCTCTCCATTCGGCTTCGGATAATATCCGCAAGAGCCCGGTATCGTTATCTTGGAAGTATCTGAGACGAAGTGCAAATGGAATCAGCTACGAACGGTTATGCTAGATGAAGGAATATATGGACTTACTGCTTTGGTAACATTTTCAGCATCTGTTTTGGCAGGATGACGTGCCTGTATTCGAAAGCGCTATCGGCATCTGGATATGCAGCAAAGAGGGTGGAGAAACGTGTCAGTACTGCATAGCGTGATCCCGATATACCACGATATGATGATTTACATTTATCGGAATAGACGATCCTGTAGATCGAAAATCAGTGTCGAAGAGGAAGATGGTCAGCGAGAGATTCCCGGTCCGCTCAGCTTTGCCAATGCCAATTCACCGCTCGGCTAGTTCTTCAAAGGTATGATGGGCCATGGTCGTGAAGTGTTATGGCTTGTGGATGATACTGTAGTTTGTGCTGGTAGCTCTCCACTCTATCGGTTCGAATTGGCTAGAACGTGGTCTTTTCCGAGAATCACTGCTTGACCCTCGTTAAATTGCGCACGAACGAGCGACTAGTTGGGACGGAACCTTGGGATGATGTTTTCCAGCTACCGAATTGAGGATGATGATCTAAATGAAATAGGTTGAGAGGAATGATGAGCGAGCGAGGCAGCATGATCTGAGAAAGTCGAGGAAGTCTGACGATCGAGATAGGATAGGGGTCCGGCGCATGAGGGGGGAGAAGGATCAGTCCGAGGTGGAAATTTGGAATCGGATCCGGTGAACCTCGGTCGCGGTTGCGGTTGTTTGTTAGGAAGATCAGGGGAGGAGCACAATCGATATTCGAGCAAACCATGGGAACACAACGTAATCGTACATTATACAAACGGGACACTAGCAGCTAGCAACTAGCAACTCGTCAAAGTGTAAAGTGACGATTTCTGCTGCAATTCTCTCTCGGTCCCGACAGTGAACAGACAGGCAACGCTCCGCCATTCCGCGATAACAATAACGCCCCCGGCTGACTTGCCTTTGGCCGAGGCTCGTCGATCATGCACAAACTCAAGAAGAGGAGACCGTCCGTGCCAGATAGTCAGAGGCCATCGCAAACTCCTGGCAGTAACAGTAGTCCACCACAACTACGAGTGGATCGAATTCCATTGAAACTGAACGATGTCGCGATATCGAGAGGGGATTTCCGTGGATCGACCATTATCGCCGGGTGAGCCGATCGAACGTGCGGATTCTACGTCCTGCAGTTGACAGCTAATCCAGATGCATTTCCTTCTCCTATATAGCTTGTCGAATCGTTTCTCTGTACTCAAGATGCCGGAGCAAGATTCGAACCCGTTCTCCTCAGCAGGTCCGGTGCCGCCTCTACCGCCAGGCGCATTCACGTTGGACGACATGAAGAAACGGTTCGCCCAACAGCGAACGACATACGAGACCGGAGATTATCTGACGGAACAGGAGGAAGCGGCGGTGCTTGCGGATCTAGAGGAGAATATCAGGATGCAACAACAATCGTCTCAGGCATCGCTTGAGCGCTTTCAATCGTTGGAATCCGACGAGGCTCCTGCCAGTTCGGCATCGCCGCCCCTCTCCTACCGTCCTGCAGGTCGCGGTTACGGCTTTGGTTCCTCTGACGCGATGAGGGAAGCCGAGGTGATGCGGAACGCAAAAGAGACCGTTCGAAATAGACAGCAGCAGTCGCCCCTATCACCACGAAGACAGATAGGCGAGCCTGTTGCCGACAGGTTCGAGGGTCATGATCCTGCTGGTGGCGGTTCACGGAGCACATCCACACGGGCACCGCCCTCTGGAGGGCATACGAGGGATAATTCTAGCAGCAGCCTGCACGAGCGCAAGTCGGTCTTGGAGACCATGTCGCCTGCGGCTCAACAGCGCATTTCAAGGGCAATCCTGCAAGTCGAGGCCGACATGCTCAACACGGCGAGCTTCTCGGCGGAAAACCGAAATTTGCCAAGTAACATGTCCACGGCTCGCCTTCCTACGACAACACCGACAAAGAGGGTGGGAAACGACAGGCGAAACGTCTCTATCAGCCGATCACCAGCCTTTCATGACCGGTTAGCAGACGCAGTTGCGGAAGAGGAGATCCTCGTTGACAAGGCAGGGATGGGTGGAGCTGTCACAGCGACGTCAAATGACGATGACGGGCCTACCCAACAAGCTGGTTCCATCGATGTTTTCACTGTGGATAACAATGCTGCCGCGGGTTCAACAAAATCCTTTGCAAAGCTTCATCGGCCAGAGCCACTTGCTCTTGGCAAGCCGATTACCCTTGGGAGGCCGATCACCCTTTCCGCTAACGAGGGACCTAAAGCAAATCGTTCAGAAACAAGTCAGGCAAACCAGGACGCCACGCAGCTGCTCAGTCCAGATTTGTATAGTCGGCAGCACGCCAGGCACAACGACGGTCCCACAACAGCCGCGTCGATCTTGACCGACGGCACCGGCAGCTACGTCGCTGAGACGCCTCCTGAGACGGCACTACACAGTCAACAGTCTTTGGCTGTGCCAGGACAGGACTCTTTGCCTAGTCCTCATAGTCCGCAAGATTACGCCTTCGATATAGCGGGTTACTACGGCGGTGAGCAAGAGTCGAACGGGTACGACGATACCCATGGGACAACACACACCGAGCGCGAGCCTATAAACCTGGGAAGCCCGGCCAGGTCAGTATATTCAAGCGATTATCAACCATCCGCAGATGATCCTGCCTCTTTTGCAGAGGATACATATGCTCATGAGCTCCAGAGCGATGCTTCGCGGCGCGTGAACGAGGCCGAACTGGGCTTATCTCTCGATGACTTCAAGCGTATGCAGGAAAAACTCAACGAAGCCGCTAGAAACTCACAGCGAGACTTGGCCACGGTATCAGGGCAGGAGGGCGCCCCCGGTCCATCCGCTTCGCGAAACATGTCTCCGGTCGCTTCGCACAGTGGTCAGGCTCAACAGGACGTTGCTGTCCACACCAGCCACGCGGAGGGGTCCATTATGAAACCGGCCATGTCACCAGATATCGATCGAAGCTCAGAAACCCGTCCGGACCAAAAGCATTATGGAGAGCCGACTGACCATCATTCCTTCAGCTCGCCACCACCTGGAAGGTCGATCAACGAATCACCTGTAACTTTGGCATCCCCCATCGCATCTAGTGGTCCTTACTCACCGCAGCGTTTCGGAAATGCGGCTCCTTCAGTTGAGGCTGACGATCGAGAAGGAGCCAAATCTCGTTTGGCTCAAGCCTTGTTCGGACCGACCGAGGCTTTGGGAGGTCCCCCCTCCCCTGTTGGACCCACTCACACCCATCGACGCATGGAGTCTACCAGCAGTGCCCGCTCGTATCGGATAGACGAGGATCCTGATGTACGACGCGACTTCGAGGCGAGAATCGCACAGGCGACGGCTGCTCTGCAAAAGACGCCGTCGGTGCGACTCTCCCGGAAGAATACTCGTAACAAGGCCATCAAAATCGGATCGCCTACCCTGTTGCAAACATCCGCTACTCTGCAAGTCTCGCCCTTGACGTCGCCACAGATGGGACAAGGAGGATTCTCGCCAACTGGCAACTCCGTCGTGCGTGGCATTCACCAACGGTCTGGCCACGGCAAGTCGGCATCGACGTCTAGCCTGTCCCAAGTACAGCCCGCGCCGCCATCACCGAAGACCGGATCGTCGGCTTCGTCCGGATTGAAGGGTCTTCTAGCCAAGATGAAACGAAAGCCATCACAAAAGCGCGCAATAAAGGAACCGCCCGCCGCGGCTGCTGCTACTGCGCCCCAACGCTCTGCAGCTCCCCCCATTCCCGCTGCGGGTGTCCAAATTCCTCCCGATATGACGGCAGATGCGCGCAAAGCAAGACGTTCCATCGTTCGCCGAACTATCGTTGTGCCTACAAACCTGCCGCCTCCTGTACCCAGTTCAAGCCTCAACGCTTTGCAGAATGAGATGGACCGGAATCAAGCCCCTATTGAACCCAGCCGCCGACCGAGCGTCAAAAGGAAACCAGTGCATCGTACGAGCGAGGACAAGGCGTTGGAGCAGGAACTACTGGCGCCCCCGGTTGTTCAACGAGTCGCTAGTCTAGGGTCTAAACGGTCTGTGGAATCCGGTCGCGACAGTTTGTATGAGCTGTATGGTGAAAGCGAAGACCAATCGCAACTCCCTGGCCAGTCTTCATCTCAAGGTAACCGAGCCACGCTCGTCAAGCCCACGCAGGTCCTTGAAATCCGAGAGATGAGCGATGGCGAAGTCACGTGGGGTCTGGTCGACGGAGTCGACGAAGGGTCGGAGGACACTGCTGTGTGGCGCCCTCAAAGCCGAATAGCGAGTCAATATGGAGACAGTCTGATCGAGCAATCCAGTACATCGTCATATCGGAAACCCAGCATGGCTTCCAACAATTTCGACCTGGATGAAGACGATGCAGCTTGGTCGGTCGCTGAGCGCGAATTGCTGGAGTCTCCGGTAGAACGGCCAAAGACCAAGGCGAGTATGCTTCGTCTGTCTTCCTGCTTCGTCATGCTGAACCTCTTGTTCCGAAATGACAGGTCTTTTACTCGTCCTCCGCAAACATTCAAGATCTCCTGGCTGATCTGTCAACCCAGAACGCCGATGGCCACTTTAGGATCCTTCCTCAAAACATCGAAGTGAACGATGAGGAACGCGATCAAGCAAAACAACTTGATTCCGGCCGGTCAGGTCAAGATCTGGATTCCAGGCTACAGGTAAATTCTCCACGTCCAGGGCCGACTGGAGTGATCACCCAGACTGACCCTATCTGCTTGCAGGCTCTTGTCCAGAAACTGCAGGCTACCAGGTGAAATGTGACGTGCATGTAAAGTCGCTTCGACTGTAAGGAAAATTTGGTGGAACTGCCGCCCACGACCAGCGACGATATTTGAAATGACTGAACGATTGTAACTGGTTTGGGAATGAATAATGCGAAGTATTGATCGATTCAAGTGGATTCCCGTATTGATTGACCCATTAATTACAACAAATTGGCTTTTTGCTCTGGCTGATTAAACATCCACTTAGTTGACGACGTGGTCGGCCTTGTCGTCGCTGTAGGTAGGGGCCTCGGTAGCGTGAGGCTTGCCATCCTCTGTAGTGAAGAGACAGGTCATGATTCAGTATGCCATTCCATATCACAGGGTGCAGACCGAATTCTTACTGGGCTCCTCTCCGTGACTGAAGAAAGGGACACGAAACATGGGTGATCAGCATCGATATGCAGCATTTACGGTGACCGTTTGCTCACGTCTTGGCGGGGTCTCGCTGCTCCTTGTCGTTTCGCTCCTCGGCGTTGTCAGAAGCCTTGGGGATGGAAGTCATCTTCTCGGTATCGGCAGAGGCAGCTCTATAGGTGGGAGAAGAGTACGGTAGTTTTCCGAGGTTCAGTGATATCGCTCTCGCGCATGTGTGGGTTCTCGGTTGACTTGTCCTCACCCAGACATCTTGTTGATTTGAGTTTACGGTTTGAGTTGTTCGTGGAGGTAGTTCAGATAGTAGTGATGCAAAACAAGGTGTGAAATCGCATGTTATGGTTGGCTTGGGTATATTCAAAGCGGGATCGATCGCTATATATATACAACTTGCTGGCGAGGGCGACTTTCGGTCCGAACGCGGTGACGTCACGGATAACGCGCACATGACACCGCGGATTTCAAACCGTGATACGCGATTCGGGGGAAGAGGTCACGCGAGCGTGCAACGACTTTGTATGTTCAGCAAGCTGCCTTTCGTAAGCCTGTATGCAAAGCGGTACCAGGGCTTAACTGTCGGCGATGATGCATCTGACTGAATACCCAGCTCGTCCAGTACATACAGCTTGTTCCGCTTCGAGGGCGAATAGCTCGCCTTCGCCGAGCGGTTTGATCAGGTATCTCGGCATGGCCATTTGGTTTCCGTCATCCGGTGTCGCAAGCGGGTCGACCAGGTCGGCTCGAGAACATACCGCTCGACTTAGATAAGCGTCGATGAGCCTCTCCTGGTGCCTGTCTCTCCAGATCGCGTACCACACGACATCTTCGTCCTTTGACCACCAACCGCAGACCATGATTTCGGGACACAGTTGTATGATGATTTCGATCATACGAATATGTTCCTTGGGATTTAAAGGGTAGCCTCCTACTTGAAGAACTCGTAGATGAGGAAGATTTGCCAGTGGCAATAGTGCCGTGATCTAACGAAGGTGCCGTTTCAGTACGTGTAAAGTCGGGCAGGCGACGCTCCACCTTACCATCTGCTCTGCCAGCGTAGAGTCCTTGTCGTCCTCTATCGACGGTCGATCCAGGAATATTTCCCTTACGTGATCCATTTTGCCGGTCAAGCTGCCCAAGAAACCGAGCTTGATAGCACGGTGATCCTTTATTCCGGCCTTCCGGTGCATTGTCACACGGGCATCCCAGTTTAGGTCGAAATGTACCCCATCTGAATATGGAACTTCCGCCAGGTACGCTTCGAAAGATTCGCCAGTGCCATCGTTTCGCAACCGGGAACGATCATATCCTTGGGACAAAACGTTGATCCGTTGTATGTCTGGATTATTACGCCGGGATGATTTGCCCGAGTCGGCTCTGTCCCCTAAACTAGTATAGCATTGCTCGCGAGCATTCCATGACACCAGCCCAGGTGACGTTGGTCGCGCTTTTATAAATGCCGGATGAGATTCGGCAGCGTCGAGATCGGCATCGCCAGGTCGCCAGCGCGACATCAGGCCGCACAGCATGAGCGTCAAGGCTGGATGACCTCTGTCTGACCGATCGTTGACCGAGCTACCATTTGGTACCACTTCGAATTGCCTGTCCTGGAGTGCCGATAGTACCAGGTCCAAGTCTTGTGCAGACATGGCCGTCGCTTCGGTATTGCAATCCAGCACGATGCAGCCAAGCCGGTTGCAACATCTCAAAAAGTCCGAGAAGCTCACAAACATGCTCGTGGCATAAAATTCTCTGAGCTCGTGAGGGGTCTCTGAGCGAGCTCTCCAGCCGAACGATTTCAGGCGAGGTCCGATATGTCGCCTGACGTATTCTGTCCCAAAGAATAGCGACAGAGTGATATCGTCCGATCCGTCTGCAAAGATCGATAAATGCTCTAATCCTGGCAGAGCCTGGACAAGATCCTGAAGAGCCTTTACTTCAAGCCTGCCAACGCGATATCAGCTCGTGAGCTTGAGGAATCCGTTTGAGCTCGACAGGAACCTACCAAGGGTTACGGCCACGGTCCCACGACTGTCTCTCGTCGCCCTCGAACAATGACATGTCGACAACGATCGATCTGACATGTTTTCCCCAGTCATCCTTCGAGGCTACTACGGTTCTCAATCGCTCTTCGTCTGCGACCCGGATGCAACGGAGGAGACTCGGTCGTACTTCCGACCAGAGCGCTTTGCTGGTGCTTCCGAGCGCGACTAGGTCCACCAGACCTTGTCTCCGAGCAGGCAGATTGTCTCCGAAAGAGGAAAAGACTCCCCAGGCAAGACGGTCCTCCTGGGTTAAGGCGAGAGGATTGTAGAGGTACGAAGCGATATGTCGGAGGATCTCTCTTGGGAGTCGCTCGAGCGGGGATCCCCCTCCGCATAGAGTTGCGATCTCGTTGACCAGGACCATTCGTATTTTGTATTTTTTGAGAGATATGGAAGACGTTGTTTTGAGTGCTAGAATGGCACTAGTGCTAAGCTTCCAGGTAGGCTGAGATGAGCGATGAGAGAACCGGGTATCGCTGTTCTCTCAGGCTGTACATTGAACGTCCATGACCGACATGGGTATTGGGCTTCAGGAGGTGAGATTGGCGTTGGCAAGTAGGGTGACTTCGCACGATACACTACTATCGGTACAGTCTTGCCGTGTGGAGGACCAAGTGGTAGCTGTTGGTCGGACAGACTATTGTCATATCGCTCTGAAGCTCAGGCCTCACACTCGCTCTGCCCTTCGGGTCAAACTTGGACATCCTCGACATCACATGACCTCCTCTCCTTGCACGCGGCTATTCGGATGTAAACCTTGTTGACGTGCCATGCGCGACGATTACGTTATTCTTCTTACTGCATCCGATCGGCCATCAAAGCGGCGCTCTCGGCTCGCCCGAGCGAACTCTCGATTGTTCAGCAGCACGACTTCGGTACTTGGAAGAATTGGGAGCTTGTCGTCATCACCAACACATACCACATTCGATCGACGTCAACGAGTAGACCATATCCTCTTCTCTTTCTCTAGCTTTGTCGCCAGAGGTCGAGTATGAGGGACTACTTTTGCGTTCACGATAAAGGCCCTGTATGGGACGGGGTAGACTTTTCCCCATGCTGGACAAGAAGGTAAAATCAGTGTCTGTCTGGTTATGCCGCAGTGACGGTCAGGCTGACGTCTCTTTCCCTCGTTCGACAGTATACTACCAGGAGTATTCCCACTGATCGTCATCGCGTCATCGCTGGTCGTACTCTTGCCAACCATCGGTCGCCGGATAGCATCATCTAGCAAGAACATCTCCTTGGCCGAAGAGACCCCCTCGACCAAAGGCTCGGACGATGAGAAGCCATCGTTGCGTCGGATTGAAGATCATATCCTACTGGAATCCGTTCATACCTCTGTGGAAGCTTCGGTACAGACCGGTACACTCGATGAGCGCGAAAAGATCCCCGTAGAGAGGCTAGGCGATTGGATCGGCTTGATCGGTTCGATCGGGTTTGTCGTCGTGCAGATTGTCTACATAACAACCACGTCTCATCACAGTTGGGAGAGACTGGCCCTGTTTGTGAGTTCTGAGTCTAGCAAGTCGTTGTTCCCGTGGCGGGAAGCCTGACGCCCCGTCGATACAGATCTATATGACCTTGTTGGCTGCGACGGCGATCCCTACCGCCAAGACTGCTCCGTTCGTCAAATATATCCCTCAAGTGCACGTCGTCGCCTTGCTCTGGCTCTTCCTACCTGTCCAATTCGTGGTCTTCCGTTCCGCGCTTTTGCACCACTTGCGGGACTCGACGGAGGTAGCCCACCGACACGGCCATGGCTACGCTTCGAAACACCACACCTCGTCAAAGAAGCCGTTCGTCTTCGAGACCATCCTCATGGCGCATACCATCTTTTTCCTCGTCGTTTACACGAGCGTCCCATTCCGAACTCGATTGGACGGGATCTTGCAAGGCCTCAAGGCGGGCAAGGGCAACGGAGCTCGGCGCAAGGTGGTCATCGGCTATGCAGCCGAGGAGACCGAGGCTTATACGGTCAATGACAACCCTGCTGAACCGCGATCGGTCATGTCCCGAGCCTTATTCTCGCATGTCATCCCGATCGTATTTAGGCACTACAAGAATCCGCTTCAAGTCAAGGATGTCCCGGCGATTCGGGAGGACGATACCCCACCTGTCAGCGTTGCTAACTGGCGACTCGATCAGAAGGAGGCAGACGGTCACGCTGAAGATCGGAAAAGTGGCGGTCCCAAAAAGAAGCCTACCAAGTTCGCTTTCAGGCTATTCTGGCATTTTAGAGAACTGTTCTGGTTGCAATTCGTGAGTTACCAATCTACTACTGTGCTCGTTGATGCTTTGCTGAAAGATTGCTTTCGACATGTACGTCAGTTCTGGTCGCTCTGGGCCGTCATCTTTGCCTTCTTCTCGCCTTTGAGTTTGCAACTGCTCTTGCGCTTCGTTGCCGATCGCAAATCGGACGACCCGACCGTGGCAGGCAAGACACCCACGCACGTGGCGGTGCTTTACGTTGCTCTCATGGTCATCGGTCAGGTAAGTCGGTTTTCAGGCCTGTTACCCAAGCATGTGATCCAATAAACGCTAACATTCGTTGTTAAATGGATAGCTCGGAAGCTCGCTCTCTCAGTCTCAAATCTTGAACACTGGTCGCCGAGTAAGTATTGCATGCGAAAGTTGCGCGCGGAACGATCTCATGGACAGCTTTTCATACAGATCTGCATTCGTTCGCGAGCCGTCATCATCACCGAGATCTACTGTAAAGCGCTCAGAAGGCGAGACCTCTCGGGAGCTGTCGCCGCCCGGTCAGTGGCACCGACGGACGACAAGTCCGGCTCTGAAGATGCTAGCAAACCGAAAACGGAAGCGGTCGAAGCGAACATCACCAACCTCGTCGGTGTGGACGCATTCTTCATCTGTAAGCACCAGTCTTCGAGCTTTGCCGGGCCGGTCAGGTTGACAGATTGCAATACACACAGCCGAAATTGCGGGGTATCTGTATTACTTCGTCACCTGCATTCTGTGCATCATCGTCGCCATGGGCCTTCTTTACCGTCTGCTGGGTAAGCTGAGAACTTTATAGTACTTCTTTCTCGGTTCGCTGATGCTGCTATCGTGGTTACAGGGTTGTCCTCGCTTGCAGGAGTCGCGACGATGATACTCCTGACTCCGATACAAGGATACATCACCAAGGCCTTTGCGAGCACGCAGAAAACGGTATGCTGGAAGTCACCCGTGAGATTTAGGTCATGCACGCTGATCCTGCTTTTCTGCATTACTTAGCTATTGCATGCTACCGACGCCCGGCTTGAAGCGGCAACCGAAGTCTTGTCGTCTATCAAGACTATCAAGTTTGCAGCTTGGGAGAACAAATTCTTCGACCGAATGCAAACATCGCGCGATCATGAACTAGGCGTATTGAAACACCGTTTCTACCTGCGAGTACTCGCCAACGTCATGATGCAGATCACGCCTCCATTGGTCACCATCGTCACCTTCGCCTTCTACACCCTCTACTTCAAGCGACCCTTGACCGCTGCGATCGCTTTTACCAGTCTTTCGCTCTTCTCCATGATTCGAACCCCCCTGGCCGCTGTCCTCGAAATGACTACCGCTGCCACAAACGCATACGTCTCGGCGGGGCGTGTCGAGGATTTCCTCAACGTCGAGGAAACGCTGAAGTACGACCAGCTGTCCGTAGCAGTCGCACCAGAGGATCCTACCATCGGGTTTAAGAATGCGGTCATTAAGCACGCAGCTCGCCAGGGTGAGGAGGACAAATCTGCTACCGTTGCGGAATCGAGCACCAGTGAAAATTTCAGGCTGGAGCTGGATGATGTCAATTTCCCTGTCGGCGCCATGTCTATCATCGTTGGCTCTGTAGGATCAGGGAAATCGACCCTTCTCAACAGTCTTTTGGGCGAAACCACTTTGCTAAGCGGGAAGATCTTTATGATCAACGATCGTGGGGACCGGGAGCTCTGCCCGCAGGACCCCGTTACAGGCTTGACAGACACTGTCGCATATTGTCCTCAAGCGCCCTGGTTGATCGGTGCGACCATCCGAGAGAATATTCTCTTCGGCCGACCGTACGAGAAGAGCAGATACGACAGTGTCATCGCGGCTTGTGCCCTCGAGCGGGATCTAGAGATTTTCGAAGAGGGAGATAAGACCATCGTCGGTGAAAAGGGAACGGTTTGCAGTGGTGGTCAGAAGTGAGTCGAAGGTCATGGGACACCTAACTTTGCCGCCTTCAAGCTAACTCTTGGCTGATACGGCCTTTCTCTTCGAACAGGGCACGTATCGCTTTGGCTAGAGCAGTCTACAGTTCAGCTCGAACCCTTTTATGTGACGATGTCACATCAGCGGTCGACGCCCACACTGCTAGTCATCTCTACCGGAACTGCTTCAAAGGACCCTTGATGGCCGGTCGAACATTGATCCTGGTCACCCATGCTGTCGGTCTCGTACTACCCGGTACAGAGTATGCCGTCATCCTTGAGGATGGCGAAGTCCGAGGTATCGGCTCTCCTGGGAAGCTAAAGGCACAGGGCCACTTCGCCGAGGAGGAACTAGAGGACGACGGCAAGCAGCTCACTAAACACCTTGGTGCCAGTGGCGATCCTAAAGACTTACCTCACGTCGAAGATGGTACTATGACCTTTGAAGATCTGGAAGGACATGACGGGGAGATAGAACAGGTTGCCAAGCAGATCGACAAGGACAATACTGACCCGGCGGCGAAACGGGAGAAGTTCTTCAAGGCCGAAAACCAAGCTACTGGGTCCATTGGGCTAGCAACCTACACTGCCTACTTCAAGTACATGGGCTCGCTGGTCTACTGGATCTTCCTGGTACTGCTCTTTGTAGGGGCCCAAGGGACTCAGATTCAGACCAACAACTGGATCCGAAGTTGGGCAAACGCCGTGGAAGAGGCATACTCTTCTGCTCTCATGCAAAGCATCGAATTGGTTCGAGAGCTCGGAGATCGCTACAAGATCAATACCCCTGAGGATGACTCGCTATACTACTTGATAGTATATGTCATCCTCAACGTTTTATTTGGTATCTTGGTAGCTGGTCGAACCTTGGCGACATTCAATGCGTCATTGAAGGCCAGTCGAGTACTGTATGGCCAACTCCTGAGGGCTGTTCTGGGAGCCAGAATGCGGTGAGTGATGCTGGAATCAAATTGTCGAATCTGCGAGTTGCTAAAGCAACCCGTCACCCAGATTCTTTGACAGTACACCTTCGTAAGTGATGACGGCAGAAAAATTGCTAGTTCTTGTTATCTAATATTCTTCGCTTCACGATGTCATAGCGGGCAAATCTTGAACCGTCTCTCCAATGATATTCAGGTCGTCGATCAGCAAGCTGCCGAAGTTATGATGCTCTTTGTGAACTCCGTTCTCAACACGGTCGCCGTCTTCGTCGTCGTTTCCATCGCTACACCCGGTATGCAACCTGCTCGTGTTGGCTCCGCGAGCTTCGTGGTGGCATGCTTACCCGACCTACCTTTTTAGCCTTCATCATTGCTGCCATCTTTATTTCGGGCCTGTACGCTATTATCGGAGCTCTTTACAATGCCACAAGCCTGGAGGTCAAACGATGCGATTCCGTCACAAAGTCTCCTGTGCTCGTTGGGTTTGGCGAAGTCTTGCAGGGACAGACTTCGATCCGGGCCTATGCGGACACCGCAAGATTCACCAGGGAACTCATGACCAGACTCGAGACGAATATGTGAGTCATCGATGCACCCGAAGATCCAACTGTCTAGAATCTGACAGTGGCACAGTCGAGCGTTCCATCTGCTTTGGCAGAACAACCGTCTGTTGTCGGTATACTGCGACGTAGCTGGATCTTTGGTCATCATCTTTGCGGCCACTTTTGTTCTCCTGAACGATAAACTTACCGCTGGTGGGTACTGCGCGACGAATAGATATCATTCCGTGACTGATCCTCAACTTTGCAACCGCAGGTGCCGCTGGATTATCCTTGTCCTACGCAATGACATTCACGGACTTTGTACTATGGATTGTTCGTCTCTGGGCCGCTAATGAACAGAACATGACATCGGTGGAGCGTCTACAAGAGTGTGAGTGGGCTTGCCGTTCAGCCTCCCATTTCCGTGTTAATTGAGAATCGTTAATGGTCCTGCTTGATTCACGGTACAACAGACCTGAAGCTGGAGCCGGAGGCTATACCTGAAGCCAAGGAGCCGCCCGCATATTGGCCTACTAAAGAAGCCAAGATCGAGGTCGAGGAATTGACTTGCGCGTACGCACCTGAGTTACCTCCGGTGCTCAAGGGCGTGTCTTTCGTTGTTCAGCCTGGCGAGCGTGTAGGAGTCTGCGGACGGACCGGTGAGGAGAGATTGCTCAAGTGTGTCACATCTGCGTGCTGATCAAACAACCATCACTTCGAGGCAATAGGGAGCGGAAAATCTAGTAAGTAGAAAGCATGCCGAAATTACGGGTCGGAGCTCATTGAGGTTATAATCAGCATTGGCGCTTTCGCTGTTCCGCTTCATCGAGGCCAGCTCTGGCAGTATCAAAATAGATGGCATCGACATCTCCTCGATCACCCTGACCGCGCTCCGAGAACGCCTTACCATCTTACCCCAAGAAGCCCAGCTGTTCTCTGGCGTAAGTAACCTCGTAGCCTCATGTTCAAGGTGGAAGCTAAACTACTGCCCATAAACGCAAAACCGGTTTTCCGCTGATAGTCCGTCCGTGGTGAGTCGATACGTCCGCATTATGTGGATGCGCGAACGATGGCTAAAGACTCGCTTTACTGCCAGAAAACCTTGATCCTTTCAACGATCACGACGACGAGATCATCTGGGACGCACTGCGTCGATGCGGTCTTGCTTCAAGGAATACGCCTGGGCCTAGCAGGTTGACCAGTCGTGCTCCCAGTCGTGCCGCATCTTTGCATGAGCACGAAGAGGATGGTAGCTCTACCGCGGTTGAAGAAAAGGTCATGATCAACAGCCTGGACGAGCGAGTCGCCAAGGGCGGAGCGAATTATTCTGCCGGGCAGCGACAGCTTCTCAGTCTCGCTCGAGGCCTGCTAAAACTTCGGCATTCCTCGATCTTGATTTTGGACGAGAGCACTGCCAACTTAGGTCAGTGACAGAAGCGCCGTGGCAGATCAGAGGGCATAGCTCAATACCGTTTCGCCTGTTCGCAATCTAGATCACGCCACCGACGAAGCTATCCAGCGGGTCCTGAGGGAAAGCCTGGATGGAGTTACCGTGATTACCATCGCTCACAGGCTGAGATCGGTGGCAGACTGCGACAAGATCTTGGTATTGGATCACGGCAAAGTCCTCGAGTACGATAGCCCGTTGACGCTGATGAAGCGTGAAGACTCGGCGTTCCGCGACTTGTGTAAGCGTTCGGGAGAGGAAAGCACGTTGCTCAGGATAGCAGAAGAGGCAGAAGAGGATCGTCGCAGGTACAAGGCGTAGTGCATGAAGGTTGTCCATAATGCATATAGATGAAAGATTTCGAACAGGTCTGATGGGGATGCCCAAGATCGTGGCCGTCTACGCGGTCCAACTTGGGCGGTGCTTTGCAGATAATATCGATACAATCATGGAAGATCCACTCGGACGGCTCCCTTCTCCCTCTTGGCCTTGAGCTTTTCTCGAAGGCCCGGATATAGAGCAGGGTTTCGTTCGGACAAGAAAAAGGAAGCGGGAGCTGGCGATGCACTTTGCCGTAGTAGATTTGTCAAGCTCAAATCGTTCGGACTGGCTGAATCCGTTGGATGTGATAGTGAGGCTAAGACTGTTGTACGTGATGTTTCTGAGACTTTTTCGCTGGTCGCGTCTGATGCATAATTCGTTGAGAAACGTGAAGAGGTCGTTTCCGGAAGGAATGAAGACCGTGGTGATGCTGTCGATGTGGTGTGTGCTGTTGCTGTTGCGGGATATGATTCGGACCCAGGGGGATCATATCGGAACCTCCTTCCCTGTGACCATCCTGGTCGTTCGTCTGATTCCGACTCATCCTCGTCGCCTTGTGCTCGTCTTTTATCTCTTTGCGAGTCGTAAACGTTTCCTCTTGTGGCATAGTTGTACCCATAAGGCCTCGGTATTATTAAAGATTCGGCGGCCGACTCTGCCTCGGACGTATGTGGGAGCGGTTCGTAGTTCCGCAAGAGGGAGAGGATTAGAGACATGCCCTCGCGAGCCTATGAGATCAAGGAATATGATATGAGCTTGACTTCAAGATCGCTCATTATAGATTGCTCAGGCAGCTGTAAACTTACGTTCTTTGCATTCCTCTCGAACCGGCTTGCACCGTATTGCTCAATCCTGCCCCGCACTAACGCTGAAAGCCCGGATCCCGACCCAAAGTTTGACGAGACGTATGCGGTCGTCTTCTGTATCGTACCTCGACTGGCATCCGATACCGAACAGAGAAATGCAGAACATGTCAGTCGGCATAATTCAGCTGCCTGAATCTGGCGATATTACTCACCTCCCGGACGCTGTTGGGTGAAACTCGATCCCCTCAGCGATGTGAATGATCTTCTTGTGAGAGATGTTTCTTGTCATCGACGTCAAGACCGGCTGGTTCGTACTCGGATCGATGGTCACCTATAGATCGGGCATTGAGTACCGAACGTCTTTTCCCGGACATGCGAAATGACCTACCTCGCTCTCCTCTAAAACCCAGGCTTCCAGTCCACCCCCGCCCATCATACCCCAATTCTCGAGCCACGACCTCGCCCATCTCGGCACAATCCCCTTCTTCAAGATGAGCCGTTGTGTAGTGATAGCACCTCGGACAGGGTCGACTTTGCGGGAAATCACATCGCATGAGAGAACATGGGTTGCGTGGGGGTTTGGGTACCGCAAATAGAATGCCAGTAGGACGGTCGAGGGTTGATCGTCGCTGCGAACATATCCACCTAAGGATCAGCCTTGAAACAGACAGACTCGAGTCGTAGCAATACTTACTATCGATGAGTGTGCTTGAAGACCTTGACCATACTGCAGCGGTTTCTTTGGGTGGAGGTCGATTGCTAGACCGATGCACGAGAGGGTACGCTTAGAGCCGTCAACGTCAGGCAGACATGCTATTGACTAGCTCAGAGGTTGTGTGCTTGTTGTGTAATATGTACTGAACTGTGTGGACGTCGTGGGAGTTGTTGTACGAAGGTACAGAGTTTCTCTCCTAGCATGACGACGATCTTACGAAACTTGGTCATCTGCTCGGCTTCGCGCCTGCCGAGGGGACGAGGACGACTTCTCGGGAAATAAACTCTCAGGATGTCGATGTTCGCGCCAATCCTCCAACACGAACCTTACTACCGACAAGAAGCCCGCAATCATCGAGGCCATCACCGACATTCACAAGGATGACGCCAAAATTGGCAAATGTCATTGCGACCTGATCGAAATTCGCCCTCAACGCTTCATGGGGCCACGTGCTGCAAAGCGGGTCTTCTCAGTCCCGGCAGTTTACGCGACGATTTCTCGCATGTTGTATGCTAGACTATATGACATTCCCTTTTGATCTACGTTATTTTCCATCATATCGGTGCGTCTACTTGCGCTCGTCCAAGAGCTTCTCCAAGACCTCGACAATCTTGTCACCGACCTCCTTGGTGCCCCTGTCGCCCCCGAGGTCCTTGGTCCTAAAGTCGAACCCACCCTGGGCTTTCGAGTCCAGGACCTTGGCGACGGCGCTCTCGATCAGGGTGGCCTCCTCAGACTTGCCGAGCGAGTAACGGAGCATCATGGCAGCCGAGAGGATGGTTCCGATGGGGTTGGCGATCGATTGGCCGGCAATGTCGGGTGCGGAACCGTGAATACTGGTGGGTTCGAGATGCGACGCAGGGATGTTTGTCAGATCGAGCTGTACAGGAGATACCGATAAGAACAGATCTGCTACTCACGGCTCGTAAAGACCCATGACGGTCGCTTTTGGGTCGGGTGCTCCGGCGAGTGAGGAGGAAGGCAAGAGACCGAGGGATCCGGGGATGACGGAGCTCTCGTCGGAAAGGCTAGAATGATGAGCAGAGAGTCAGCAACCTGAGATATCACTATTCAGTTCGCTACCCAGCTCCTCCTCACATGTCTCCGAACAGGTTCTCGGTCAGGATGACACCGTTCAGCTTCCTGGGGTTCGCGATCATGATCATGGCGGCCGAATCGACCAAGACGTGATCCAGCTTCAACTGGGGGTACTCCTTCTCCATCAACTCGGTCACCGTCTTTCGCCAGAGTCGCGAGGTGGCCAAGACGTTGGCCTTGTCGATCGAGTGTACGGCGAGAGGAGGTTCGGCAGAGAGGGCGATCTGACAGGCGACCCGGGTGATTCGCTCGATCTCAGGGACAGAGTAGGTAGCCTGGTCCCAAGCGACACCATCCTCGTCGGCCTCTTTTCGGTCACCAAAGTCTGAGAGACGCATCGAAACGAATCTTAATAACGGTGTTCGGTTTAGCATTTGCCCGTTCGGAACTGTACTTACAGATTCCACCGATCAACTCCCTGACGACGATCATGTCGGTCCCCTTGGCGATCTCAGGCTTCAAGGGAGAGTGAGCCAAAAGACCCTCGCTGATAAAGTTGGCCGGTCGGATGTTGGCATACAGTCCGAGCTCCTTTCGGAGCTTCAAGAGACCCTGTTCCGGTCGAACGGGTCCTACACCCCACTTGGGTCCTCCGACGGCACCTGCAAGCGGTAGAGCAAGACAAAAGTTTAGCGACGTGATTACACAGAAGTGAAGCAACTGTTCTCGAGACTGACCGAGCAATACGGCATCGGCGCTCTTGCATGCATCCAAAGTAGAGTCGGGAAGAGGAACGCCGTGGTTGTCAATCCCGGCTCCTCCAAAGTGATGCGATTCGATGTTGAGCTCGAGGTCGGTCTTGGCAGAGATGGCCTGGAGCACTCGGACGGCTTCGCCGGTGACTTCCGGGCCTGGCAATGTGAAGGTCGAGCTTACTGTCAGGTTGATACATGACAATCATCGAGTCGGACATGAACTCACCGATACCATCACCGGGGAGAACGACGATCTTGAAGCTGATAGGAAAGTACACGTCGGCCAAAGGAGCCCATCAGCTCGGAATGTACAGGTCGGCCATCGGTAGCTCTCGAACCTCCGTACCTCTTGGACGACATTTTGTATTCTCGATTTGAATGGATGTTTAGCTCGTAGGCTTTTTGGGTCTGGAGGTCGAGTCAGGGAATTGAGTGTGAATACGGGTTGTGAGGTAATCGAAAGACGGATCAAGCAGTTCATGGAAGCTGCTAGCTGCTAGTTGACCTGGCTGCAGCTGCTGCGTCACTCAATCGCTCGACCCAAACCCGAAATCCCGGGAATCGGGTCGATCAGGATCGGCGACTTGATAACGCATACACGAACTAGACTCACCCCAGAGAATTCAGATTCTACGGGTCGACCGCTGATTATCTCATTAGAGAGAATAGCAAGAGGCAAGAGGGAAATGAGGGCTGTTAGATACGATAGCCTTATCCCAGCGTAGCCAGTCGTCAGAATAGCGACGAGAAAAGACAGGAAGCAAGAAGAGGATCGTCTCTGATTTCGGACTTCAAGCCGGTATGAGTATTATTTGTCTATAGGTTGGAAATCACAGATCGTTCTACATCCACTTTTCAGCTGCGGCCCAGTTCTTGATGTAGTTGACGAGCTCTTGTACGGATTCGAGCGAAACGGCGTTGTAGATCGAGGCTCGAATACCTAAGTGACAACGAGATGATTCGTTAAGCTACATTGTCTAGAACAAAGCGAGGACACTTCGCAATCGACTCACCTCCCACCGATCGATGTCCCTTAATCTGCCTGAAACCCTGTGCCTCGGCTCCCTTCAAGAACCTCTTTTCCCTCGAAGACTCCTCGTCCCCGTCCGCCTCGTCGATCACCCATGTCACGTTCATCCAGCTCCTCGCCTCCCGGTCGCTCACGGTCAGCCTGACCAGACCCTTGCGTTCGGCCTCTTCCAACGCGGCGTACAACAGCTTGGCCTTCTTCTCGTTGGTCTCCTTGACCCCGGCCATGCCGCCCTTTTCCTCGATGAGGTACCTCAGCACGAGCTGCGAGACGTAGATCGAAAAGACGGGAGGGGTGTTGTACAGCGATCCGTTGTCGGCCAAGATCTTGTACTCGAGCTCGATCGGGCAGACAGGGACACCTCCGAGCAGAGCGGCCTCGTTCGTGTCAACAAGGAGGTCCTTTCGAACGATCACGACCACGACTCCGGCGGGTCCGAGGTTCTTCTGGGCGCCGGCGTAGATCAGGGCGTGACGCTCGATGTGAGGGATGGGTCGAGAGATGAACGAGGAAGAGTAGTCGGCGACAATGGGGACATCATTGGGGATCAGGTCGAAGGGAACGGCCGCGGGGGAATCCACATCACCAGCGAATTGCACCCCATTGATCGTCTCGTTCTCACAGTAGTAGACGTAGGCGGCGTCGTTGGTAAAGTTGTACTCTTCTTTACGAGGAACCCGGTTGAACTTGGTCGGCTTGGTAGTGGCCGCGATGTGCACGTTAGCCAATGCCTGAGCGTTCGGTGTAGGGGGGACTGCCAATCGCTTAGCTTCGGCCGAAGCCTTGGACGACCATGCTCCCGTAACAATGTAGTCGACGGTGGGAGGGCTGTATTGCTCGGCAGGGACATCCTTGCTTTTCAGTCGGTGGTAGGCCAACATGTTAAGGAAGACCGAGGAGAATTGGGTCGTACCGCCTCCTTGAGTGAAGAGCACGGCATGGCTGTCGGGGATCTGCAGGAGCTCCCTCAGGTCGGCTGCGAGGATGCCATGTCAAGGTTAGCGAGGTGCACACATCACCAGACCCGCACACTGGTTCTCACCCTCGGCCTTCTCTACGATCCCCTTGAACTCTTTGCCTCGATGACTGAGCTCGCAGACTCCCATACCGGTCCCGTTGTAGTTGAGGAGGCCCTTAGCGGCTTGTTGCAGCACGCTCGTTGGCAGCGGCGAAGGCCCTGCGGCCATGTTGTGGACTTCGGCACGATTCAAGGCCATGGTGAAAGTGTCTTGCGGTCGAACTATCGAGGGTGCTTGTGGGCTCTGGCAGCTAGACGATGCTGCAATCGATACTTGAACTCTTGTTCTCGAGTGCACGGGAGGGGGTTCAAGGGGATGACCGAGTCACGCGGGGATCAGAATATCGACATCGACCGGTTTCACAATTCGTAATTTCGTGAGTATAAGGAGCTATTCAGTCGTCCAGCGCATACGATACTATGTATTCCGATTCTTCAGCCAGGTCCAATCCCATGCTTTCGACTGCTTCGGAAATTGACTGATATCAGACTAGGCTTTCATGTGCAAAGGTCTGCTTTAAGCATTAAGATTGGCGCAGTTTGCTGCGGATATGAGTTTCGAGACTGAATCACAAACATCGAATCTTCACTCGTCTATCGGCTAAGATATGCGCCTTTCATTGACAGATCGTTCTTGATCGCGCGAGAGCGGGGTTCGACTCCCCGGTGGAGAAGATTCTTTTTGCCCTAGCCATACGTTTTTGTTGGCATGAAGTTATATTGTTTTTAGGTACCTCGACACGAGACCTATATGATTCCGTGATGCAACATGAACCTCCTGCTCTAGACATATGCGCACCGCTTCGCCCTAGCATCTCGACTGGTTCATGAATACCATGAGTATCACGATGTGACACAATCGTAGTCGCGGTGAGCTTCAGGCGATCCAGGTGCACATCAATGCGCAAAGTTGCTCGAGATATGCCAATGTATGGCTTGTCAGGCTTGGTCAATTGGGTAATTTTCAGCATTCCATACCGTGCACTTTGTCCGTGCGCGCACGGCAGAGCATGACAGGAATGGTCTGAAACGTGGAAAGTACAGCAGAATCACCCTGGGTTTCGCATCTCTCATCACACCGGTCGCTCGACATAGAGGTGGCACGTAGCGTGATCCGAACAAATGTATCATGATAATCCCACTGACGTTTACACAAGGCGCACACACGAGTTCATTGGTTTGGACGAAGCGAGCGGGCCATAGTGAAAGAAGGGTTTACATCGCTGGTTGTTCGAACATCGCTGGTTGTCCGAACATCGCTGTCCTGTGTAGCGAACGTGAATCTGGCTCCGTTCGTCCAATCCGTGATATAGGTAATGCTGTATTGACCTTCCTCATCCGACAGCCGACCTGCTCTGGGTATCGATGTTTGGATTGCATGGCTCGGTATTCTCAGCCGATCCCTGGACATTCGAAGCGGATGGCGCGTCTCGTAGACTGACACGGACGTTCACTCGCTATATAGCAGCGAGATGCTACGACGGGGATTCAGCATCAGAATCATTTTCCCATTGTGTCTTTACCTTGAGATCGGACAATCGTCTAGACCACATCCAAAAGCTACGAAAGGTAATGCATCGATCGTGTATTACGGAAAGCAATGCTGTCGTGCCGTGAGCAGAACGTGCTATATACTGGTAGACTAGCCAAAGCGAGAACGAGTTTGCGCTCGTCGTTTGCAATAGCTGCAACAACCGGGATGCCGACACCCATGGTTACCATGTCGTCGACGGCCAGCGGATCAATGGCTGAGACCGACGAATTGCTCGAGACTATAGGCTCGGTGCGAGGCGCTGTCGACAATAACATGCCCGTGACGAGATCGCTGTCTCCCAATCATCGGCCTGTCTGAACGACCGACCGCAGCCGTGTTTGTACCGTTTCCGGGGGCGCCTCACCGGATCATCCACCTGCACTACCTCAACACACTGGTCTACGAAGTTCATATATATGGATCGTGATACAACTCGAAACTACGCGCCACGACAAGCCCAACCCCGATCAAGAACTAGCGGGTACACCTACACACCGAAGAGAACGAATTGTCAACCTCTATGCGCCTTTCGAGATCGAATTGAGCACCATAACGAGCACTCACGACCGGAAAAGATGAGCTCGATCGCCGCCTCGACGTTTCCGCCCGTCATGCTCAACGCCCTCAAGTTCTGTTGAGGGTCGACCAGACCCATCTCGTTCAAGGTTCGCAACTGGTTCGAAAACCTCTCCTCCAGGCTCCTCGTATCTTGAGGCAGAGGCTCGGCAGCAGGAGTCTGCTGTTGAGCACCTCCACCGAATCCGCCGAATCCCCCCATTCCACCGAGACCTCCGAGACCGCCAAGTGCACCGAGTCCACCGGCACCCCCGGCACCACCACCGCCGCCGCCGCCCATACCCATGAGCATACGCATCATATCGGGGTTCATCCCAAACGGATTGGCCGCCGCCTGACCGGGCGTACCCGTCGCAGCGTTATCTCCTCCGGTCGAGGGCGTATTGTTTTCCCCTGCCTGAGCGCCAAATCCAGCGACGAGCGGGTTCTGAGCGCCAGCACCGCCCATTCCTCCGAACGGACTTCCTCCACCCATTCCGCCTTGCATCGCCATCATCTGGCGAATCATGTTGGGGTCGGACCTGTAAAAATGGATTTGATAAGCCGATGTCAATACGGTCGTGCCCAGCCGAATCCACGGACGCAGACTCACATCATCTGCCTCATCATCGGGCTCCTCATCATCTCCCTGACCTGGGGTCCCATCGAACTGAGCGAAGGGTTAGAAGCGATGATCTGATCGATGAGAATGTCCGTCCATCCAGTGCCATCGAGCAGAGTACCGGCAGGCGGGGCGTCGTCGGCAGACCGTGGACAAAGGAGAAGGGCGAGAGCGAGCAAGAGAAAGGTATTGGGATCCGGGATTGTGGAAGTCATTATGTTGCGACGTAGCGTATAATGTGGATCCAAGCGTGGTAAAGGTTGATGATGATGACGACCAAGTAAGGGCAAACCAGGCGAAAGAAAAGGAGATGAAAGGAAGGTGAAGCGAGATCAAGCGTCAAATCAGTATCGCAAACAAAGAACACGTGATGCGATCAAAACGGACTGACCTGGTCCATCATCTCGGGAGTGATCATGCTCATAGCCTGGCTGATTGCCTCGGGGTTATTGAGCATGTTGGCCATCTTTCGAAGCGAGCGCTAGCGGCATCAGCTCCCAGTCCATGTCTTATCATAGCGGCCGATGACATTTCGACTCACGGCATTGGGATCGTTCAAGTTCTGCCCGTCCATTCCAGGCATCTGGGCGAACGGGTTGAAGGTACCTCCACCGTACCCATGTCCCATAGCACCTTCCAACTGAGCCAACGGGTTTCCGGCATAAGGCAACCCGGCGTTCAAGTTGGTCGGTACGCCTCGAGCTTGAGCGGCGGCAGCAGCACTAGCGTTGGTGGACGAAGGGGAAGACGAGGCGTTGGATGCGGAAGGGGCCGGAGTGCTACCGGGCTTGGCGGCGCCTTTGACGAGGTGCAAGGTGTGGTTGTTCTGGACCTTGTAGGTCGACAGAGGTTCTTCGTCCTTCAAAACCTACGAATCATCGTCGGTCGAGTCAGTCTTGTTTCGTTTCGTCTAACCATTTTAGTGTGCAAACGCACCTTGCCGGAATAGATCAACCTCTGCCTTTCGGGCTCGATCTGAGTCTGTTCGTTGATCTTGGCCTTGAGCTCCGAAGTGAGGAGCGAAGGTGAGACGGTCAACGAGAGCTTGAGCTCGGAAGGGCCTTTGATGTTTCTGAAGATTTGGTTGTCGATATGCAGGAGAGTTCCAAGACAGGAGTGGACATGGAGAATGAGAATGGGTCGTCAGCGGCGGGAGGTGATGAGGTGGCCGATGCGGAGAGGCTTACATTGTGATCTCCTCGGACATTTCGACGGCGACTTGAGCTATTTTCTAAAGAACAGTTCCAGATATGAACTAAGGTGATAGAGCTGGTGCTCAAGTAGCCTGATTGATTTGCTTGCCTTCGATTGTGATCTTGTGTTAAGATGCATTCCTGAACCTTCGAGCAGCTTCATCCATCATTCATGATGATGATGATGCATCATCGCGTGCCGTGGCGGATCCGAGCGACGTTGATTAGTCAGCAAAATGGCGCTTATCCCTGCCCTTCACCTTTTCTGCATGTTCCGATTGAAAGATCATGGCATGAGCTGAAACACTTCACAAGATATGTTCTTGAGATGGTCAGATGACTATGATTTGTACCATAGCTTACAAGGCCCGGAAGCGACAACGACGTGATCGTGGGCGCAAACAGCAAGGCACGATCGACCTTGACGAGGTTGTTTCAGCTCAAGCAATAGACGCAGGTAGCAGGTGTAACCATCGTCCGCCATGAAGGGCAATGCGGCAGATTAAAATAAGTATGAGGACGATGAGAACTGAGAGAAGGAGCCTGACGATGTATGGTTACCCGGATATACCGACCAAGGACCGGCCGCACACCCTCCCAAATCATACACTATGCCGCCTCATAATCAGTGCTTTGAGTGCCCGAAACATGAAGGACTTATTAGATCAACGACGGCGGACCGAGATACTGAGGTGTGCATGGAGCTGAGCTGTCTCTCCCTTTAGACAAGTGCCGCGGCTATTGAGAATCCTGACTCTCAGCTTTCTCTCAAGCAGAGCGAGTCAAACAATTTCAAAGAGTTCGCATTTGGCTTTAGCCTGGAACATAGCAGAATTGCTATCGAATGACATTCGATCCGTATAATAGCAGTTTGTGTGCAATGGAACCATATGGTCGATCGCTATGGTTATCAACAAAACAAGGTGTACAGATTGGTGGAACTGCTAGGAAAGAATGAAGTCCCCCTCATCAGTCCCGTCAAGCTTGCAAGGTATTTCAATTTACAAGCTATGCGACCTACGACGTCCCGGCCGCCTTGTGTCAAGCTGCGAGTATCCTGGACACGCCGGATTCTGCGCAGCGTATCGGTCGCTACCAAAACGAGCATGTCCATCACATAGCAACGCTTCTCGATCGCCGGAAACGCCTCACGGATACGAATAATAAGATTATACGATCTGAACAGTATGACAATCGGCGAGTTTGAGGGATTCGACGTGACAGATCGAATGTGCGCGCGCGAGCAGAAGCGCACGTTCAGCCTCGACTTCTGCCAGGTCCGAGCAGCCGACCTTGGGCTATAATTGATTTTTCGAGTGGAGATCTTGATATCTAGTGCTCTTCCATAATAGAATCCAAGCCGAGGATAATGAGGTCAAATATTTGATAGGACCTGTATCTGGCATTCTCTTGCCGAATCCCATCTTGTGAGGATGTGCGGCACGCGTGCATCATCTCTTGATGATACAGTCTATCGGCCCGATCAGTCCGATCAGACCTTGATGACAATTGGATTACAGGATACAGAATGACTCTGGGCAGCGGGCCGTATGTCTTGATACTCGACGGCAAGGGAAATGCTCAATCGCAAGCATTGTCACCACATGGGTCGAATGTGCCATTTAAGACGCAGCCGGGCGTCTGCTTGCACGGCACACCGAAGTCACAACCTCGGCGATCGTGGAGCATGGGTTGTATTGACGGAATGATCCGAGTCGATCGAACAGTCTTTGCCAGAGTCCTCGCTGTAAAGCAGAGATCAGAGATCCACGTAGAAGCTTCCCAAACCATTTGGTTTCGAGCGCGCCGTTCGGCGTTCGCGGGCCCTAAAATAAACCCAGGAACCGGGATTGCGCGTCAGCTGATCCCCTCTTGATCGTAAAACACACGCACACAGGGGGACCCCGGCCGTCTCATGCGGTGTGCCAGTCTCATCTACGGAATATATGCGCGCCTTTGCTCGGTAGTGTAAGACGAAACGTTGCGTGTATCTCAAGTATGGGTGAAGGTGGTGTGACGGCTGCTAAAATCTGTATCAAGGCGGCACACCGTTCAGCGACTGCCCCGCAGGCTCGCTGGTTTGCTCGGGTGTCCAGGGAAGCCCTACAGTACCCCACATCATGTACTGTGAATATATACTGAAGGTCAAGGAGTAGGATAACAAGATTGCTGTGATCGCGGGGTTGTTTGTAGTTCACGCTAAGGGTTCCACGTGCGCTTCCCAGTCTCACCGTATCGCAACGCTAACAACATGGTCGAATTCATGCCTGCGGAAAGGCACGCAAGGGCCACTCACACCAAGCCCGCAGCGATCAACTACGTCGCAGCCATCTTTGCCGCTCTGGGTTCATTCCTCTTCGGATACGATAGTGGTATCATCGGATCCGTTATCAGTGACAGCTACACCCATTTTCACCACTACTTTGGGAATCCGAGTGCAAACACTACAGGGGTTAGTTGCCATCAATGTCACAGCGGCGGATACTCGGTCGCTGAAGGCTAAAGCGTCTGTCATCTAATAGGCAGTAGTCTCTTCCTTTGCTGGAGGCGCTTTCGGTGAGCGGGGTCGCATTGACGAACGCAGGATCATACCTTAACCATTCCGATTGTCTGGTACAGCTGGAGCTCTCTTGGCCGGAAGCACTGCAGACAAGTTCGGACGAAAGCGTACCATCCAGCTTGGTGCTTTGATTTCGGTTATCGGATGTGGTCTTCAAACGGGGGCAGTCAACGTCGCCATGTTGATCGTGGGTCGCGTCATTGCTGGTGAGCGATGGAGGTTGCAAGGCGCGCGCTACGCAAAGTATCGAGCTCAACCTTGCTGGTTGATAGGGGTGTCGATCGGAGTATTGTCGATGATCGTGTAAGTCGCCGAATTGACACTAACTTCATATGATAATGGTTGCTGATCTATATCTTCCCCAAATTCAGGCCGGTATACCAGGTATAGCGCGAGAATGCAATTTGATGCCCGTTCGGTTCTTTTTAACAACCCGCATCTTTACAGGCCGAGATCTCGCCCCCACACGCGCGAGGTCTCCTTTCCGGCTGGACCCAGCTGATGATTGTTATCGGTTTCCTAGTAAGCGTCATCTTTGGTGTTGGCGTTTCGTGGGATGGATAGCTTACCCTGGCTCTCGATTAACAGGTTGCGAACTGTGAGCTATGCCTGGATAGTCCGCATGTGCCGATCGCTCTCCTTGCTCACAATTAGTCATGACAACAGGGGTTGGATATGGTTGTCAATTCTTGGGCAACAACGCTCAATGGCGTGTAAGCATCTCTTTCGGAGCGCGACAGTGCCTCAAAACTTACCGATTATGAATCCTGTGCTCTTAGATTCCTCTTGCTATTCAAATTATCCCGGCCGTCGGCCTTCTGTTGTGAGTTGATGACGATAATGCTACATGGTGGTACATTCTAAATACCATGGACGCGTCTATCTTCAGCGGCATGTTTGTACTACCTTACTCGCCTCGGTGGCTCGCCAAGCAAGGCCGCCATGAAGAAGCCCGAGCCACTCTGTTCCGACTCCACGGAGGTCGAAGGAACGCTCGAGAGGATATCGTGCAATCCGAGTTTGACGAGATGCTTGATCAGATCCGATGGGGTGGGCCGATGCATTCCGACACAACATGCTAGAACGCCGCCGAGCTGACATCTTCGTTGTCATCGTAGAGGAGGAGAACCTCATTACCAGCTACAAGGATCTCGTCAGCAGCCGACCCAACATTCACCGTACTTTGTGCGGATGTTTGGTACAGTCGATGTGCCAGTAAGTCGTCCAAACCATACAATGCTTCAATAGTTGCTCACCCAGCCTCTCAACAATCACAATCTCGTAGATGGACTGGTGTCAATGTGAAGTATGTATCAAAAGCCTATCCCGTCTCGCGTGTCGTCGCCACCCTAACTCTGGTGTGAACGGTCTCTTAGCAACTACTTTGGGCCCACCATCTACAAGAACCTCGGGTTCACTGGTAATGACACCTTGCTTATCAACGGAATTTCGGGGGCTTGGCAAGGTGAGTCCCGAATATGCGATGGGCGAAAGAAGGCGCATGCTGAACTGCGCGACCTTGAAAATATCAGTCGTTGTCGTCTGGATCTTCATTCAGTTCTTGGGTGAGCATCTAGATGTTCGACAAAGTTGATATAACCTGACTGAGCTGATGATTCTCCGATGATAGTCGACCGCTTCGGACGACGCAAGCCTCTGATCATCGGACCGATCTTGATGGCCATCTTCTTGGCTTGGCAAGCAGCGATCGCTCAGAAGTTCTCCGACCCGTCCTACAGCAACCAGGGAGTCGGTATCGCCGGATTGGCCTCAATCTTCTTGTTCAGCGGGGCCTTCTCGGCCTCTTTCGGGCCCGTCAGTTGGATCTACCAGGTAAACGAGCGATTTCAAGGTAGCGCATCCACTGCCCGTCACATGCTCACCTCTCGACCTCGATACACCCCCCTGCCATGACCCTCTGTTGCCACAAACACAGTCTGAAATCTTCCCGATGAACCAGCGAGCGTACGGAACTGCCGTCTCTACTGCATCCAACTGGGTCCGTATAAAACGCTATATCTATCGATTCGATAATAGGCTGATGCCTGACGTCTCGATTGCAGCTCAACAACGTCATCATCGGACAGATCACTCCAATGTAGGTTGTAACAAGAGCGATGCTGGGGCTCCGATTCTAATCTGGCTTCGCCTCATTTTCTTAGTGGTTTCGACAAGTTGGGCTGGAAATACTTTTTGATCTACGTCGTCACCAACGTCACCAACGCGATCGTCTCGTACTTCCTCTTCCCCGAAACCAAGCACAGGTCGCTCGAGGAGATCGTGAGTCGCGGAAAGGTCGCATAGCAGGATAGCTATACTGAAAAATTGTTCATGTTCGGCAGGGGATGCTCTTTGGAGACACCAACGTTCGCGTTTACGAAGGCCCGAGCACGGCCGTGGAGAACGACTACACCAATAACAAGGCCGATGGGCCCGGACACTACGAGGAGAAGGCTTAATTCGAGGAGGCATCACACAATGATAAACAGATAGCTGAAGCGAACGATAGTGAGAAGCTGCTTCGCAAAGGCTATGATTGTCTTCTGGATTTGTAACGTGTATCATGCGCCTGTCTGAGCCAAGGATGAGACCGATTTCAACTTGAAACTCGGGTGCAGGTTGCGACGCGCGACACCGCGGACGCGTTATGCCTGTCTACCGATTTGTTTATTTCCACCTTGATCCTTCGAAGTATAGAAAGCGAATTTTTGAAGCTGTTAATCGAGCACTCTATTCCATCCTTTTTCTCGACTAGTTTACTTCATGATCGCGCCCTACAACCTTCGGTCCAGCAACGTTGTGTCGTGGAAGACCATCTCAGTATTTGCGGGATCTCCGGCATACAATCTCTCCAGGGCGTCAGTGCCGGCTGCGAAACCCGGTAGCCCGAAATCGTGAGTGTTTACTGCCTCATTTGACTGTCCGTCCGCTCGAATCAATCGATCCTCTCCCCTCGACCGAATCCAACGCCATAAATGAAGAGTGAAGCGATATGTGCTTCCTTACATCTGGTACCTCTTATCACAGGGGCCGTACGTGACGACCGGGCGTTCTCACGAACCGATGGACCAATCGCTCGTACGGTTCGATGCTTTCAAAGACTTTCTGATATCGGCACACAATCTTGGGTTCTTCATCGTCTTTCTCGCTGTTGAATTTTAGGCACGTTGTCGGAAACAGAACGCTGACCCGTTTCTTGCCTTGGTCCCGTTCGATCAGGTTGCAACGCTTGCAATCGGAACTGTCATCCGAACGGTAAACTCCAGGTGAGCCATGGTATATCTTTCGTCTTGTCCATTCTTTCGTTGTATTTTTGCATGTAGGAAAAGCAAGTCGTGGCCATGTCTTGATCTATCGCATCGTTTCGCAATATCACTTCGGAGGGACCATTGCGTAATTTGGTTGTCTGATTGCTAAGTTTGTGACCCTCGAAGGTTGGATCACGCACAAAGCTTTGATCGAGATGCCTCTGCAAGATCATTGGCGAGACTTTCGGTACCCAAATCTAGATACAATCGTCAATCGTCTCAAACACTATTCGACGTCGATCTGGCTAATAGAGGTCGTCTCCTTGCATTCGCTCAAGTCGCTCAAGTTGATTGGATGTACGATCGCTTGTCTATATCACGAATAGGCAGGAACGTGACTTTTGAAGCAGGTTCGAACTCAATTCTGATTTCTTCTCGAATTGCTCACTTGCACGACCCTGAAGTTGCAGCACGATTCCGGACCGGGTGGCAAGTGGTCGTCTAAGCGCGACGTGAGGGCACTGTCATTTTGAGTCTGTTTTACCTACAATATCTGTCTGAGCATGACTAGTGAATCGAAGGAGGACGATGGGACGATTCGTGTCATAAAGCTCGAGGGAGCTATCGAGGCAGTAGTCCGTTCAGGTTATATCTTGGTCAATATGGGGGGTGCCGGTCCTCAATTCTAGTCGAGCACCAAGCATGAAATCCCTCGGGTCGCATTTTTCAATGTTTTCAGACAAGGTCGACCCGTTTTCTCGATTAACAGTGATGAGTAGCTTCAGGCGTATTGGGAAGCGAACATTCAAGTATTTGCACTCTTACAGCCGAGCTCGTCGTGATCAGTCTTCGTACAGCTACTACCGAACAGCACGATAGTATCGTCGTCCGAGATGCAGAATTTACCGGGTAGCACTTCGTTTCTTTCCAAAGTGAGATCTCTTTCCAAGACCTTAGATCTGATCAGGTCAATGTTTGACCCATGCGCATGGGTATCGTACGTAGTTTGATGATTCGCCTCGGAAGGGAGCGGTATGTCGACCGCGCCGTAGAGATTGAACGTTCTGCTTCAATCAAGTAGACAGAGGACGGGAGGCGGAACCCGAACATCGACCTCAACTACACTTCTAGCTTCTAATCTCACCTAGCGGATACACAGCTCTATGTTTAATATACATTCGCAGACAGCGGACTTCATAGTGATATACCTCAACAGACGCGATCAACCGTCGAATCACCTTCGGGCGCATTGCCTAGATACCGCTTGGGTGGAAAGCGGGCGTGGGCGCGGCACGACATGGAACGCAAAGGAGGAATCGGTGTGAAGGGATGAGCACCGGGTGTGTCGGGATTAGTAAGCGAGGTGAATCGTCGGGATTGTGGATGGATGATTGGACCAGCTCGAGGTAATATATAGCGAGAGGCCAGAGGGCTGTGGCATTAGGGATTTCATCGGTTCGCAGGGTCGTCATATTTAGCAATCGTCGACCAAATACAGTCATGGATTGACCGTATGAAAAAGCGAGACGTCAATTGCGCTCGCCGAGCTCAGGAGGACTGTTCAAGTTGGAATGGGTTGACGTTCATGTGACAGGGTACCTCTCTGATCTGGTAGCTGTTAGCCTGTAGCGACCTGCGAATTCTGTGTCTTGTCGAAACGCACCGGGTTTCACAGCCATCGACGGTTGATGGCTTCGGGCTTCATCGATGCCGAGAGCTCTGTCTAAGCTCCTCACGTGACTTGGCTCTGAACAGCTAACTGGAATCGACAAAGGTTTTGAGGGTGTGGTGACAGGTAGAAGCGCCGCTTGCCGCTTGAAGGAACGCCTCGTGCACGCGAAAGGGAGGTGTTCGGGCGTAAAGATTGAAGGCGACGTGTATACAGGGAATACCTTGAAGTCCCGTGACCCCGCCTAACCCCCGCTCACGAACGTTGGTTCCGGGCTGGTCGCTCTCGCGCTTTCCCACGCTCTCGAACATTCCCCTCCCTCTTTGCCAGCTCGACAGTTTTTTTCCGCGCGCGCTCTCTGCCCTCGCCACCCTTGCCCCCTCCCGCGCCTTGGTATAAACATCCACGGTCCCCGCACATACAACCTTTCATCAACCAATCTACCCGACCTCCTTTTCTCTTCTTCTTTTCAAGAGTTTCTCTGAATAAACATCACAGAACAACTTCTACAAAAATGGGTAAAGATAAGACTCACGTCAACGTCGTTGTCATCGGACACGTCGACTCTGGAAAGTCGACCACCACCGGACACTTGAGTGAGTGGAGCCGTCGACATCTCGCATCTCGTGAACATTGTCTGATCGTCGTCCTGTTTCCTCTCGCTAGTCTACAAGTGTGGTGGTATTGACAAGCGAACCATCGAGAAGTTCGAGAAGGAGGCTGCCGAGCTCGGAAAGTCCTCGTTCAAGTACGCTTGGTAAGTACAACAGCGAACGCCTTTTCCACATCCCTTTCGACCGCCGACGTGACGCTTACCTGTCGCTCTGACACTCTTTAGGGTCCTTGACAAACTTAAGGCCGAGCGAGAGCGAGGTATCACCATCGACATTGCCCTCTGGAAGTTCGAGACTCCCCGATACAATGTCACCGTCATCGACGCCCCCGGTCACCGAGACTTTATCAAGAACATGATCACTGGTACTTCCCAGGCCGATTGTGCCATCTTGATCATTGCCTCCGGTATCGGAGAGTTCGAGGCTGGTATCTCCAAGGATGGTCAGACCAGGGAGCACGCTTTGCTCGCCTTCACCCTCGGTGTCAGGCAGCTCATCGTCGCCATCAACAAGATGGACACCTGCAAGGTCAGTCTCGAAGAGATCGTTCTCGCTCCCAGGTCTCTTGCTTACTCTCTCGCTTCCCTCACGCCCACAGTGGTCCGGTGACCGATACGAGGAAATCGTCAAGGAGGCTTCCGGTTTCATCAAGAAGGTCGGTTACAACCCCAAGTCGGTTCCCTTCGTCCCCATCTCCGGATGGCACGGAGACAACATGTTGGAGGAGTCCACCAACATGCCCTGGTACAAGGGATGGAACAAGGAGACCAAGGCCGGTGCCGCCAAGGGTAAGACCCTTTTGGAGGCCATCGACGCCATTGAGCCCCCTGTCCGACCCTCGGACAAGCCCCTCCGACTTCCCCTCCAGGACGTCTACAAGATCGTGAGTCCGCGGTGTGCCTCGGCTCTACCTCGAGCCTGTTTCGCTAACCACCGCCACCTTCGCTCAACCTACAGGGTGGTATCGGAACAGTTCCCGTCGGTCGAGTCGAGACCGGTGTCATCAAGGCCGGTATGGTCGTCAACTTCGCTCCTTCGAACGTGACCACCGAAGTCAAGTCCGTCGAGATGCACCACGAGCAGATCCCCGAGGGTCTCCCCGGTGACAACGTCGGATTCAACGTCAAGAACGTTTCCGTCAAGGACATCCGACGAGGAAACGTCTGTTCCGACTCCAAGAACGACCCCGCCAAGGAGGCCGCTTCTTTCAACGCCCAGGTCATCGTCTTGAACCACCCCGGTCAGATCGGTGCCGGATACGCGCCCGTCCTCGACTGCCACACCGCCCACATTGCCTGCAAGTTCGGTGAGCTCATCGAGAAGATCGACCGACGATCCGGAAAGGTCATGGAGGCCAGCCCCAAGTTCTTGAAGTCTGGTGACGCCGCCATCGTCAAGCTTGTCCCCTCCAAGCCCATGTGTGTCGAGTCTTACCAGGAGTACCCTCCCTTGGGTCGATTTGCCGTACGCCCTTCCCTCACGTCTTCGTTTGTCTTCGGTCACTAACCTGATTCATCTCTTCCCTTCCAACAGGTCCGTGGTGAGTATTGCTTTCGTCCGTTCGCTTTTCGAAGATTGTGCGCTCATTCATTCATCTCTTCTAAATTCTAATCTAACAGACATGAGGCGTATGTCCCCCGTTCTTTCTTGCTGTTCGTCGAGAGAACCCGAACTAACCCGAAACATTTCGTTCTTGCAGAGACCGTTGCCGTTGGGTGCGAACAGATTGTTTCTCGCCACTCCCCGATTCACCATGCTGACTCTTTGCTTTGTCCTTCGACTTTGATCCTTTCAGTGTTATCAAGTACGTCTCGTGCCACGCTTTCGCTCGCTGTTCCATAGCTGATCTCCCTACCCTTTCCACAGGACCGTCGAGAAGTACATATCATCCTGCGCAACCATTGAGTCTTCCGTAGCTAATCCATATCTCTTTCCACTTTCGCGCTCGTGCTTCACAGGACCGAGTGAGTCGAGATTCTGACGTGGTCGATTAAGAGTTGAATTGCTAACCTTGTTCTTTGCGATCTCACAGCGGAAAGGTTCGCACCAGGTCGTCTCATAATTTTACGCTCAACGTGTCGCTGATCCTTTGCTCTCTTCATTATTATTCTCACAGGCTGGTAAGGTTACCAAGTACGTGCCTTTTATTTTGCGCTCATCCCGCCACTGTCATACTGACTGTACTGTTCCTCCTCAGGGCCGCCGAGAAGGCCAACAAGAAGAAGTAAACGTCGATCGCACAAGCGGTTGGACCTCAGGTCCTTGCGCGAGAACCTTCTACGTTACTTTAGCGGTTGTATTACATCCAGCCGAACATCCATTATATTCTTCTCTCCTTGGTCGATGGCTTCTTCTTCGCCCTTGCTTGCGCAGACCTTCTCGATTTCAGTGATTGCCATCGTTCATGTGTTTGGGTATGCCTCGGGCTGAACGCACTGTCCTCCGTCGGGACATTCAAGTGTTCTTCTGGAAGCGTGACATCTTGACTTTCAATGGGCGTATCATGCTACCAGCTACCGGTTCGCAAAATTCGCCGTTTGCAATTTGCACCACCGTCCGCGTGTTGACCTGATCTTGCGAACACTAATATCGATGCGACTCGAGAGATCGCCTTCTGTCTTCGATAATTAAGGCGGCTGAGAAGGCCATCAAGGAGAAGTACAATTAAATGGTGCAAGCGGTTCGTCAAGATTTTGCCGTTGCGTGAGACATCCCGTCCCTATTTCTTTGATTGTGGTAGTTATCTACGACCGTATCGATCTTATATCACATCCTGTTCCTATTCACTGCGGTCGTGTCGCGAACCGTCGGTTTGGGAAGATCCGACCAAGCTTGCCGCTGTAGGATGCATAGGATGAGGAGGTGGGGGAAGAGGGGGAGGATAGTGGGCGCCTACAGTAGCGACGACATGAAAGGCCCTAGGCGTCGCGCAGTGTAGCATCAGGTTAGAATAGCAAAGATAAGGGCCTTGTGGGTATATTGTGGACTTGACGAGCTTGTGATGATTAGATGATGACTGCCCACGATACATGATGTGAAACGAATCGAATTGGTCTGTGCCAGCTGCAGTTGAATGCATCGATCATCATATTGTCGAAGCACAAAGGCGTTCCATCCCCGACTCGGAAATGTGTATCAAGCGCATGGTCGTATCGAGACGACAGTAAATGAGCCATAGAGCAAGGTAGTCTATGCTCCCTGATAGTTACCGCGCAGGAAATCGTTGAGGCTGTCATACAAATGGTCAAATCCCTGCTGCTGGGTCGTAGCTGTTTGCTGTTGAGTGTCAACCGTCTGCTTCTGAGTGTCAACTGTCTGCTGCGACACTGAAAGCCTGCGGACAAATGCCGTACAGAGCCCTCGATCAGTCTCTCAGAGAACGGACATTGTTTCCTAGGTCTCTGTTGCCACTCACGAGGCTGTAAACGTCTGTACTGCGCTAGGTAAGGAACTACTCGTAGTCCTAGTGTAAGCGGGCCAATCACGTTGGCAAACGATCGCGCCTCAAAGGTTATGTATCATGAAACTCACCCGCCTTCAGCTCTTGACCTCGCTACAATCCTCGAAGTCTTCCTGCTGGTGGGAGGAGACGAATGATGAGAGGACTGCTTGCCCCGAATTCTCAAACTTGTGACCCCGGCAATGTCCCCGAAGTAAAAATCGATTGTACAGAAGAACCTGTTTTCCTTGCGAGATGACCCTGGTACAAGAGCTTGCGTCTCATTTATGGCTCCAGATCTGAGAGCAATGTGGACCTTCTCATTCATTTTCGAGGAGAAAAGCAGTCTTGCAGCGCTTTGGAGTTTAGCCTTGGATACGCTATGGTACGCCTCTCCGACCGAGACTCCCACCGCTGAGAGGGCCGACGCTTCTGCTTGAGGAAATGAGTCGGTAGCCTCTTGGATTGCGAAGTATCTCACGCACGCTAGGAAGGAATCAACCTTGTGATAAAGAGTTAGGCGAGCTTTTCTACGTTCTGAAGGATCCAGATTCACCTCAGACGTCTGTAAGCACTCTCTTTTGTGCCATCCGCCGTGCAGGCAACCAAGTATTGTTTCCTTTAAGTCCCTTGCTGTGTCTTCCTGGACTGTCGTTGTGCCGTGTTCGCGAGCCCAGATCAGATGATCGCTATCATACATCCCTCTCGTGCGTTCTAGAAATCTCTGTATAGTGGTAATCGTTGAGCTTTAACAATGAGATCACTTGCCTGATGGCTTACCTCCAGAGAATGGACATCATGTACAAGACGGTGACCCAGGATTACCCAAGCTATTTTGACGTCGGATTCTTCGGCACTCGACATGTTGTCTTGATATTGCTTTTGTCGTATTCTGAGTAGCAAAAGAATTTGAGCTGTTCCCGTAATGTAGGCTGCACTTATAACGGGGCCTGAGTGTACTGAGCTCCCAGTGAGACAAATTGTATTCCTTTGTTCCTCGCGACCCATTAAAACCCCGAGGAAGGAGGTCATTCGCATCCAGGGAACATAATGGCATACTATCCAGTCATAGGGCAAAAATATCCGGTTCTCCAGTCTAGTACAGTCCTATGACCCTTAGACGATGAATGTCAAACAGAGACTACAGAGTGAAGCGCGACAGAGAACATATCACCATGGTTTCGCTCGAATATCACAGAGTCAGTCCAAAACGTTTAGCTCCTACGGCGTTATAATCGGAAACACATTAGGCAAGGTATAGTAGTCGCGCTCAAGCAGAATGTGCTCGTGACTGTATATCATGAGGGGTGATATGCTATATAGCGAGCGCTCCGATCATGCACATCGTCTCGTGCGTTTCATGAGTTCTCGTATGCGACACCAGAAGTTGATCTCTGCTGCTGTCAGAGATAGCATATACAAGGCAGACACGATCGATGGAAGGACATGATAGCTCTTCCGATCCGATCTGGGTACAATTGACGAGAGTCAAGCGGGGAAGGACTCTGTGGTCCCATCATCGACAAAATCACTGTACCACTGTTTCGTCCGGGGCGGATTGCCTTCAGTATCAACGGATTGACCAGGAGCAACGTGTACCATGCTCTCTTGATGTACACCATCACTCGCAGAAGACCTGTTGTGGCAGAATCATATAATTTCCATGATTGACGGGTAAATTGAACTATCATTCCGCGCCACTTACTCTCCACGATGAGCATCCGTTAGGCTGCGAGTAGCGGCAGATGGACGCCTAGTAGGCTGAGAACCGTCCGTGATCTCGCTGTCGTTGGATCCCTCAGGAGCATCCTCTTCATTCCCTAGGCGATGGTAAAAAGTCACATTACAAGGATAAAACTTCTGGGGCTCCTCTGAGCGGCCAACACTGGACCACATGATTCTTGGCGGCGCTTGGATTCTGAATGCCAGTTTGACGTTGTCGTTACAGCCAGAATTGAGTACCATTCTCTTGGGAGGAGGACTATCGAATTCTTCACGTTTGATGCTACTGTATAGCTTGCCTTCATATAAAGTAGCATATCCTTGCTTCTCGGCTGCACTAGAAGCTTGTTCCACCGCAGTATACCCAGCCCAAAGAGTATGGTTCTCGAGGCAAAGCTCCTTGCCGTCTCCCTTGATCCGGATCCACTGTTTTGACTGGATACATTCCAATATGGTTTTCTTGTGACGACACTGAAGCCTTTCAAGTCTATCAGCCGACTCCGAAGAGGGCTCCCAATTGGCAAACAAATGATCTGCATCGAAATCCTTCCTCTTGAAAAAGGTCTGGGTAACTTATATCTGGTGAGAAACCGATGGCTCATATCCAAAACGGGCAGAAACATACCTGAACGGTCTTCGGTACGTCCAATGCGAATTGGTAGGGACGGATCCAGATACTCGATGTGAGCATGCTTGCAGCTGAGGACAAAGGCATGGGTCCTTCGTGATGGGCGAAAAGGTTGCCCCTTACCACTCGTGAAGGTACATTTGCCCATCCTATATACTCACACAAGATGGTCCCATCCGCTGACGCCTTAGGTGATCCTTTGACAAGATGAGAAATACAATCCTGTAGGCCGTGTGTCGCCGAGAGTGTCGCACACGGATGATCCTTCGAGAAGCTGGCCGAAGTGATCACGCGCTTGCTAGCGAGCAGATAGATGGTTCAATCATTATCGCTTAGGGGTTTTCTCCAACCGCCATCAATATTATCTTGCTCTTCCGAATCTCACCTTTCGACACCATTCCCCATTCTACGTTGTCGTGTAGCGATCCGTCCGACTCCGGGGTATTTGACCACGCCGGTTGCCGCCTCGTTCCTGGTGCTCACCCCTGCGCCCGCGGGTGCCAACTCAACTTGGAAAGATTGCAATCGCGCACAATCCGCTACTTGACAACCTTGCGGGGAGTCAAGAAGGAGGCGAGAGAGGCACCATCTCCAAATGGCACACACTGCGTGTGGCATCGATCTAACATTGACGTCGCAATATATTTCCCCGTAAGACGCCGAATGGTTTACAAGATATCATCGCGTCGTGGCGCGTTAGGGTGTCGTCACCTACTGCTAACGTCCCTGCACTTTGAGCTTCAGATTCGGAAAGTTTTCATCGAAATGACTTTGAGAGGATAGATGTAGCCACGAGCCATGAGCATGGGTCAACGAATTGTCGTCACATTGAATGGCATGTGAAAAGTCGTGGGGATGGCACGTCACGAGAAATAGGGTCATGCTGAATGATGCCGGCGCAGCTTCAATGCCTAGTTGCAGTTACGATCGAGTCGATGAGTGCCCCATACGATAAAGCTTGGCAACAATACCTTCCCAACGACTACACTATAGTTCCCTCCCCGACCCCTTACAGACTACAAACTTCGCGTTGCGAAATAACGTACGACGAACGACCACGCAATCACCTACATCAATCGACCCAAGACCGTCTCAAAGATGTTGGTCTCTATCACTACTCAGCACAGGCATACTGTAGATCTATATATGAAACGACCAGAACCTCATGCGAATATCACTGACGACGCGCTCGTCTCGCTCACTCATGAGATGGGATATTTTGGTTTGACTGAATCAAGTTTCAGCGCTCTTGCTGTGACTCAATAGTCGGGAGCAATAATCGCCTCTAGACTCGATCGAAGCGCGACAGCCCGCATCTTTCTGTTTGGACTGTTCACCGTCACTACTTATGTCTCGGTCTGGTTAGCAATTCGCATACTTTGGTACAATAGCTGGTGATGGGTGTTTCCCCCGACTCGAGAACTGAAGAATAGTCTCCGGTACGATTCGAGCACAGATGCAGCAGAGCGTCGAACCCGACAGCACCAATATCGGCAGAGTATGTCCGCTCGCCTATCGCTCAGCAGTTCGCCAGAGCCTGTAGCATGTTTCATGGAGAAGAAACCCGCTAGCCCGTATGATTATGCAGCCAAGATTGATTTCGATGAAGCAACAAGACACGCAGGGACATACCGCTGTGGCATCATGGCCGTGTTTGTCTCCAGGTAAATCTGCTGTGATATCGGCGGTGAGTACGCGTTCCCGACCGTGCTTCAATGTGATGTGATAGATTACACCTTTTTTGAATGGACGAGTTACACATTTGGACCTTGGTTTCGTACATCAACCGGATTTTCCTTGTTTGTCCGTGTGGCGCAATGGTTAGCGCTTCTCACTTCTATGAATAGTCGTCACATGAGAGGGCTGCGGGTTCGAATCCCGCCATGGATTGTCCTTTTTGCCCTTTCTGCGCGTTTCGACTTCGGGACACTTATCGCGTTGTTCTTTCTTTGTATTGGATGGCTTGACAAAGTATGGATCGGCGTAGATGTAGAAAGGACTTTTCAACGCAAGTCGACAGGTGCTCGGTGCTCAGGTGGATGACCGCCCTTTCGTTGCATTTTCAGCTGGCCGGGCCACCTAGAAGCGCATCCCGGGATCTGCCGGAAGGAGCGCGCGGCTTTCCCTAACTCTGACGAAAGCACTTTGATGACCTTCTCTATTCTCAACCTCCTTCCTCTTCGTAGACATTCAACCGATCATCTCTACGCAGCAAACCACGCCTCTCCGCCCCTCTGCAAGGTGAGTGTTCTGAATATCTTGTCTTCCCCCGCTCCCGCTCCCTGCACCGCTTCATGATGTTTCAATACATTATCTACATTGTCCGACAATCACGTGGAGACAACCTATCTATCATTGTTTATTCTGATCAAGCCAGCAACCTCCGCCTATCCTTCATAACCTCTTTGAACCTCTCATTATCATCTGTACTTGCACGGACGACCAGCTGACATTCGAATCTGCATCGTCTGCTTTAGTTCGGTCTGCAGAGTGGTAGTTGATCGCATTCGGGAGATATTTGACAGACTCGTCAGTCTTTATCCTTTCCTTTCATTGTACTTTGCCGATCCCTGGATACATGTTGTTGAATACGAATGCTATGCTGCAGGTCTCCTTCCGATCCCCTTGAGCTCTGCTGCTGCTGTTGTCCACTCACGCATCGAGAGAACGTGGTGATTCAGCATGGCCGGTCCTTCCGGAAGTGCTCCTTCTGTGAGGAACCTGTACAGTACGTGCGGAATGTAGATGGACAGCGATCTTTGAACAGCTCATCTGACATCAGTGGCACGTCAGCACCGCCGCAAGAAGAATGGCTGTTCCTGCCGCCTACCCCTGGTCAACCATCGACCAACCCGAACCCGACCCCTTCATCCACGTACAACTCGCCTCCTAGCGGTAGTACGAGCTCCTCGGCCTCTTCCCCCATTGTCGGGCTCGAACTAGATGCGGACGACGAGCCCTTCACCGTGTACGGCGTCCTCGCCATGTTCGCCTCTGAATACCTCACCACCGCCCTGGGTATGCCCTTTGAAGTTGGCAAGACCTTGTTGCAAGTCGAATACAAGCCCAAACCAGGGGTCGACGACGGGGTTGAGGTTGAGGGGGTTGACTACGAGGCCGAGACCGATGATGCGGACTCGGTTGCGGGAGATCAGGCGGAAGGGTCGAGGAGACGCAGGGATTCGATCGAGGACTCGGTACGTTAAGTCTCGTGCTAGCAATATGGGGTCTCTGGCGGATCGAGACCGACGAACATGCTATCATACATCTTGGTTAGATCCGAAACCCAGAGGACGCCGAGGCCTACTTTCAGGATGTCTTGTCGTCCAGCACTCGGAACTACATTCCAGCGGTCGACGACAACGGAGAGCAAGGGGATGCGGAGGGATACTTGCCTGATTGTGAGTTTCAGTCTCTGTGTGACCCGGCCACCTTGGATACAGTCACTAATGTCAAGATGAGACCGTGTTATAGTGCCCCCTTCCTATCTGTTGCGTACCGACATGTCGCCTTCAGGATCGTCTGGCGTCTGGGGCATGATGAGACGAATCAGGAGAACGCCTTCGGAAGGATTGCCAGGTCTCTGGAAAGGACAGATCCTGACCACCATGCACTCGTTGCTCTCGAACAACCTCCAACCCCTTGTTCACTCTGGACTTATCATCTCCTTACCGCCTCCTACCGCTACCGCCCAGATGGAACTCAACTCGGACCTGGATCTGCCGTTGGCATCGTATCACAATCCCATGATTCCACTGGGTCTTCATGTGACGGCTCATCTGTTGACCCACATGTTCTTGTCGCCCTTGGAACTGCTCCGAACTCGACTCATCGTCCAACCATCGTCGGATCCCAAATCCAAGTCGTCCATCGGCTTGCTAAAGGATGCCGTCTCGGACGAAGGCGGTGTCGTGCGTTTGTACACACATCCTCAGCTGTTGATTCCGGCCATCCTGGAACACACGCTTCGGCCCATCTTTACGCTGTCCATCCCGTTGATCATCGAACGCAAGTTTGGTGTCACCCCGGACAGCTCGCCCGTGACCTATTCCATGCTGGACCTCTCGCTCGGCCTCGCCTCTTTACTCGTCATTCTCCCGATCGAGACGGTCAGGAAACGATTACAGCTCCAAGACCGCATGTCCGAGACTGATGCGTGGCAGCGAGGAGGAAAGAGGGAGAAGCGCAAATCGATCGTCAGACTGCGCAAGCGCGAATACCACGGTTTATTGGACACCATCTGGAGGATCATGTCAGAAGAGACCGGAACGATCAAGAAGAAGCGGTCCAAGAGACGCGGTTCACGCTCTGAGCAGACAAATGCGGTGGACGAGCACGAGAGGCAGAGAGCGGCCTTTGACGGTATCAAGCAGCTCTATCGAGGAGTGAGTTTCGAGTGATCCCACACCCCAGCCTTGATTCCGAGCGTTCTCGGAGGTACTGATCGCGTTTCTCTCTCGGACTCGAAAACGAACAGTTTGGCATGGCGGCCGGAGCTCATCTGACCGTGTTCGCTCTGGGTCTCGTCAGCGCGGGGCTCGGCGGCAGGTCCCTCGAATATGGATGGAAGGAAATCTGACGATCACTCATGCCTCAATTGCTTGACGTCACCGATCACTGGCGATTCGCGAATGCAATCTAACTCCCCTCTTCGCCCTGAACTATATTGTTTAGCAGCGGTTGTAAATTAAAGAATCATCGAGAAATTACATACCAGATCGCTCTGTCAGTTTGTCATCCGGCGATCTCGGCACCCTTCTATTTCGCTCTATTCGGACGTGTTTGAACCTGAATCCTGGAACCTGAGCTTTGCAAACGAGATGGATTCCGTCGAGTTGCACGGTCTGACGCGTCACGGTCATGTTTTGTTTGTTGTTTGTTTTGTTGTTCTCGTGCAGTAAAACGCCCTGGCGAACCGACGGCACAATCTCCCTGGCGAGCGAGCGAGCGCGTTTCGGAGCAATGGGACAAAGCAAATGCGGGACAAAGCAATGCGGCGGTACACAGCATGGCTTTCCATTCAGCCGGGCATCGAGTGGAGGATCGAAAAGCGGTCGCTGAGATCGACGCTAGGCAGTTTGGAAGTCGAGAACCCTACTTTTTTTTGCTCGTGACACAGCAGACAACCTCTTTCGTTTCATCGGTTAGGGCCTGATCGTTTGCAACTCGCTATTGATATTGAAATAATTGATATTGGAACGCCAATAGTACAGACCACTATTTTCGCCTAATTTCAATATCATTTCAATAGGTCGCGATCGGTTAGCCACCTGGTGACGCGATCGGTTGGGTATCTATTGGAATGGAAGTATTTCACCATCCGCGTCGCCTGCCGTAATATTTCGGGCTGGTTTCAGCCTCTAACGAACAACCTTGAAGTTAACTATCGTTCTGTTTCAGAAGAATTCCGATATCTTACGATTTCTGCCCAATCCCCTCCTTTCTGCGCTGTCCTCCGATTTCGGAAGATATCGGTCAACTTCTGGGGCCTGACCAAATCATTCTATGACCACCCAGCCGAACGATAAGGCTCGCTTAGCGGGCGTCTCCCCCGTTTCACGACCAAATTAGCCATCACGGCCTTGTCGCATAGAAGCCTGAGCACGATACAGTTTCGACGACCGGTTAGACATCGATAGAATTGTTCTTTTGACCTCGGGCATCACTGATTTAGAATCAAAGGAACCCCGACCATCATCAAACGCGTCCAATCTCATAAAACAACAACAAACGCGCTATGTTTCATCAATTCTCATCAGACAACAACACATCGCGTCGTCATTGTGCAAGGACCTCTGACCTCTAACCGAACCATCAAAACAAATCTGTAGCGATAACAGACACGTCGCGTCGTGTGTAGGATAATACATAACCCTCTGGTCCCCCCCCTGCGTACTTCGAATTCCCCTTTTCCCAAAGTCTGCTATTCAAATCAACCTTTCGCGAAACCTCTTCTTCCTTCACAACTTCTTGATCCCCCTTCACTTTTCGACCTTCACCTCACCTCTTTTCCCTTCCCGACACTTCAGTTCTCTTCCCCTACGTCATGCCCAAGGCACCCAAGGAACCCAAGAGCCGACAGTCGTCGAAACCCCCAGGCTCCGCTCCTAGAGTAAGTACAACTCGTTCTTGCTCTTGATCTCGCAAGTTTCTTAGCTCATCCGAAATCTACCGTTTTCGTAGAACACACGAGTAAGGACCTCTTCTTGTGCTCCACTTCCTTCGACATGCCAGCTAATCCTATTTCTTCCGATTTCGGAAAAAATCTGTAGGCCTCGACTCGCGCTGAGAGGATCGGGACTGGCGAGGATCGACAGGCTGCGAGTAGTGTGAGTACTATCAAGTTCCGCACGACAAGAATACCACTGAAAAGGACTTGCTTTTTATTTATTTTCTTTCGTAGTCCGCAAGTGTTCCTGCCCTCCCCGGACTCCAATCTTCTTCCTCTCAACCCCAACCACGGCAATCGTTTTTGTCCGGTCTCTTTCAAGGATCGTTATCTCCTCCCCCGGCTCTATCAACCTCCAACACCGCTCCAATCAACTCGCAAGCTCAACCAGCTTCGTCCTCCCTCCCCGCATCGACATCAGCGACTCTTCCAGCTCGACCGGCTCCTCGTCCGCGCCCCGACGCCGACAGACCTGATGTTCGCGCTCCTCCCCAAGACGATCTCCTCGCGAATCCGTTTCTCGATCGTGATCTCAATCCGCGTCAAGTCGAAGCCGACTGGGACGCAAGGATCGCTGCATACGGTATCGGCGATGATGCAGAACAAGGAGGTCTCGGGGATGTTTTGGGCGGGGGTTTGTTGGGAAGTGACGAACGGATGGAGGGGATGGAGTTCCTTTTGACAAGCCAAGAACGAGAGGAACGCGAACGTCAAGCCCGGGGCAGTGAAAAAGACGAGAGCGAAGTGGAGGACGAGGAAGACGATCCGATGGATGGTACGGTGTCGGCTCAAAGGTCTCAACAGGCCAAACTTCCTACCCCTCAACCTCCGGCCGGCTTGCAGATGCCTGCAGGATCTATCCCGGTCGCTACCTCCGCCGCCAGGACCATGGTTCCACCTCCAGCCTCATCTTCGGCTGGGCCCGCTACTGTCAGTCTGCTCGATCGTCATTTGCATTCGCACTCGATTCGACTCGATCACTAATTTCCTTTTTCTTCCGATTTCTGTCTTTATCGTAGCCCGCTTCAAAATCCTCTCGACAACGAGCAACACAAGGTGTCACACCTGCGGTTCGTTTAGTGCTGGACTGGCCCATCGTACGTGTCGCTTGAAACAATATGCGCTCCTGATCAACGTTGACTCATCATCGTTGGTATAACATAGTTGCAATATCAAGATTACGAGTACAACCTGAACGAGGAACCTCATCTCCTTGCCGGCATTTTGAACGAGTTGCCCGATAATTCTGAGGCCACTGTAAGTCTATTTTCGTTAGCAATTCAGTTGCAAACTTCATCCGTACTTTTCCGATTTCGGAAGAAATCTGTTCGCTCATAACTTGTGTATCACATTGAACAGGATTCAAACCAACGTCAAGTAGCTTGGGACGAATGGGAGGTAAGTTCATTCGGAGCATAGCTTTTTCTGTATCGCGTACTGCCTGCTGATTATTCAACACGATCAGATCGGACAAACCATCGCCAACCTCGACCGGACAATGCCCGACCAGATCAGGGAGGGTTTACGAATTCTCGGCGAACGCAGACAGCGTGATCGGCAGGAAAGACACAGGAATGCGCAAGCACGAGAAAACGAGCGACTCGCTCAACTCATCCGAACTGTTGCTCCGGCCGCGCCTGCCACCACCACGTCTCGACCGGCTACGGAGTCAGGCGCTCGCAGCGATGCCCTCGACCCCGCCGGATTACCACTCGATCGACCCAGCCGGGCAGATCGAGGACGAGAGGCGACGATCGAGGTGAAGACCGAGGGCGTCAAAAGAGAACGGATGGCTATGCCACCAACTCCTCCGCTGCGACGTCGAAACCTCCAACAGCAGCGGGATGATGCTGAGTTTGTTCCTCGACCGGTTCGCCCAGTAAGTCCCTGTCCTGGCCTATGGCCTATCCTGCCTTTTTCTTTCTCGTCTAACCTTTCATTTTTCATTATTATCATTAATTTCAGGAGCAAGAGAACGAGGAAGCTACGCGTGGCCGTCGTCACGAGATCTTCATGGAAGCGGCGGACCTGGGCAGCGACGAGGAGGTGAGACTTAGCTTGTAGAACGAACACCCTGTCGAGGAAATCGGCTGATAGATATCTGCGCCTTACTTTAGATACGCATTGTCGAGCCTCCCGCACCGGCACCGGCGCCGGCCGCGCTCGAGCGAAGGATCGTGGTCGCCCCCAACCTCGCCGTTAGACGTTTGCCGTCGCGATCCCAATATCCCGAGCTCTTCGTTCAAGTGGGCGAGAACACCACCTGGACCTACGTGAGTTGCATTTTCATGTCGGCAGAAATCTTCCGAAATCGGAGATTAATCTTTGTCAATTTCTCTTTCGTCCAACAGATCCTCGACGTCGACGATCACCCTCAGGATATCATCGACCGCCTCAAGCTGGCCACAAGGACATCGGACCCCAAGGAGCAGAAGAGAATTCTCGAGGGAATGTTCCTCGGCAAGCACTCCGCCCCTGCCAATGTCATCAAAGCTCGCCAGAATTGGCTTGAGTCACACGGCATCGATATCCACGGTCCCGGCTGGAACAACACTATGCGCAAGAAGTTCGGTCTGGTGACGTCCACCGTGAGTCTTTACTGTGTTCGAATCGAGTGAATCCGAGCAACAGCGTTACTGACAAAATCTCACGATATCTTCCGAAATCGGAAAATACAGGGCCATGCCATCGCCTCCGCCATCGCCAAGAACAAGAAGGGTACGAACAAGGACCCCTTGAACGATCCTCCCTGCGTCCAATGCCAGCGACGGTTCAACGAAGGCGAACTGGATAAAAGGAGTGCGCCTTGTCGGTCTCGATCTTGGAAACACGGCTGCACAAACTGTGTCACGTTCGGGCAGCACAACGCCTGCTCGTTGAAAGACTCCAATCAAGCAACCGTCTACGAGCAATACGCTCTTTTGGTCACGAAGCAGGCCGAGTCGTTGTTGAATTTCAACATCGCTCGTACCGCCGAGACTCTCCGAGCAGCCCACGCTGGGTTCGCCGGAGCTTTCACCGCCTCCCAACAGATGCAGTTGGCAATGGTGCAGCTCCTCGAGGTCCTTGCGCCCGGTCTGGTGCAGCGCGGAGTTGACGTCCTCAACAATCAGGACGTTCCTCGAGACGACACGACCCCGGCCGGCCGACACATGATGGCGACGTACAGGCGAGCCATGGTGTACGACGAAACGACTCGGGAGTTCGATCGCGACGCCGGCAACCCGCCGCCTCAGCACCCGACCCTGGAGACGTTGGTCCAGCATAGCTTCCACGAGTCGCCAATGGCTCAGCGACGCCAGCACCAGGCCAACGTCCGGGCTCGGATCACTGGGGCCGACGACGATTCGGACAGGTCGCCATCTCCGTCTGATCCGTCTGACGCCATGGCCGAGGCTCGTCGTGCCGCTCGAGAAGCTCGACGACGACAAGAGGAGCGTCAAAGGCGGTCCGGCGACCAAGCTGGCAAGAACAAGGGCAAGAGGCGGGACGACCAACGATGAAAGCTTCCAAAATCGGAAGATTTCTGCTCGCGACGGTTCTGGTGGGGCTTCGACTCTTTTTTTTTTTCATTTTCATTTCATTTTTTTAATAACGAACAGATACACGGATACGAGGAATACGGACTGCAATTTTAATGGTTAGTACGATCGAGGCGTGGTGTTTTCGGAGGGTTTCACCACGCATATACATATGCTGTGAAATAGAAAAAATCCTCTATATACAAGTCGTGTCGTTGTAAGCCTTTTTTTTTTCTATATCATGTGATGCAGGCATCCGACTACCTTGATCTTCGCGATTGTCCAAGTTTGACCTATGATCCTAAGAGCTGATAAACTGTGTATGAGCACACGGCAACAAGATTAACATCACCGATTGAGTTACCGTTACCGAAATCTTCCGATTTCGTAAGATTTTGGATGAAACAGGAATCAGGTGGAATTGATTCTCGGGTGACGACGTTTACCGATGGCGAGGAGTCTCACCTTCACCCTGACTGAAGAAGTGGTCTGGATGTGCTTCGTTTTCAACAGTCGAGTCATTCACCCGACAAGGGGCCTCACACTCATCCTCATTTTCCACACGTCAACCGATCATGAGGTCACTCGTAAGTGATCGCGACCTAGATGACAAGATCGAGATCATCATGTTTTTGGAGCTGTATCAGGCTCTGGAACGCGGAGACAGAAGACGAGATCGACAGCCTCGACAGCCTTACTCGATCTCCTCATTAAGTGGGGCTCAATACGTCCAGGATCACCTTGTCCATCCTCGCCGATGCCAAGACGCCTGCGGTATGACTCGCCATGGGTTCAAGAAACTCTTAGCCACTCTGACCGACAAGGGACTTTTGGAGCCATCGGAACATGTCTCAGCTCAGGAGATACTTGGAATCGGTCTGCATGTGTTCAGGCATGCAGCCGGACACAGACAGGCTGGTATCACCTTCAATCGGAGTCAAGAGACGATCAGCAAGTGAGTTGGAGAGTTAACAACAGACGAAACATGTCCGGTTGAAATTCTCCAATTATTTCCGATTTCTTCCGATTTCGGGTTATGCTGCAGGGCTGTGCACAAAGTCTTGAATGCGCTCTGCGACAAAGATTTCTACTTTGAGATGGTCAAATGGCCTCCTGCCCACGCTCCCAAACACCGTAAACTTAGATACAAGCAGAATCGACCGTTTTCTGATGCGATTGGAGCGATCGACGGAACGCATATCCCCTGCCACCCGCCTGAGGAACGCGCAGGTCATTTCAGAAATCGGAAAGGAACCCTCTCCTTCAATGTTTTGGCTATATGCGATTTCGACCTTCGCTTTACGTATGTGCTATCAGGAGCCGAGGGATGTGAGCCAGACAGCTCTGTGTTCCAACTTGCCCGATCGCAATACGATCTCAAGATCCCTGACGGCAAATACGTTCTGGGCGATGCTGGATACGCTTTGCGAGACGGCGTCTTGACTCCTCATATCGGTTCGAAGTACCATCTTCAACAGTGGCGTCGGCTCAACAGGGAGCCCGGCACTGAGAAGGACCTGTACAATTTCCGGCATTCAAGTTTGAGGATGTGTATCGAGCGTATCTTTGGGGTCATGAAGAGTCGGTACAAGGCGAGTAAAGCTACTGGATGATCTCTCAGTCATGTGAAGTTTGCCGAATGATTCAGTTTTCAATGTGTTTCGCAGATCCTTGTTGCTGGATCTCATTACTCCATAGACGATCAAGCGCATTTGATCTATGCTTTGTGCGCTCTGCACAACTTCACGATGGCAAACAAGGCGTCAGAGGAGGAAATTCCGAGGGACCTCGTAGCCTCGAACTGTGACAACGACGATGGAGGGAACGATGGAGGACAATCCGTAGTTGCACCTAGTACCGTTCGTGGGAGAGTCGATCAGCACATGGTCAACCTACGAGAGAAAATCACAGCGGAATTGTTTGCAAACAGGGACGACGATTGAAAAAGGAGGACAGGTACGCCAGCCGATTTCTTCCGATTTCGGAAGAACCATGTTGTCAACCGAATTCTTCCGATTTCGTACAGAAAAAGAGACCGGAAGCCATCTGCTTGTACAACTACCAGTTTTACCAGTTTCCATATTGACCCAAGCCGTCCAAGTCCTCCCGCTCATCATCTTCATCCTCTATCGAACCGGCGGCGTCATCGTCATCATCATGCCGATTGGACGGCTCATCGACGGGTGGAGGTACCCTGTCAATTTTAAGGTACCCAAACGCCCACCGCTGTCGTTCGGCTGGCGACATGCCAAGGTAGAACTCGCATTTCGATGGACTCTCCATCATGGCATTGGTGATTTCGAAGTCTTCCCTGGCGGTCAGCCCCCATTGAACTTTGTCCATGGACAGAAGTTTGGCCGCCTTCTCACCAACAGAGGGGGGACGACTGTTTTGAAACAGTTGTACCATCGCTTCAAGCGAGGACTTCTGTTCTTGAGATTGTTGTTCACGCAAGGATTCTTGGCGCCTGCGTTTTCTTCGGCTAGCTTGGCTCTGCGGGGTACTAGAGGCTAGGGATCTCTTGCGACTACCAGTGGATCTTTCCGGCGTTTGAGACGGATTCTCATTCTCCCCGCCTGAACTCTCCCCCTCGTCGCTTTGCTGTGCGTTCCGAGCTACCGCTGAAGGGCGGCTACCTGGCTTCTTGACAGTCTCGCGAGTTGCACCTCTCCCTCCTCGATACTTGTCCCATAGCTCGTAAATGGGCCAAGGTTCTTTACACTTCTCATAAAGTGGTCGGTCATCGCCCTGAAACCAAGAACATCGGATCAATATTCCGAAATCGGACGAAATCGGAAGGAGGCGTTGACTCACTAGCGTAGCCAACCATGCTTCCCAAATTGGAGGCTCTGCATGCGCCTGGCCCGTCTTCCGATCGAAGTGCCAACCACTCTTCCCACTCTTGCCAGCAATGACTCGGCGAGGTATATACTGCTCCTTATTGACTTCCGCAACTTTGTTCCGCACTTTACTGACAGTCAAACCGAGGTTGTGAACCCCCTTCGAAATAGCCAGGTCGTTGAGAGCGGACACAATCTCTTCCCACTGCGCTCGAGCGAGGTTGCCGTCGTTGTTCTTAGCATTCGTGGCCACTCGCTGACCCGCTAGCTCTGCCGCTAGGCGTTCCATCAGCCAGGGCATATTGTTCCACCGGATGTTGCTCGCAGGTAGTGGGGCGGGTGTCTTGTCCAGCAAGGGGGTGGCAGGTTCTGAAACGTCCGGGGATCCAATCCTTGAACGTTGACTACCAACTGCAATCGTGGGAGGTTGGGTGTAGAAACCTTGTGAATTGTCGACGTCCCTCCCTCCAATTGAGGGGAACGGCTGAGAGTTTCGGCTCGATTGGCTCTCTGCCACCCAATTGGAAGAGGCTTGTCGAGAGAATCGACGAGTCCCGTTGGGTGGCTCGCCTAGCTGAGTCTCATGATACGAAATCGGATCGGGGTCATATGATCCGATTTCGGAAGAATTCTGCAGATATGGGCCGGCTGATGACAAGGCATTCCGCCAGTTTTCTACAGGTGCGAATTGATGTCCCACCGCGGTGTTTTGCGATGGTATGTTGTGTATCGGATTGGAGCTAGGATGGCGGGACTGAGGCCGGGAAGGAGAAGGAAAGCCCATAGCAGGCTGGCTACTGTAGCCGCGTGTATCATTGTACTGGTGGGGATCCATGCTACGCGGGGGAGAGGTCTGTGTATACGAACGACTACAAGGCGATCAGCGACGGGTTTGCAATTGCGCTGATCCTTTCATGATATGGTCACCGAGGCCGATGACCATGAATATGTCTTCCGATTTCGTAAGATTTCGGAAGATGACGGCAAAGCCTTGTTTCCGCATCAAAATCGGTGCTGAACGGTGCCTGAAAATTGCTAGGCGGGATCAATACCGAATTGGACGTGTTGAAATTTTTCAATACCAATTTCAACAGCCAACCGATTAGGCCTTTTTGGAAAATCAAGAAGGGGGATCATCACGCCGTGATGATAAAACCCGTTTCTGGTGATATATCATTTCATTACCAATAACAATTTTGACAAACGGCGCAAACGATCAGGCCCTTAGACCAGCGCGCTGAAAGATAACGGTAACGATGGCTCGGTATCCCGCGATCGATATGTACGTCAAGTCGGCCGAAAGACTGCGGACCGCGGAGGTGGTATTTCGCTACATGTGCAGTCAGATTGTTGTACGCTCCACGAACTCTGATCTCGCAATGCAAGCCATCTCTGTCCTGCATATGGTATCCGCTGATGGTGATCGACGGCGATCGGAGCGTATTGACGTCTCGTCCAGGACGAGGTCACGAGTCGACCTCGGAGAACGAAAAATGGGGTCCTTTCTCCTTATAAAAAGCCCGAGGTACGGAAGCATGCGGGATGTCACGATGCGGCGGTTCTCATAAGGATCTCTGCGGATATGGGTTTCGACGTTTGGTCGAACAGATCGACCACATCTGATGGACGTGTATCACTTGGGCGACCCGTTCCAAGCAGGCGGCGGCGTCGGCGATCCCTTGACCCGCCGCACCTTTCACGCCCCTACCCTCAAGCCATGGTCACACCTGGGAACAATGGAAAGACGAAATGACGTTAGCGCGTTCATCACTGAGTGATCGTACCTTATATCTCCTGCGCGCGGGGGCGACGAGTCGGAGGCGTTTCGTGTTGGTACCTTGCCGATCTACGCCAGGTAACGTCTCCTCTCCCTCGTAAGCCTGGAACGGAAGGACGATGGCTTGGACTGCGCCTTCGTCACGGCGGCGGTCACGAAAGGCAATCGACTGGAACGTCCTTGATCAAACACGTCCATCGGTACTGAGGCATATTCTGTCAACAAACAAACTTCAAAGCGAAGAGCCGTCCGCTGCCCTCGGAACAGTTCAAGGGCGATGGGGGCCTATTCACGCACATCCCAAAACACAAGCGATCTGTCACAATTCAAGGTTCGACTTGCACCCTGTCCTGCGGACGCAACAAGCACAACCGCTTGTACACCAATACGCCCACACGGTCCCTCTCTCGCTCGTTACCTGCAGTGAACCTCGATATATATCTCTGGCTCGACATCCAAACACTCAACTCTCTGTATCGAATCAACCTCGATCGAAAACCATCTCATACAATCTCTCATGCAACTACGACAATCATAGACATAAGCTTGAGCTCTTCAGCTTGAAACCTTCCTGGTCCTCGTCCTCTGCCTCGCTTCTTCCGACACTCGACTTTCACGACATCTCGACATTCCGCTGTTCGAACCCACTCTCATTCCATCAAAACAACACGAACCACCTACATCATGTCTAGCCAATCATGCTACTCTCCCCTACCTGCTCTCGCTTTCGAGGACCGCATTCATCCTGCGTCGTTATCGAAATGCGGCATTCACGATCCGGCTCTTCTCGAGTTCATCCGGACAGAGGTCTCGCGTGAATTGATTTGTGAGTCGACTACTCGTCTCGTAGCGATCATACGCGATGGTTACTCACCGCCTTGTTTTCTCTTGACAGATTTCTTGTCGGATAAGACCAACGAGATCATCAACTCCTGTCAGATTGTTCAGATCGACAAGCGGACCGGTCAACCCATCCCATCCCCCTCGATGGAATCCATCGAGGCCGAGCTCGCCGCCCTCGGCCTACCGACATTAGACGACTTTGTCGCGCATGTTATCGAGGCTTCCAACGTTCAAATCCCCACTCTCATCACCACCGTTGCCCTTCTCGAGCGATTGAGGGGTCGTCTACCGAAGGTCGCCAAGGGCATGGCCTGCACGCGACACCGAGTATTCTTGGCTACCTTGATCTGTGCTGCCAAATACGTCAACGACTGCTCGCCCAAGAACAAGCACTGGGTACGTCGATGTCTAGGCATGATGCTTGTTCGCCATCGCGCTCATCCATCAATTCGCTACAATCACAGTCGAAATACTCGAGCATCTTTAGCTTGCCCGAGGTCAACCTTATGGAGAAGCAACTGCTCTTCCTGCTCGACTTTGACCTGAACGTCACCGAGACTGACATTGTGCAGTGTGAGTGTGTGGAGCAGCTCTCAAGCCAAAAGATACAGGACATTAACAGAGGATGTTATCTTTCATCAGACTTCGAGCCGTTCTTGTCGCAATACTGCTTCGAGCCATCAGCACCCTCTTCTCCCGTCGTCGAACAGACCCCCGTGTTCGAGACCGTGCCCATCGCCGCGACCATTCCGCAAGAGCTGGCTCAATATTCTGGTCGCAAGGTCCGAACCGTCACTCGTGGTGATGTCACCTACACCCACCCTGGCATGGACCGATCGTCCTCGTGCTCGTCGTTGGAGTCGGTCACTTCCACCATCATCCAGACACCTCCCGGTTCCCCGGAGATGCCCGCTCGCATGGCCTACGCAAAACCCGCCGTCCACAAACAAGTGCAGCGTATCTCTCCTCTCGAGTACCAAACTCAGCAGGTCAAGACCGGTGCCATTCACCCATCTCACCTCGCTGCTCCTCCACCCGTCACCATCGCCGGCGAGGCTCCTGGCTTTCTGGAGCGATTGATGAGGATGCACGGACGCCGAAAACCCATGCCCGCCACACAGAGTTACGACGAGGTCGACGCCATGACGACGCTCATCCAGCACGGCATGGCTATCTAGACCCATCATTCAACGATCCCACAAAAAAAAGGGCAACAACACGCACGCTTTCTGATGTCTCAGCGACAATGGCCTTTTCGACTTTCAGGCTTTACGACGAATCATTCTCACCTTACGGCCGCCAATCCATCTGTATCAAATCAGGGTTTCCCTCGGACAATTTTCAAAGGTGTAGCAATCACGAACTTGATGTATATAGAAGACGTTCCCTCCCGCTCTTAGGCCGGACCTTTCACTCGCTTTACGACTGTCTCTTTTTGGGTATTTTTGGGTAGTCACGAAACGTGCACGATGTAAAATATAGGCTAGCCAGGCTCGATGCCGCCGGCGATTTATAAAGACCTTGATGGTCAAATGATGGAATAACTTGTCCCCGGTACAATGAAGGGTGGTCTAGATCGATACAAATGCGAAACTCCTCAATATCTGCGCCCTTGACCCCGTCCTCTGTTCTGTCCACGCCCGGGACTTGGACGTCCTTGATTATATCCTCGATCGTAGCCACTGTTCATCCCCGGGCCAGGTCCGCCTTGGAGAGGCATCATGTATGATTGCATATGAGCAGGCGGAGGGGTAGGATGCTGATTGATGCCTGGAGGACTGCTACCAGGAATATGAGCGAGTCTGGAAGGATGGACCGGTGGGGAAGGTCTGGCTCCGATAGGTGCTGCGATCGGCGGTGTCGGGGGAATGAAGGCCCCAGGCGAGTTGTGTGGAATATGGGGTGATCCATGAGGCGGGAATGGTCGTGGTTGTGACGCATGGAGCGTGCCAGCGAAGGGCGGCAGAGATGATGGCATGGCCTGGAAGTTCGGGGGCGGCATCGAGCCGGACATGGGGTTTGTAACCAATGTCGTCGGTGACGGCGTAGGTGGCTCGATGGGTGCAGGTTTCTTGTTGCTATTGGAGAGTATCTGGAGCATCGCTGGACTCCGCAGCGAATCCAGGAGACTGGCCACGTTGTTCGCGATATTTTGTTGTTGCATACCAGGTACGATCTGAGCGGGAGCTGGCACAGTCTTTTGTGCCATTGAAGGCACAACCGGGGCAGGGACATTCTGTTTGGGAGGAGGTGTGATCTGGGGAGGAGATTGGACGAGAGGGGGAAATCTTTTGGGCACGATAATCACCCCAAGGAACATATCCGTATCGACATGCTTTGGTAGTATGTAGCGATCCAGAAGATCAATAAAGCTGTTGTCGCGTTGTTGGGTTGAAGACAACGGAACCATGTACACCTCCTTGGGACGTCCAGCGAGTCCCTTTGAGCCTTCGGGAATGTGCACGGCGTGTCGCCTGTGGACAATCAGGTGGGTGAGAGCTTGTAGACAATGAACAGCGCCTGCACCAGACTCACTTTCTCGATATCAGAAAGGCGACCAGTTTCGCGAACGATTCCTTGTCCTCGCGCGTATCCGATGGAGTCATAGCGACAACCACGAGGTCTTTGTTGCTTGACAACTGGGTAGTCGCAAGGTATCTCGACGACTCTTCCTCAGCCACCCGGCCTGTAAATACCATGGGATTGTCGAATAATAGCTGTGACCAGGTACGCGGTTCTACTCCGACATCGAGACCTCCCACTTGACGAGCCTCGACTCGAGGATAACCATCTTCCTTGGAAGCCGGATTCTCAAGCTGTATGACGAGTCAAATGAGCGAAGAGCACATCGTTTAAATTCGAGAAGTGAACAATTACTCACTGTTCCAGACCATACCACGGGGATGTCGGCGAGAATTGTCTTGGTGGCCGGTTCGACTGGTGACACGATTTTCTCCGACTTCTTCTGTTGTCGCCCAGAGTAATCGATATCCGAGCCGTGATCACTGCCCATATTCTCATCCACAAACCCGTCATTAAAGCCTCCCAAACCTTCATCGTCGCCTTCATCTTCCAGAGGTGGGGTCTCAATGGGTGCAGTAGGAACATGGCCCAGGACCGAATGAAGAGAGAAAGACGATTGTCGCTGCTGTGTCTGAACAAGCTGTGGTGTGGGCCGAGGGGCTTCGGGAAGTGGTGCGGCTGTGGTGAGAGTTGATTCTGAAGGTTCAACAGTGTCTTGTCCATCTTGTTCGCGGCCTTTCTCATCTCGCTCGTCCTCTTCTTGTATCGCACCCGGTATTTTCTCCTCCTCCTCCTCCTTCCGCCGACGCTCTTCCTCAGATGTCTTTTCAGGTTCGGCGATGTCTTCGCCCCGTTCCCTACGAGCGTTTCCAGCAATTCCCTCCGTAATAGCTTGAAGAGCGTCCGCATCCTCCAAGGCCTTTTTTGTGTACCTGACTGGTACGTATTCGTCCTCGTACCGTACGGTGGCCTTGAAACTCTGGGCTTCCAGTTTCTTGATCTCCTCCAAGGTTGCGGCAGTGGCCAAGTCTCGCGAGGTCATGTTGGCCACAGATGCGGGTGCTATTCGACCCGTTGAAAAACCTTCTTCGAGATCTGGCCGGAGATCCTTTTCCAGTGCACCGAAGATGAGCGTGGATAGCGATCTGTAGTGACGACAAGGGACTTTAGTTCGGCTCAGAAACTCAGCAAAGCATAAAGGCTCTCGGGACTCACCTATAATTGCCCTTGACTTCAAATCCGCCCTTTTCTGCGCGCTCCTTCTTCTTCTCGTATACCGCCTCCTCCACTTCCACAGCATACGCCTCAGCCCGCCGTTGGAGCTCTTCCCTCTCTTCTTCCGGAAGCTCGACCTCGATCTCTTCCTCCCGAGGTACGTCGTCCGCCTTGACCTCCTCCTCCTTGACCCCATCGTCCTCATCCTTGTCGACGTCCATCCCTTGACCCTTTTCCGTTGAGGCTTCCGCGTCGTCCCCCTTTTCGGCCTTTCGAGCCGCTTCGGCTTCCTCCCTCAGCTGTCGCTTCCGATACCCTACAAAGACCGACTTGAATCCAGCCTTGAGCTTGTCCAGGACGAAAGTCCTGATCTTGCCCAAACCTCCTGGACCCGGCTTTTCACCCTGACCCGCTCCTGACGAAGTCGGAACGGCATTGGTACCGGCCCCAGGGCCTTTTCTTCGAGAGGTCTTCTGTTTGGAAGTAGGCGCGTTGAGGGGTGTCGAGGTGGATCGTCTTCGTTTGAGCTGAGCCGTTGAACGGCCTCGGGCCCGCTTGGCTTGTTTCCCTGTTGATTCAGTAGCCGAGATCTGGATCGAAATCATCGTGGCGCGAGACTTAGCGATGCAGAAACCCGCCAAACCGTGTTTAAACAGTAACTCACCTCGCCTTCACTTGCACTATCATCCTCGTCATCCTGTACACTCATCTTTCGCTTCTTGCCCCTTCCCTTACCCCTTGCTCCCGTTTCGTCGTCATCATCGCCATTCGCTCGACCTGTATTCTCACCCCCGTACACGCTACCTTCGCTCTCACTATCGCTTTCCTTGTCGTCCGACTCGGGATCCGACTTCCAGCGCTTCTCCTCCTGTTCCTCTTGCTCGTCCAGATTCAGCTGAAGGGCGGGATCAAGAAGGTCCATCTTCGTCTCTCCTCCTTCCCCCTCCACTTGCACATGCTCCTCAGCATTTATCGACGAATTCGTGACATTTTTCCTCCCCCCTTTCCCTCGTCCTGTCGCCCCGCGGCCCCGACCTTTCTTTGTCTGTGCCGAGGGAGTTGCCGTAGGAGATACTGGCGGAGGTGATCGAGCGGGGGAAGCGAGGAGGGTGATATCAGACCGCCGTATGGTCTTGAGTTCCCCGTTCGATTTCGCATGACATTCCTTGCAGATGTACGTATCTGTTTATCCAATACGAATATGCATCAGTTAAGCGTCCGGGAGAAAGAACCAGAGAACAAAAGGGGGGGGGGGGAGAGATGTTGGACGCACCTATATCGCTAGCTTGAGCTCCGCTCATCCTGATGCATGGATAATGAAACCTAGGTACCCGTCAGGAGCAAATCAATTCCCCCATACGATCAGCTTTCCAAACGCAGCCCAATTTGATCTATCTGACCCGCCCCTCATACGAGGTTTCTAGTCGGAATGAGCGAGACCTGCTCGAGAGACGACATACCAATCTTTACAAGCGTCACATTCGATCATCTGCCCCTTTTCCGGTTGACGACAGGTACAGTACAACCTATTCGGATCGTCCTCTTCCTCCTCCTCCTCTCCTTCTACTTCTTCTTGATTGTCCATGTCCACATCCCCATTCTCGTCTGCTTTCTTTCCTCTTGCTCGACCGCGACTAGGCGTCTGCTTTATAGCCTTTCCCTTGCCCTGGCCATTAGCCTTTCCTTTCGGAGTGCTGGTTGAAGATCCGGCTACAGGTACCTCGTCGAGAGGCTGAAGCCTCACCGAGGGTTTGATGGTCCGCTTGCTCTGCCGGGTCGCCATGTTAGCAGACGCTGATGCCTGCTAGATGCTAGATGGTCGAATGGTATGTGATTGGGATGATAGTAGGCATGAACCCCCGTCCGGACTCGGGCTGCGTCAGGTCGATATGTATTCGACCTCTCTATGGGTCTCTTGGTACCAGCTCCACGTTGCTCAGGGGACTGTATCTGTAGAGTGTCCTCGTCAGAACGTCAAGGGTTGGCGAAGGTGAAAGGGTCTGCAAGGTGCAAGTTGCGAATATGACGAATTGGCGCAAAAGGACAAGCAAGTAAAGCGTTGTTCTCTCTTTCACGTCGACGACAATGGGACGACAACAGCAGGATACGAGTATGCGGCCTTCTCAAGCATACCAGGCCTGGCAATATGTGGAGAGTAGAGGGTGGTATGTTACTTGATGATATCGATGATGAACACCACACCATCACCTTGTAGTTGCTAGCTAAACTCGCGCGCTTTTTCTTGGATCACAAAGTCGAAAAAAGTCCGAGAAGCCCGAAGAGCTCAGAGGAACAAGGGTGATCAACCTCGACATCATCGACAGTCCCGACTTCGTCTAGATCTGCCAGATATCATCACTCGATCACTCAATAAAGTATATATAGATCGTACTGGAATCTAGCCCGCAATGTCATTTAAAGCTCCGCTCAAAACCGTACGAAGCGTCGTCGCCGAAGCAGGTAAGCTCGTGGTCTTTTCTAGCTGGCAACCGTTTGTCAAATTAGCTCACACGACAAACGCCAACGCTGTATGTAATCACCTACCAGGCCCATCGACCGCTCGTAGAATCTCTACAACAGCACCAGCATGCGTATCCGCTCAGAGTCGCAAGATTCCCGCTGCCAGGCGAGAGAACGGAGAGGACATGAACCCGCGTGAATGGGCGGAACAGTTGAGGAACGTTAGAGAGTGGAAGAGCAGGCAAGAGTCGATACGTGAGTCACCAAGGTCTCTCTTTCGACGTTTACCTATTATAAATGAGCTGAACGATGTCGTATCCCGTCATATCGACCGACACAGGTGAACAGACGGCCAGCGTGCGACCACCATCTTACTCTAGCCTCGCCGAAAAGATCTCCTCGTCTGGAGACGCATCAACTTCGTCTCCGCATGCCCACCTCCTCTCCCAACTCATGGCCTCCACCGCTCATCTCGGTCATATCCCCTCCTCCCTCTCCCCCGCCTACATCCCTTACATTCATTCGAAACGAGCCAACATCCACCTGATCGACCTGGAACAGACCGTGCCCCTCTTACAACGTGCTAGCGAGTTTGTCAAGCGGACCGTGGAACGGGACGGATCGGTGTTGTTTGTCGGGACGAGGAAGGGACATCGGGGGATGGTCAGGAAGGCTGTGGAGAGGCTCGAGGGGAATGGGTTCGGGGTGGCAGGGGAACGATGGATGCCGGGAACGTTGACGAACAGTTTGTCCTAGTACGTCATGCTTAAACTCGTCGGAACCTACCCTCCCTTCTATACACTCGTGCCTTACACCACCGAATCTCTACTGACCTGCTCATCACTTTCGAAACGCGCCCCGCAGCTTCGGACCCAAACCCATCCGAGCCGGCTCTCATCTCCCGGACATTGTCGTCATCCTCAACCCGTCCGAGAACCTAGCGTTGATCAAGGAATGCAATATCTCCAACATCCCTACCGTCGGGATTGTGGATACGGATACTGACCCGAGGATCGTCACGTACGCGATCCCGGCCAACATGGAGGTGAGTGCGCGGGTGTCGACTTGAAGTCTTTCGCGAGAGATCGGCTCGACGCTGATTTCCTTCTGTTGATACGACACATATGTAGTCGATGAGGACGGCCGATTTGATCGTATCGACCATCTCGTTGGCCGGGCAAGCCGGAAGGGAGAAGCGGTTGAAAAACAGCGCGCCTAGCAGGGGCGGGCGATGAGACGAGCGGGACGTTTGTAATCGAGGGTTAAACTTATGGGCAGACTACACGACGTATGGAATTTTGCCCTTGCTCGGTGGATTTGGGAGCCGATGACGGATTGAAGAGGCATGGAACCGGTTAGGTCACACGGCGCATGTGCCGAAAGGAGGCCTTCAAGCCTTGTGAAGGAAGGAAAGACTTGTCCCGGAAGCATCCACCTTGAATCAATCCAGAAGACCAGATGGCGCTGCCTGGACTGAGGACGATACCTTTGCGGGAAAATGAATTGGTCCGACGACGATACCGGCATCCCGCATGATGCGCATGCTTGGCGACCGGACGGCAATGGCGATGACTCGTACGTGTATCAGGATACGATTTTCGAGCACAGCCGAATGCGTGAAACATCACATGGACATTGAAGGTCGAGTTTCAGCTGAACACATCCCAGAGTCGCCTGAGAAAGCTTTGCGACCAGGTTCTGCTTGCGTTACCCTAAGCCTGAAAGTGATCTCCTTTCATTAGAGCTCGGATCGCGGAAGGCAAGAAATCGACCCATGTGCTTCTCCAACTGAAACAGCAGGTGAGCTTCATACTTCCCTGCTGCTGAACTAGAGGACGCATATTGGTTATGCTGTGCTGAGGTGTCAATCTGGTTTGATGACCGTACGATCGTCAGCCTCTCTCCGACACCTCACCCCCGGTCCGGAGTTTCAGTCCCGCTAGATCTGCCTAAAGGATCGACAAGACTCCTTGAACGTGCGATTGGTGTGGCTCCGAGAATGTCTCCTATCGTCAACCTCAACCTCAGAGCCCCTTGCTCGAAATCAAAGGGCTGTCGATTTTTTCGCCACCAAAGGTCCTTTCGGCGCGCGTTTCAGATGAGGATTTGCGCGCGTCATCCGTTGAAAGGAGCCGTTTCGCTGAATGTGACGATCGGCTTCTCCTTGAATTCATCACGAGGGGTAGCTCCACCGTTGCGCTGATGGAACGGTATATAAGGTCAGAGGTGAGCTGGCACGATAGGTGTTAGAGGTGAGACGTTTGGGGTTACAGACATAACGACAAACCGATTTACTCGACTCCGATCGCTTACAAGTCAAGTAGTAAACAATTAACATGAATCCGCTCTCGCCACTATCCTTCGACGACTTTCTTCGTACCCCAAGGACCGCAGGTGACACTGAGTGTGAGTTTACGATATCCGATCGTCTCCTCGCTCGTCCTCTGATGCCTTTCCCCACTACAAACCTCAGCCGCCTACTCCTTCAGCACTTTGATCGTTCCGCCTACGCCACAAGACATGGTGCTGGTCCGCCCGATGATCTCTCCCGTCTATGGACAATTCAACTCGCCTTCCGCATGGGGATCGCTCATGTCACCCTCTCCTTTGACTACCGGGATAATGACCTCCAACGACAAAGCCTTCCATCAACCGACTCTTTCGGCCCTTCGACCCCGCTCTCCCAGCGTCGAGTCTCGCGCATCCCACCGCCACTCGCCTTATGACCATTCTCGAAAGTCATCAGGAGCATCGACATCTTCCATGCTGCTCGAGCAAAGCGGTGATCCTTTGGGTCGACCGGCAGATGCTGTAAACCCTGCTCAGCTTGGGTCCATTAATCCCGCATTCTTACGACCCGGTGGCGAGAGCGGCCGCGCATCTGATGCCAGCGACCATGGAAGCAACTATGGTTACAACGTCTTTCCACAACTTGAAGACAGCGACGATTCGGACTCGGAGCACGACGAGCCTGCTGTGCCGTCCAAAGGACCCCCTCCTCGCAGGAGCTTGCCGAGCATAACGGCGGTCCAAAACACCTATACCCGGACTTCCACTCCCGCTCGTACCGAAACGGCAAGTAACGTCGAGCGGGAAGAAGGTCCAAGTAGGCTCAGAAGGACAACCAAGCCTAAACGTAGACCCGCTGCGCTCATCGAGGATCCGGCCCCTGTCAAGCTGGTTACCGCAATCACTGCCAGTGGCAAGAAATCACATGCTCGCAAGGTGAGACCGATTGCCGCTTCTTGCTTTTCGCTCGTAAAAGCTGATTGTTTTTCATCCTAACAGAGACCCGAAGACCATATCCCCCGCCCACGAAACGCCTTCATCCTCTTCCGGAAACACGTTGTCGATGCGAAACTCATACCCCCAGAGGTCGAGATCCGGCATCAAAATATCTCTGTCGTGGTCTCAAAGATGTGGGCAGAGGTAAGGAGGCTCGGGATCGGATCCAGAGAGACGTCCCAAGCTTATATTCACACCCGAACAATGCAGGCCGACCCGGAAACCAAGACAAAGTTTCAAGAAGAAGCTCGAATCGAAAAAGAAGCCCACATGCGCAAGTGAGTCGTCTGATGCGCAATCGCTGCCGATATTGAGAGCTCCGGTTGACTGACTGGACACACTGCTCAGCTACCCGGACTACAAGTACCAACCGGTGTACCGCCGAGCCAACGTAGTTCGTCGAAAGATGAAGCCGGACCCGGTCGAGGAAAAAAGATGCACCGTTGTCGCTTCCTTGCTCCTCGAGGGAAAAGAGGGTGCCGAGTTGGAGGCTGGCGCAGCCAAAGCTGTCGAAGCGTCGAATAAGAAGCGTCTCAAAATCCAAAAAGCGCTCGCTGCAAAGTAAGTTATTCTGCAGGGTTACCTTGAGAGGGGTATGCAGTCTGATCAATACCGTTTATAGGGAAGCAAGACAGGTCCGCCAGACCAAGCGTTCGGTGACTAGTCGAAAGAATCGCCGGGCATCTGCGGAATCGCGCAAGCGTCGCAGCGATAGCGAAGAGAGCTCCGGCTCGTACGAAGAGGAGGACGAGGAAGAGGAGATACGCATGGAACAGCCTCACCAGGGCGAACCGAGCCGGCGTCACTTTGTTGAGCAGCCCTGTGGCTCGAATCATCCCGCTCCGCACATGCTATGGGCTGACGGGCCGCAAGAAGAATATCAAGAAGAAACTCCATATGCTGGCATGCAATCCGATAACATGTTCCACTACGAGACGGGCATGGAGACAGCACCCGTTTATCAACATGACATGAACTACCAGGCGCCTCACATCGACCAACCGACATGGGAAGACAGCCTCCCCGCTTTGACTGCTTTGACCGCGCCAAACCAGTACGAGCAGACCTCTACGTACTCGCATACCACATATGGAACGCCCCAATATCACATGCCGATCTCTCAACCGTCCGACTACATCTCGGCCATGTATGACAATGGCGTCCAGCCAATGGGGTTCACAGCGGGCCCCCCTGGAAATTTTGACAACGGCATGCTATTCAATCAAGGCAATGATGGCGTGAACGACCCACTGGACTTCGACATGCGCCACTATAAAGAGGCATTGGCCGACGTGTCAGGGTTTTCGGGCGGCGTTTGGCATTAAGAGACATTGCATCGGGTCGTGGATAGCAGCGCGAGTTGTGAGATGTAACAGGCGACAAATCCGAATATCATTTTTTGGCATATGTCGACAAGTCATAAATTCCAGTACATTTGCGAGTGGTATCGTCACGGTCATGAAAAGATCGCTCGTTACTGGTAATACGTGCGCCTGGCGCGCTCGTCATGAGGCTGGCGCATAGGTCGTCCTCCATTTTGCAAGATGGGTGATCCGACTGGCCCACCTGTCGGTGCGGTCCACTGCGGCCCAGCAGATTTTGCTCGAGCCAAGTCGTCAAAGTCGCTCGTTCCGGAAGCTTGAGAGCCGTATTGTTGACCGTATTGCAGAGCGTCCGCCGGGGAACCTTGCTTATTGCCTCCGGAAAAGAGACCCCGAAGTCCAAATTTACTCTTGGTTTTGTGCGCACGTTGCGGCTCGTCTTTGAAGGACACGCCCGAAGCAAAAGATCGCTGGCCGCTCGAGGGCGTACGTCCATGCGCATTGTAAGGCGCAGGAGGCTGGTTCATGTTGGGAGACATGGTAGTCCCCTGGCCAAAGAATGCGTTGAATGAATCGGGAGACCTCATAGGCGAAGGATAATCTTGTTGCAAGCTATAATCACCCTGCTGAGCGGGGAGTGGCGGGAGGGTCTTCTGATTGTCGCTGGCGGACCTGCTGTAGGGAGATCGCCCGGTTTGTATGGCGGGGACAGATCCCATCATCGGGGTCTCGATTGACGGGGCCAACAGCGTCCCGCTTGAATTGGTCATCGATCCTGGGCCTCCGCGGTCTTGCGAGAAGCGGGCAGGAGGATACTGAGTCGCGTCTTCATTCCAGCCGTTCGAACGATACTCTCGTCCATCCTCCCCTTCCAAGACCTCGACTGTCGCATCCATGCGCCGATCATCGACGCTCTCTGGTCCTGCGCCATTGAAGAGACCAGGTATACTGCTTCTTCGCCTGCCCGTAGAACTGGATGCATAGCTATCCCTCTGATAGCCCGAAGCGTTTCCATTCCCATAGTTGTCTCGGCCATAGGGATATCGCGAACTGGTCGGACTCGTGTTCGGGAGACTGCTTTTCGAGGGCGACTTGACCATCGGGGCTGAAACGGATCTCTGCTGCGATTGGTCATTCGAGTAAGAAGGCCGGCCGCTGGCGATTTGATTGCCTGGTGTCTGCGCCATCGATCCGGATAGGCTACTGTTGGAAGGCGAGCGAGTGTGTTTCGAGCTTCGATCGGATCGCTCCATCAAAATCGAAAGGGAGGGCGGAGGAGGGAGTGGTGTCGAGTAATCGTCTTCAGCTCTGCCAGCACGGTCTCGCTCGGAGCTATCCGAGGAGCGCTTCTTGTTGCCTCCACCCAATTTCTGCAAGAAACCTTTGAATCCCTTCTTCTTCTTCTTTTCAGCAACAACGGGCTCCTGTGCGCGAGGCTCGTCGGCAAAGGAGCCCGAATCCGAGGTCGAAAGGTTGCCCTGTTGTCCCTGTCGTAGGGACGGTGCGTGAGTTTGGAACGATGCCGAAGCTCTGGAGAAAAAGTTGGGCCTCGGAGGCGACGCCATCGAAACCGATCTCGGTTGAGGCAGAGGAGATAAAGCCCTCAACCCGCGACGACGATCCTGGTCAAGGCCAAGGCTGCAAGGACAAAATTCCGGTTAGCGTCAGTAGGACGACTCAAAACAGGGGAGCGGGATCGACGTACTGCATGTCCATCATGCTACCGCTAGCACCTCCTTGACTGCCGCTGAAGAAGCTGGTAACGCTGCCTCCCCACCGCCCGAGTGCACTGCTATTTCGCCGGTCACGACCAGGGCCGGGACTGCTTCTGGCCGAATGTTGCCCGCCATTTCCGGCCCAAACCGCAAAGGAGAATGGTCTGATCGGTGAGTCAGAGATCGACGCTTGATCACCCGAGTCATATCTGCCGCTGGATCGATCGTTGATCGCATCGTCATATGCGTTGGGATCGGGCGACATGCCTTCCAACAATCCAGGAGAAGATATCCCCTTGCCCTTGCGAAGGTCGAGCTGTAAGGGCGGGGCTCTTGAATGGGTCGCGTCCCGGTTGGACGGCAGAGGACCCTCTAGCGCTATCGCCGGGATGGTCTTGCTGCGAGTGTACGCCGAGTTTTGCCCAGAGGGGAAGGCAGGCTCCTCCATCGGCTTCGCGTACATGGTAGCTCTTTGCACAGGGTCAAGATGATGACTATGTTGGGGAAGCCTGCGAGTCGGACCTCCGCGCTGGTAGTCCACGGGCTCTTGCAGCATACCGTGACTCTGGGAAGGGCGAAGGTGAGGCGGCAACATGGCCGGATCCTGAGAACGCATGGCCGGTGCAAGCTGAGCCGGGGGCGAGACCATGCTCTGTCGAGACATTGCCGCGTCCATCTCTGCTCGACGAGCCATTGGGTGTACAAGGCCGACAGAGGCTGCCTGATCGCGAAGATAGACTTGCAAAGTCTTGAAGCGATGTGCTGCGGGAGCGTTCATCTGGTTCAGAAGAAAAAGGTGTAAATCAGCGGCAATCCCTTGGATACGTTTCCTTGAGCAAGGATCTTCTCACCTTGGTTGCCAACTCTCTGAGCCGCTCCTCGAGCAACTCGCCTTCCACATTCCCTCTGAAATGCCTTGGTAGGCCAGTCCCGTTCTCCCCCTCTTCCCAAGAAAAGCCTCGCCATCCTACTTCTCGGTCAACCAGATTGTCCTCCTCGCGCAACAACATGCTCTCCAACCTCGCTCGCGCTTCGCCCTCGCAATCCTCCCTTTTCCTCCGATTCTCTGGATCTCGTCTGAATTGCTGGACGCACATGTCTTCTCGTTCGAGCCTCTCGTGCCAATCGATGTCGGAAGCGCGTTCCCAAACGCCTTCACCCGTAACGTCCACATGCATGAGATCCCTATCCCTCATTAGGCACTCCAAACAGATCTCTTCCTGCGGTGGAGGCACTTTGATCCTGAGCGGCGGACCGTCTTCCCCAGCTCTATATCTCCCGGCCACGATCTTTCCATCACTCATCCGGCGTATCGAGGGGTCGTCCCTGTCCGTGCTCTTCCGAGGTCTGGCATAACTCGGATAAGGCCCTTCGTCTTTGCTTATACCTGGAAACATGGGCAAAGACGGCATCGAGTCCAGGTTGACGCCCGCATTGGCTTGCGTCTGGATAGGGGGCAACGCAGCATACGCTCTCGGCGGGGTCCTCGAATTCGGATTGAAACTCTTCTGTCTGTCCCCATCTTCGCCTCTTGAGCCCATGCTCTGCGAGGGTCCGTGGCTGATTTGCGGCACTTGGGACGTCGACATTGACTGACCCATCAGCGGACGATCCGTCGACGTGATGTCCGGATGCAGCGGCCCAGTTGGCACGGGTGGACTACGTGGGTGTCTATCTGAGCCCGAGGCAACCCGTACAGCAGCCTTTCCACCGAGATGCCCCTCAGCTTGATCGACCGTGGTTATCGCCTGGCCGAGCGCGATATTCCCGTTCGCCTGATCAAAGACCTCTTGGGCGACTCGTCTCTTGTCCTCGCCATCTTGGTCATTCTGATCTTGACCCTGATCTTCTCTTGACGAGCCTAGACCGGGGATCGACCTGGCCGAAGGCGCCGAGGGAAGTCGACGTCGTCTCGGCTCGAGGGAGGTTGGGAAGGAGTGCCTAGGTGCGTCGAGACTAGGTCGACGGGGCTGCGGCGAATTTGTTGCGGCGGGCGGTATAGAAGGAGCCAACCCTTGAGACACAGGTACCTCGGGCACGTCCTGTGATAAGCAGGTTCAAGCGTAAGCATGAGGAGCCTTGGGAGTACAAGTATATATGCGGTTCACGTACCGCCGATTCATGCACGCTATCCAGCTGTCCAACCGTGGACGCCTTCCTACTAGGCACGCCCTCGTTCCCGTCCATCATCATATCCCTACTACCCTGCCGACTCCTCACCTGACCCGCATACGCATCACCATCCTCTCCGTTCCCTCTGGACTCGTTGGGGTCTTGGACTATCGTTCTCCGTCGAGCGATCCTCGACTGACGCAAGAAAGCTTGCGATCCTTCTTCAGACGAGAATCCAGGAGAGTCGATCAGGTAGTCGGTGGTATTCGACGTAGCCAGAGTCCGCGGTGGGAGATTCAGGAAGGCGTCGGGTTCTTCTGCTCCATCTTGATCGAGGCCTCCTTGATCCGTCTGGAGCTGATGGGCAGGACGCACAGTCGCGGTGTCGTTCGAGTTTGTCGCGAGTACAGGACGGAACGGGCTCGAAGACCTTGCCATCCTCGTCACATCATACAGCGAGGGGGAAGGTCGAGCGGTCGCCCCGTCCGGAGAGGTCGCAGAGGCTCCGAGCGGACTACGTGGTGAGACCAAGAGTTGCGAGTTCCCGCCTGCTGCGTCCTGACCCTTACCGTCTTCGCCTTCCTCATCCACGGCCACATCATTCCCAGCCGGTGTCGATGTCCGTACAATCCCGGTCATGTTGTCTTCATCATTCGACGTCGAACTGGGAAAATTGGCAAAATCGTCCATCTTGAGGGAAGAGAAGGATCCGAGGTGCAACGCCGGAAAGGAAAAACCGGCCCGAGGTGGTTCTGACGGTGCGTTGTCGAGGTCGGGTGCGGAAGATAACCGTGGTGGTATAGACGAGGGGGAAGAAGGCGAAAGAGCTGTCGATGACGAGGTCGTCGAGCGTTGAGGAGGAGGTTGTCGTGGGAAGCCATCGGCGTCCAGGTCCATCCCGGCATCCCCGTTTCCTGATCGATACGACCCGTCCGCTCCGTTGATCATCGGACGTCCCGTCTGAGCCGAGCTTACGGTCATCATCTTTACCTACGAGCCACTAGTCGTCGAGTATAGGTTCGTGAATTCGTGGTGGTGATCCGGGGTCAAGCTAGATGAACCGCAGAAATCGCTCGTCTTTTGATCGAACCGACGCGAGAGCACAGCTTCTTTCTGCTTTCCGGAGAGGTTTAGAGAGGAGCGTCGAATCGATCGCTTCGACTGGATTCGCCAGCTTTTCCTACTACTCGACCTGTACGAGTACGCTACCAGCGATTTTGTACAATCCTCGAAGCAAAAATTGTTTCTGAAATACCGGTTGATCGTCCACGTCCAAGTTCCGGGGTTTCGATCGCGGTCCTACGGGATTATCGTCGTACAAGGGTGTCGTCACGGAAAGAGCGTGCTTAAGCAAGTCAATTGATCGTACGTCGTAGTCGTAGCTGAGGTCGTGGTCGATGTGATTGTGAGCTGGGTGGATGTAAGAGCAGCAAGAGGACGGTGTTGATTCAAATACAATGCATGCATGGGAGGTGGAGTTGTGTCGCCGACCTCGCTTGCTCGGCCCGATCGACGCGCCGCGCAACGCAAGTCGCAGCAGAGGGGATGGATGCCTCGGCGCATTCTTGGGGTCGACCAGGATCACACAACAGCAATGAGGGTCTCTAGATCTCTGAAGACGATCATACATGTAGCTTCCTCAGCAAAAGGAACAGATATTGGGTACGCCACATGCTAATTCTGTCCACGCGATCCGGTTCAGGAGAGACCTTTCTGAGATCCCATAAAGTCGTGACATGGAAACAAATTACAAACCACTATCCCGCACACATCGCCAACCTCGTCCCACAAAGTGCGCTACGAGACCCTCGAGCTACGAAATGTCCATAGCCTCGGCAGCAAGAGGCGCCGCCACGGGGGTCGTAGTCTCGCTGACGACGAGACTCCTGACATCCTCCTTCGTCCAAGCGGTGGTACCCCTTCGGAACTTGTACTGTCGAGTCTTTTCGCCTCGCTCGTTGGGCATCTCGTAGTTTCTCAACATCTCCGTCTTGTCCTTTTTGATGATACAGACGTCGACGTTGGAACCGGATCCGAGATCGTTAAACACTCCGGATCGGATCGCACGGGCGACGAGGTCGATGGCTTCTTGGCGCTGCGAGGTGGACGTATGGAAGAATAGATGGTCAGTCTCTCATTCAAGGGATGACGATATATATCGAAGTAACGCCGCGAGGCTCACCGTCATGTGCTCCTTGAAACTGCTCTCAAACACGGCCATTGCCGCCATACTCCCACTCCCCATCGTCACGTACGGCAACTTGTCCGTCGACCCGTGCGCAGCGACGGTGAACAGGTGAGACCCGGTGTTGTCCACCCCGCCGATGACGAGGTAGGCGCCGACGTGCCCCTGGTATTGGAAGAGGTATTGTTTGAGCATGGTCATGGCGGTGACGACCTGGGGCTTGCGGCCGGTGGAGAGGGCGTGTAGCTAGCAGGTCCCAAAGGGGGTAGAAGTGTGGTTAAAGAGTTGGTTGTAGGTGATGTGAGGGGGATGAATCTGGGCTCACCTCGATGTTACTGCTGATCAGGTTGGTAACGAATTCCGTATCGGCGGCAGTACCCGCTCCGCAACACCTGATGTGATCGGCAATGTAGTGGATCTGTCCCGCACGAACCACAAATTTCCATGAACTTCAGGCCTATCATCACATCCAATATGATAGCGAGATAGACTGACCTTTTCACAGTTCTTGTCGGCCACGATGGGTCCACCCGTCGCTCGAGTGTCGGCACCGAGACAGACACCCTCTTCTACCCCCGAATCGCCGCCGCCAAACTTGACTCCCACGATGGTCGTTCCCGTCGAGGTAGCTACAGGATAAACGATATGATTCCAAAGTCGATCAGCTTGCTCGAAGCGGCAGAAGAAAGGTCTGACGGATAGCAGTTCGACATACCTTTGGGAAGACCGCCCATCCTGGCACCTAGGTGTTGGTTCCTCGCATGGTTGCTGAAATCGAATCCGATCCCTGAACCTCCGGTGATTGGGTCTTTGACTGACATGGTGTGAGGATGTAGAGTGTATGTAGCTGTTGTACAAGTGTAGTTGATAGTTGTTGTAGTCTTGCCCTTTCAACACCCACTTGATGTGAAGTGATGGTCGCTTTCGCGGCCTGCCTAGGTGCTAGCTGATGATGAAGCGATACGTAATATGCTGCTAGAGCTGAGACTATTAGATAACCATTCAAGTTGCGCGTCGCCCCCTGATGACCATGACTGCCTTGACCATATTCAAAACAACCCGTTGTTGACAAGTCTGTATCCAAGTGGGAGGACAAGAGTGTCAGCTCGATGATCGCCTCGACATCGATCAGCTCATAGTATCCACATATCCCACAGGTCAGGGCTGCTTGATATGAGCACAAATCCACTCCGGCAACCGCCGTTTTTCCCGGTCGCCAACGTCAACCCGGACGATCCCATCAGGTACAGCGTCTCGTTTCGCACATTCTCTCTTCGTGATCACACTTGCAAACGCTCACCACAACCTCGCTATCATATATACGTCTATAGTGTCCAAATCGAACAGATTGAGCAGCTGAACACGCTTCTCCTACAAGATATCGACCACAATTTCGCCAGGTTCCACGATGTGGTCAACAACAAGATCTTGCCCCAGGTGAAACGGTATGGGATCGTCAGCGAGCCTACGAGGGCGGCTTCCGAGGTCAGTCACAAACGATATTCCGTGAATATTATCTTGTTGTTGATCATGACTCGGCCTATACTATTACGATATACAGTTCTGGAAAACGTTCTTCTACTCGGCAGCTTTCGGTCAGACGGCGCTCGAACCCCGACACCCTGACGACGCCGATACCTCTCACGCACACGGAGGTCCTGGGTATCGTCACGAAGAGTACGAGCAGACGTTGACGCTGGATCATACAGGGATGGGGGATCGCACGGCGGAAGAAGATCGGGGCAACGAGGAGGACTTGTCCGGGTTGATGACCCCTGACGAACATTCGTTCTTGTACGGGAACCCTATCGCCTCGACACCGTTACCGAGACATCACTTGCAACATCTCGAAGGACACCCTGAGCAGTTATCTCACGGCCAAGGACAAGGGAATACGCACGGACGAAGTGCACACGCGCATATGAATCAACCCTGGGCGGAGGGGATGAGCAGTATGGAAAGCCCGACGCCGTATGCGAGCCTGGAGAGGAAGATGAAAGAGGTCTTGGAGGATGACGATGGGATGAGCAGTACGGCCGGGTCGTTCTTGCCCGAGGAGATCGGATTGGATACTCCGAAACCCAGCGGTTCAGCTTCGGGCTCGAGGTCGGGTGGGTACGAACCGTATCAGACGCCAGAAGGGTTGGATGAAGAACCCTCAGTCTTGATAAGTCGGTCGGATCAGTCGAGCTCGTACCACCCTCCCGGTGAACCCAGCTCGGCACACAAAGCTTCGGCGAGCAGGGACTTGCCAGACCTGCCCCGGTTCAAACCGAAAATGCCATCGCACTTCCAGTCCCCCAAAGCGCACATGAACCCGTTCTCGCCCGTCAAGCCTGGGAACAAGTCGGGCACGGCGGCGTGGGATGGAATTGCGGATTTGAGGAACACGCCGTTGAACCCCAAGATCAGGCCGTTGTCTTTCAACCACAACAGCAATGGCAATGGCAACGGTGCCAACAAGAATCAGACCAAAAACGATCGCACGCCCAGAAGAGCCCCAACGGCCCAACAAGCAGGAGGAGACGATTCGTTCGCCTCGGACTCGGACGAAGAGCCGCAGTTCGGGCTCGCTCATGGAGGTACACCGCCGGTGACGATGAATTTCGGCTTGCCAGATCGGACGATCGTCAGCAAGACCCCTGCCAAAGAGGCCGCCAAGGCTGTGATCAGGAACTTGATGATGGATGACGAGGGGATGGATAGTCCGGGGATGCCGACGCCGCCAGCGTTTTCCAGGTTCGGAGGAGGTGGTGGACCCGGTGGTGGACCCGGTGGTGGACCCGGGTCGTCCTCGATGTCCATGTCGTCCTCGGCTGGGAAGGGGTTCTCGATGTCCCCCTCGAGAAATGCGGGTGTGCGGGGCAAAGGAGGTTTGTTCTCCCGCGACCAGAGGGGGGATGAGACGATTAGGGACACGATGGGGAGGATGGAACTGGACGATTCTCCCTTGATGAACATGACCGAGCCTCTTCCTCCATCAGACCTGGATCAAGGCCAGGATCCGGACGTCTCGACGGTCGGGATGCCGAAACATCGGCGGTCGACGGTCCCGCAATTGGACTTTTTGGATGAATCGTTTGATGATTCGTTGGATGAGATGCCTCCTCCGGCGCTTCCTCAGGGGTACGTCACGGAGAGTTACGGCGATGCTCATCAAGGGCAACATCCTCAGCACGGAAGGGATGTCGGGCAGGATTCGCTGGCGGGCGAGATGGAGGAGGAAGAAGGGGCAGTGGGCGAGTTTACGATCACCGAACAGCAGCAGACACGAGGGGGTGGACAAGATGGGACGACGAGATCAGAGGCGGGAGAGGTCTTTGGTGGCCCTGGGAGGACAGGTTTGGGAGCTGGAGGGTTCGCCCTGTTCGGGCCGGACGAGATGCAGACGTTTCACGGAGGGGTGAGTCGCGCTAGGGGCTCTCGGTACTACCCGGGAATTTCGAATTGTGGTTGCTGACCCTTGTTCTTGTTAATACAGCAACTGTTGGACGCCGCGGCCAGTCCACAAGATTCGCCGAGCTATGCTTTGGGAGCCAAGATGGCACACAAGCGGGGTTGAGCGGGGCTGTCAGGATTGGCTCCCAAAGTCCTTCTCTCCTCCTCTTCATACTATATTCGATTTCTGCCCATTTATTAGTAGCTTATCTATGTCGCTGGATCTGTCGGAAGAGACTACCTCAGTCGTGTAGATGCATGGTTACATGGATACCCCATGCATGTCACATCCTCGTGTGTGTTGTTCGCGTTTTGGTTCCATTTGCTTCCGTGAGGGAGAGGGGGAACGGCAGCGATCACCAGCAGGCAAGCAGAATGATATGGTGGTTATCTCTATATAACCTTGCATCTGATACATGGTGACTTGTTCCAAGATCCTGCAGATACAGACCGTACCAGACCACACAGGAAAATCGACATATAGCGTCAATATGCAGAGGTACGCCTGGCACCTCACAAGCTGTCACTGGCATCGCCGGACTCCAGCTCATTCCGTTCCTTTCAACCTTGTTCATTCACAGCTGGAAGAACATTCAAGCCTCCCTCACGGCGTCCGTAGCCTCGGTCGACCTCTCGGGAATCAATAAGAACCTCAAGAATACCGTACAGAGCACTCGGGAGAGGTTCGGTCAGGTCGACCCTAACGATGTGACCGAGTGAGTCGCGTTTCCGAGGGAGGTCGAGGAGGGTGTTTTGATGCAGTGCAAGCGGACATAGCGGTTGGTGGGGAGTGGGAAACTCTACTGACGTGCTTTCTTGATTGTATACTGTCTATGGTGGTCTGTTCAGACTCCCTGCCGAGTACAAGGCTCTCGAGGCTCGAGTGGACGCTCTTAACGACTTGCACAAGGGAATGCTCAAGTGAGTTTCGGCATTCCATCCGGGATGAACTATTTGATGCTCATTTTCGTCTCGTTCCCTGTCAGGATCACCAAGGTCCACGAGACCGAGTCTGTGAGTCGCAACTGAGCTGTGCTTTTTGGTCGGATGGGACGCTGATTACGAAATTGCGGCTGGCCATAGTACGACTACCCCACCCAGATCACCGAATCCATGTCCGAGCTCGGACAGACTGTCTCTCAAGGATGGTCTTCTTTCGCTCACAACAACCTCAAGGTCGGTCTCTTTTCCCGTAGTCTATCCCCTCTTCGCACTATCGCTTATCAAACTCCAACCTAACGCTGACTCTACCTTTGTTCGACCGCGCACAGAATGTCAAGTTGCCCGTCAACGTCCCCATGCCCGCTGAACCCGGTTCGACCCCTCCCGCTCCTCCCAAGACCTTGCCTCACGCTTTGAGCAGGGCCGCTAAAGCTGGAGCGCTCAATGTCGGATTGGAGGACCGGTTGGGAAAGACCTTGAACACTTACTCTGAGGCTATGGAGAAGGCGAGTCTGGTTTTCGTGCCAGAGTCGTGCATTTGCCGTGCATAGGCTGATTCTGGTTGTTTATGGGATGATACAGGTCGGTGACGCTCGTCTGCAGCAAGACCACGTGATCGTCGGCACGTTCTTGACTCCCTGGCAAGCCACCTTGTCGTCCTCGATCGCGCTCGCCATGAAGGCCAGGGCGAACGTCAAGACGGCGAGGCTGGAATTGGACGCCGCTCGGTCTGCGTGAGTCTTACACGTCAATTATGAGGATAATCTGTATTCTGACCGGAACTCTGTCAAATGACTCGCAGCATGAAGTCGGCTGCCGCCCCCAAGCAGGAACAATACCGACTCCAAGTGGAGGAGGCTGAGGACAAGTTGGTTCAGATGACCGAGACCGCCATCGGGCTCATGAAGGCTGTTCTAGAGAACGTGAGTCGGGGCGATGTCGATCCTGCACATCTCACAGTGAGCTGACCAGGACCGTGTTTCCCCATGTATATCAGCCCGAACCTTTGCAAAACTTGTCAAACCTCGTCAACGCCCAGCTCATCTTCTTCAGCACGGCCGCCGAGACCCTCTCGGTACGTCCCGACTTATTCATCTCCTGATTTTAGCCGAAATAGACGCTGACCTGTTTGATGACGTGTTAACCTTCGTCTTCATGTAGAGCGTACAAGGCGATATTGCAGATGCCGCCGCCGCCGCAGAGGCCGAATACAGGCAAACTCGGGCCGCTTGATGCGTTTCATCGGCCTTGTGAAGGTGACAGTTTCTTGTTTAGATTTCGCCGGCGATGTTCCACCGCTTGGCTGTTCGTATTTTGTTTTTCGTGCGAGGGGTCTCGGTATACAATTGTTTGTTATTGCGGTCATCTACGCTTCGAAGCGTTACCAAAACTCTGTGGAGACACCAGGACACGGCTGTGGCTTCAACAAAGCGAGTCGATCGATTTCATTGCGTGTCAACAGTGGCTCGAGCCGCCAACCTTTGTATGCAAAGCCTACCCCGCTTCTTCGGTATCCTTATAACCGACAAGGAGAGGGTATGGGCGGTGATCGAATCTCTGTCTGTTTGGACAGATGATATTCTTTTGAAGGATTTACCACCCCTCAAGAAGGATACCGCCAGGGAGGCTGATGACATCCTTTTGAAGAGCGACCTCCGCTCAAGAAGAATATCTTATTCTTAAAGGTCTTAAAAAAAGTGGAAATTTCAAAGGAGAAGCAGGACAAATAGCCTCTGCCTTGACCAGTTACGACAAGGCAGGCGCAATCGCCAGCCAATTGATTCAGGCTCATTCCTATACCCTGATGTCAAGACTGGCAAGGGCAGACGAAGATGGCTATCCGCCAAGCTTGCGCTGAACCGTCTTGCTCGATCGAGCATGTTTCACGGGATTCGGAACGGCGTAACACGATCGTCATATGGTCGATACCATCGGACCGAAAATGAAGACTGCATACAAAAGATTAATCGGAAAACCCATCTATTGATCGTCAAAGGGTCGTTACGACCCCCGCGGCACCCTTCTTCCTTCCATCCCGTTTCCATCTCCCGAATATGCCAAGCTACGCCATCCGAGCGTGAACTGTCTTCAATGCTTTCCGTTCGTCGTAGTCCATACCACCCGTCAGGTGAATGACGGAACGTGGAGCTTAGCCCATTCCCATCGTAATCGTCGTCTGCAGGAGATGAGGCCTATTCTGGTCGCTCTCTCTTCCACGGAACTTCCGCTCCCAACTTCGACGACCCGCACGTCGTATAGTCCACCGAGTCCCGCTTGCCCATCCCTTCTGTTCCTTCATCCTCCAGACCCCCCATCCGTGCCCCGACCATACCGTAAATCCTCCTACCCCGATTCATTCAAACACCTCGTTCAGACGACGAGCGCCAAGAACGCACATACGGCCGCCCCGACGTCCGTCCATATCCTAATCCTATTCACGTTCAACCACCTCTGCAAGTCCCGCTTGACCTCGTCCTCCTTGACCTCCTTGTCGAGCCCTTTGTCCCCTTTCGACCGACGCTGGCTGGGTTTACTGGCCGAGAGGACGTGTGGCAGGATAAAGAGGCCGAAGGGAAACAGGTGGAGGATCCCGAAGATTGAAGTGAGGAGGTAGAGCGATCGACGGAGAGGGAGATTAGGAGCCGAGGTCGAGTGGATCGATTGTAAAGGGTGCGAGTGCGACAGGTTTCCGTGTCCATTTCCGTAGCTCCCCTCGAGAGCGTCCCTGAACCACCTAGTCCCCCTCATCTCCGGCCTCTCCGGATCCAGAGCGAGGTACAAGAACCCGCTCGACCCGATACTGAGGAAGATGTTGGTCAAGAACGTCCACGCTCCGTTCGTATACGCTCGCCTAAAGATCTCGCTCAGCGTCTTGCCGGCGATCGGACCTTGGAGTCGAGGGAGGGGTTCGAGGTGACAGATCCATTCGGTAGAGATCGCTAGGACTGACGAGGAGAAGGTGAGCGGGAGAAGAGGGAGAGCTCTGGAAGCGAGGATGGGCAGTGCCGGGAGAGCTCGTCGAACGTCGAAAAGGGCGTCGAGGGGGAAGATCATGGTCGTGAGGAGGTCTATGCTGGTCGTGACGTTCTAGCAGAGGAGTTGGATGAGGCGTATGCCGGAGCCTCGACTATGCGTCCTCCCTATATCTGTATCTGTATCTACCCTTGAAATGTCAACATCTGAAAGGGAAAGGTCGATCGAGTTGTCCCAGGACCAGATCACCAGAATATACACACGATCACGATCGATCCCTTTGATGCCTTGGCCCCTGGTTCACTGGAATCCGACTCTGAACTAGTAGCGCCTCCGGTTACGTAACTCCCGATGACCGAGTGACGTGAGCATATACACCCACATCGTCAACACATGTTAATCTAGTACATGGGAAACGTAGGATCGACCTGGTCACTCCAAGCACGTACGCCACCCACGACATCTTTGACTCGACACCTCTCAACCGCCTTCCCTGCCTCACTCTCGCTCTCGCTCAAAGCCGCCCTGAGCGCCTCGGCCGAGATCAAGCTGTCGTTCCCTCTCCGACACATGAAATAGACTTCGGAAGGTAGGTGTGCGGTCTGGCTGATAGATCTCAGTCGGCCGATCGGGTCCGAGAGAAAAGCCTTCATCGGGATATCTAGAAGAATCGACGATTAGTCTCAACGGTCAGAAAATTTCTATCGCGAGCGATGTAGTTGATCAAGATGAGATATCGCACTCACTTGTAGACCCCGGTAATGCACACAAGCCATACTCGAGCTCCGCCCGGACGTCGACCAATACCTTCTTCCCGTCACCTTCTTCACTTCTCCCTGACCTTTCCGGCGAGACGGGATCGAGCGAAGTAACATATCCACCCGGTATCCGTCCATCATAAAACCCGTCTTTCAGACCTTGCACCGAGATCCTCTCCACGCTCGCCTGCGTGGTCGTCCTTTTCCCCATCACATCCACCTTGTCCTCGCCCTCGCCCGCGTACTGATCGTACGTCTTGCGCACCCCACAAAACTCGTCATACCCCACCGCCTCAAGATCATCCCCTACGACCACCCCCGGCCCCTCCCCACAGGCCTTACACTTGCCCGAAGGTCCCCTGACCCGGATAGACCTGAACGGCGTGCTCGTGCTCGCTGGGTCCGCAGTAAGCGCGGGGGACATGGAGATCAGGTTCAACCTTGGCAGAGGGTCGTCGACGCCCAAGACGACCTTGATGGCTTCGGCTGCCATTTGGACGCCGACGACGCCGACGATGGGGCCGTAGACGCCTTCTTCTTCGCAAGTGCCTGAGCGGTCGTTACCTGAAGTGTTGGCGAGAGGTTGGGGGAAGAGGCAGCGGTAACACGGTCGACGGGTTCGAGGGGTGGGTGTCGGTGGTGGTGACATTTGATCGCTCGAGCCGGTTGGTAGCGAGGGTGCTGGCCAAGTCGCTCGACCAATCCCCTTGTGATCACCATCTTCCCTCCGAGACTCGGCTGCAGGAATAGGTAATCCACCCTGATGGTACCCTCCCAAGACGCACCACTGCCCAGCCCATTCGATAGCTGCTCCGCTGATGAGCGGTACGTCCAACCTCACACAAGCGTCGTTGACCAAGTATCGAGTCTGGGGGCGGTCGGTACAGTCCAGCACGAGGTTGTAAGGCGCCAAGAGGGAGAGGGCGGTCGAAGGGAGTAGGGGGCAGGTATGCGTGATGATGGTGATGTGCGGGTTGAGGCTGTAGTATAGCGTAGGAACACAGCCGGGAGGCCGGGCATTCTCAGTATACGTTCTCACCAAAGACGTTCCAAGGAAACCATGAGGGCTCACCTCGTCAACGCCGCCTTTGCAGACTCTGCTTTGTACTCGCCCACCCGGGCCGTGGTATGCAAGACCTGTCGGTGCAAGTTTGACGCTTCGACGGTATCAAAGTCGAATATCCCTATCGTTCCTGCTCAATACCAAAGGTAGATCACGCCCAATGAGAAACAGCATGAGCTCGAGCTGTGTTTCCTGTACGTCTTTGAAAGCGGAGGGACGGACCTACACCGGCTCCGGCGAGGTATTGCAGCGCTGGACAACCCAGTCCACCGGCCCCTATCACGGCGACTTTGGCGTTCTTCAACTTGAGCTGGCCTGCGTTTATAGCAAAGCATAAGATATAGTACTAAAAGTCAGCTTGAGATGCTCGATAGGTAATTTGTGGGACTTTTGGCTTGCCTGGCAGACCGAAACCGCGGAGGATCATCTGACGGCCGTATCGCCTGTATTCTTCTAGCGTGAGGGAAGTGTGTTCTTGCATGGTTTGACCGGTACTCTTTTCCTCGGATACGGGTCCAGCAGTGTGGAGGAGTTCGATCACAGCAGCGATACGATTGAGAGAGGATGATGACAGAGGTACAAGAGTTGATGAATATGAATGAACGATGCGACTTGCAACTTTTGAATCTTTCGACCAGGGTCAACGGCATCAGCCGAAGGCGAAGGGATCAGCTGTGTGCCTGCAAAGTTCGATTCTGGGAGCTGGAAATCACCTTTTCTCCCGATTTGCGCTGAGCTTTGTCACGTTCATTGACTCTCCCTCTCTGTGTGCCCGCGTGCCGAGGAGGCTGCCGCAACCTTTCACTCGTTCTCACTCACTCTAGGCTGGCTGATCAACACGAACTCGCAACTTGCAACTTGTAACCCTGTGCAAAATATCAACCGTACCATCCAGCGACTTAGGAACCACTACCAGCTTCATAGCCTCAACTGATGGCCCTCTTCAAACGGAACAAGGACAAGGGCAAGAGGCTCGCGGACGGGAGCGGCGATGAGAGACCGGTCGATAAGCCAAAGAGGAAGCGTCCTGCCAGTGCGTATCCTGTGCCTCTTCCCCATCCCATTCCCTGTCTCTACATATCTCGATGGAATTTGTTGCTGATACATGTATGCTGATCCGAAATCGGTGAACCGTAGACACCGCGTTCAAGCAGCAACGTCTCAAGGCCTGGCAACCCATCTTGACGCCCAAGAGCGTCCTCCCCACGCTCTTTGCCATCGGCTTGCTCTTTGCGCCGATCGGAGCCGTGCTCATCTGGGGTAGCAATACCGTGAGCTCGATGGCCGCCTTCCTCTGTTGTCCTGAACCTGACACTGAACTCGGGTGCTGTGGACGTGTCATGATCCGGGTTTTAGGTCACCTCGATCACTCTGAATTATACCGACTGTGATACCTCGGCCCCGACCGATGGGACCTTCGAAGCAATGTCCGGGAACCGATACGACTGTACGTCTACAATCCCTCCCTCCAAACTCCCTACATTTTTACATATTCTCCCATCGCGGATCCCGCTCTTATACTATGCTAACCGGGAATCCTCCACCTCCCTCCCATCTCATTCTCCCTTCCTTTCTCCGTACCGGAAAAACGAAACACGCAGACAACCTGGCATCCGGACACTCTGGGGCAAGCTATACCGCCCCGACCTGGTCGTTCACCAACGATTCGTCCCGAGCTATCGGAGAGAGGGCGCAGTGCGTCGTCAGGTTTCAGGTCCCTTATGATCTCGGTGAGTGCTTAGAAAAGGACGGGACAGCCGGGACGTGGAAATGGAGGCTGAGGTTGTTTTTGGTTTGTTACTGGGACTGGGATGGGTAGATCCGTCCGTCTTCCTATACTACAAGTTGACCAACTAGTAAGTCTATAGAATTTATGACGAGAAGACCTTGAGCTGATAGGACGTCTTCGTTGTGGTCGCGTCTTGATAGCTATCAGAACCATCGACGATATGTGCTCAGTCTTGACAAGGACCAGCTGATAGGACACGATCGAACGCCGTAAGCACTATCCAAGCTCAGACCAGCTCCTTCAAAGGGCCGGTAGACTACCAGGGGGGATTCGTACTGAATCGATATGATCCTTGTTTACCTATACAGCAACCAGATTGACGACGGGCAGTGCACACCGATCACCCTCAGGGACGGCGTGCCCATCTACCCCTGTGGTCTGATCGCCAACAGTGTCTTCAACGGTGAGGCTCGGATGCCATGCGGGGGTTGTTAGTGACCCGATTGACTGACCGAGATCGGACCCCTTTCGTCGCGCTAGACACGTTTACCAATCTGCAACTGCTCAACCCGGAGGGCGGATCCGGCGCTCAGGCTTACCCCCTTTCCGAACGAAACATCGCGTGGGACGGCGAGTCCAAGCACTATACCAACAACCCTCCCGGAGTCCCCTCGGATTATGCCGTCCCTCCCAACTGGTTGGAGAGGTACCCGAACGGCTACGAATCGTTCCCTCCCTTGGCGGACGATGAGCATTTCCAGGTCTGGATGAGGACTTCGGCTTTGCCTACGTTTAGCAAGTTGTGGGGGAGGAACGATGACGATGTGATGAACAGCGGGACGTACGAGATGACTATCAACATGAGTGAGTATAGCCACATCGAACGATTACGCACTCACACGACCATGGCTGACTGTTCATGCTATTGGGGCCTATAGACTACCCCGTCCGACAGTTCTCGGGTACCAAGTCGGTCGTCTTCTCCACCGTCTCGTGGATGGGCGGCAAGAACCCCTTCTTGGGCTGGGCTTATGTGGCGACTGCCATCTTGTTCGTCGTCCTGGCCGTCGCGGGGACCGCGAAACATCTCTTGCAGCCGAGGAGGATGGGGGACATGTCGAGTGAGTCGCCGGAGTGTTTGCGTGGCGGAAGTTCGGATCGATCGACGGAGACTGACCCTGCGAGAATTGCGCTTCCGATAGTGTTGTCCTGGAACCAGAACAAGTAGAATGTACCAGGTTGTTGCTCTTATCCTATAGACCGGGCGCTTCGTTTGTTCGGCTCACCCTGACCTTGGTACCCGCTCTTGCCCTTGCCCCCTCTTCGTTCGTCTCGGGTCATAAAGATCTTTCGATGTGATCGTGGACGATGTTGTACAATAATTACATTCGAATGTTTATGCGATGATCTACAATAATGACACTGCGAATCCGAGAGATTATAGGCTATCAGCTCTACAAGAACAGCTACATCTTCTTGCGTCTACCAATCTTCCCGCTTGCATCCTTTGGACTGTCGCTCCTCGACGATATCTTCGTTCGTTCCATCTTCGCACTGTTCTCAAGGTCATTTTGTGGACTATCTGGCTACCAGACTTTGAGTCGAGAACAGGCACATTTCCAACCTAGAGTCTCGTTTTGAGGGTCCTTTGATCGAACCTTGCTGCTCATTCAGCGATCCCGGGCCAAACCTTTGGATGTGCTTCTGTCTGGTCTTCCACCTGGCGTCATTTGTCGTACAGTGCCAAGAAACGTGATACGTGATACTAACATACTTCATTGGTCGTGCTCATGGGGTCCACGGAGTGTAGAGTCACCATTTGAAGGTCATATTGCCAGGATCCCGCACGACCGGCCGCTGAGCTGGCTTGGCCATCATCGACGCCCGACTTGGGGTCCTTGATCGGGGTTGAACTTCGATACCTCCATACATAGAACTATTGTAGGGTGTTGAAGATATGGACAGCTTAGGTCGGTTGGTTCAGTGGTTTCAGTTAAGTGCGAAGAGCTTGCTCGCGTCTTTCCTCACTGGCAAGTGGCGTGTCCCAGCCGAGAGTTCGATTCCCAACTTCCCCGTTGTCTGGATTATTGCCGTCCGGATTCGTGCAAGGCAAAAATCCACCGGCCACCAGCGGGGAAGTGCCACCACCTAAGCCCTTTTTTTTTCGCTTACGCATTGTCAACTAAACATCGATGTAATGTGCTTGGTGTATGTTTGCTGATGCCCGTCACTTCGAGCACCCCAGTAGCAAGTCGCTCATGTGAGCAGGCTTATAGCTCTCGGCCGTTCGCAACTTTTCGACTCTGTTAAGCAATGTGACAGGAATGGTATCGCTACATCTCGTTCATGCCTACAAACACGACGTAGTGGTTGTCGAGCAAAGCGCAACATGACTCGATGACCGATTCGTTCATGCTAGCTAGGATGAGCACTCGCCATAGAGACATTCAAAGATGAAATTCGACGGCGCGGGATGATTCGCGAGTCGCTGCAAGGACGACTCGACGGCTCCACCCTTCGCCCGTACAATCTGACACCATTCAACAGGCAACAGGCAACAGGCAACAGGCCACTTCACGCCCATCATATTTCTTGCTCTGGGCTCATTCTCGACCGAGCTCGGCGATCGCAATCCGCCACCACGAGGGAAGCACGAGGGCGAGCTGAAAATGACGTAAGCTCGCAATTCAATCTCGATCCTCGATCGTCGCCCTCCCCTTTGCCATCATCAAATGCAACGATTGACGTCGACCTGCTTGAATTGATCAATCACCCTTTTTATTCAACCTGCAACCTGACCTACCAATCAGGTCGATACCCCTATACCACTCCGATATCTCGAAACATACCCACACATAATACCGAGGATGAACTCTCAGATCTTGGACAAGCTGTCCATGACGGGACTCGGCGTATGGTCGACGCTCGGCTTGCTCTGGCTATCATGGGTGGTTTACAAGTTCATCAAGGCGTACCAAAGGGCTGTAGTGAGTCAGAACTGTCGAATTGCTCTATGTCTCCAACACAAGCTGAATGGCTGCTGAGGCTCGGTCCTGTAGTCCATCCGCCACCACCCAGGCTACCGAGGCCTCTTTTCGCTGACGACCATCGTCGGCCGTCTCCTTCCCCGTGATATCCCCTACGTCAACGAATCCCTCAACTTCGCCTGGCGTACCCACAGGAAAGCTTATAACAAGCAACGCACCTCAATTCTCTCGGACATTTCCCTGACGGGGAACAGCAGCTACTTTTTCTGTTCGACGCCGAGTGCGGTGAGGCAGTTGAACATGGATAGGAAGATGTTTAGGAAACCGGTCGAGGTCTACAAGATCTTGAAGTATTTCGGGAGCAACGTTTTGGTCACCGAGGGGGACGAGTGGAGGCGGCACAGGAAGGTGGGTCCAGAGTTTCGATCAGGTCATGTCGTCTTGCTTCGTAAGGCTGATCTTGTATCGATACCCAGATCGTGGCTCCGGGGTTCAGTGATGCAGTGTTCGAACACGTTTGGCGGACGACGGTTGAGATCTACTTTGAGATGGCTCGATCGGAAAAGTGGGACCGGCTCGACGTGGGCGGGGTAAGCGAGGTACCGAATGTACCTGAGTTGATGTCCAAGGTGAGCATCAGGACGGGTTTGATGCGATTTTCTTTGGGTTTCGAGGCTGATCCTTGAGTTATTTTATGGATTTCAGATGGCTCTTACTGTTTTAGGCAAGCGGGAGCTGATTGTAATGTATACAACTACGGTCAGACTGATTCAATCTATACACAATACAGCCACCGCCTCGTTTGGAGCACCCTTGAGCTGGTCTCCCGATACCAAAGCAGCGCTTCCCGAGGGTCACGACATGTCCTTTGTCGAGGCCATCACCGGGGTCAGCGAGAACATGTTCTTGACGATCGCCGTGCCGGACATCTTGCTTTTCAACCTGCCCTTCAAGAAGTAAGTCGAGGACTCGCTTCGATCCGAAACTCGCTGTACTCAACCTTTCTTTTTCCGTGATTGCAGATTGAGATACGTCTCCACAGCCGTCAAAGAGCTTAAATCGTACATGTACGGGATGATTAGAGATCGGAAACAGGAAATCAAGAGCGGCGAGACGAGTAGTACCGTCAGGCGGGACCTGTTCAACCAGCTCATCACGGCGAGTCTGGAGGAGGAGTCGGCCATGGAGAAGACCCCTGGATCTCAAGGCTTGACGGACGAGGAGTTGGTCGGGTCAGTAAAGGTTCTCATGCTGGTTGAACGACTTTATGAGGTATTGACGATTGTGTTATCTTGACAACTGTAGAAACACCTTCATCTTCGCCCTTGCTGGGCACGAGACCTCGGCCCATACGCTGGCTTTCACTTTCGGCTACTTGGCAACCAACCCGGATGTGCAGGAATGGTTATTCGAGGAGCTGAACCAAGTCATGCCTGACGGTCATCTTCCAGTAAGCCTTCGATGACGTATTAGTGCTCAGAGTCAACGCAAAGCTGATGTTTTGACTTTTCCCGCAGTCCTACAAAGATTTCGCCCGTCTACCTCGAACCCTCGCCGTCTTGTACGAGACTCTTCGACTGCACCCGTCCGTCAACATCATCCCCAAGTATGCCACGGAGGACACTACGCTGCTGGACGACCCGGACAGCTGGTTCGAGGGGGATGACCAGCAAAAGTCGCAGAGCGCCGAAGAGATGGAAAAGGAGGAGAAGCGAAGGGTATTTGTGCCTGCGGGAACGCAGTGTCAGATTGATGTTGTAAACCTTCGTGAGTTGTTGAACAGTCATTCGAATCAGTCCGGAATGAGAGCTGATTGTATAACTTGTTTGGTATGGCCTCTAGATCGTCATCGTGAGTCGTGTGATGCCCCTTGAGATACGCATCATTCGCTGAGGCTGACACGAGTGTTGTTATTCCACAGCCGTATACTGGCCGAACCCGGACGCTTTCAAGCCCGAGCGATTCCTCGGGGATTACGAAAAGGACGCTTTTGTACCTTTCTCGGCCGGAGCCAGAGGTATGTTGCCTGAACTGCATTATCCGGCGCGCAATGGTTGACGTGAATTTCTGTGCTGTGTCGTAGGTTGCATCGGGAGGCGTTTCGCTGAGGGTGAGTCTACCGAGAAATTGGATCGCCCCGGCACTCGATGATGGTTACTGACCATGTTCTGTGGTACAAACAGTCGAGAGTGTCGCTTTCATCGCCATGATCGTTCGTCATTTCCGCCTGACCCCCGCAAAGAGGACCACACCTGCTGGAGAGACGACCGAACAGACGGCAGAGAGGCTGCTTCGTGCCAAGGGTGGACTCACGTTGACGCCCGTCAAGGTGGAGCTGGACTTTACCAGGCGGGACGGAGAAGGTGTAGCGCGACCAGAATTTGATTGAAAGCAGGACTGCCAGGATGATGCTAGGTGCAATGCTATTGCTACTGTATGATTCAAATGTATCGATCATAGTAAACACTACCATTCTCCTATCTGGGTCATTGTTACTATAGATGAACAATGTCGAGTTCTGCACGAAAGGCAAGGAGCAATCGGACTGCGGAATTCACAACCATGTCAGTCACAGCGCTGGCATATTGTTGACACATTCTAAATAAAGGGATGAAACCTGGACTCACAGCACTCTGGTCATGCTCGTCAAGATATGTCAGAGACAAGGTCATCTCACCTTCATCTTGAGGATAGAGGAGTTGCTGCAGCAGTTGACTTTCGATGGTCCCAGAGTTGGACAACAACACTTGCAGTAGCTAGAGAGGCAAGCACACGAATGAATCACATTGAGGTCTACCCATACGTTACCTCATTCCTGCGTCCTGTCAGCCTGCCCAGGGATACCGCATTGGGGACCGCTTCCGATTGCTTTCAATTTCATGCGGGACGGCGATCACTTTGCTTTATTTTGCGCTTGGACGGGACAAAGCGCCTTGCAGATCGCTGACAAAGTGTTCCGTATGCGAACCTCACTGTACAGGGATCTGGGGCCTTAACAACTGCACGAATTGAGGGAATCATGCGAGGTTCAACAAAGCGGTCACTGGTATCAGTTGGCTGATGCCACGATCTTGAACAGAAGGTCAACCACTCCCACTGGATGCCTTGATTACCTTCATTTGGTCAGATTGTACGAGAGGCTCTTCAAATATCCCTTTAGTTACTAGTCCTTTGATTGTTATCGTCTAGCGTCTATACTACTGAATGCGGAGGGCTTTGACCACATTCCTTGCGATCCTCTCGATAAAACTATTTCTTTTGGATGTAAAACTCGCTTTACTTTCATCTTGGAAGCGGCTTGTGAGAGGAAGGGGAAACGAAGCTTCTGGAAGTCGTTAGATGATGAGCAGAACGCAGGCTGACCCTTGCAACAGAGGTCGAAGGCGTCGCCGCTGTTTCGGCCGACGATGACGGACCGACTGATTTCGGTAGGATGGGATTGGCAAGGCCAAAGACGATCGCTCAATCATCAATTGATACCCGCCCTCGTCCCATTCATCAACTCTCGCAAAAGCGTATACCTAGATGCGTGTTGGCCGTGGTCCCTCACGTTGACAAACGCAAGACATCCGTGGATCTCAATCCGGGCACTGCCACGTCGTTGGATACTCGGCGGGCTGCAGGGTTGCTTTTCAGCAGACACGTTCGCCAAAACAAGATTCATGTCCGATACTCCTGAGTCAGCCGTAACCTTATACAAGACACATGCTGGCATGTGTATCAAAGCGTCATACCCTGGGTCCCGAATCCACAGACGTGAGCAATCCGTTGCAATCGCAGCTGTCTGTGAAGCCAAAAATCGACCGGTTTGAAGCTTTCCAAACACGTGCTGCATGGCTATATCACTGTATACTAGACCGTAGTGAAACGTGCAACTAAACACATGGAGCAGAGGGACCGCGCAAAGGGATGTCACTCAATTTCCAGCTTCCAATCCGACCGAGGGTGGAACACGTGTACATGTCTAAATCCATGTATCATACAGTACAAGGTCACTGCCACAACTCGGGATCGTAGGCTTCCCATTCATCATCATCCCATGCAGCCAATTTCCTCAGCTTGCTAGCCGACGGACTCGCCCGGCCGGCTCGGGAATGCTGTAAACCCCATTGTTGCTGTCGCTGTTGCTGTAGCAACAAGCTTTGTGATCAGACATCACAATATAATATAGGATAAAATATCTAACGGAGCGCCTCACCCCTCGGTCGCCCCAATTTCCAGCGGGAACGGATTCTGAGGGTCTGGCAGTCTAGTCTAGCTTGTGATCAGCGGTTCGAGAAGTATCAGCCTGAGCTATGGGAAAGGGCTGACAACCACGTTAGGTATTCCCGCTGGACTGGTGTGGGCAATTCCAGGGATCTGGATGAAGTTGCAGTCAAGCAGAAAGGCGATATGGAGCGATCACCGGAGTAACATTCCGTCGACATCCTGTGGAGAAGGTGGTCCCCTCCGGAAAGAAACTATGAAGAAGGGGCCTACTTGAAGATGTCCTAGGCAATTTCATCCAGCTGTGTTCTTGCATGCATGGTTTCTTCCGAGTCCGACCAGACCCAAGCGCCTCCGCGCGAGTTTCAGGTTGCTCAAACGTCGGGACAGCTGCCTGTCGAAGCGTTGACGTCGACCGGGCACCTCAAGTCGGCGAAGCGCTATTGCAAAGGGATCTTCGTGCCTCGCGATAACACTGCCTGCAGTACAGAAAGTACAGAAACCATGTGAACCGAGGTGGATCTGAGTGTTCGAGATTGATATTTGTCTTGGCGCGAGACTTTAGCGCGGAATGGGCTGCTCATATCCTGGCGAGTTGTGGAGCGATACCTATGCCTTTCGGTGCGGATCGTCACATGAGCAGGTCGCCCAACTTGATGCCCGACAGCGTATAAAGGGTTGAAGGCCGAGGGAGTTATTGTTCGTCGGATACGTACGTTTCGGTCCTCTCTACCACACCCTCTCACACTCATCCACCATGCCACCGCGTAACGCTACCGGAACGACATACGCCGTCGAATTCATCCCAGACGTCACCTGGAACTACCCGTTCATTCCCGGCGAGCCATCTCGTCAGGTCACTACTGAACAGGTCGTCTGCATCACATCCGAGCCTGATATCACGGGCGCAATCTGCTCAGACCCAACCGTCAACTGGTCCATGATCTATGCGCCATCTGGCGAAAGAGACTACCTTACTACCACCAACATCACGAGCACAAACGGCACGTCAGGATTTCCGCAATGGTATTGGTGCCAGCTCCCATACTTCCCGTTGGAAGAGGTCAACCGTACCGTAACTCCGCCAGGGGATGGGAACGGTCCGGCCAGCCTGACGGCCTGGGAGACGTCTTTCAACTCGACGACTTCGCCGGCGCAGCGAGAAAGCCTGGACATTGTCTTCGTCTGCCGCTTCTCTGCCTCGGACGGATCGCGAGGTCGGCGATACTTCAGTGCGGCCACGCAGGAAGAGACGAGTGCGGCGGCGGGTAGTCCAAGCGTAGTATTTGGCTCGGGCTATCTCTTGCTGCTCTTCTGGGTGTTCATGCGGTCCGTATTGTAATGCGAGGAAGAGGGACGGACAACAAGTGGACAATTATGTTGTAGTAGAAACTCAGCACGAAATGATATGATACTGCTAATAAGACAACAATACTCGCTACACCCTCTAATCTGTACAAGAAAGCGAGATGGAAGAAAGACCACGAAACCACGTAGAAAACGCCAAACACCGTCTAATGCTTTCGCTTCTTGTCCCGCTTGGCGATCCTCTTGAGTGCCCTCATCTCCTTGCCTGTCGTGTCGAACGCACAAGAGCCGAAATCAGCATACAGTCCAGAGATCTGACGTCCACAAACGGTACTTACGCATCCTCGGGTCCACAATCTTGTAACGACCCTTGACACCCTTGGGACGACCCTTGACTCCCTTGTTGACACCCTTGGCAACGACGACTGCGACCTCCTTCTTTTTGGGCTTGCCAGCGGCCTTGCCCAAGAGCTTCATCATCTGCGTCGCCTTGTCCCGCTCGTTCATGTCAGGCGCATCGGTCAGACCATCCATCTTCCTCTTGGCCTTTTCCATGCGCATCGAAGCCTTCATCTTCTTCCTCGCCTTGGCCTCGGCGACCTTTTTGATTGGTCGTGCATCGAGAGCTCGCTGTTTTGCGCGGAGCGCTTGGATGGCCTCTTTGGTGACGGGCAAGTTGGGCTTGTAGTATTTACCCTCATCATCCAAGAACCAGGTTGGGAGACCGTCCTTGTGGTTAAAGTTGTGCTTGTTGAATCCGTCGTCGATCATCTGGTCGGCAGTGAGTTTTCGATTGACCAGTGCCGTGGCCATGGTGACGGCTTCGGCGGTCAAAAGACCCTTCTCTACAAGTCATAAGAAGCTGTACGTGAGCTCGCGTTGAGAGACACGACTGAGACGCTGTACTCACTCTGGATCTTCTGTCGCTTGACCTCGTCCTGATCCTCATCCTCTACGTCCCACTGCATGCCATCATCCTCTTGCACCGGTACTACCTCAAAGTCGTCCTCGCCATGCTCTGAGCCGTCAATCTGTAATGTCAAGTCAAGTTTAGTTCTACGATCCACAAAAGACGACTGCTGCTGTGTGCAAAACCCGACTCACATCCGCCTCGGCCATATCCACATCGCTGTCCTCCTCGCTGATCTCGCCACTCATCTCATCGTCGCTCATCTCCTGCTCCTCCTCATCACCAGCGTCCAGATCGGCGAGATCACCAACATCCTTGAAGATGGACTGATCGAACCAGACCTGCGCCTGTCGACTCATCTCGGCCTTTTCGACATCGGCTCCGAGGTTGGTGACCAAGCTCTGCTTGCTCTTGTTGGCCATCTGCATAGCCCGAACAGCGGCGGCCGAGGTGGCGTGTCCTGGCAACGCCAACCTGACCTTCTTGACCCTCGGCGCGCCCTCTTCATCCCCGCTGTGCTCGGAATCCGAATCGTCATCCGAATCGACCTCTTCCCCGATCTTGGCCTTGTGGGAAGCGACGAGATCCCAACCTCCCTCTTCCGACTCTTCACCCTCGTCCACACCCTCGATCCCGTCCTGACCCACCCCGTGACCTTGGACCTTGACGATCCCGTCGTTCTCGCCATCTTCACCCTCGTCCCTGATCCCGTGCCAGGCATCCCGGTTTCGATCTTGCAGACGAGCCTGCTTCACCTTCCACTTGGCGTCCCGCTCGTTCATCCTCTCCTTGTAAGAGTCGTACAAGTCATCGAGCTCGCCTTCGAGATAGGCCGTCTTGGCCTCCCTCTCGTCGTCGCTTGACAAGTACTCGTCCTCGTCCTCATCCTCCTCATCTTCCTCGCCGGCCTGCTCGTCGTCGTCCATCCCATCGGTATCCTTGACGAGATCCGCAAGTCCTTTCCCCTTGACCCCTCTCCGCCTGACCTCGTTCTCTCCTGTACCCAGGTCGAACATGTCTTCACCCCGTAACGCCGCGTCGTCCTCGAGGACCATATCCTCCGGGGCCGTCATGCCCAATTGCAACCTCTGGATCGTCCTCGCCTTCTTCTCGTTCTGTCGCTTCTTCAGCCTCTTTTGCTTGATCGCATTCTCCTCGTGTAGACGTTTCATCTCCTCGGTCACCTGGGTCTCTTCGTCGACGGGTTCCTCGATGGTCACCTTGCCCTCGGTGTCCTCCTCGACGTCCTTCTTTTTGACGTCCAGACCGACTTGTAATCGGATGGCCAGTCGCCATTTCATCAGTCTTCGGAACTCTCCCTTTCCGAGGACTCGCAAGTCTTTCATGCTCTCCTTGATGTCGTCGTCGGTATGTCGGCTCTCGTACCAGACTTTTTCCTCCTCACCCATAGCTTCGCCCTTGGGAGCCCATTCGAGCGCGTTACATGATGAGAGCACGGTGACAGCCTCGAGCCCGTTGGCATGCACGAGCGACCTGACGGGCAACGTCCTGTACAGGGTGTAATCCCCCTCGGCGTAACCTTCACGGGCACGTCGTTTCTTTTCCGGGGCGAAAATGTTGGTGGTCCCGTTCAAGGCGAGACTGGCACCCGAATTGGTCAAACCGTTCGTCGTCGCCTTCAAGTTGGAAGAGGACGAAGCCTGGGTCGAGCTCGGGTCCAGGGTGATGCTGAGGGGTAGAGGAGCGTTCGAGTTGGCGAGCTCCTTGAAGACGTGTTTAGGGTCCAGGAACTTGGGGTCGATGTACTTGGGCGCTCGGAAATCTTGGCAGACGACGAAGATCTCGGCCGAGACGTTACGGGACGAAGGAGGTTTGGTGGCTTCGACCTTGGCGAACAGTTGGTTGAAGACCCACATCAACGAGTTGTAATCCCCACTTCGGAAGACTTTTGTCACGAACGCTCCTCCCTTTTTCAGAAACTCGGTAGCCAGCTTGAGGGACTGAAGCGTCAACTCGCTCTGGGTGAAAGCGTCCTGGATCCATGCGGTACCGACGTTGGGAGCTCCGTCGTGAAGGACCAGATCCGCCTGGAAATGCTTCAGGTAGCCCTTCAACGAGGTCCTACATGCCTGGGTGGTAATGTCGCCGACGAAAGTGTGAACACCGGGAATGGGGCGGATGGCATCGAGATCGACTCCGACGATGAGGGATTGTTGAGGACAGTACTTTTGGGCGACCTGAAGCCAACCTCCGGGTGCGGCACACAGATCGATGACGACTCGGGATTTGGCCAAGAGGTCGTACTTTCGATTCAGATGCACCAGTTTGCTAAACAAGTTGGCGGTGATGATTTAGTCAGCAGGTGGTTCATGGACTCGAGACGTCAACCCACACGACTTGAACTTACAAGGACGAACGAGCACGGTACCCCTGGCTCTTGGCCATCTGGTAGTACTTGTCCAGACGCTCACGTCCGGTCTTCTTGTTGTGTTTACCCATGATGCCGACGTCCTTTCCACTATGCTATCTTTGTGTCGGGACAAGGTGAAGAGACGAGGTCCTTGATCTTTCCTCTTTCTACTTTCTCTGCGAGATTGACCTCGATTGCGAGGCAAACGACGTTCTTCTTGGTTGCACGAGGATGCTACTCTCTACTGAAATTATCAACAAGCGCATCAAATTACGTGATAAATGCCGTGATTCGGATGTAAATAGCTTCCGAACTTACCTTTCGCGCTTCTAGTTGGTTGACGTGACTAGCTAAATCAACAACCTTGAGCAGCACGAATAGTCATACCCCAGCAGCGGTTGTTCTGGGAGTATCCAGCTTGATAACGTACAACTATAGACACAACCATCGGCAACATCGCAATCCAGGCTGTAGTAACGGTCAAGGACCCTCCTCTCAGCTATGTCGATCCAGCCGCTGAGCCAGGATGTCTGGCTAACGTGAGTCATTCCAAGCTTGCTCGACCTAGAGCATATCAAGCAACGCAATTGACGTCCTGCTACCTCTATGCTTTCCCCATCGTGATCAAACTCTTCGGCTCAACAGGTCCATCCAAGAACTACAAAAATCCATACAAGACCCTAAATACCGCCGAGACCTCTCCCCTCAGACCCTTGAGTCCCTGCTCTTCTCTCATATCGACCACCTCGTCGACCCGGGTGCGGCATTCGCAGGTCCTTCTGAATGTTCACGGTCGAAAGTTCGGGCGGGGGAACGAGTACGAATCCCAGGGACGGATTCTGAAGCAGCTTCGACGTCGGCAGCAGCAGCAGGATCGAGCACGAGTAATGGGAACGGGAACGGGAACGAGATCGAGGTTGAACAGGAGGACGTCTCCCTGGCGCTCGAGCTCAGCGATCGGTTAGCGATTGACGAGGTCGAGGCTCTTGTCCTGATCAAGCGTTTCCAGAAGGATGAACGTGCGGGTGCCGGTGGTCATGGTGGGACTCGGAATAGGAAGGAGGATGGGACGACGACGGTGATGGGCGGGAAGAACGGGATCATCCCACGCCGACTAGCTGGACCCGGTTCGGAGCTCTCTAGATCCAGACTCAATGCATCCACCACGACCTCGAATTCAAACTCGACAAGCTCAAAACCGGACGAACAGACTTTGACCCAATTGACTAGGTACTTTCAGGCGGAATCCCTGGCGCTCGTCAGGCTTTTGACGACCATCATCGTCCGCGCAGCCGGAGCTGGCAACCACGATCCGATGGAAGCTTCCCTCTTGGCCGGCGATACCGAAGAAGAAGGATCTTCCAGACTTCCCATCGGGGTCAAGGCCATGCGTCTGGACTTCATGTGCGAACGAGCCTTGCTCCAGCTCGCAGACCATCATCAGAAACAAAACTCGGGGGCCACGTTGGTCAGGGTCATCTTCTCCTCGTTCGCCCGAGCCGCTCATCAGACCGTCCAGTATAAACCCATAGGAGGTGGGTCGGCGACGGGTTCGGCGGTGATGGCCCGCTCTTGGATCGTGCATCACTTGAAGGTGCAGACGGCCCTCTTGGAATCCCTCTTCCAGCTCGTCTACTGGTCACCCGTCGCTGCTCTCGGATCCGTACCAGCAAACTCAACAGGCGAAGAGGGACCCGACACGCTTCTTGATGCCGAGACCGCCGTAGGTCTCATACAAGGGATCTTTGGATCCACCTTTGGAGCTCAACAAGCCAATGCGAGGTTGATCGAAAGTCTCAAGGTTCAGGAAGCGGGAAGGTGGTTGGACAAGATCGAGCTCCTCTTGGGACTCATCGCCTTGGAGACACTCGGCTTGTCGGGGATCTCTAGGGGAACGGTGGTACCGCTGGACGAATACCCACCCGGTGGAGAGAACGAGAACGCGGAGGGTACGAGAAAGACGTTGACGCTCGTTCAGAGCAAAGAAGCTGTCGACATGATCCATACGACATTGGGCACGGCTTCGTTGGAGACGACCCGTCGAGCTCCCTTCCCCTTGATCCTCCTCGCATGGTCCTTTATCCTCTCCCGGCTACATCCGGACATAGTCCCCCAAGGTTCGGGGGATGGGGAGTTTGTGCCCGTCTACCAGACCGTAGCGAGCATAGCTCTGGGAGACGAGATGCAGGTGTTTGAGAAGTGGACGGGGTTGCTGAGAGGGAAAGGGATGTGGAAGGACGATAAAGGGGACGTGGGCGATGATTATGTGGTCGGGTACAAGGATACGATGAACTGTAGGTCCACTTTCGTCCAGTCTGCGCCCGGCATTTGGTCATTAATCGTTTTTTTTCTTCGTCGGGATACAAGGCCTGATGGTCGCGCTGTGTACGATCATCCGTCCTCCTCATGTTCAACAGTTCGACAAACTCGCCGCCGTCTTTACCTCGCTCTATGGTCAAGGACCACGGGACGCCGTCATCTCGGTCTGTGGTGACTTTTGGCGCAACGCCGCGAGCGACGGGAGGCGAGACGTCCTGGAATGCGCGGCGTTCCCGTTGTTCCCTATACCCCTCATCGAATTGCTTACGGGTCTGTCTGGAGCGGGGACTGTAAAGACGGACGAGGTCGAGGACGACGACCAGGTCGATGATGCCGAGTTGCTAGATGTCTCGCCTAGAGAGACGGTTAAACAATCGTTCGACTACTTCTCGGCGCTGGATCAGGTGACGTTGATGTTCAAGGGTTCGGGCGCACATGATGGCGGATTCACTCGAGAGCTAAGGGGACAGACGGTCATCATCACGCTGGAAAACGATCTTGAACTGCCCTGTGGTCAAGTGATCCCGGCAAAGACGCAGGGCGTACTAGTTAGTCGATCGGGGGCGGACACCATGGTCGTCAAGTGGGCGGTCAACGATCTATCTGGATGGAGGATGCTCGTCTCGCTCATGCAGGCTGCATTGGCTCGGGACGAGGCGGGACGACGCAAGGCGCAGGAATGGAGTCGTTTCGTAGATACGTCGAACCTGACGGGCGTCCTGTCCGCCGGGTTGGGATACGTTCGAGACCTCCTGTCGGTGGACCCTAGTCTGGCAGACCAGCTGGTCGACGTACAAGACCTTTCGGCGTCCGTGATTCGATCTAGCAACAAGGCGTCGGCGAGCGACCTCTTGTCAATCTCGTTCGCGTTGCTGGATCAGACGGTCGTGGTACGCCAAGAAGAGAGGTGGCGACTGGCGATCGCTTCGGCTACTTCGATCGTCTCGATTCTACTCTACAAGTTTCCTCAAAGGATCTGGTCTGAACTCCGGTCGAGCGGCTTCTTTACGTTTACCCGTCAGGACGTCTTAACGCTCCGCATCATCATCGATCGGGACATTCAGGCCGGCGAGTTCACTTCCACTATCAATGTGCTCAACCTGATTGTCAAGCTGGCAGAGCACGTTCAATTGGGTCAATTCCAGGCCGACCCGGAGACCGTTCATAACCGGTCCCTTACCATGACGAACACGATTCAATTTTTGCATCAATCGGTATGGACCCGGTATAGGGGTTGGAGGTACACCAGTACGAGGCAGAAGGCTCAAGTCGCTACCGCGCTCGCTAAGCTATACAGCTCGGTACTTCGAAATCCCACTTTCACCGCCCAATACACTCGACCGGGTGCTCAGTTTCCTCTCAACGCGCTCAACGACGTGGTGTGCGACAAGCTTGTGCGGACTTCGTCGGAATTTGACCTTCTACCTCTCCTCGATACCATCACTACTCCTCTTTACGGCGCATCTGGCAGTCCCGTCCATCAGGTCGACCGTGCACCTCTTGAACGAGCGCTATTCGCGGCTCTCCAATTGGCCTATCATATTGCGGTCGCCTGTCAAGCCATTGGCACACATGCTGATTTAAGCATTCTATCTGTCGTATCACGAACCACCGATGGTCACAGCGAGACCGACACTTTGCACGTCATTGAAGCAGTGTTCGATATCGCCACTTCACCCTACCTCGAGGACCACACTGCCGTCGCCGCGTTACGCTTCTTGCAAATTCTCATGATCCAAGGTAGGACCGCGGAATCTCCCTTTAGCTTCATGGCATGTCTCAGGTCGCCACAAGAGACAAGCGACAGGTTCGTCGACCTGCTCGCACGCGGCGCTCGATCAGCCGAGGTGCAAGACGCTGCCTGGCAGGTGCTTCGGTCGATGGCCGAAACGCAGCCTGCGCTGGCGAGATTCTGCTTGCACAAGGACCAGGAGACGAAGTCGACAGCGCTAGAGGTCGCAGTTAAGACTGTGACGCAACGAGAGCAGGTCGCAAAAGCAAACGCGCGGCTCTTGACCCGATCGATAGGGCTGCTACAGGATCTTTATGATCACCATGCCGATCTCGTCGACACCCTGCAGATTGCCAGCGATGCTAAATTGTGGACGGCCGTCTTGGACTTTGTGCTCGAAGTGCAACCTGGCGGCGCAGTGGTGGATCGACCAGCGATGGATGCGAAGAACGCTGGAGATGATGAGAACAATGTCGTCGACGCGTACATCAACCGATGCTACATGCGCAGCGCCAAAGCCTCCGCGATGCGTCTTCTCCATACGGTTCTGGTCAACTCGGCTTCCAGCCGAGATGAGGATACTGTATCCCGACCGGACGTCAAGACTGCATTGGCTTTGCTAAAGGCAGACATACAGTCAGCCCGCCTTTTAGCTGATGCTACAGCGAGCGCCTTTGATCCCGAACTTCGAGTGGAACAAGCCGGTCTCATCCAAACGATATTGCCTGCTGCCTACCTGGAGATGCTGCAGAACCCGGCTCCTACACACATGCGGCTGTTCGGAGATGTGTTCACGTTCGGTGAGTAAGACCTAGCCACTATGCTCACTCAAGTTCATGCGTCCGCTAATATATGGTATCCATGTACGCAGACAAGGACGTACTCCGTGGCATCTTTGACCTACCCAATGCCGAGAGACGAGCCCTATTGACCTGTTTCCAGCTGATCAGCATGAACGAGTCTGCCACCGTGGCCGACGAAGAGGTGGCTCAAGCCGCCATGACGCTTGCGCAATCTGCGATCGATTTTGCCCGTGAAGAGGGCGTCTCTGCAACGACAGCTGCAGCGTTTGCGGCCGTTATCGGACCCATCTCGGAAGAAGCTCGAGATGGCAACTTTGTCATTGGACTGCAGAACCAACGCTACCAGCTACTGCAAACATTATTAGAGGCAACCTGGGTTGGCGATTGGCGCGCTGATGATCAGTGGATTCGATCCACATTGCGCCCGTTTGCGACGATCTTTGACTCGGGCAGTTTCCCATTGACGCTGCCCTTTGAGGAACCGTCAATACCGGCATACTACCGACCTTTGGTCAACGCTTTGATTCTGTACCTCCGATACACTCGCGAGTCTGCCCGGCGGGAACAGGCAGACGACGACCTTACTCTGGAACTGGACGAATTCTTGCGATCCGTCGTGCCTATCGTGGCACAGCTGCTCAGAGACGTCTTCACGACGGTACAGTCGAATCCCACGGCCTCGGCTGTAGAAGACCTGGGTTTGATCGTATCGGTAATAGGTGGACTGATGGGACACCGCTCAGCCGAATCCTTGTGCCTTGCGCATCTCGAGCAGAACGGTTTGATCCTTCGGAGCTGCGAGATCATCTCGCGGTCGGCACTAGCTTCGCCCAGCGTGCTGAAGAGCATCACCCGATTACACTGGACCATTGCGCAGGTACCCTCGGGTGCCGAAAAGTTGTCGGTGCAAGCCGTTTTGCGGGTTTACGGTCGAACTACGTTGCTTCGTGAACTCTCGATACATCCTGAACGCGTGACCGACGAGGAAGACGTGCAAACCATCTGGACGACGATGCTTTCGGTGGCAAGAAGCCTGCTTCAGACGCTCCCTTACACGGCCGAATATGTCAAGACCGAGATCTTGCCGTTCGTCCAAGACATGCAAGGGCTAATCGTCTCTGCACTCGGCTGGAAACTGGACGGCGACTCGCTTCTGGTACAACTCGCCGAGGTGCATTCTGTCCTCGAGATCTTGCTACATATCGCCCGGGACGTAGAGACCGACCTCGAAGCTTCGAAACGACTTTTGCGGGATTACAGCAAGCCCGTCCTCGAATACCTTCATCAAGCAACCAGCGCCTTGGCCCGACCGACAGTCATTCGGACAAAGGTCGTACAGACTTTTGGGTTCGAGATGGAAGAACCAGACGGCAATGACAAGACTATCGCCAGCGCCATCGATGCTGCCGAAGACTGTGTCATTCAGGCCCTTCTCGTCACGTCGTCATCAGCTGTGTCTCTCTTGTCTGAATGGCTCTCCATCTCGTCGGCATTCAGCCGAAGTTCCAGCGGATTCGTCAACCACCATCCTCGACTACCTGCAGTCTCGACGCACATGACGGCCTCACGAATCCTGGTCGAGTTCGCTAGCTGCATCATCGACCTCGACCTGGAATCCTCCCTCAAGACCTCTCCTGATTCACCTCGACCGCTCCTTGGCGCGTTTACGGCCATCTGGCCTGCGGTCTCTGAAGACCGGCTGCAGGTGATCAGGCAACAGGCACTGGAGACGACCTTGTTGGTAGCGACCGTCCAGGCCACGGGGATCTATCTGGCCGACCAGAACGAGGAGAAGAGGGAGAAGGCCGCATTGGAAAAGGGTGGCAATTCGGACAAGGGGAGCACGCCGGCCAAGAAGAAGAGTCAGGATCGGCGGCAAGGGAAACAAGATCTCAGGGTGAGTTTAGCGATTTCCTTCTGAATAGGCAGGAGAAAGGCACTTTGAGCGAGATTAGGATATTAACTTTGGTTTCTTGTGAAACTGATCAGGACGTCGTCGATACGGTCAAGAGGTTCCGAGACGGCGAGCTCGATCCCGTGTGTAACGTGTGTAACATCTATTTGGAGGCTCGGTGTGGGAACTTGTCCGACATCTGATCGGGCACGAGAACGAAACCTACGGTTCGAGAAGGGAGTCGTGGTCGAGAGACAGCAAGGATGGAGACGGGCACCGAGACGAGACCATCGGTGGGGACAGAGACGGGTTTGTGGATTCAGTACGATGTATATCACAGTAATAGTAAAGCATTTCTCGGTTTTGTGGATATCGTCTTCTTTCATCATGTTTTATAACGAGATACGAATATACGAATGACATTTGGTGTACAAGAATCGAGCTCTGTAGAATCGGAAGACGATATCCTGCGGAATGGATCTGAGTGGACTCACCGGGATGCGAGACGGGTATTGGTGATTGTCGTCTGCTGTTTCTCGTTCCGAGGTCGATCCCGCCAGTCTTGTCCAGCACGAAGCGCATCGTTGTGGGCTGCGTTTGGTGGCCATGCGTAAGCTTGACTTCGGTATCGTTGCTGAATTGCTGATGGCTCATCGCTGTGTATTGCGGGACTTGCTCGGGTCGTCTCCTGGCCTGCTGCTGCTTACGAGAAGCTCTCAAGAGGCAGCGGCTGCTACTGTACGGCTTGGACGGGCCCGTGAAGCTCTCTGGATCGCTGTCCTCTGTCGATTTCATTGGATGCGCTTGTCGAGCTGTCCCGTCTCCCGATCTCGAGCTCCATCCCTCTTGGGATCGAACGTGCTCCTGCTGCTGCTGCTCCTGCTGTTGTTGCTGCGGAAAGTGCGCTTGTCGCGTTTTGGATCCGCGCATCATTCCTCCCCATCAATCCAGTCCGGAACGACTATATAACTCTGATCGATCAGTCCGCTCGACATCCTCGACTTCCCCCCTCTCTCTCTCTTTTTTTCTCATACTCCTCACCGACTCACCACATACCACTCTTGACCTACAACCACCACCACCACCATGCTCTTCCCTTTCATCCTCCCTGTCCTCCCTATCCTCAAATGGATAGGGTTCACAGCCATCACCCTTTCCATGATGGGGAACATCATGGGTCCTCCCGTCCCCGTCCCCTCCCTCCCCGCCGTGAGTCTTCTTCTTTTAAATCACGCCTTTCACCCCTGATCATTCCCGGCTATTTTCAGACTACCGTCGTCCCCCCCGCCGCCGCCGCCTTCACCGTCATCGTCGCTACTCCCTGGACCCCTATCGTCCTGGACCTCGAGCCGACTTGTCCCCTGGTCCAGGTCGAACCGATCACCAACTCGACCTCGGTCTTGACCTCGCAGACTTGTCCCGTCAGGGTTGGCAGCGAGGAGGTGATCGGTAAGGGTAAGGGGATCCCTGCGGCGAGCGTACCCTCCCACCTCTCGGCGCTCCTTCCCTCCCTCTCGTCGTTGATCTGGCTCGTCCTGGGAGTCGTCATCGGTCGATGGAGCAGTCGGTCCACCCCCGCCACCAGCACTGTCGCCGTCCCCACCGTTGGTCTCGTCTCGGTGCCCGTCTCCCCTTGTGCCGTCGATGAGGACGTCGTCGTGAGTCGCCATTGTCGATTCATCTTGACTACTTCATGCTTATCATCGATCGTATCCATCCTCGCTTTGCTCTTCTTACTCCTTTCTTGTCCCTTTCCCCTTCCGTTTGCCAGTCCTCCCCTCGAACCGTTGTCGGCCCTGCCGCTACATCCGAGGTCGAGATGGATGCCGTTTCATCCGAGGATGCCGCTGCTGTTGTCACCGTCGTAAGTCCACCATTTTCACCGTCATCACTAGATCGTATCGCTGATCACTTCAAGCTTGGTTTCTCTCGTCGCTCGTCTTTGCAACTCTAGGCCTCTCCTTGTGCCGGACCCACTGAGGCAGAGGTGGTCAACTCTTGGTCGATCGCGCTCGAGGGTGTCTACGTGAGCTTATCGTCAGCCCGACCCCTATTTGCTCAGCGCTGACCATCTTCTTCGACTACCCGCAGGACGACGTTTTCACCGACGAGCCCGTGTCGTTGGAGACTGCCGAGGTCGAGGACGAACTCATCGCCGAGGAACTGGTCGCCACCGTGGAACAAGTCGCATTCGAAGTGGTAAGCATCAAGAATCGCGCTGCACTTTCGCATCGACTCGGGACAACCGTTGACATACTTGACCGTGTCCTTTGGCGTAGCCGATTGATGTCGATGCTATGGGCTCAAGCGGTATGCCTTCGGGCTCCTCTCGAACCCCCGTCATCAGTCGATTGGTTGCTCCGCCTGCGCCTTCTGCCATCAGGACCGGGGACTTTGGATTTGCGGTGAGGTCTGACAACGCTTTGGTCAAGGCGAAGTGAGTTAGATCGGGTGGTCATGGAGCGGGAGCGCTGCTGACGTCTATTGCCGTTCTTACGTTCATCGCATCCAGGGGGTCGGTGCACCAGGTCAACCTGCTCGGACAGTTCCGGGAGATGGCCACGCCCAGCACCGGGGAGAGCAGGGTGAGTTGCGAGATGCGATGAAACCAGGACGCAAGGCTGATCCGACTTTCGTATACCCTGCATATCTAGGCGCCGGTAAAGAGGACTCCTGTGATTATGAACCCTTTCTCCGCCGACTGTGCAAGCGTCTCAACCTAGCCCAACACTGACAAGTATTGCTGCTGCTGCTCTCCTCTGCTCTAGGTCACTTCGCCGAGCAATCCGTTCGAGGATAGTCGACCGGCACCGAGTTCCGCGAGGTTCTCGATGTTGAACCCGGGCGAGGGTTCCCCGGCGGTTGACAACGACTCGCCGTTGTCGATGAGACAGGCCAAGCAGAAGCAAAGGTCGAAGATCCCCATCCCGACCGGCGCCATCAGCAGGCTCATCGGCAACAACTGGCCCAGTGCCAATTCACCTCTTGCGCCTATGCGCTTGGGGTCCAGCTTGAGGCCCAGCTCGCTGCGGAAGGAAAGGACGGAGGAGGAAATGGGAGCCGCCGAGCTCGAGGTAAGGGTTCTTGTCCGCCTTTCTTACCCCTATCTCTCTCGGCTGATTTTGGGTTCCGCTTTTCGCTTCCAGAACGCCCCGCCAGTGCGGGAACTGCGGGGAGCTGCTTCAATACCTGAAGCAGTAGAGGAGGAAAAGCCGGTTCGCGCCTCGTGGCCGGTACAAAAGCTCGTGGATTGTGAGGTCGTATGTCTTGCGCCGCATTCTATATCTCCTTGCATGTCCTTGATGCTGATCGGCTCTCTCTCTGGCTGTGTGCAGCTTCACGCGCAGAGCGTTAGGAAGAGCATCCTTCACACCACGAGCTCGATGACCGGCAAGTATGTTCGCCCATGCGAGACGAACTTCTCGCCGACATCGCCTTCGGAGCGGCAGGCGGCCAAGTACGTCGAGGAACCGCCATCTCCAACCCCCGGAAGTGGACGTAGGGGTGGGATGACCCCCGGCTCGACCTACAAGCCGCCGGCGAAACGGAGGCTCGAGGCCCTTCGAAACCCTTGAAAGGCGTATGGCCTATAGGGTTTCGGGATGCCGCGGGAGATAGGGGAAAGGAGACGGACATCTTGGGTTCTTGGATCTTGGGTTCTTGATGTCGTGGGTCTTGAAGTCCTGAATGTGTACTGTATCTCCATCGCCACGCAACCCTTCGGGGCGTGCAGTTCATAATCCACCGGGTTTCTCCTCCGGTTGTCATCATTATACCCTCTTGTATCACTCCGTCTTGAATCGTATAAAACCCATTAAACCCTCTAAAATTTTTGGGCGCGATGAACTCCTATTCTGCGATGCCTTCTCCTCGTTTCGAGTTGCAACAATTTCTTGAAGTTTCCAGACGGGGCATATCATCATCCGAGTTTGTTATCGCAGTCGCTTCCAATCGAGGTACTGATTCCATATCATCCGTGCATATAACTCCTACTTATTCAATTTCGGTGTTCACTCCCCATCCACACCGCCAGTCAGATCTTGTCTCGTCGGCGCGCCCCTCCTTTTCGCCTCGTTGAAGAACCAACGCAAATATCAAACCCTCGCGCGTAGTGAGGAAGATGCGTGACGGAAATATCTGGACCAGCATTGGATATGAAAAAAACGGTAGCCTATGGTCCATCCAAGGGCAAGTGCCTCAAAATCCTATCCCCGGTGCCGCTCTGGAAGATCGAAAAAGCAAATACCGGGTCCCTTTGATTTCCCCGTCTGTTCCATGTTTGGTTTTCGATACAGAAGCCTGGGAGGTCGTGGAAAGGCATAGAACTCAAGACGGAGTCTGGGAGACCAGGTATTTCCCGACAATCAGACGTCCTGGCAGGTTCGCGTTGCGGTCCGGTTTGCCAGTATTGGATTCGTTTGCAATATTGCATGATCACCAAAGATGGTAAACTGTCTATTACATTGCCCTATCAAACGGGTTGATCCTGATTGTAAACCATCGACGTCTATCTTCTTGCCGATATCTCGATCGATGTCCTTGATTCGAAACTGGTTGGGACGTCGTCCTGAAAGCGTTCTCGGGATCCAGATCGTCGTTTTTCTGGCGTGTGAGGAGAAGGCGAAAGTTGTCCCACGACCCTTTTTGAGTCCGTTCGTGGCTGATTCGACGTTTCTGACGCGTTCCCCTTGCTCGGTCGTAACCGAAGGAGCGTACGTCGGCCTCGTGTACCGTAAGGTCCGCCCGGATTGATTGTTGCGATGATCGATGATCGTCCTTCTGATTGTTGTCGGTACTCCAGCGATTAGCTTTCGCCTCGAGCGCCAATCGATAAGGAGATAGCCTGGTTCATGACCGGTACGACCTAGTTCACGGACGAACTAGTATCCAACAGAGATTTCAGCATATAAACCGGGAATCGACGCGCCGGTTGGACTTACACCTAGCGACAAGAAACAAACAACTTGATTGTATTCGGATGTTTTCCAAAGGCACAAAAGAAACGCCTCGGGCGGATAGGTTGATGCTCGGATCGACGCCTGAACCCGGTTTGCCGTACAAATTCGTCCTGTCCAAGAATCGATCTCGCTATGGCACCGGCAAGATTACCCGGACCTGGCAAACCATTCGATGCTATTAGCAAGCTTCCTAGACTCGAGATAGACTTGCCGGATCTGGGGCTTTCTACCTACGGTTCAACATTCAGCCAGCTTCCTACAAGGCAGTGTCGCACCGCATTTCGGCGTGGGCGGCGAACGCTAGCAATGGAGCTGGATGGACCTCCAAGCTCGACCTAGCGACCAATTATTCGTAGCTTTAGCACGACCTCTCTCAAGCGAGATGGACTCATAGGAAATCTTCACCTATCATAATCCTCGCCAGTCTGGGACTTCGTCCATCGTTCGCGTCGTCTAGTTCGACCCAGACCGATCCCTCAATACCGACCATCCCTCTTTCACGTGGACAGAGTTCCAAACCTCTGCAGGGATCGATACGGACTGAGCTTAAAGAATCTCTGGCCCTCCCGTTTCACTTGCAAGCGGTCCCTGAGGTGGATGAGATTCGGTTGCGAATAAGGGTCCGGGACATGTCGTCAAGCTATTCCGTATACGAGCAGGGTGTACAAGCTAGAGCTCGACCTTCTTCGGAGTCCCCGATTACGGTGTTGTTAAGATCCGACCGGACGGGAAAGTCTCGACATTGCTTGACATGATGGATAAAAATGATGGCGAGAACGGTTCACACGCGATCGACATAAAGCTTGGAGCGCTTCTTGGTGAGTCGATCCTCGAGATTTCTTGTTTCTTCCTCCTGCATCGTGGCCATTATGGATTCTCGCATTCTGCATCGTCATTCGGGGTCGCTTCTTCGTCTTCTCGCAAATCTTATGGACATCCATGCTACCGCAATTGGGTATCCGGCTCTGAGACTTGACGAAAGAGCAAAACGCAAGATTCAGCCTTTCCTCGAATTATACCATTCTCCAGATTTGGCACCTACCCGGTCTATCAAGAGCGCTGCAGCTCAATACTGATGGCGATACGAAGAAGGATATCACACAAGATGCGTCGCGAGAAACAGCGAAGGATATATGAATCTCACGATTGGGAGGCTGGCTGCTTTCGAGATCGAAAAATCAAACTTCACCCTCGGCCAGTTTTTTCCGTTTCGCGAAACAAACGACCGATTGTCGCTGTCGTCGTCGTCGTCGTCGTTGCCGATTGTTGATGTTGATGGATGATCGAGGATCTCCATGAAACCCGAAACACGAAAGGACCCCCTTCTCTCTTAGCGAGATCGCCATGTCGATGATCAACACCGAGTAATTCGCCGAAATGTCGAAACAAGTTGAGACAAGACGAGACGTCGAAAGGAGGGGGACGAGGGCGTACGACCAGGGGGACAAAATGGGGTCGAGCGTCCGAGTACTGTCTCGATCAAGAAACAAAGACGAGGATCTGCAGTCAGCTACGCCCGAACCACAGGGACATCGAGGCAGGATGGAGAGGAGAGGGGACTTACGACGGTCCTTTGAGGTGTAAATCGTCTCGGGGATGGTCAGAGTCCGTAATCCGTACATGTCGGGGTGTGTGGGTCTGGAAGGGGGATCGTACGATGGGTGCGATGACGATTGACGAGAACTGGGAATCATCATATAGTCAGGTCGACAAGAACGCAAGAACGGCTGACGACAGGAGGGAGGGGGGATTCGTACTTCTTGCCTTCTTGTCATCTTCTCTTTCGTTTGGCATTTCCACTTTACGTCCAAGCATCCTGACCTTTCGTGCTTCGACTACCTCGGCATTCGTAGGCAAGGATGAGGAGGACCAATCCTTCGAGCACGATGGTCAGGCCGTCAAGGTCCTGGAAGGTAAGTTAGATTAGCGTTCCGTCGGATCCAATACTCGCAACTCACTTCACTTTCAACCCTATTGACCTTCGTGCCTCGATATTTCGATGTTTAGCTTCTAGTAGTGGATGAAGGACGATGACGAGAACGATCAAATCTCTTGAGCATGACGGCCGGCTTTGTTCAGGCCTACGACCATTACCAGCACATTCCGGTACCGGGAGCGTGGTAAGCCTCGTCTGCTTTGAGCATGTTCGCTTGCATGTCCCTTTGGTTGGGTTCTTAACTGATATATCGCTATCGTTTGGTAATCGTTACAGCCCGAAGTACTTGAAGTCTATAAGACCGCTACCCATCTTCGATCTGAAATTCAAGTAATAGGTAGCGATAGTACCGAGCTATACAACAAGTAAGTTCGGTCATCATTCCCCTCCTGGCATACTCCCACTTATGTCGTACAAGCTACGTGTTTGTGGCTGTGGTCATAGCTCGCAACGTAAACACTCCAACCGGACATGAACGAATAGACATAGTCCTCGGGCCTCGAACTGATAGTATACCGGACAAGAATACACGTCAACAACCCTCCACCTCTGCGACCCTCCCCCGGACTCCCAGGCGGACATGAAGGTGTCGACATGCTCCATACCGGTGCACCATTCCGCAGGCCACCTGATCACCTGACCCAGCACCCTCGCGAACGTGCTTGGAACGACCCAATCACTGCAGCGGAACGACCCCAATGACGCCATAACCCCACTTTTTTTCCATCTGCCCTCCGCTCGAACGCGCGGTTGACTCGACCCCCCTCAGAGCCAGGAAACGTATAAATTCCCCCCATTCCCCCCTCCCTTTCCCTCTTTTTCGACCTTCACTCTACTCTCTCTTTCTTCAACAAACTCGACCTTCACCAGTTCGACTTTGGCCCTTTCCTTCATCGCCCTCACACACCCTCAACCACACTCACGAACACAACCACCGAAATCAAACCACCACTCAACCGTTTCGTTCCATCGTTGATCGTGTAAGCATATCGCCGTCTTCGTCTTCGTCTTCTCTCGTACGCCCTCGACTGACTCGACCCGACCCTCTTGTGCTTAGATCATCGTCGAGTCAAAAGAAGAAGAGGAAGTCTTGATCCCTTCGCATATCGTAGTCGTCTTCGTCGATCCTTGTGAGCATCTCACCGCCTCCAAACCCTTGGACCCTTCGACTTGTATACATCGCCCCGGCCCTCGCCTCGCTCCCGCTCCCCTTCGTGTCCGTCTTGTTCGTCCCGGTCTGACTCGATACCCCTTCTCTTTGTAGATCTTCGTCGTACATTCCAAAAGGAAGACTGTCTTCCACTTCATACCGCATCTTCGTTGGTCCTTGTAAGCATACTTCCCCCACCACCTCATCTCCTCACGTTGTCAACGCCTGATCCTCTCATCCCATCAGTCTTGTACGCAATCGTCTGACTGGATACGCCCTCGTTACTTCCTAGATCGCCGTCGTACACCTCAGATCCTAGTCGGTCTACCTCTTCATACGCGTCTTCGACCTTTGTGAGCCATATCTCCACCTCGCTCGATACTTCTACACGACCCGAGACTGACTCGACCCTCATTTGCAGATCGTCGTCGTATAGCATAAAGAAGCCTTGTCTTCACAGCCCCAGACGATCGTAAGCATATTGTCATCTTTGTCTTGTCCCCATGCCCAGACAAATCTGACGCGATACCACATGCCCATGTCTCTAGAGCATCGGCGTTTACAATCAGAGGAAGCGACGTCCAACCCCTGGCCTAGCCGACATCGTTATGACCCTGTCTCATTCCGTCACCTCGGTCCACCCCACAGCCATCGTTCACCCGGTTCCCCGTGTCGCCAATTTGATCGTCGCCGATGAGAAAATGCAATTGGAATATCTCGGTGTTTGCGACATGTCCTATGGGACTATGGACAGGGGCTTCAAAGAGCGGTACCAGACATGGAAGGCTCACTCACAAGCACGCTGGGTAGTTTTCGTCGTTCTTATGAGCAAGGTCGTGCATGGGCCGGGACTGGGCGAGAGGCCGGGACTGGACGACACAATGATCATTTTGGCTACTCTGACGGTAGTCAACCGGGACGCTCCTATCTGTGGGTCGAGGGGTCAGAGCGACATGTACGGCGGAGGCGTGCATGAGACGTGGCACGCTCTGAAGGCGGTTGTTGAAGAGATGGTTCCGAAGGGAGCGCCAAAGTCGTGGTCGATCATGGGCAAAAGTCGAGCACAAGCGGCGCAGATTCAATGGCTGGACGAGGCCGAGAAGATCCCACAAAAGTCCAACGACACAATCGCGAAGCGGCTGGCGGTCCCATACGAGTATACGGGCAATATCTACGATGTGGACGAGTGGACCTCGGAGCAGCGCACCATCGTTACCGACCGGGCGGCAAAAATGACGGCCGACGAGGCCGAGAGGATATGGTCGGCCGTTTGGAAGCCGTGAGTGTCTTGTCACGCACTCATTCCAGAAGGAGGTTTACTGGTCGCTGACAAACGATTGACCACGCCCGAAACAACCTAACCGGATACACCACACCCCCAAACATTATTATTGCCCACACGCCATTACATCCCGATATTACAATCTACTTAACACCAATCGCCCCCTACCCATCCTTAGAGCGTCCAAATCCGTCGACGATAGCTCGTCTGTACCGATTGTCCGCCTTGGATAACCGGGTTCCAGACAGTATTAGACGAACGCGAGGGACGTTCGGTAATCTACCTGTTCCTGAACTCCTGGCTGGATGGACTCCCGCCTGCCGCAGTCGCGTTTTCATCTAACCGTCTTCGAGTCTTATGGATCATGTACATGTACTATCGATACTCGTATACACCTCCGCATTGGGCTTTTGGTAGCCTCTGAGCTCCCTCGTTACCTTCGGTCTCACCTGCGCCCTGTCGGGAGATTGACTGTGGTGCCATCTATGACCGTTTTATGAATCACTTGTTGTTTTTGTGATGGAGGGGACCGCGTACGAAATACCACACTTCCAAATCCGATGACATTTACAATATCGCTCCCCTCCGGCCCCTCCACCCCCGAGACCCCCAACTTTCTCTACGCTCTGTTGATACAACGTGTTCTACACTTCTATCTTCTGTGCCTCCCCCGTCGACACCTGCAGGTACCATTGGACCCGAACCACCCAGAGATCGCTTTCGCAACGACTATTCCAATATGGGACAAGGTGCTTCTTCGACTTCGGGAACCCCCTTCCCCTCGGTCGCTCTCCACGTCCTCCGGGTCGCCGAGCTCTCGCCAGCACATCAAGCTGGAATCCAGCCGTTCTTTGACTATCTCATAGGGGTGGAGATTCTGAAAAGGAGACCCCTGACGGGGGAAAGCGGTGCAGTACGAAGTCAGGGTATCGACGAGGAGATCTACGAGGAAGCAATCGGGTTGAGCTTGGACCCGGAAGAGTTGGCTAGGGTACTCGAGGAGAACGAGGAGAAGGAGATTGGACTTAGGGTGTACAACGCCAAGTCTCAGAGAGTGCGATGTGAGTAGACTCATCGGTGGTAGCACAAGGAGAACTTGATTGTGGATAGGTTCTGATGGCAAACGACGTTCTTTGCTGTATGCCAGACGTGACGTTGACGCCTTCGCGATCATGGGCAAACAAGCTACAACCTTCTCTACTGGGCCTGTCACTCCGCTTATGTGATCCAGCAGAAGGACTCGGCCAGGTGTGGCATATCCTGGACGTACTTGAAGGAAGTCCCGCCGAGGTGAGTCTGCAGTGAATGATTGTGGCCTAAACGTCAAGATGCCCCGCTGATTACATCTTGGCGGTCTCTATATAGAGCGCAGGTAAGTAAAGACTGCACCTCCGGGAAGGATCGATTGGCCAAGATCTGACAGCCCACGATCCGCAGGTCTGATCCCTTATGGAGATTACGTTGTCGGATGGACGGAAGGAGCGTTGCATGCCGAGTCAGATTTCTACGACCTGGTGGAACATGTACGTTTGAGAATACCGTGCTCCATCGTACTCTATGCGTTGGCTGACTTCGTACCACCTGGTTGTTCGCATACAGCATATCGACAAACCTCTGCGACTCTACGTGTATTCATCGGATCTCGAGTGAGTCATGGAACGAGATATGCCATGACGGGTGATATGGGATGTACTTTACTGATTTCTTGCCTTGTTCGACCGTTAGCAACTTGCGGGAAATCGTCTTGGTACCCAATCGGCAATGGGGCGGGGGCGGGATTCTCGGTTGTGGAGTTGGGTAAGCACGGCTCAAAACATGACGTGGGCATGTAACGATATGCTTATCACTGATCGCCATCCAAACTCGTTATCTCGCAAAGGTACGGACTACTACATCGAATTCCTATTCCGACCAACCCGGACATGATACCACCCAAGCAGAATCTCATGCTCGGCTCATCGACGTCAGGCGGGTTACGAAAGTCTGGGTCCAGCCACAGTATATCACAGAGGAACAACGGGACCATCAAGGAGTCGGCATGAGGACCCGTACAATCGACGCAAAGAGCGGCCTGTGGTCTTGTATAACGAACACCATGAGGAATTGGACATACGACCTCGAAGTCGTAACATCGATTAAGTAATGCTGGGCCGGATTCTGAGGGACTTTGGGGCATATCAGGATTCTTTCGGCCTGCGGTGTCGCTGGAAATGAAGTTGAGCTGCGATGTCGACGAGGGAGTGTCTCAAACGGATGACGATGCTCCATACATCGAGGACCACTTGATCTGACTTCATCGATCGCCTCTGCTGCCACGGAGCTCGAACTCGACCCGTTATGACTGCGGACGAGTCCTCATTGCCATTGAGCCTCTGCACAAGTCTTCTGCAATGCTATAGTAGTATCGCTGTTGGGATTGTCGTCGATTAGCGAGCTTGGTGACGCAGCAGCGCAGCTCATCGATCCCGCTTTTGTTTACTTTGTCCCGGAGCCACGGCCTCGGCGAACCTGTCGTTCATCATCATCGTCGTCCACGATCCACACCGTCCTCCCCGATCCCTGATATCATTACAACACCCGTACACTCGTCGAGATCGATAATCCTTTCGCTATCCCTCGAAAATTTCAGTCATGTCTGAGCTATGCGTGGAGGTAAGTGCTGCGAGTGATGCCAGTTGAAACGGGCCTGACCTTAAGACCAGGCCCACGATCTGCGCACGACGCTGTTGTCCTCCGGTATCTGTGTTGGCCTTATCATTAGCTACCTGCCGCAAGTAAGTCGAGAATGGCTTATCCCAACATAAGTCGCTCGCAGAACTTAGCCTGAACCGCTTTGCTGCTTGTAGTTCATCAGGATCGTAAAAGCCAAGACATCCGAGGGATTCTCACCAGTTGGTCTACGACTCCCTTTGTCCTCTGCGTGGCTAGGAATACTGAGAAACCCGTCTTTACATCCATGGGATCATTGTAGTGGTTTCTGCTATTGGGAGCTACCTCTTCCTCGTCCGGAATGCTGAATATCTGGATCTTGCAATGGCCTACCATCCGATGCTGTCGCGTAATCGTAAGTCGGCCATTCTCTAGCGCCTTAATCGGATCTTAGAAGCTGATGATGACACTTTGGGGTTTCAGAGAGAATCGTCGTGCTTTGAGCAAACATTGGGAATAGCTCAGGTGACATTACAATGGGCTTGCTTCGCTTTCCTGTGAGTTCTAGCTCACGTTAACCGTATCTTACCCTCGTCACGGGCTAACTCCTGCCTGAACAGGTTCGTGCTATACATCGTATACTTCCCGACTCATCGAAAGTATGTACAAGTAGTACCTGAGGGACAGGAAGAAGAAGACGAAGAAACCCCTCTAGTTCGTCGCGATACCAAAATTGGGGTCATCGCCACGCCTGAATGGAGATTGGCGGTGACCCTGAGCATCGTCGTCCTCATCTACCTGTAAGCCATCACTTTCGGATGATCGATATGGTATCACCAACGTCGAACCTCTCACTCGATACTAGTTCACTATTCACGCTCTTGACGGTGGCCTCCCTGATACTCCTTCCCAACTCGCCGCCCCACCCGCTGCTGTACAAGTACGCACAATTCCTCGGCATCACTTCCGCCTTCCTTACCTTCTTCCAGTACGCACCTCAGATTACTACGACTTTCCGCTCCGGTGTCGTCGGCGCCCTGAGCATCCCGATGATGCTCATTCAAGTTCCTGGGAGTGCGATGTTCGTTGGTAGTTTGGTCGGGAGACCCGGAGTGGAATGGAGCGCTTGGCTGTCGTATGCATTTGCCGGTACCATGCAAGCGGTACTGCTCGTGAGTTTTGCGAAAAGACATTGGCGCAGTTCGACAAGATACTGATTTCGATTGACACCGCTTGTGTTGCAGTTCATGTGCTTGATCTTCCGGGCTCGTCAGAGGAAACTCGGCCAGGATGACTTTGGGAATCCTTTGTCAGTCGCCATTGACGAAGTCGATCGTGAGGATTGACAAGCCTGCGAGGTGGGTTTCGAATTAAGGGACGACATGGATATTATAACGCCAAACATCTACAAAACATATTACTGATTAAAGGGTACAAAATTTCCAGATCCTATAGATTTGTACGGGCAAGAACGGTTGTACCTCCTGGTGTCGAATTGATTCGATGGCTAAAGCCCTTGTGATACCGTTTTGGCTCACTTTCCGCATCCTCTCACATATCGGCGTCCATGAAGTAAGGGTTGAACGCCTTGTCGTGACAAGCCGTAAAGTCCATCGACTTGGCCTTGTCCATGGGCCGAGGGGTTCCCGGCCGGGAGACCGAGAACATGAACGGGCTGCTGTATTCGCTCGAGTCATCGGTGGTCTCCCATTCCGATCGGGAGGAACCGGCAGATTCGGTAGGTGAAAGGATGATGTTGAAAGGTATGATCGTCTTTCCTTGATACAGGAGCGGAGAAGTGGGAAGGTTACCGGCGTCCGCGATGGGCGACCGAGCCTGGCGTTTGAGCAAGGAAGGTGGGATTGGTCCTTCCGAAGCCTGCTTCAATAAGGTCGAAGTGAAGTATCCGCTATGACCGCCGATACCAGGAGTCCTGGTCGAAAAGTAGGCCAGGGGTCGGACGGTCGGCGAGGCAAGATCGCGCGCGTCTCTGCAGGCCCATCCGTCAGTCTTCGAGCTCACAAAGGTCGGACGAGGAGGGATCACGATCTGAGGCACGGTCGCTCGACGGAAGACTGGTGGAGGGGTAGGCGCACGAGGAGCCACCTCGCGGGATCCGAAGCCGTCCTCGATGGCCAGCATCGAGAGGATCCGCTCGAGATCCTCCTCCGCAGGTTCATTATCGACTGAAGCGTTCTTGATAAGGTCACGGGCCGTCTCATCACGAACGGCGGTCGACCAATCCGCGACGCTGGACGAATAGCCAGGGGCTGACTTGGAGCCCTGCATTTTCATCTTGACGGCATGTTCGAAAGCCTCTTCGTTGAAAGGCCAGCCGAGCTCGACTTGAGCGATCTGAGGGTGCGAGATTCCGAGCCCTTGCCACTCGCTCGCGTGAATCGCAGACTCGATTTCGTGGAGCTCGGTAGGTTGGATCACCGAATCGACCGAGGGGGACGAGAGGGACGAGACGAGGCAGTCCATTGATACGTTGCTGGTCGATCTCCCTTCGATGTTGACCCAGTCCGAACCGTCGCTACGGTAAGCATCGAGGTCCTTGTTTCCATTGCCGTGCGCCTCGAGCGCTTCGTCGAAACTCTGGTGGACATGGTTCATGCCATGTAGAACACTCCCTTGCGAAGCTTTGTCTGCCGAGTCGTGATTGTCCTGCTCGTACTCGACAAGCGATACGGACCAGGTGCTAGAAGATCGCGAAATGGGCGTACCGTCGTCTTCGGGCTTGATGCTTTCGTCAAGTGCTTCGAGGATACGTTGAATGCAGTTATCCTCGGGTTGCATCTGAGCAGCATGAGTTCCGAGACACCTTCCGGTGAGATCCCAAAAAACCTCTTCTTCATAAGCAGAAGTGGGCTGGTTCTTGTTCTGGGCGCAGGCGGGGTTGTTCATGGTGAAGCGCAGAATAGTCCTAAGCTGTTGCGAGTCTGTGAGCAGAGGCGGACTGGACGAGACTTGGTCGAGTGCGCTGCGATCTCAATGGCAATCGAGGTGAGAAGGGAAGTTGAGGAGAGTACGAATCGAATCGGTCAGAATTTATACTCGTTCACGCCCTGAGCCGACCGAGATCAGAGTTTGCGATTCGAACTGGCGCGTCCATCGACGCGTTTTAGACAGAATCGAGCGCGAAACCCCGCAACCCCAGACTAGTCATCTGATGATGATGAGGCTTTTTCGAATTGCGCTCCTACTGACCGGCGACGTAGCTCTTGAAACGTGAGAAGACCTATCGCGCATAGACACGCACGCGTCAGACGTCAGAAGGCCCAGGTTGTGGCCTTCTTCGAGTCGCTGCCAGGCGTTTGCGATGCTAGGATTCGTCAATGCCGCACCTTGGATGCTAGGGAGATCTTATGCTATGTCGAACGGTAATCAAGGAGTCCGGGGGAATCGGTAGACCTCAAGCGCTGTTGATTGCAATCGCGCGACTTCGAATCCTGTTCTTGCGCCTCGCGAGTGACTCTACCTCAGAAACTCCGTGAGTCTACTTTGCGATATGTCGCCTGTCATTATGGCGCTTACATTGAATTTTCATAAACTCATCAAATTTGTATTGTCTTGGTCGACGATAAATATTGGACCCCCGGGAAGGAAGAGGAGAGCAACTGGAGAATATGCTGATTGAGGAATAAAGCGCAGAGCATTCCAAACGACGTCAAATCTTTTCAATCAGATTCTTCCTGAGTCTGACACCAGATTGCTAAAAACCCGTCCGCTCAGGCGTTGGGTCTCTCGGTTCGAATCCTTCTCAGGCTCGATGGCAGCTAGGGTATTTAAAAGAGATAGTATTAGAAAAATACCAAAGCACATTGGACGACTATGAGTGTGACATAGATACTCCTCGAACGACTCCAGCAGAGATGCTGCGCTTCAGACCCCAAGATCCTCCTACGTGCAAGTCATTCTAATATTTCTTGAATCTTCGACTACAAACACAAATTACATCAATATGTCCAAGCACTATCGCCCCGTCTTGTCTAAACTTGGCATGCATTTCACACGACAACGACATTGGTATGGGGGAAAAAGCGGCTGATTTGACCTACCCCCTGAGACTATTCCATGCCTTTCATACTTTGGGTTAACAATCAGCAAATACAGATTTCCATCCTAGAGATATCATTGAAGGGTTGACAAAGAACTTGGAAGGGGGAACCTATCTGTCTGCAAAGTAATCTCCTTATATGTTACGGGATCATCACGTGAGTCAACTACCGACACACAGGCTCGATCTACGGACATCAGCATACACCTAAGTCCGGCTCGACGAGGCGAATCCGATTCCCTCGGAGCAGATTCGGTCGCCCCTACCATTCGCCTTCACCATTCACCGAAACAACAAACCTTCCCGACACATATCACAAACAGGTACGGGGACCTCGAGGTACACGACACTCTACTCAGGACCTCGACAACCTTACTCGACGTACCTAGGGACAAATGAGAACTCAAACTCGCCTCCTCTACCGAATCCGGCTGCTCTCGACAGGATTCGTCTGTTCGCCATCTCGTTCTTCCAGTTTCGCCATCTCTCGCCATTCTTTTCTCTTGGGTCTTTTCAGTGTTCGCCAGCCTCGTCTCCGTACTCGTCTCCGTATAAATAGCTAGAGGAACTTGACCGAATTCGATAGAGGACGCTCTGTAATAGTTAGAGGTCAAGTTCCGATATCACATTCAATACACGCCTATCTGACTTGTTACAACATCTTCAAGACGTGTTGCGGAGAGGTTACAACTCAAGGACGTCGCTAAGTATCTACGCTTCATCGTTTCACCTTAGAACGAATCCTGTACCTCACACCGAGTGATCACTTCCTTATCCATACATCTCTGGATTCGTACCCCTTATCCGAATCCGCTTCATATAAGCGAACTTGCGACATTCTCCCGACTACCTGCGATCTACCTATAAGCACCCTACGCCTTACGACTTAGGACCTATCGCCCATTAGCGACTTCCGCCGTAACAGCATATCGGAACTTCTTTGTCGCACCTGGTTAGGACAATGTCAGTCTATTCCGAAAACCACGATCTGCCCCCAGAGGAAGAACAGCGGTTCTCTCGAGCCAGGACCGGCTCAATCGAAACGAATCCGGCTCCTAGGGAAACGGACTCTGAACGTATTGGTCGTCTCGAAGAACAAATCCTGGAACTCATGCAGACGATCAGGAAACAAAGAGACGAACTCGCTACACGAGAAGAGGTTCCGGCTCCCCTTCCTCGAAGGCAGTTCAACATCTACCCATCCAACCCTCCATTCTCTAGCGGGACTACTATCGACCCTAGAGAACTTGCACCGACCTTCGGTGGCCCGGTCCAGGGATCCCTATACTCCTATGAGGGACGTTCCCCTTCGGGAGAACGAAGCGGATCTGCTTGCCAAACGGACCAAGGAGCCGAAGCCGGCTGACCCACCCACGTTCAAAGGAGACGCCAAGGAGTTAGACGAATTCATCGTCAAACTTAACATGGTCTTCCGACAATTGCCTGGACGCTACCCCACTGGGGGATCCAAGATCGATTTCGCTATCGGATTCTTGGAGGACGAGCTTTTAAAACGGTTTCGTCTTATCTCCAGTTGGACGAAGCGGACCAACCCCTTTTCTTACACGACTACGATGCCTTCAAGAGATTCTTGAAGCATAACTTCGGGGGCTCCAACGAGAAAGCTGCAGCCCAAGCCGCTTTAGACAAGCTGGTTCAAACCGGATCCGCTTCGTCTTACTTCTCCGAATTCACCCAGTACAGTCCCTTGTGTGGCTTTAACGATGAAACTCTTATCGCTGCAGCAAAGAAAGGACTGAAGGCCAAGGTGGTGGAACGTCTCGGTATCCTGAACAAAAGGATGGAGTTCGCAGACTTCAACGAGTTCAGGAATGAGGCTGTCGACGCGGACAATAGGACTTCACGATGATGGAGTTCTCAACCGAGAAGACGAGAAGCGGAACGCTCGCAAGGATAACAGGAAGGAACCGAATCCGGTTCGATCCGAGCGAGTTGTCACCGAACGGACCAAAACCTACGAAAAGGAGGTCGTCAAACCCAGAAGGTTCGACTCCTTATCAAAAGGGTCCTATTACAGATGAAGAAAGGAAGAGGCGACGCGACCTCGACCTTTGTACCTACTGCGGGAAGGCCGGACACTACGCTTCAGCCTGTCCTGTTCTTGCCGGCAGAGGAGGAGGAAGCACCCCCAATGTCGAGAGGGCTAGAAATGCAACAGTCGAAGCAGTTCCGGCTCCCACCTGGGCAAACCAGGCGAATCGAACCGAATGGATCAAGTTTCGCTTCCAGGGGCAAGACCCTTTGATTACGGTGGACTTCCATGCAGGCGCATCTTCTTTCACGACAGACGCCCTGATTGACAGTGGGGCCAGCTGTAACTTCATTCGTCCCTCTGCGGAGGTACTCCAGCATGTCGGGGCGATCCCGTATGATCAGCCGAAGCGACTCCGGTTGGTTGATAACCAACCTAACCCGAATCAGCGAGGAGAGATCACTCACTACGTGAATCTGATCTTCTATGTCGGAGGACACATCGGTCCTTACTCCCTCGACTTCGACATTGCGGAAATTGCTGCCCCAGACATTATCCTGGGAGTCCCATTCGTCAAGGGTCTTCGTACCATCACGGATTGGGACACTTGCGAGATCAGTTTGATCAAGCCGGATTCGCCTCTCAAGGGAACGAATCTGGAATATTTGGAGCGAAACCGGTTCCTCCGAAGACAAGACCCGGAAGTTGTCGATACAGATGTCGACCCTCGAGCGCTACGGGAATTGGGTCTGGAACACGACGATGAAGAGGATTACGACATCGCATCGGAAGAAATGCGTCAAGTGATCCCAGTTGAGTTTCATGACTACTTAGACGTATTCAGGAAGAGCGATTACACCAGCCTTCCTCCCCACAGGTCGTACGATCACGTTGTGGAATTGCTACCAAACGTGGAGTTGAAACGACTCAAGCCTTACCCGCTTTCTGCTGCGGCAGACAAGTGGCTCAAGAATTGGATCGACGAATCGAGGCGGATTGGGCACATTGAACCGAGTTCCCATTGGTTCGGTTCCCCGGTCTTCCTCGTACCGAAGAAGACTCCTGGAGAATTCAGGATGGTTACCGACTTCCGAGCATTGAATAATGCGACCAAGAAGAACGCGTATCCGCTTCCGAAGATCAACACCACCCTAGAACGAGTTAGCAGAGCTCGATTCTTCTCCAAATTCGATATGCCAACTTCATATCAATTACTTCGAATGCGGGAAGAAGACGAGGATTGGACTACAATCCTAACTCGCTACGGGTCGTTCAAGTCTCGGGTCATGCGGGAAGGCATGACCAACGCGGGAGCCAGTTTCCAATTCTTCATGAACGATGTGTTCAATCCCCTACTGGACCAAGGTGTTACTGTATACATCGACGACATTCTGGTGTATACGGAAACGAGGGAGGAACATATTCGGCTCATCAAGGAGGTTTTTAACCGGATCCGCTCCTTTTCGCTTTATTTGAAGCCGAAGAAATGCGAGTTCTTCAAGTCTTCTATCGAGTTCCTCGGCTACATCATCAAGGATGGGCAAATCGCTATGGCTCAAGACAAATTGGAATGCATCCGAACTTGGCCCAAACCGACGTGTATCAAGGAAATTCAACGATTTCTTGGGTTTACCAACTATTACCGACGATTTATCAAAGGATACGCTGGGTTAACACTTCCGCTTGTGAAGTTAACCAAGAAGTCCGAGCCGTGGATCTGGGACGAGAAGCAGGATGGCGCGTTTGCTACACTACTTTCGTCCTTCGCAAGCGAACCCGTTTTAATTCAAGCAGATTCGGACGAAACCTGCTATCTTGAGACGGATGCATCGGACTACGCCATCGCTGCCGTCCTTAGCCAGCGCTACAAGGACGAACAGTTGCACCCGGTGGGGTTCTTTTCAAGGAAGTTGAACCCGGCTGAAATCAATTATACCGTCCACGACAAAGAGTTACTTGCGATCGTTGAAGGATTCAATCATTGGAAGCC